ACATTTATACAACACTCAACTAAAATGTTTTGATAAAGATATGACTTGATTTAAACATAAGTTATATAAAACCCAATGGCTTATACAGTTTGATGCTTCACATCTGCATCAAGTCATCAATCTCAGTACAAATGTTTACATAGACTTTATGGCTTTCCCATTTTATATCTTTGTGAATTGACATTTCATTAAGCATCAAAACACACACAGCCTTGCCATCTTTCTTTGGTTCATGAACTTTAACTTCAAAGCATTCAAGGCATCCTTAGTGAATCCATTGTCTCCATCCCTAGAATTTGACCATGATCAAATTAAATAACTCTGGATAGGGCAGACGATAAATCAATTATCTTTACAGCATTATAATTTTTTAAGACTCTGCCTGGTCAATAACATCTTCCAGTCATCTTTACTCCTTGGTCTTCCCTGCATGTTGTCAGCAAATAGAACATAACAAGCTCTGCTCCAAATCATGGGTACTCTTGGGGCTGATCATTTCGTTTTGATACTTACTCACAGAGCAAAATGTGTGCAGGGTCTTTTTTGCTTTAGGGAAACTATTTTGCAAATAGATGGGTAAATTTACGACTTCATGCAGACTTTAGAAAAGTATGCAGAATTTTATAAACAAAAACAGGAAAACATCAGTATATTTGGCGTTCAAGTCAGTCTTAAAAAATACGATCTTTAATATGTATTTTTATGGCTTTTAAAGTGCATGTATAATTGCTTTTCAGTTTTCAATCGTTGACGGACTAAAAAACTAAGCAACTATCTCACCTGTGAGAAGCGATATGTTCCTTTTTGTGGAAACTACGACATCCAACAATTGAACGATTGAAGTGTTGGCATTATAAAGAAATGCCAAAAAAGATATCGTCACAGAATATGGAACTAACGATATCGTGTTGGTTTTTGAAAAATTCTTTATAATTTACTATATACACCAGGGGGAGGTCGAGAATATTATTTTTCTGCAAAGCGATCATTTCAGCGGAAATACGTCCGTTGGCCGCCATTTTTTTGGCGACCTCGCCCCAGTAAAGATAGCCGCTCCAGTTATTATAGAACTCAATGGTTCTATAAGACCTGGAGGGGAAACGTCAACCAAATTACTATAAATTATCAGCGCGCGGCCGCGTGGTCAAAAACATGGCGGATTTTGGTTGTCAAAGTCAGCGGAAAGACGCGGGCTCATAAAATGAAATTTTTTTCGCCCACCCGGATTTGACAACCACAATTGCGATTATATAAAATATCAATGCCAAACACAAAAACTTTTAGAAATTTTATCTTTAAAACATGCTGCAAACTTGTTTGGCATACGGATGCTGAAGTAATGCCAGAAAAGGAAACATTTCATGACACCGGTAAGCAACGTAAGATTGTTTACTATTTAAAGTGTTCAGTGTTTTGTTTTAAGTCAATACTTGAAGTGTGATGGCATATATTTTGTGAATGTTTTTACTCCTAAGTTATAATTTAAGTTATGTTTATCCATTCTTATTTGTTCTTTACTTAATCGATTGCTAGACGAGGCAAAGCAACCAGTTCTTATCGAGATATGCATATCTTAAAACTCCTTGTTTCAACTGAGTTGAAATGGAGGATTTTTTCATGATATTTTTCTGAAAATATGAAGCAAATATTAAGGACAGAGCTGTATTGAAATCAAATGCAGTGCAGGATTAATTAATGAGCTCTTTGGTACAAAAAAATTACCTGTATTAAACAGCTAGCCTGGACAATTTGACAGATTTGGACAAGCATGATGATGGTGTGTAAAGGTTTGCTTTATGCTAAAAGTTTTATAAATGCCATCTGGTGTTTCTGTAAATGAATTGTTTGTTACACAGTGTAGTAAACAGGTTAGTACATCAAAATCAAGATAAAAACTACTTTTTTCAATAATGTGCCAAATTTTGCTCCTACCTTGAAATATTTGCTCAAGAAAAGCTTATCATGACATGCATGAAACATTAAATACAGTACTGCATCATCTGACAAAATGCATACGTTTTTCAATTCCAGGTGATTAAAATTCACATAAGATGCATTGGTTGCAATGAAGTTGAATGTGGAAGAAGCAAAATTGATGGCAAAGAACTTTTTATGTCTTTTGAAGAATTACGATATCATTTAAAAGAATAAGAGTTGCAATCTAGTAAAAGAAGCCACATCTGCCTTCAACATGAGACTTTTCCAATTATGTATAGTTACTTTGTACAAAATACTATTTTAGATAAACTTGATTTTAAGTCATTCACTGATATTTTTACCAAAGACAAAAAGAAAAATTCAAAGGCATAATGTAAAATTCAAAATTTGTCAAGTTGTTTGAATCTAGAAAAATTAGTATAGGTAACTGTAATTTGTAAGGACACAAAAGAAAAGTAGTGCAAGAAGGTTAGCATTTTTGAGAATTAATAAGTTCTTGACATACATTACACAAGGCCATAATATTATAAATAATGTCTGTATAATAACAATTATACAACATGCTAAATATCTTCACCTACATTATAATATTTAAACAGGTTTGCCTTCATGCACCATTAAGAAAAGTGTTATGTCAGAGAAACCAATGCACTTTGATTTAAGAAATAGTATTTTCAATGGGAAATTAATGTAGTTCTGTTCAGTAGTAGATCCATGGTTGTCAATAACAATCCAGTTTCTAATATGTTGGCTCAAAACAGAACCAGCAACATGATTATAGAATTTCTGAATTTCGTTCTTTTGCTCTTCCTAAGATATTTTCCTCATAAGTTCTCAGTAGATTTAACAGAATATCATAATACTTTATAAGACATCCAGAATCAATCCTACCAAAAAACTCAAAAATTGCATACCTACTAATAATATATTTCCAGTCGACTTAAGTCGTAGGGTAAGCTAACTTTTCAAACTCCTTTTGGACATTTTAACTAAGATTTACCCATCTATTCAAGAAAGACAGTTGCACCAAGCTGTTCACAAACAGTCAAAACACAAGTAATGCGCATGGGATTATGCATTAAAGCTTAACAACACATTGACAGTGTAAAGATTGCAGTTTGATATTTATTTCTTATATAGCTAAAGCATTACTTGAAAAATATACGTTATTTTACAGTAGATTTACCTCATTTAAATGTGTGTGTCTATTTCACAAAACCTGAAGCATTATTTTCAATATTTTATGCTTACGGTATCGTGGTTGTTTTCGCTGGTTGTCATTACTATGAGCAGTAATAGAGATCCGTTTCGGGAGGGAGCGAATGTTAAAAATTTTTCTCAAAGTGGAAGTTTTGACAACCAAAATCCGCCATTACCGCCATGTTTTTGACCACGGGGTCCAGGCCCCTTTGCCCCTCCAGGTCTTATAGAGCTCAATGGTCCCAACTCTTATACTATAGAGGGCTCTGATCGCAGCCATATTGCAGGGGGTGTAAAAGCATTGGGCCGAGCACGCGGTCACCCATTGGGTCCATATAAATTACTAATAGATACGCAAAAATTACCCTTATACATATTGGCCATTTCTTTCAAAAATATTTCTCAAACTCGTCGATTATAATAGTCGAATTATTATTTGCGATTTTTTATACATGTGAGTCCAATTTTCTGGTAATCAAAGAGCGGAAAGTGAAAGAGAACATTTGTTTTCTTCTTTGAACAACTTGACCGTCGTTTGAGCGATGTTCTTGAGTTCGCAAATGTTCGGAACTCGTAAGTCAAGTCAACTTCTTTTGGCTGTTTAGTCGCCATAAATTATAATAAAAATAGCAATGTCACTTTACAAATAAGTGGAAATACTAATAAGAGTTTGCCGTAGAATAGTTCCTCGTGATACTTGTTGTAAACACGTGCGTGTGATGCGAACTTAAGAACATCGCTCAAACGACGGTCAAGTTGTTCAAAGAAGAAAACAAATGTTTTCTTTCACTTTCCGCTCTTTGATTACTAGAAAATTGGACTCGCATGAATAAAAAATCGCAAATAATAATTCGACTATTATAATCGACAAGTTTGAGAAATATTTTGAAAGAAATGGCCAATATGTATAAGGGTAATTTTGCGCATTTATTAGTAATTTATATGGACGCCATGCGTGACCGCGCTCGGCCCAATGTTTTGCACCTGCAATATGGCTGCAATAACCTTGAAAAGGTCTATTCTCGCTACATTGGCGAAACCAGCCGCCACCTCTCCACACGGATTAAAGAGCATACAACTTCCGATAAAAACTCTCACATATTCAAACACCTCTCATCACCTCACTGCAAATCTAAATACTCACAATCATGCTTTCGTATATTAGACAGTGCCCCACTCCTTCTTCTTAAAACTAAAAGAAGCACTGTACATCAAAGAACTCAAGCCTAATCTTAACAAACAAATTCAGCATGTCAATACTATCTTTAACTTGTAAATATTTAATACCTCTAACACTACATAATTGTAAATAACTTCCGCTTCATCCCTTTTGTCTATACACATGTCTTGTATCAGATTTCTTTACATATTAACTCCATTCAATTATTCATTCATTATACCGCACTGAAAATGGCATAGGTTTGCCAAAACACGTCTGCAATAAAAATTTAAAACCTGTGTATTACGTTAAATGCATAATTTCAATCGTGCTATTACGAAATTATGGAATTATTTATTTTCTTATGCTAATTCGTTACCAACAGAGCATGCGCAGTACACTGCACAGTTAAAACGGATATAGTACAAAAATGATAGTTATCGTGTTTTTATATAAGATGGAGCAACCCCTTCTTACACCAATGAAAAGAAAACCCAGCCCAATATTCCCCGCAACAACAAGAACCTCAAAATCAAGGTTATCCACTCCAAGATTACCCCCACAAACTAATCTACTCCAAGATTACCCCGCACAAACTAATCTACTCCAAGATTACCCCCACAAACTAATCTACTCCAAGATTACCCCCACAAACTAATCTACTACAAGATTACCCGCACAACCTTATTCACCTCAAGGTTGCCCCCACAAACTTATCCACCTCAAGGTTACCCCCCACAACCACCAACAGGAATGATACAACAGCAGCAGAGTAACAACACAACAGTTGTTGTGCAAGTAGAAAAAAAATCATAAAAAAACTTGTTAATAACTGACGTATAACAAAATCTTAGGCACTCTCTTTCCAAAACAACATATTTAAGCTTTATCCTTAGGTGTAAATCATTAACCCGATCAACCCTTCCATGTACATAACGTATCTTCACAAATAAATAAGTAAAATGCACAATGAGAAATTTCAATTTGATATTTTTAGAACCAACCTCAGCCTGCAGCAGTTACAACAATGATTCCAGTTGTCAATGATAACATGGGACTGTCCATTTTTGCATGTCTTTGTTGTTGTTGTCCAATTGGTATTTTTGCCATCATAAAATCATGTGAGGTACTTGTTTCTATACAAACATAATATTTACATTATATAAGCACTATACAGTAACAGTATGTTTCAATGCACATTTTACTTTGGAACCCAATCTACAAGATTTCTGAATCCGCCAAAATTGTATAGTTTACGAGTGGGGCAAGCCGCCATCTTGAAAGATGGAAAAACTGATGACATAAACGACTACTATCCGCTTTTCCTGAGTTGATATACATTTGTAAAATTTGATGGTTTAGGTTTGATTTTCAAAATGTTTCATAGGATTGGTTTTTTAAACTTTCTTTTATTTTTTATTTGGAGTTTTGGTTTTTCCATCTTTTGAAATGCCATCCTTGTCTCATCTTGACACTGTAGTAAGACATCTAGTGGATTGAGTTCTAAGTCATAGCGAAGAACAGGTTGGAACATGACACATGGACAATTTTACAAGACAATCAAATTTACTTGTACTGTTCTGCTTTATTAAAGCGACTGAAAACTCAATCCACGACAAAATATTCATTTTATTCTCATTTCATCAATGGCAAATGTTTTTTCATTAATCCACCAAAAAAACCCCACTTTCCTTAAAGGCCAATTTAAGTCAGACTAACAGTTTAAAACATTCGCTCACGAAGATCAAATTTTCACAAAAATAGCAAAACAGAAATGATAAAATCATCGATTTGCGCGACTGTCTTCAGTAAACAGAAGTGATTCTACATATGGTGTATGTAACCAGGTTTTCATTATCCATTCAATGTATCAAAACCATCATATAAACAAACCACTACAAAGACAAAATAAAAAGGTCTTTCCACCTGTTCTAAATGTAATTATACTTACAAAATTACAGATGTAAATGTTATGTTATAAAAACTAGGTTCATTATCTCCTTTAGGTAAGAAATCTTTACGTTGCCGGTGACTATGCAGGTGCAATTGCATCAGCAGAATCTGCGAAAAAACTGGCTGGTATTTCTATAGGCATTGGAATGTTTTTTTATGTAGTGTCCATAATAATCCACGCTATCTAAACTAAATGTACCATTGTCACCCTTAAGAATCCTACCAAGTTTTCATGTATTCGTTATTAATAATTACTTTAATACTTATAAGTAAACATCAGTTTATATAATAAAATTGTTTTCTTTTGTTGCAAGCCTTCGTTTCGACTTCACAGTATAGGTACAAAGTTACCATTACATAGAGAACGATAAATTTTAACATTAAATATCATTGGCAATCGAACATCTTTGAAAAAAATCACGCGATTAACTTAAACACACAGTGTATGTGAAATAGAAAACGTTAATCAGACCATCGCAATAAAAAAATGTTATCCTTCGTCATGCAGGCAACAAAATAAGACAAAATTGATCGTCTGTCATTGTGTTATACGAGATGGAGCAGGCCCCCCTCCCTTTATCATAATAAAAAACATAACCCCAACCTATACCCAGCACGTTCACCGCCCCAGGCCGTCAAGCCCTTCAAAATTGCCCACCTCAAGCTTACCCCTCAAACCTATCCCTCAGGGTCGTCCCTTACAGCCACCAACACAGGAATAATGCAGCAATAAAAATACAACAGTTGTGATGCAAATAAGAAACACAAAAAACTTAATCATTAACCCCATGAAACCTTCTATTCATAATTTACCAAACTAATATAGAGCAATGCAGTAAGAGAAATTTCAATGTGATATTTTTAAAACCAACCTCAGCCTGTAGCAGTAACAACAATCATTCCAGTTGTCAATGATCACATGGAAAAGTGGATTTTTGCTTGTCTGTGTTGCAGTTGGCCAATTCGAATTTTGTCATCGTCAAATCACGTGACTGAGGTACTTCTTTCTATACAAACATAATATATATAACCAATAAGCATTATGCAGCAATATTAAGCACAAATAAGGTCAGATTTCATTTACAAAATGTTAGTAAAACGTAACTTTTGATTTTCGACAATGGTTTATCATACATGGGTGATGTGCTCTCTTGAAAAAGAATCAGACACCTTTCTTTTATTTACATCTCTATTGCTTTCAGTTGATCATAACAAAGCTCTTAAAATTCAAGCAGGCCATTTTCGAAAACGTCTTTTTTGATAAGGTGTTAAACCACGAAGTGAAAAATCTCAATTGAAAGGCCAACTTAAAATGGGATTTTACACACGAAGAAACATTCTCTGGTTTTATGGAGTTCAAAGTTTCACGTAGCTTGAACGAACACGATTGAAATGAATTTCATAAAAAATCATCGATTCGCAAGAGAGTTTTTGCAGTAAGCAGAGTCAATCCTACACATGTGGTGTATGTAATCAAGTTTTCATAGTTCATTTATTGTATCAAAAACACCATAAAACAAATTTATTTTCTTTCAAACTGGTTGTATAATTTATGATGATTTAATTGTTTACTTAACATAATTTAATAATTTGAAATGTAATAATTCAATGATTTCATAGTTTAATTCATGATAATTTTCATCTACACTGCTTGAACATTATCAGACAGCTAGCTTCATTATCGCTTTAGGAAATAAACTGTTCCGTTGCAGGTGACAATACAGGTGCCATGTCGTCACCTGACTTTGATTTATAAGGCTATGGAATATATATTTATGCTCTCCTCACGATTATTGTCGTTGTTTTAGCAAAAACTCAAGACTACATGTAGAATTGTGACCTCAATGAACTCATGAAAGTTTACAAAACAACAATGTAATTTCTCGAGCGCTGATTGGTGTAAAGCTGAGTTTGTATTTGCCTGGGGAATTCGATCTGAGCTCATTCAGTTAAATCAATCAAAGGGAATTTGCAAATCAATAGTAAATATAAGATAGAAGAAAAAGTCAAACATTTGTTTTAAATTTATCTGTTTCGAAATATTGTTATTTTAAGAATAAGATGTTTTTCAAATTTCCACTGACATATTCAAACGTCGGAGACGTTTGTAAAAACTCTCGACTTTCGGTCTCCGGCATGCAATGATCTGCACTCGAGTTCTCTAAAAAGTCTGCTTGGTTTCCATAGGCCAGTGCAAACACAGTAAACATCTTTTATTTCTGTATTAATTATTAAGAAATTCAATTCATGCTGAGAGATCTGGTTGAATGGGAAGATACTTCCCGTAAGCCTTCGCCATGAGGTCACAGTCGGTACAATTTTACCATGGAGATCGATAAATCATAAGATTATATTAGTGGCAGTTGAAACACCAATGGCAAATTATTTCAAGCATACAGTACATGTGTGTTACAAAACGTTCATTCACATAAAAGATTCACACACAATAATGAAACCTGCAGCCATTGATTGGGAAAAATATATTAATCAGTTATTAGCCTAGCGCGAGGTCTTACGGATAAATATCGGATCGAAGGTTTTTTGTAAAGACACGGCTCCTCAAAGAGCAAAGTTTGTACTTAAAACAGAGGCCCAAGATTTCGCTGTGAAGACCTAGCAAGCAAGAGTAAGAAAAAGTTCATTATATATCATTGTTTGACCAATGTGCAATGCTTTTTCTTTTCTAGTCCTCTCTGTTTTGCAAGGACTGGCTTTCACTCCTCTAGTTTTTTATCAGTAGAAAATCAATCGTTTGAAATTGTATCATCTCGATAGTAAAAGCAACTTTACGAGTGTTTTTCTTTCGACTCACATTCGTATATTTTTCGTTTTACAAAACGTTTGGTGTTTAATTAAGTTTGTTTGCATTTAATTGTAAAATTACGCGCAGTAGACAGCCTGTCCATTACGGGAAAATAATGGACTGGCAAAAATGTTCTGAGCCAATCAAACCGCGCCAATTCACCGGAAGTGACGCTTGCCAGAACATAAAGTCAATAAATCCACCTGTCAAACATAAATAATGAACATTTTAGAGCAACTCTGTTCAAAAACGAAAGTAAGGACTGCGCGGAAGAAAAACAGAAGTTAAACAAGTTCATCAAGCTTTTAAATCAACTTTTCAAAAGAACGAAATAAATGCAAAGGTAAGGTTTACTATATATACCTAAACATTTCGATATACATAACGCTTCACAATGTTACAACGAAATACGAGAGGTTTTTTAGAGCTGTTATGAGCAAAATGAACTTACAATGATAGACAGGAATACGAATATCAAACGTAATAGAAATTGTTTTTTAAATATCCAAACTAAACTTCGAATAGAGTGAACATCATTGTTAATCTTTAATAGTTAAAATGATCATAACTTAAAATACTCAAAGTTATTGCTGGTATTTTATGATGGTATTGATATGATTGTTCTTTATGTTTGTTTGATATGGATTACTGTATTTTTTACGACTGTTTATTTGTGGTAAACCTAGCATTCATTACAAAGGTTTTGTAGAAATCATTCATGTCCTTTTAAGCATATAGCTATAGAAAAAACATTTTTAACGATGCCGGTATGCTGTTAATATCCCACGCAATAAAAGGACAATTATTTTATTTCTTACGCTAATTCGTTACCAACAGAGCATGCGCAGTACGCTGCACAGTTAAAACGGATATAGTAGAAAAAAATGAAAATTATCGTGTTTTTTATATAAGATGGAGCAACCCCTTCTTACACTAATGAAAAGAAAACCCAGCCCCATACTCCCTGCAGCAACAAGAACCTCAAAATCAAGATTATCCGCTTCAAGATTACCCCCACAAACGTATCCACCTCAAGGTTACCCCCACAAACGTATCCACCTCAAGGTTACCCCCAAAACTTATCCACCTCAAGGTTACCCCCACAAACCTATCCACCTCAAGGTTATCCCCCACAACCTTATCCACCTCAAGGTTACCCCCCACAACCACCAACAGGGATGATACAACAACAGCAGAGTAACAACACAACAGTTGTTGTGCAAGTAAGTAGAAAAAAAATCATAAAAAAACTTGTTAATAACTGACGTATAACAAAATCTTAGGCACTCTCTTTCAAAAACAACATATTTAAACTTTATCCTTAGGTGTAAATCAATAACACAATCAACCCTTCCATGTACATAACGTATCTTCACAAATAAATAAAATGCACGTTGGAAAATTTCAATACAATATTTTTAGAACCAACCTCAGCATTCAGCTATAATGGTTCCAGTCGTCAACGATCACTTGGGACTGTCTATTTTTTCCTGTCTGTTTTGTCCTATTTGGCCAATTGGTCTTGTTGCCATCATCAAGTCATTGGAGGTACATGTTTCTATGCAAACACAACATTTAAGCACTATACAGTAACAGTATGTTTCAATGCACATTTTACTTTGGAACCCAATCTACAAGATTTCTGAATCCACCAAAATTCTATAGTTTACGAGTGGGGCAAGCCGCCATCTTGAAAGATGGAAAAATTTTTGACATTAACGACTACTATCCGCTTTTCCTGAGTTGATATTTCATAGGATTGGTTTTTTAAGCTTTCTTTTATTCTTTATTTGGAGTTTTGCTTTTTCCATCTTTTGAAATGACGTCCTTGTCTCATCTTGACACTGTAGTAAGACATCTAGTGGATTGAGTTTTAAGTCAAAGCAAAGAATGGGTTGAAATATGACACATGGACAATTTTACAAGACAATCAGATTTACTTGTACTGTTCTGCTTTAATAAAGCGACTGAAAACTCAATCCACGACAAAATATTCATTTTACTCTCATTTCATCAGTGGCGAATGTTTTTTCATCAATCCAGCAAAAAAACCCACTTTCCTTAAAGACCAATTTAAGTCAGACTAACAGTTTAAAACATTCGCTTACGAAGATCAAATTTTCACAAAAATAGCAAAACAGAAATGATAAAATCATCGATTTGCGCAATTGTCTTCAGTAAACAGAAGTGATCCTACATTTGGTGTATGTAATCAAGTTTTCATTATCCATTCAGTGTATCAAAACAACTATTAAACCAACCACTACAAAGACAAAATAAAAGATCTTTCCACCTATTCTAAATGTAATTATACTTACAAAATTACAAGTGTAAATGTTATGTTATAAAACTAGGTTCATTATCTCCTTTAGGTAAGAAATCTTTACGTTACCGGTAACCATGCAGGTGCAATTGCATCTGCCAAATGTGCAAGAAAACTGGCTGGTATTTCTATAGGCATTGGAATAGTTCTTTATGTAGTGTTTACAATCATGGGTGTCGTGATGGATAACTAAACTAAATGTACCATTGTCCCCCGTATGATCTACCATTTATGAAGACTTAATGCATCATTGTCACCCTTATCTTCTACCATATATGAAAACTTAATGCACCATTGTCACCCTTATGATCTACCATATATGAAAACTTAATGCACCATTGTCACCTTTAGGATCTACCATATATGAAAACTTAATGCACCATTGTCACCCTTATGATCTACCATATATGAAAACTAAATGCACCATTGTCACCCTTATGATCTACCATATATGAAAACTTAATGCACCATTGTCACCCTTATGATCTACCATATATGAAAACTTAATGCACCATTGTCACCTTTAGGATCTACCATATATAAAAACTAAATGCACCATTGTCACCCTTAGGATCTACCATATATGAAAACTTAATGCACCATTGTCACCCTTAGGATCTACCATATATGAAAACTTAATGCACCATTGTCACCCTTAGGATCTACCATATATGAAAACTTAATGCACCATTGTCACCCTTAGGATCTACCATATATGAAAACTTAATGCACCATTGTCACCCTTAGGATCTACCATATATGAAAACTTAATGCACCATTGTCACCCTTAGGATCTACCATATATGAAAACTTAATGAACCATTGTCACCCTTAAGAATCCTACCAAGTTTTCATGTATTCGTTATTAATAATTACTTCAATACTTATAAATAAACATCAGTTTGTATAATAAAATTGTTTTCTTTTGTTGCAAGCCTTCGTTGCGACTTCCCAGTATAAGTACAAAGTTACCATTATATAGAGGTAGATTTTAACATTATATATCATTGGCAATCAAGCATCTTTGAAAAAAATTACACGATTAATTTAAACACACAGTGTATGTGAAATAAAAACGTTAATCGGACCATCGCAATAAAAATGTTATCCTTCGTCATGCAGGCAACAAAATAAGACAAAATTGATCGTCTGTCATTATGTTATACAAGATGGAGCAGCCCCTCCCTCCCCTTATCATATTGAGAAACATAACCCCACTCTATACCCAGCACAAAACCCTATAAAATCAAGTTCACCCCGACAGTCGTCAAACCCTTCGAAGTTGCCCACCTCAAGGTTACCCCTCAAACCTATCCCTCAGCGTCGTCCCTTACAGCCACCAACAGCAGAAATAAAAATACAACAGTTGTGATGGAAATAAGAAGCACAAAAAACTGAATCATAAACCCCATGAAACCTTCTATTTATAATTTACCAAACTAATATAGAGCAATGCAGTAAGAGAAAGTTCAATGAGATATTTTTAACACCAACCTCAGCCTGTAGCAGTAACAACAATCATTCCAGTTGTCAATGATCACATAGGAAAGTGGATTTTTCCATGTCTGTGTTGCATTTGGCCAATTCGCATTTTGTCATCGTCAAATCACGTGACTGAGGTACTTCTTTCTATACAAACATAATATATATAACCAATAAGCATTATGCAGCAATATTAAGCACAAATAAGGTCAGATTTCATTTACAAAATGTTAGTAAAACGTTACTTTTGATTTTCGACAATGGTTTATCATACATGGGTGATGTGCTCTCTTGAAAAAGAATCAGACACCTTTCTTTTATTTACATCTCTATTGCTTTCAGTTGATCATAACAAAGCTCTTAAAATTCAAGCAGGCCATTTTCGAAAACGTCTTTTTTTGATAAGGTGTTAAACCACGAAGTGAAAAATCTCAATTGAAAGGCCAACTTAAAAATGGGATTTTACACACACGAAGAAACATTCTCTGGTTTTTTATGGAGTTCAAAGTTTCACGTAGCTTGAACGAACACGATTGAAATGAATTTCATAAAAAATCATCGATTCGCAAGAGAGTTTTTGCAGTAAGCAGAGTCAATCCTACACATGTGGTGTATGTAATCAAGTTTTCATAGTTCATTTATTGTATCAAAAAACACCATAAAACAAATTTATTTTCTTTCAAACTGGTTGTATAATTTATGATGATTTAATTGTTTACTTAACATAATTTAATAATTTGAAATGTAATAATTCAATGATTTCATAGTTTAATTCATGATAATTTTCATCTACACTGCTTGAACATTATCAGACAGCTAGCTTCATTATCGCTTTAGGAAATAAACTGTTCCGTTGCAGGTGACAATACAGGTGCCATGTCGTCACCTGACTTTGATTTATAAGGCTATGGAATATATATTTATGCTCTCCTCACGATTATTGTCGTTGTTTTAGCAAAAACTCAAGACTACATGTAGAATTGTGACCTCAATGAACTCATGAAAGTTTACAAAACAACAATGTAATTTCTCGAGCGCTGATTGGTGTAAAGCTGAGTTTGTATTTGCCTGGGGAATTCGATCTGAGCTCATTCAGTTAAATCAATCAAAGGGAATTTGCAAATCAATAGTAAATATAAGATAGAAGAAAAAGTCAAACATTTGTTTTAAATTTATCTGTTTCGAAATATTGTTATTTTAAGAATAAGATGTTTTTCAAATTTCCACTGACATATTCAAACGTCGGAGACGTTTGTAAAAACTCGACTTTCGGTCTCCGGCATGCAATGATCTGCACTCGAGTTCTCTAAAAAGTCTGCTTGGTTTCCATAGGCCAGTGCAAACACAGTAAACATCTTTTATTTCTGTATTAATTATTAAGAAATTCAATTCATGCTGAGAGATCTGGTTGAATGGGAAGATACTTCCCGTAAGTCTTCGCCATGAGGTCACAGTCGGTACAATGTTACCATGGAGATCGATAAATCATAAGATTATATTAGTGGCAGTTGAAACACCAATGGCAAATTATTTCAAGCATACAGTACATGTGTGTTACAAAACGTTCATTCACATAAAAGATTCACACACAATAATGAAACCTGCAGCCATTGATTGGGAAAAATATATTAATCAGTTATTAGCCTAGCGCGAGGTCTTACGGATAAATATCGGATCGAAGGTTTTTGTATAGACAGGGCTCCTCAAAGAGCAAAGTTTGTACTTAAAACAGAGGCTCAAGATTTCCTGTGAAGACCTAGCAAGCAAGAGTAAGAAAAAGTTCATTATATATCATTGTTTGACCAATGTGCAATGCTTTTTCTTTTCTAGTCCCTCTGTTTTGCGAGGACTGGCCATCACTCCACTAGTTTTTCTCAGTAGAATATCAATCGTTTGAAATTGTATCATCTCGATAGTAAAAGCAACTTTACGAGTGTTTTTCTTTCGACTCACATTCGTATATTTTTCGTTTTACAAAACGTTTGGTGTTTAATTAAGTTTGTTTGCATTTAATTGTAAAATTACGCGCAGTAGACAGCCTGTCCATTACGGGAAAATAATGGACTGGCAAAAATGTTCTGAGCCAATCAAACCGCGCCAATTCACGGGAAGTGACGCTTGCCAGAACATAAAAGTCAATAAATCCACCTGTCAAACATAAATAATGAGCATTTTAGAGCAACTCTGTTCAAAACGAAAGTAAGAGCTGCGCGAAAGAAAAACAGAAGTTTAACAAGTTCATCAAGCTTTTAAATCAACTTTTCAAAAGAACGAAATAAATGCAAGGTATGGTTTACTATATATACCTAAACATTTCGATAAATGAATTACCAATCTTCACACTTATATATATGTATATATATCTCAAGAATTTGAACTAAATTTTATTTTCTATTCATATTGATCTAAATAGTGTCATATCAACAAACAGCACAAACATAGCAACATGAAGATTCGTATATAGAGATTTGTTGCTTTAGTACGAATTACCTTCAAAACTATAATCTAGATTTTTAATGTCTATTTGGAACTTTACGAGTCGTTGACGTCGGTAATATAGTTGACGTGTGTAATATAAGGCAAAATTGCACGTAAATAAGAGTTGATGAATACATTTATTTATGCAAAACGGTAAGAAACATGAACTATTTCGTATAGTAAATTATTTACTGTGAACTATAACACGCTTACACGTGCCTATTTCATCAAAAAGCACTCTAAGCAAATCGCATTCAAAAAGGTTGTTGCGATCCACTTCTATATTTTTAAACACCATTGAAGCATGTTTAGCACTCAATAAAGTTGACTACGATAAATTTAACGTAAATTGTTCAAGAAAGCATTCAAAAACTTAAAAAATCAAGTAAAATCTACGTTTATGTTTCTAATGAGATGGAAGGGCCTTCCTCGTACATTAATGATGTGCCAAAATACCCCCCACAACCACCTGGTTATCCCTCGATACCACCTGGTAACCCGTCACAACCACCTAGTTATACCTTACCACTACAACAAGAGCAACCTGGACACCCTTTTGGTTATATGCCTCCCCCTCCGCCACCTATAAATATGTCACAACAAGTACACAATACAACAACCGTCGTTGTACAAGTAAGTTTAAAAGAAGCCGGTTGCACGAAGCATGGATAGCGTTATCCATTAGATAACAAATTTTTTTAAACGTTTAAAAAACTTCTTAAAAAGGAAAAATATAAGGCGTGAAGTGAGCAATCACTGAAATAAAATAATACTTCTAAGATTACAAAATTTCTTTGTGGCAATGAAAATATAAACACCTTTTTTCACAAGCTTATAAAATTTACTATCCAATGCGAGAACGCTATCCAAGCTTCGTGCAACTGGCCCCAGATGGTTAACCGCTGACTAAAATATGAATCTACACATCAAATATTATTCCACACGTGAATTTATGCTAGTGACACGTGAATTTGTGCTAGTGACACGTGAATTTGTGCTAGTGACAGGAAATACTTCCTATGTCAAATACTAAATGGATTTTAATGAAAAGATTTCAGTTTGGCTGCTTTATAGATTGCAACATAATCCACTAATATTTGATTTCATCCACTTACATTCCAGCTTATCCGCCTATATTTAAGATTATCCGCTTATATTTAAGATTATCCGCCTATATTTAAGATTATCCACTTATATTTAAGATTATCCACTAATATTTATGATTATCAACTTATATTTAAGATTATCCACTTATATTTAAGATTATCCACTTATATTTATGATTATCTACTTATATTCGAGTTTATCCACTTACATTCATAATTATCTTTGTACATAGGAGCTTATTTCCTTATATTCAAACTTATCCATTTTTTTATCCAAGCATATCATCTGAGCATACCCGCGAGTAAATAAGTATGTCTTCCATTTTTAAATAAAGCAGTTTCAAATAATGTGCGTTTTGTTTGTGTGTTACTAGAGTCAGCCTCAACAACAAATCCATTTGCTCGCCCCAGTAAATGACAACTTCTTGTTGTCTATTGTTGGATGCTTTTTCTGTTGGCCCATCGGAGTCGCGGCAATTCTCAAATCGATCGAGGTATGTTTGTCTCTAACTAGATACAAATTAGATTAATCGTAGTACAGACAGACATATATGGTTGCCGTAGATGAACGGAAGTTTCACAATCATTAATCTTGATGTAAAAATGTGCTTACAGTTTTAAAAACTTATATGGAATGTCAGTCAAAGAGATACTTATTTAACAACGTAAAACTAAAATGAGCCTTACAATTTCAAAAAGTTACATGTAACGTCAGTCAAAGATATACTTATTTAACAACGTAAAACTAAAATGAGCCTTACAGTTTCAAAAAGTTACATGTAACGTCAGTCAAAGATATACTTATTTAACAACGTAAAACTAAAATGAGCCTTACAGTTTCAAAAAGTTACATGTAACGTCAGTCAAAGATATACTTATTTAACAACGTAAAACTAGAATACGCAAAACTTGATTTCTATATAAAAAATTTGATATTGCATAAGTTTCGCATTCTATATTTAAGTCAAGAAATCGCTACGGCAATGGCGACCACGCGGGGGCAACGAAGTCAGCACAAAATGCAAGACTTATATCCTGGTTAGCAATCGCTTGTGGTGGCATTATATACCTTTAATTATAATTATAGCAGCAGCAAGATAGACTAACAACATCAACAACTGAGCCATATATACATCTGGAGATGTTTGTGTGTACATATAGAATTGGCATGCGAGAATATTAGTGAAATTTAACTGTAAAAAGTTTAATTAATTGCACAGTTCATTTAACTATGATACATCATCTTTTAAATTGTTTTAACTTTACTCCATCATTTTGCTGTTTAAAGCTTTTGAATTTCAATAATTGTATGATTGCATAGTTGATATAATAATGAAATAAATAATTATACATATAAGTAATAATTGCATTGTTGATATGGTTAATGCAACTATAATAAATTCTATAGCTTTAGCAGTTAGCTGTTGTAAGCTTTTGCATTTCAATAAACTTTAGATTGTATATAATATTTTGCTAATGTTTTATCACATACATCATTTATAAAATAGTTTATTTTAATGTTAAGTTCATAATAAAGTCAATCCGTTATGAATGATCAGTTAGGACGCATTCAATGCACACATTTCATTGTCTTTGGAATAATTGTAAAGACTTTATCTCCAAACAGACTTTTTCAAAATACCTTTCAAAGGTTTCCGTATTTCTGCAGTATTTTCATTTGACGTCAGAACAGTTGATTTTACCGAAACTGGATCCACAAGCCCCAGTGCTTCTTCCAAACTTTCAATATCTCTCATCTGTTTTTCTTGAAGTATTAAGCTCTTGGTCATAGCGTACTGAAGGCGTTTCTTAAAATCGTCAACACCAACAACTAAATCGTTGTCGTCAAAAGTCTTGGAAAGGCTATCATCAATAAAATCTTCTGATGCGTTTGATGCAGTTGCTTGTGAAGAACTTTCACGATAACTGTCTCCTCGTTCCAATAAATGACTAAAAAAACGAAAATATTGAAAGACATCCAGTCTATGAACGAAATCCACGAGCTTCGTGATATTTGAATTGCAAGCAAGTCAACATTTAAGAAAGAAATGATTTCGCTCTGTTTGCATAGGCTTATGCAAGTCGAGGAGACTTTTAGGAGCACTCGAGAGCAGATGTGTACAAACTCAAGACAGAAGGTCGAGTGCACCGGCTGGAAAGTTCTCACAAACCGTCTTCGAGGTTTACATAAACTTGTGCAAACACAAAAAACATCTTTGTTTCTGCAAAACAGAAAATTTTGAAATAAATGTTGTATTTTTTCCTCAAACATGTATTCATGATTGATTTGCAATTCTCTTTGATTGATTTAAATTGATTGAGCTCAGATCAATTTGTACAAAGTAATGCAAACTCAGCTAATAGACCAATCAGCGCAAGCGTTTCATTGTTACTTTACAAAAACCTTTCATGTCTTACGATTTTTTACGGTTTCGTAGCTACACACGAATTTTATGATAATGCACTTATCATTTTAAAAAAGAAACAGTCATGAGTTAGAATTCATTGACTAAACATTAATAAGTTGCAATAAAGTAAATGGTTTGAACCCGGGAGTATCGTTACATGTTTGTAAATGTAGATCGTCCAGGTTGGTATAGTCCTGTTGGTATATTGACCCTGAAGATGACTACCGCTAAAGTTGTCGAAACGTCAGTCAACAACAAGAAAAACAGTCCTTCTCAGGACTATATCAACCTGGACGATCTACATTTACAAACATGTAATAAGTTGCAAGTTAAACATAAAACATCTCCTCAAATTTTTGTGCAACAACAGTTCTCGCTAACAACACTCATGGTGTCACCATGTCCTCAGGAAATATCACTGATGAAACCGCCCTAATCGACATATATGCCAAGATGACGTAATCTCACCTCAGTCTTATGCTGTCCTCATCGTTATTAAACCGACTACATATCTCTAACGAAGTATTTGGGCTATCTTCGATACTACTTGAAGTAACGGAAACGATCGCAGGCTCATGTGTCGTAAAGCCGCTTTCGCTGATCTCTTCAGGAGGTGGTCTCTCGTGTGCACAACATATGATATCTAAGACGTAGTATACGGCCATCAACACACAGAAACCGCTGACCAGCAACAATATCTATTTCAAACAAAGGAACTTGATGAATACCACAGGATACTACATTATGGACGTAGATATACGTACAAATTACCGTTAATAGTTTAGAACTGATGACGCTCTCATCATGAGGCGAGGACGTCTTTACACAAGGAGTGGTTACATTGTTTTCAAGGAAATGCCCACTGAATGCCTTCATAGCCAACCTAACAACAAAACATTTGTTATGAAAAATTTTTGAACGACAAAATTTCATACAAGAAGTATAAACATTTCCTTTTCTTACAAAGGAAAATAGAAAACAAACACCGAGGCAGTAAAGGCGCAAACATTCATCTATGGAGCTGGAGTAGACACTTTTTCTCTAATATCTTAGCTAAGGACGCATACTCGGGTGCGTAAGTACAACGTTAACTGGGGGGGGGGGTGTTTATTCATACATTCAGTTGTGCCCAACTGATTTCTTTAGGAAAGAAATTCACGTTCAAGAGAAATCAGTTCCAACTAGGTACAACTAAAAATATGAATAAACAAACACCCTCCACCACCCTAAGTAACACCCTCCACCACCCTAAGTAACACCCTCCACCACCCTAAGTAACACCCTCCACCACCCCTAAGTAACCACCCCACCCTTCACCACCCTAAGTAACACCCCACCACCCTAAGTAACACCCTCCACCACCCTAAGTAACACCCTCCACCACCCTAAGTAACACCCTCCACCACCCTAAGTAACACCCCACCACCCTAAGTAACACCCCTGTACATGTTCTACGATTAAGACACTCCCCGAAATAAATAAACATTTTTATGAAATCAGTCAGGGGGGTAAAAGTGCAGCTTACATTTGTCTTTTTTTGATATCGTCGGACGTTAATGATGAGCCGTATAACGTCATTCGCCAGTTTCTGACGAAGCCCCGAGAATGACTATCAAGACCTATCAAAATTAGAAAAATGCATAATAATGTCAACAACACGACTACATGTCACATGTTTACAGGAGTATCAGCTTACGTACCTGAATTAACAATCAATATTTGCCATAATCCGTAAGGTTTTTCACCCCAACATCTAACAGTCGAAAATGTCCAATCAACGAATCCTTCTGAAGATCTATAATCATGTTACGTCCACTTTTAAGTAAAATTTTTCAACTGTGGAAGGTTATATTACACTAAAATAAATCACCTGTCTTGTTGTCGTTCCGTGGCTAGTTCAGACTCCGTTCCAGCTGGTGATATCAATGATATTAATATGCTACCACGGTATTTATGATCGATATTTACCTATAAATTAAAGAAAACATATTAATGATACAAATCCATGAACGACTATAAAGGCATAAGACCTAGGAACGTCTAAACACTGAAAGAAAAAACAGACGAATGATGCAAATGCATGAACGACTATAAAAAGACCGAAAAACCTTGGAACTCTTAAGACATTCGCTCGAAAGACATACATGTTATTGGAGATGTGCTCAAGCAATCGCTCATGCAGCTAACGAGTTGCGAAAAGGCGTAAAAAAAAGGCTGATGTAATGATGGTCCATCTAAGAGATGTGGTATGGACTATGGCCGGACATAATATGCTTGCCATCTTGAAAACAAATAGCATTCAACGTTCACAGACAAAAGTCTTCAACTTACAGTCAATGTCACATGTTCCAAAGTCGACAGTTCAACGAGGTCTTTCTTTTGCACTGAAACATAAGACAACGTATGTTTGCTGTGTGGTTCACTAACATTAGAAAGGAAACCAGCTTAACTTTTATCCAACATTGATCTATTGCATACGTATAATACTACTGGTATGAATTGATTGACAACATAAGATATGGCTACATGTTTGTAGATGTAGATCGTCCAGGTTAGTATAGTCTTGAGAAGGACTGTTTTTGTTGTTGTTGACTGACGTTTCGACAACCTTAGCGGTAGTCATCTTAAGAGTCAAATGACTCTCAACAACAACAAAAACAGTCCTTCTCAGGACTATACCAACCTGGACGATCTACATTTACAAGCATGTAACGATACTCCCGGGTTCAAACCATTTACTTTATAAGATATGGCTGCTATATGGTTCACTAACATTAGAAATGCGCTTGACTTTTATCCAGCATCGATCCATTGCATACCTACCTATGTACTCCTGAACCACTTGATTGGTTGTGCTTGGTATGTATTGGTTAACATGAACAATGGGCGTCGACCATGATGTCATCCAGGGGACTGAGTTCCAAACCTTATATGGTAAAACACACTGCTACAGTGTTTGTATACAAAAACAACATTGCCGAATCAAAAATACAAAGATAAAACTCAAGGAATCACGTCGTGGTTCGAATGAAATTGTTTTGAAGACTGAGTGCTAACCGTCATGCATAGCGCGCATTTGTTTTTTAATATGGTAGTCCTAGTGCTGTATTTCATGCTGAATTGGATAATTTCACAATTCTTTGTTTACAAAAATATTATAACAACTGTTGAATCACGTATATAAACTATTGTTTACTTTACAAATGAATAATTCTGCAAAGATTGCTACGATTACGAAGGATTCAATCACTAATACTCTTGCCAGTTAATTTCGTGCTTCAAAAAATGGACGATTACGCGCGCAATGCATGACGGTTTCCACTCACTCTTTAAAGTTAAGCAACGTGATACAGATACACGTCATTTAGAAACGTCATTAAAGAAACACGTCATTAAAGAAACACGTCATTTCAGCACATTAGACCTTAGCAAGATTGACCAAACGCCAGGAGTCCATTACACCAAAACCATATTTATAACTGTGATGAAACTGTGCATCATTCGTCGTGTAATCAAGAGGATCAACATCATGCTAGAATATAAAGAAAGAAATTCAACTAGTGATGCAAGATCGACACGTCAGCATGCGACACTCAAGTGATCTTCCTGTCCCAGGGCATCTGAAGGCATGGACCGAAAACGGGATTTTTTGTTTTCAAAATTTTTCTTTTGTCAACACGTGTACTTCACATAAAATAAACAAGAGCATTCAAGGATGCTGCAAACTTTCAAAAAACTTCCACCTTTTTAACTTTAAGCCAACCTTATACATACATGTTTATAGATATGTCTTAAAATAGAACTCCCTCATTTTCTGTTTCATGTATTATAAACGAAAGCATCCATCTGAACGAAAGCTTCAAGGCAGACAAGGACTCTCCTTGTCTCATTTAATGTTGTAATAAATAGTTGAGTCCATGACTTTAGAGTTTTTATAAGGATAACAACTATGTAATAAGCCAAACCAATAGTCCCCCACAAAGACAATGATTTCTGAAATTTTTATGATCGCAGCAAAATGTCTAAAAATGTTTAAACACGACAAGTAAAACTGCCTAAATTACCTTCCATGCAAACTATAACCAACTACATTAAAGTTAGGACAAACATGAGTTGCTGAATTGCATTCACCAACTCCCAAAAAAAGTAAAAAGTTTACAATACATAATGAATGACTCCTTTAATGAATACCTTAACTGCTGAGTAGACAATCAAATGTTGAATATCTCGCCAAGACAAGCACCATCTAAACGAAAACAAAGAAAACTGTTTGTGCGAGATACATGAAGTACATGCCGACAAGCATTTCCTTCTCCATCAGGGAATTTATTTCAAAATTTTGAGATTCAAATATTTTTGAACACGTGCTAGTTGAATGGCCCCCGATTAGATCGCAAAACACTGAAGAACGATGAAATACGTTTCACAATTTAAAATAAATATGAATAATAAATAATCCACTCCTCATGGTTGTTATATATGTATGACTCAGATAACTTTTTATAATACTGAGTACTTTAGTCTTTACTTATAATACAATATAAACTACAGTTGTACACATAAATCCACATACACACCTAACTTGTAGAGCTAAAGCCAACATTCCAGCGGCCAATGGTGCAGCGGCCGAGGTTCCCGTATGTCTGTTTGTACATCCACTTCCAGAACCCATTCTCCAATCAGTGGTCACCTGGGGGTAGCAGTAGGAGACTGAGTACGAGATAAGGAAAAATTTACACCTTGCGTGAAGGATAATGGTGGTGCATTGTGTACAGGATGAGCTTAACTCAATGGCTACCAAGAAGATGGTAACCATGGTTAGCTGAGTACAAGATGAGCTTAATTGACTGGCTACCAAGAAGATGGTGACTGTAGTTAGCTGAGTACAAGATGAGCTTAACTCAATGGCTACAAAGAAGATGGTGACTGTAGTTAGCTGAGTACAAGATGAGCTTAATTGATTGGCTACCAAGAAGATGGTGACTGTAGTTAGCTGAGTACAAGATGAGCTTAACTCAATGGCTACCAAGAAGATGGTGACTGTAGTTAGCTGAGTACAAGATGAGCTTAACTCAATGGCTACCAAGAAGATGGTGACTGTAGTTAGCTGAGTACAAGATGAGCTTAACTCAATGGCTACCAAGAAGATGGTGACTGTAGTTAGCTGAGTACAAGATGAGCTTAACTCAATGGCTACCAAGAAGATGGTGACTGTAGTTAGCTGAGAACAAGATGAGCTTAACTCAATGGCTAATGAACTTCATAGATGAACACAGTCGTAAGCTGTGTACGAAATGAACTACGCAAATACATAAAAATAAAAAAATTTAAATCATACAATGTTTCTCAAGGGTGTTTTTCCACTACTGTAAGTAACAGCCAACATTGAAGCACAATTCTCTGCATAATAAGGCATTTTACCACTTTCATCTACAGCACCTAAAAAGTTGTAATGACAGAATTTTATTAGATAATAAAATGATGCAAGTAATAAAACAGTGTGGGAGACAGCTATAATCATCTAATAAATGAAAACGATTCAACGTAAGGTAAGAAAATATTGTTTTACAACAATCCAAGGTTTCATACAGCTATTTATCATCTTTCTTACGTCATAACATGTGATACAACAAATTTGTATCCTTTCTTACGTCATAACATGTGATACAACAAATTTGTAACCTTTCTTACGTCATAACATGTGATACAACAAATTTGTAACCTTTCTTACGACATAACACATGGTACAGCTATTTATCATCTTTCTTACGTCATAACATGTGATACAACTAATTTGTAACCTTTCTTACGTCATAACATGTGATACAACTAATTTGTAACCTTTCTTACGTCATAACATGTGATACAATAAATTTGTAACCTTTCTTACGTCATAACACATGGTACAGCTATTTATCACCTTTCTTACGTCAGCATGTGTAATGTATGTTTTTAAATCTACTATCACGTGATGACAAGAATTTAAAACAAGATAATGGATGAGGAGGGGGTCACAAAATAATGAAAGGAGGAGTCAATACAAGTCCATGACCACAAAAATACTTGATTGTATTAACGAAGAACGTTCGTGAACATTTAGTGTCTACTTACCTATAGTCACAGTAAAGATAGAATTAGCATATCCATCAAAGTTACAGTTATCCTTATAAATCCCTCCATTCCCTGATGCAACAACATAAATGCTTCCCAGTCCACCTCGACCTTCTCTCACACCATGAGCAATGGCAGCCTTAAAAACAAGTGCATAAACCTAGTTTTAATTATGTACAATGCAATAAATTCTTTAGTCAACATTATTCTAGATTTGTATATGTAGTACCTACAGTTTTTTAGTAGCTGTTACCTGTGCCAGACGATGTGGACCGTCTACGGTTTTCCCATTATCATCTGGACCCCAGCTACAGCTGTAGATGTCATTAACTTGGTTTTTCATGTTGAATGCCATTGCTTCAAGGCTATCTGTCATAGGACCATCCAAAATGCGAACACCTACAATGAATTCATGATCACAGGTATATAAGAATGAAATGATTGACTTTACTAAAAGAGGAATAATCTATCACGTGTTCATCAGTTGAATGATCAAATTTTATTGATTACGTCACAGTTTATAACACACCAATTTAGAGGGCAAATGACCAACAGTGAGATGGTTGTTACTAAGAGTAAGAGAAAGGCTTAAAATTGGTGAAATTCAATGGTATCAGATGTTTCATAGACATGTTTCGTTAATCTTACCTGAAACTTTAGCTCCATAAGCAACACCAACAGCACAATATGTGTTTGCTACTGCTGCAATTTCACCAGCACATCTCGTACCATGATGGTTCAAACCAACATCATCCGCACGAGGTGTTGGATCAGGATCATTAGAATTTAGATCCCAACTTCCTTCTGATGACTGCAAATAATCATGTTAATTAATATTATTACAGTAAAAATTATGTTAATTAATATTATTACAGTAAAAATTATGTTAATTAACATTATTACAGTAAAAATTATGTTAATTAATATTATTACAGTAAAAATTATGTTAATTAATATTATTACTGTAAACATTACTATATCCAAATTAATGTTGAAGTGTATAATAATTATGATTTTGAACTATTAGGAATAATTCTACATACTAAACAATAAAGTTATAATATAAACATGGACATTATTTCACATAAGAACATTGTACAGCCAAAGATAAAAACGTATATATTTAACTTACGTAATTTTCAAATATATCAGGATTTGACCATTCTACACCTAAAGAGAGAGGAAGATGCTTTTGAAATTCACATAAGTTCAACAAGATCAATTGATTTAGAACAGTTATACAGTGGAAGATGAAGCTTATGCTGTACCTAAAGCTACCCCACCTTCAACAGAAATCCCTCACCAAAAGTAAAAAAATCATGTTTTTTCGTTTTAGAAAGAGAAAGGTCATGCTCAATAAAAAATGTTAAAAAAATGCTGTGTCAACAATGTATGTTGATGGGTTGCAATGTTTCTTTTACAGTATATTTTATGAAAGTGAACTTTGATCCTACTCAAAGTTCATAATAAAACAAGATAGCACTTGAAATTTTCTAAGTAAAATTAAGCTGTATGCAATAAGCTCTTGCAAGATAAAGGTGGCGATTCTACTGTGCATAGAAAAAATTACTGCATTTGTACCTACTGCCTCAAAACCATGGGGCCCCAACCCAAAATCCTACCCCTCAATCCCCATATGCTCTCTGCATCCATTAAAGTACTAGTGTATGGTTGCTGTCACTTGATAAAGTCAGCTTTCATAAGAGCAAGCGCTCAAAAAGCTTACCAAATACTAATAATATATTTAAATTATTTGCCTCCAAATAATGGGCCAACTCACATGAAATGGCAGGCAAAATTCTAAAGTTTTGCTTCATTATATTTTGTAAAAACCATGTCATCACATCATGTCACTTTTATCTATTTCAAGTTCCCTTTTTGACTCATTCCTTACTTTGGTACATTAGCCAAAACCATATCATCGAGGCAAACATATTTTCAACGATAAAACATACCATCATCGACAATGGCAACTACAATTCCTGTTCCAATAATATCATGTTCCCAGATAGTCGTGACATTTATATCATGGCCAATAAATTGTAGGTTGTTCTAAAAAGAAAAAGAAAAGTGTAAGCATTGTTCGTGAAAAAAACTAGTCAATGAAAAAATGCGCAACTTTTGAACTCACTAAATGCCATTGGTTCGGGAAGTATTGATCTTTAAATCTTAAGCTTCTCTTATATCGTTTTACAATTCTTTCCCTCTTTGACCATTTTATTTCAGGATGTTTATACAACTGCTGGGTTATCTTGTCCAAAGCTGCAGCATCAGTTTCAAATCCATTGTAAAAACTTTCATGTACAAGAAGAAAATGGCCGCGTAAACCACCAATTTGACCATGATAAGCCAAGCCGGTTTCTTTTGCAATAGTTTTCGCAATTTTAGCTAAACACGCATCGTCATTTCCTTCTTGTGAAGGAATACGAATAGCCCAAGATGATGCTAACTTATCTATCCGAAAACTCGAGCCATTTTCCTTTCCGTTTGATGAGAAAGTGCTCGCAAAAATAAAAAACACAGCAAGCAAATGAACGCTAGCAAAAAATTAAGGCATTTCAAATCGATCATAACATTAGGTTCTACACAGCAAAAGCGTCATTAATTTCTTCAGAAATGAAGATGGATAAGAGATGTTAACATTCTCTGATTTAAAACAACACAACTTTAGCACAAGTAGAATACAAAGACAAATTTTAACGAGCAAATGAATGTTCGGCCACCGTCCATGTTGCAGCTAACAAAGAACTGGTGCCTGGTGGTAAATTAACACGTTTTTTTCAAAACACGCGCCAACAATAGCGCAAAACACAAACCTAGAGAACGGAGCTCGAGAAAAAAAAACGAAACTCGTTGAAGATTTTTAATCGGTAAAAAACGATGGATTATTACGTGAAATAACACAGAAGTTTCAAAATAGCCCGGGCTGTTTAGATATTGAAAGGAAAGCAATACTACCATTGATAATACAGTCTGGTCTATAGTATATAATCAACTTTTATAGTTATATGTGAAAATTCTCTACCCAATCTATTATAATGCCATTGATTTTCTGACAGGAATGGAGAAATATTGTGACTGTAGGATTTTCTCTGTTGAAAACCACTTCAGGTGGGGGAACTTTATTACAAAGCATGATATATATATTTAAAAGTTTATTTACAGGCATTGATCGCAGCATGGATAAAAAAGCACAAAAGACAAAAATTGTCATTGCACATGTTTACGTTTTGCGCCTGGAGGCATCAGTTTTATTTTCATTTTACAAAAGCACTTCTTGCGATCACTCCGAGCTGATGATATGACACGAAAACAGACAGACTATGACAGAGAGGTTTGTATGACAGTCATCCATTTCAAGATTCGAACAACGACGTAGGCTGCATGCATGACTAATATGTAACAACAAACAAGGTCCGTAGCCATATTTCATTAACCATTTGGATTCGTAAATAGCCAGTCAGGAAAGTACGTGAAATTTTCACTCTCATCACAAACACAGTGTCTTTGTAAGTCCATTTATGTGGAACATAATTGGCCATCGGATTCTTTAACCATGCTTTGTCATTTTATCCTTCACTTCACAACATCTGTGCTTTACTCATTTGTGAGCGAAGTATGAATAATTAGGCTGTCTCGTCTAAGATCTCCCAAACACGTATAATACAAGCAATTGGTATGTTTATAGTGCTAGTTCTTCTGCTTTTTCTGTAATGGTAATGAACTTCCTATCAGATATCGTCACATCCGCCTAAATAAAGTATAAAATACGTCGATGATTCATATATGACAGTCGTAGATGAAAAATGATCCCATATGTTCCTGTTAATCCTTAGCTATACCTCTCGATGATCTTCTCCCCCTTCGTGGTCTGTTACCACCCGTGCGCATGGGACCACCTGCTGGTGATATACCTAAAGGACCGTATGCTTTATCTAAATCGTTTGGAGCGAGTCGTTTTTCTGGTAATTCTTCTTCGACCTTCTCTTCTTCGCGTCTTTTTAGACATGCAGCTTTAGGGTTGAGGTTTCGTTCTGCGAATGAAAAAAGTAAGAAAAAACTAGTGAGCTCTTCACAAATCATGTCTTCTATGGCAAAGTTTAACATTTTAAAAACTTCCTATAGATCTAAACTTGTGAATAAGAAAGATAACTATCAGGTTAGCTTTTTGGTTTGAACCCTTTACAAACATGTAAAGATAACTATGATATTCTACATACCTCTGACTTGAGCTTCTAGACTGGTGATGACCGAAACAGCTTGATGTAGTACAACGAGCTGCAAAGAGAATCAGTTCATAGTTTAAAGAAATCAAGAAAGTTGGCGAGAATATCAACAAAACAATTCATTCGCATACCTTCGTCTGGGGTTTATCACTTTGCAAATGCATTTGACACATTCTTCCTAGTTCTTTGAATGCCTCATTGATGTCACGGACTCGTAATCTAGGTTTAGAATATGACTGGTTTTCACTGGGACTTAACAAAACTCTCAATATTTCATTGTACTCCAGAGTTTTATGCCAGACAGCATAGAGTGTGTGGTGCTTAAAGTTACAATGGAGAGGAGTCGGAATTTTTCAAAAACATATAGTTATCAAGGAAAGACGGTCAGAGTATCATATTTTGTAATTGCGACGAATGTTCATAAAACTTTTAAAGCAAATAATGTCACTGAAACATATTTGTTTTCCATATCACTCCCGCAATGATAGAAAGCCCCCATTCTTCTCCATAATGGAAGTTAACAACCTGGAATCTTTCCATCGATTTACTTAGAGGGAGTTATGGGAGCCCGGGGAGTTATGGGACTCTGGGTGTTCAAATATCCACAATATTTGGTTTGTAAAAACAACAACAAATTTAGGTTCTTGCTTGAACGTTTACGATAATCAATGCCAGATTTTTACACGTGTACAAATTGTTCAAATCAATCATACGACCTTTCATTCTGACATTATGCAGTTAAAATAAGAAAGCCCAATTAAAACAGCAAAAATAAGTAGTTTCATAACAAAACTATTGTTGTGTGTGACTACATCATGAGCGAGAAACACCCCACAACTATTAAAAATTCCAAAGCTTACTCTCGTAAACACACCAAGGTAAAAATACATTCAATCATACTAACCTTTCTCTGGCGTTGTTCGCATATCGTCTTTCAGTTTCCCGCCCTGGTTTTCCTCCAGGATTTCCAACTTCCTCCGAGTTAATCCCATCTTCGTCCCCACTCCCTTCGCTACCGTTTTCTAGAGCACGGTCTGCTGACGTCACTGTATTGCCCGGAGACACAACTGCCTTTTTCGTACTTTTCGAACCTAAACATTTAAATATTATTTCAATGGTGAATGTGATTTTTGACTTCACGTTTAACTAACGCCATTTTTAGAAATCTAAAATGACCAGGACAAACAGACAACGTTGGAAAATACGAAATAAGACGAATTCCCAATATAGACATTTCTTCATATTCAAGATCAGAAACATGAGTTTTGAGACAAACCCAAATTGTCTGACGATGCTTTTGAAATAAGAACATATCACTTCGTCTGTCAGTGTAGCCATAAATGCAAGTTTTTTTTACTAGATTTGGTCTGATGAGTTTAGACTTCCACCTGATTTATATAGTTGCAAAGTTAAGAACGGGCAGGGGGAGGGTTTAGGCTTATCCGACAAAATTTGCGTGCATGGTAAAACTATACTTTGCCCCGAAACTCACGTCCTTTATTTTAGATATTTATAGAAAACGAGATGTCTACATCTGAATATTCGATATTTGTTTTATTGAGTAAAAATCCACTAGAAGCCAGTTCAAGTTAACATCTACACTGCTCACTATCTACGTATCAATACTTCATATAAGAAAAATAATACAGAAAAATTATTCACAGTACAGGATATATATATGTACTGTATATTAAATCAGATTACTGGCTGCGGTTTGCCACATCACCGCTCCTATTGGTCAGAAAATGCAATTAACTGGCTGCCACTATGCGAACCACACGCTTAAGAAGATAAGCGCTACACAAAAAAAATTCAAAAGAATGAGACTACTGTTTGTTTCTATACTGTGATCAAGTTAGGCTTTTGTCATTGTAAATAGTCTCCACGATGGTTTATAATTTATAGGTGAGAGAAAATGTCGACATTATTTCGCCATTAATTTACTATATTTCCTTGAGATTGTTGTGTACCTGATTCGGATACTCTTGAATTTCTACTTGACGAAAAGGCTGCATTACCTCGGCGATCCTCTGCATTATTTGACTAAAAATAATAAATGAAATATAGTAAAGTTGAATTAAAGAAGATCATCAGTTGATGTCTTACGGCAGAATCAGCGCTTGTTGACGTATTGACAGATAAGGAGCTTGGTACCGAGCCAGCTGGGTAGCCTGGCATTCCAACTGGTGCACCCATCGATCCATGAAACTCTCGAGGAAACTGACCTTCGGCATGGTTGCGCAGCACATAGATCGCGTCATCAAGCCGTTCTTCCATACGGCTCTGCTGAATAAGACGACAAAATGATAACATGATCAAAGGAAGTCAGATGAGACATTTATCTGATTAAAAAATTTTGTTCAATTTTTAAAGATCAATGTTACCACTAAAACTATTATACTCGTGTATGCTATAAACAGTAAAAGTCCCAATGATTTCACTAAACTACATACCAGCGAGTGCAAGTGGCTTTCGTATGGACCGGGGGGTGAGGGCATCGCCTGGAAATTGGGACGGGGCCATGACCCTGGTGCTGAGCTAGAGGATCCAGCAGACAAGGGACGGTCATTGATACTCGTCAAAGGAGGAGGAGAAGCGATTGGAGTTGGAGGGTTGGAGGAGTAGTTTGTTGTAGAATCTGAGTAAATCTGAAAATGTAGAGAAAGTTGCACTTAACAGCGTGATTGTTAAATGTAAATCTCCACAAAATGTAGAGAAAGTTGCACTTAACAGCGTGATTATTAAATGTAAATCTCTCACTTAACAGCGTGATTATTAAATGTAAATCTGTAGAAAGTTTCACTTAACAGCGTGATTATTAAATGTAAATCTCCACAAAATGTAGAGAAAGTTGCACTTAACAGCGTGATTATTAAATGTAAATCTCCACAAAATGTAGAGAAAGTTTCACTTAACAGCGTGATTATTAAATGTAAATCTCCACAAAATGTAAAGTTGCACTTAACAGCGTGATTATTAAATGTAAATCTCCACAAAATGTGAAAGTTTCACTTAACAGCGTGATTATTAAATGTAAATCTCCACAAAATGTAGAAAGTTGCACTTAACAGCGTGATTATTAAATGTAAATCTCCACAAAATGTAGAAAGTTTCACTTAACAGCGTGATTATTAAATGTAAATCTCCACAAAATGTAAAGAAAGTTTCACTTAACAGCGTGATTATTAAATGTAAATCTCCACAAAATGTAGAAAGTTTCACTTAACAGCGTGATTATTAAATGTAAATCTCCACAAAATGTAAAGAAAGTTTCACTTAACAGCGTGATTATTAAATGTAAATCTCCACAAAATGTAAAGAAAGTTTCACTTAACAGCGTGATTATTAAATGTAAATCTCCACAAAAGAGAAAGTTTCACTTAACAGCGTGATTATTAAATGTAAATCTCCACAAAATGTAAAGAAAGTTTCACTTAACAGCGTGATTATTAAATGTAAATCTCCACAAAATGTAAAGAAAGTTGCACTTAACAGCGTGATTATTAAATGTAAATCTCCACAAAATGTAAAGAAAGTTTCACTTAACAGCGTGATTATTAAATGTAAATCTCCACAAAATGTAAAGAAAGTTGCACTTAACAACGTGATTATTAAATGTAAATCTCCACAAAATGTAAAGAAAGTTGCACTTAACCGCGTGATTATTAAATGCAAATCTCAAAAAAAAACAAACTTACAGATGCCAAAGCCTTTCCAATCGCTTGCGAGCCAGATGCACTTCGACTTGCTTGAGCTACAAAACATTACAAATAATAACCTTGCTAGAAATTATGTTGGAGGGGGGGGGAAGAGAATGCTGGGGGGATGAATGGATCTGGGGGGGATGAATGGTTCTGGAAGTGGGGACCACATAATGGAGTCCTATTATTAAATCTAGTTAACATCATTGACGAAAGAGGAGAATGTTAAAAACAACTAGAGGCATGACCTTCATGCCTTGTAGTCAACCTACCCAAAACTGATGGATCGCTACTTGTTATGGCCGAGGAGACTGGTGACGTGTGATGAAACCGCTGGTTCTGAAGAGCGTCTTGATGAAAAGATGACATAGGTGGCAACGCTGTCATTCTTTCGTAAGCTTCCCGATTCATGTATGTCTACACAAAAAAAGCAATCTGTTGCCTCTCTGGTCATCTAACATTCAAATGACAGCCACTCTTTAACGGAGCGTGGGTTTAAAATGTTGAAAAGGAAAAGGCATGCCACTAGCTTGAAATGCATTTCCATTTTCCAAAACATATCAATTAAACAACACACTCGCTTCAGTCATACATACAATTGGTTCATGATGAGGTCCGTGATGGCTGTATAGACCGTACGGGGGTGCTAGCACGCCAGTCGGGTTATAACTTGTAGATGCTGCACCCAGGCTGCCGTGATGCGGCCAAGTATCAGTTGAAGCATGATCAGCTAAAGAAGGAAAATTTAAAAGATACGTCATTGTAAATGAAGCAAGCTGCAGCAAGCATGGACGATGGAAATACATACATTAACTATCAAGTTGACCATAATACCTATTGAGCGTTACCAATGTCAACAAAACTTTATTGACAAACAAACCTAGAGGTGTATATGTTGTGCCAATACACGAAGGTCATTAGTGGTGTAAATCTTATCATTAAAGTACATAGTTTTTGTCTGTTGTTATTTTGGATGAAGGAAGACGTGCTTAAGTTTGCTAATTTTTCCACACTAGTGTCACGAGTGTGTTACTAAGGTAGTAAAGAGCTACAAATAATGTTTGGATTAATTTCAATAAAAAATGTGGGATGAACGCGACATGGGAAGTGGTATAAGGGTTGAGCCCACATTCCTTAAAAATATTTCCCACGTCGAAATCAATGGTGATGATTACACGTTTGTTATGGCATGAGAATATGAAAGGCAAAAGTTATTTCAATGAAAGTGGCAAATATGTAAACACATCGCCGAGATGTGAAAACGTCTATCGGATTGTAAATAATTTGAATTTCACATAAACAACATGAAAAAATATGTCGGAAAATATGGAGCTATATCTTCAAATATGTTGACTCATATATGTACAAAAAAATTTAATACTTGAGACACAAATACATCAAGCGATGGTTGAAGACGCCCATTTAATGCAAACTACAAAAAAACATTCATTTCGAGTGCGCATTTCATCAGTGGCGTTTGATTTCAAGTGGTTTCATTTTTCGGAATGACATTTAAGTAGACATTAACTGAAATTGTTTTGAACATACGAAAGCAATTTCATTGACATATTTGGTAATTTGGAGTAATGTCTTGTCTTCCTTGACTGATCTGAGTCATTTAATATCTTGTTGTGTGGTATGCAACATCTGAGCTATTTATAATAATCAAAATCTTGCCATCTACGTAAACACATCTCAAGGTATTTGAAGAACTTAAATGGATTATCAACGGTAAAATATTCTGTTTGGTAAACACTGCTAATGTGTTGCTAAACACTACAATCGTCAATGAAAACTACGGACTTGGAGATTGAGTCGCCGTAATATTTGTTCAGCAGCTGGGAACACGAAAAAAAAACAAAAAAAGACGTCATACGGGTCATACGGAGTATGCGCAACAAGTTTTCGCGTATTGGGTTGAATTTTTTCTTTTTTGATTTTCTGAAACATGGGCTCAAATCCAACATACAGATTTCAAAGTCACAAGTATTTGGTTATTTCCGATATAAATAAACCCGGCTAAGCTGAACATATTTAATATCATTGTTGCTATGCAACACAGCAATAGCAACCAATGTCCGAAGTCGGCAAATGATAGATAGGTTAATGAAAAAAAGCCAACGAAAATTACGAAGGAAAACACATCGTCATATTGTGAAATGAGCATCAAAACTCGAATGAACAGGAAAAGTAATCTCACACATTAATGATTACAGTAATCCGTGTATAGGATTTATCACTAGGATGATAGAACGATAATCTTTAGAGAGGATTTATCGTGAACTAAATAGGAATTTATCTTAATATTTGTTTTGTTTCCAATGCACTTAAAATTACTCTGTAATTCTGAAGTATGCGCTATAGAAGGAAGCGCGGTGTATATCAAATATAAAAATATACAAATAATGTGGACCTTTTAGAATAGTATTGATAGTCGTGCACAAACTGACTTTAAAATGCTGACAGGAGCTAGGAATTGATTTCATTAAATATCGTGGTGAATCTTACCTCCATAGTAGATATCCGAATATAGAGGGTGTTTACTCGGATATTGAGAAGTTTCTCCGGGACCTTGAGCCATCATATCGTCTGCCCCAGGTGAATAAACCTTTGAAAAGAAAATTATACATTACGCGTACCGAATTAATGTTACAAGAGCGGTATACCTCTATAGAATCAACAGAATTACGGAAATAAAAATTCTAAAGTTTCACTTTATTGCCTAAAGAAAGAAAAACCGCGGCGATGAATGAAAGATTACATTTAAGTCTTTGAATAGATGAGTTATGCTACGATAAGAGCATTAGCCTTATGATTACAGTTACTTTATTAGCGACCTTTCAACAAGTAGCGGAAGACAAAATAGCTACACACATATTCAAAAAAATGCCTTAAAATGTGCATTGTTGCTTCGTAAACAGAAAGTTAAACGTGTCAAAATTGTACACAAACAGAACGATCACGAAATATGAGAATAAATTAGAAAAAATTACAGCGCCATTAGCTACTTGTATTTACAAAATTTTTCTATTTCTTTGCATTGCTCTGAACATACAAAAAGTGAACGACTTTTCAAATATTTTAAGATAAAAAAACAGTATATAAGTATATGTATAAGCATAACGTGTAAGGACAAACTACCATAGCAAAAACAATCAACCAACTTATAGTACAATGCCATGCAAATAACACGGAGGAAATGCTAATTTTAAACCGTCTTGACGGCACTGGATTTTTACATGGAGAAAGATTACAGCTCTCAAGATGACTAAATCGAGATATTCTCAAGACGGTCTGCGCAAACGTGTTTTGACATGCAGGCGAGGCCATGTATGTACTATGTCTGTCCGCAAGGGTCTGCAAATTTTCTTTCTTAACGTGCTCAAAAGTACAGCTGTAATTTTCAATCTCTCAGCTCTGAACAGATGTCTATGTTTATGGAGTAATCAAAGCGGGGTGCAGTGCGCAATACTTCAATGCTCATAAAGCCATCTGGTTCCCTGATTTTGAGCCACACTCGATTCACAAAACACAGATGTATGCGTCTACAGCTGGTAGACAAGCATCTTTCGGTTTCGTATTAATACGATGTCGACATTGAAGGCAACCTTCATTTGGTCGCGTTTAACAAGCTGTGATTTTTCTATAATCAACTCTGGTAGTAAGGATAACATGAGATTTTTACGTCTATTAATGGCGAAATACTATGTTTTGATGGTAAGCGCCTCGTCCATTGGCGTCACTAAGTCAACTCCTTTTTAACAATCTAATGAGGATAAGATGAGACTATCAAAGCCATTAAATAGTCTGTTCAAAGATTCGACGAGAAGAAGGTTTCAATTCGCATCTTGTGGTTGATATCTGCATGGCTAACATACAAAGTATAACGATAATGGAAAATATGGGAAGCTTCGAAGAGTATTGAAGTTATAAGATGGGTTAATATTTGATGATGTCTTCCACATCTGATCCAGTGAGCCTTGTTGCGTCGTTAAAATTGCTATACACAAGAACTATTTGAAACGAAAAGACTTTGACTTTAACGTACGTTTGTTAAGTGAGAGGAAAAGGTAAGAGTAGTTTATCAAAAGAGTGCATTAAGGGCAGTGAATTACCTAAGGTATAATCCAATACTGAAAAATGAGTGGAAATGTTTAAAGTTGATTTGCAAAAGTGAATGTACGATTGCTCCATCAGTTTTGTTGTAATACGCAACATACAAGATCTTTAGGCGACACAGCAACGATATTGTCCCTATAAGTTTGTGTTACATAATTCATTCTATCATAATATATTTAATATCATGTCACAACATTTCTGCAGGTGCTAGCTTAGACGATATCATTTGCTGCGCATTGTCTACCAATATAGCTATAAATACTAAAGAGAACGAAGCAGACCATACTAAGGATAAACGGCTGTCTATTGCAACGTGTACATCCGAAGATGAACAACATATACAGACGTGTGAAAAAATAAAACAGTCAAAACAATCTTAGTCATGATTGAGCTTGTTAGCGCGATGTTTGGTAAATAATGGCGAACTCCTTAGATGTAAATTTCTCCAGCATCGCTCATTTACACTTAAATACAAGCATGATGTCTTAAAGGAAGTGCCAACATCGTGTCTGTTGGATAAATCCATCTGTTTCGTGTTGTAACAACGCGCAAATGGCTGTCAAGTGTTCTTATAAAATCAAACACATCTGACATCTTTATATTGCGCTGGAACCTTTATTGTGTTAAAAGATGAGGCAGTTAAGCCTTTTGAATGTTTACCAAAACTCTTCAATGTAACAAGCTTTATAAGCCGGTAATATTATTGTGCGCATTTTATTCAAATGAACACGTGTGCCTTCATGATTCATGTCCGCTCTTTCGAAGTTTAGGAGTGACTATGCGTAGTCACTGTTGAACAAAATCAAATTGGTGAAAAAATTCAGTTTATCATCTTTACACAAATACGCATACCATCACGTTCATTTAAAGCTTATATTCACTCTGTTCATTTGGATTGGAAATAGTTCGTGTTTACATTGGATACTTATGATAGAATAATACAATAATTCAGAACTGCACGTTTTTATGATAACCACGGAGAGTGTTTGAATTATATTGATGTATGGCAAAGATGATAAGCCAATGTGCACGAAACAATGTCGATCGAAAATTTTGATTGTTTAACTTGCACAGCACCGCCGTAGGAAGAAACAATGGTTATCATAGTATACAAATACGACTCATAAACAAATTACTTACAAATGCTCAATGGCGCTTCCAAACAGCCAGCCTGAAACAGCAGGAGTATAATGATAAAACGATCAGGATTTCTATACACGTCTCGCAACCTTCCAGTAAGTAGTGGATGTTGCCAATGAAAACTGACGCCGCGTAGTTATCAACGCGTTTATCAGCTTTCCGTCAACGCTGCGCAATGACAGGCGCACCGCGAGTGGTGTCCACAATTAATGCAATAAACGCTTACGTCTACAGGCCTGAAGCCAAAACTTTGCAACCAAGTATGAAGTTCGCATATCTACATGGAGTGGTTGCTATACGCTCCATTTGCACGAAAAGCATTTTCTAAAACGTAATTTTCACAAGGTGTATGAAAGCTTGATGTAAGAACTTACACATCAGTTAGGCTCAGTATAAACGAAATCATCGCTTTCGTATCCTGCAATGCCAGAAATTGGGTCTCTCACATCGACATCGAAGTTCTCGCGTCTTGGGATATTTTCGTTATGCAAGAGGCGAGGACCCACAGCGCAGTTTGCATTTTTTATTTTGCATATTTTGTCAAGTCTAATATAAATGTTTATCTCCACAACTTGTTTTAATTAGACTGCTCACTTGTTATCGGTCTGGAAAATTCACATAACTACTGTCCTTAAAGTCAAGGGTCATGAAACCTGCATCCCTAAGAAATAATTTGATCTCTTTGGATGCGCGAGTCGTTTGGTGTGTGCGCGCATGGTTACGTTAAGTTCCTACAAAATTGACAACGCACAAGTCGAAAGAGAGAATCAAAATTCTAAATGAAGCAGAGGTCAAACATCTAACGGCAAACACGATCCACTTATCGTAAAAAATAAATTAGCACTGCAACAATAACTTGAACTTAGCTCAGCATTTCCACAACAACAAAGAGTCTGATTTTAGACATTTATCTGCACCAACTGACATCACAATCATAACATACAAGTTTACTATGAAGAAAAAAAGAGTTCGCAGCGGATGTTACGTTTTGACATAAATCTCTCTTGCCTTAAACGCAAATTTATGAAATACGGCATGAAAAAAAGTTATAAATATCCACCATCAAAAAAGGAAGAAATACATCCAATGTTGCAAGGGTGATTTAATCAATTTGTTTGGAATGCGAAACGATTGAAATGTGCTGCACAATGTAAAATGAAAAAAATTCAAAGGAAAGCGACTTGTCAGAGTTAGACCAAGCGACAACCTCTCAATCTCGAGGGTTTGTTTCATTTCTTTGAAGACCCCCACATCGCGTTCTTTTGAAATTCAAACTTTGGTTAAAAAGCCGACCCAGTATGTACTTTGAACGACTCATGTTATCTCAATTCACCAAATCACTTAATAGGATGCAAAAAGAATCGAGAAAGATTCGTGCCGGGTGGGCCACCTCTAGCAATCGAGGAAAACAAGCATTGACAGTCCACCAACAAAGATGATACCTGAGATGACCGCCATGCGGCATATACAAACGATCATCCCTATCATCACAAAGCGAAACAGGCCAAATAGCCTTCTTAAATTAGTTTCCCATAGAAGCTGTTGACTGGCGGTATTTGTTAAAATATGTGAGGATTTTCAAATCTTATTATGTCTGAGTGACAACAAAGCAAGGAACTTTGCGTTATTAGATTATCCATCAATTTTATATTTGTTGATTCAAATGTGTTAAATAATTTCTCAATGATCAGCGATTTTCAAAGAGCATTTTGCAAATCCTAATGTACAAAACCAAGTACTGTTTGTAACACTATTTCACACTTCTTCGTAAAATTTTTCACTGCCGTGTCGAAGAAGTCAAGCAATCTTTTTCAACTTATTGTTTTGTAGATTGGATGGTGGGTGAACAATCTTTATGAAACGAAAGATTTAGAAAGAGAAAAAGATATGGAATACAAGAAAAGAGTTGAAAATACACCATATTTAAGTTTGAGAGGTAGAAATTTTAGAATGACGAAGGATGTATTGAAAACCTTTTCATGACACCGACAAATAATTGAAATAATGCCCATGACTCGTGACAATTTCTAAACTTAAAGAGAAATTATGAAAACTACCACTCGTATCTGCATTACACAGCCTTTCGTTAACACAGTTGTGACATTTCACAAACAGATGACTTCAGCTACGTTTAGCCTTGTGACAGTGACATAATCTTGTAGCAGAAGCATTAAGGGGGCTCGTGTTGAATTGTGTGAAAGTCTCATACAACGAAACGTTGAGCCATATGGCGGGCAATTAACACGATCAATTAGAAATCAAGAAAATCGCCTGGCTACCGATGAAAAACATTTTAAAATTTCCTTTCTAGAAAACGTAACAATTGAACGTGATCAGAAAGCGATGAAAAAATCCGTCAAATCTAACATGCACAAATATCTTCTAAAGCGACATTGGATAAGATGGAGTTCGCCCAGCTTGTGAGGATTTTAATCTCATTTGAACTTTTTTAATTTTGTCACACAGCCACGGCGGTCTTTCCACTCGTAGCATTATTAAAATGCAACCTTTAACGGATGCAGAATGTACTCGGGAAATCAAACAATGTCAGAAATTAGCCCAAAATTACTTAGATTGTATGAACGTAGTGTAACATGCATTATAATGTACACAAAAGAATGACAAATCATGGCGATGTAGATATCTATAGAGACGTTCCTTACGACATCAACGTATCCAATATGAAGTTAAGTTGCGAAGGAACTTAAGTGATAACTATGGATAGAGAAGGGATAGATGAGATTTCCCAGATATTGTGCGAATATTGCAATGACGTGATGGTACCATTGACATGAGGATATGTAAAGGTTATCGTTAAATAGTTTCAAATACGAACAAGACAGAATCCGTTCTTTAATGGATTAGCGAAGAAACGCGGTGTACTTAAAACTGATTATTAACATATTAAAGTCATAAACCTTAAAGGCAAATTGAACTGACCTTTGGAAAATAGCAACTGTAGGTAGGTAGGGGGTAATACCTTTAATCCTCCCCTCCCCACGCTAACAGCATCATATATTTGATAATTTTTTAAGTAAGACGCTCAGACTGTCATCAAGACGTGGGATCCCTTATGGATGCTCAAATTTCGATTTTTGATCACTTCAAAAACATAGCATTTCGCAAAAATGGAAACAGGGATTAAAGGTCAAGTTCGTGAATATTGTTTTCAAATTGGCAAATTTGCTGTAACTGCAACTACAGTTGTGGTTGTGTTCGAATGAGTTTAAATCTTTATATAATTTTCATGGATGTTTTCGAGTTCATTATATGCTTCGATGTCCTATCTAAGAGATCTAGGAACCCCAACTTCAACTCGCTGTTTTGAAGCTCGGGAATTGTCAACTTTGTTTTGAGGAATGATATATCATGTCATAAGCTAAAGTCGACATAACTACGTTCGTCAAAATAACATTTACACGTTGGTTTGATGAAGAAAATTACATGAAATCACGCACCGTAGGAATTAGCGCTCCGTCGTGTTTGTTTGAATTCTTATATTTCTTTCTTCGCCCTAGGAAATAAGATGGTAAATTTCTTACATTGGGCATATATTGGACAAAGGTGGACAAACATTCTCTTGGAGTACAATTTGCCTCTCATCTTCTATAATGAGTAAGGCAGACTGATAAAGGCAGCGGTCTGCACGCAGGCTACAAATAAAACAGCACAATGGGTACGGCTGTTTGATGTACAAATGCGAAAAGATTGGTGAATGCTAAGGTCAGAAAACAGCAAGACAAGAAATAATTCACTCACGTATTTATGAATGCAAAGTTATTCAGCAATTCTCTGAATAAATATAAACGCTTAAAGATTCAACCAATATTATTGAGATTATATTTAAAAAATTGATGATAATTTAAATTAATGGACTTTTTTTCTTTTTGCCATTTATAATAATAAAAAGCAATCAAGAAATGCACTTAAGAAAAAACAGACTTTATTGAAGGAAGCATTAGTGACATTATCTGTGAATAATTATAAAACAAAATCCTATAATCTCAGATTTAATCTTCGCTGCATGAGAATTTCGTTCTCAAAACAATAAACACAAGAAGCTAACAACCATCCATTTTTTGTTTGCATATGAAACGTTAAAATTATTCAACACCAACACATTATATAATCAGCAGAGTAAACTGTGGCGAAATAAAAAGACAAAGAAGTTGCGGAGATTTAAGTTCGAGATTGGTCCAAAGTCGCACACCAATCAAAGAGCATGTACTTACATTCAGAAGGACTGGTACTCAATGTGACGTCATGTTCACTGTGCAACGGTGGAGGGAGGCCGGGCTGTAAATAAAGCAGAATTCTCAACATCAGAAACATTTTATGTTCATCAAAACCTTAATTACTCAATCTGCGTCGTTAAAACGATGACAAGCCATAAATGAACGGATATTAATCGTAAATAATGCACAGTTCACTCATGCAGCAAACTTAATTTCATTCTCTCAAATTAATTTTATCTCGTTCGTTTTAAGAATAGATAAGAAATGTTTCTGAACATTGCTCAAGTATTTGTATTTACGGTCCATTTTATACTTCTGTTGTGAGATCGTTACAATGACTTGTACGAGTAACACGTTTCAGTCGTAGCTGTTGACCATAGTTAATAGAAAATTCTTAAACATATTATTCGACTGTACGACTTATTGTCTATGGCAACAACAAGACATGCAGTTGGGGTCAATTTTACTGAAGTAATGATTTCGAAATGATAGAGAAAGCAAAACATTCATCGTATTTCTTTGACAGCAAAAAATTTTTGCCATTTAAGCGACTCTCGACATTACATATCATTTTCCTTTACAAAAACGTCTTGAAGTTGACGTCAAAGGATAAGACCAACAAAAACCTGATCCATTATCACCTTTGCATTAAAATTTTTTATTACAATTTGAAGTATCATCCACGAACCGAATTGAAGTATATCCCCTATTGATCTATAGTGTCCCAACGTTACCCGAACAAATGACGAAGTACAAAACAACGAGCTCTAGAAACTGACCAATGTTCTCCGAAAGTCGCACATCATTAAAATTCATACGTGTTTTCGAGCGACAACAACAGGTGTGAATATTTTCCAAATCATTCTTAGTTCCTACAACTTACGACGAAAGCAATATTCACTCACAAAGTGTTGGAAGAACATAACATCTACACTCGCAGCTCTTTGTACAAGTCTATCTTGGAAATTTTTATGCAATTTTCGACAATCGTTTCGTCCACTAGATCCATTAACATGTAGTAAAGTTTCAAAATTTCAATGAGGTGACTGAGTTAAATGTTTGCCGTGAGGTTAAGTTGACAGAGATGTCCTCTCATCTCTATAACTGGAGCATATGTATTCATTGATTAGCCAATCAAATGGCTCGAAAGAAAATTACTTACGGTCGCGTTGGATGGTTCGCCAAAACCTGCAAAGCAAAAAAATATTCGTTGAAAAATTTTTTCCCCGCCAATTTAAAGGGAAAATAATCTTGGCTGGCAAGAACACAAAATATCATAACCAAAGGTCGAAGAAATTTCATACACATATCAAGCACGCACGAAAGCCACATGACGACATTTACGCGTAAAGTTAGTTATTTGACAACACGATTCGCTGCTGTCAACACCTGCTCACGAGAAGCGTCTATGATTTGCAAAAAAATGCCTCAAAGCAACATTTTTCCATATAAGACCTGCCGTCGGTACGAAAGACAGCTTTATCAAAGGACAGCAGCTGCGTGTATTTTTCTCATTGACATTAAATAATTAGGTATTTTAGAGATGTACAGACGCGAGACGTCATAAAAACTAGAAACTCTTGCGAACAATAAATAAGTTGCGTTGAATGCCTTGACAAAAACATAGGAGTGTGATACGTGACCATAAAAGACGCTAAAAGCGCATATTTTTCAAGTGATCGGCTTGAGTTTGAGAGCAATTGAGGTTTTGTCTCAAGTTACAAATTAAATTCATGCAAAATTTTCTCCGACTTCGTGAAAGAAATTATCAAAGTTTGCAACATAGAACTTTAAATACATCTTAAATGACGTTTCCAATTAATTTCCTTCACCCGTGAAAGTGTCTTCCGTGTTTTGCAAAAAATTTTTCGCATTACCGTTTATGAAGGACAGAGTGTAGGACGACGCGGTAGTCTGCTTATGAAAGCAATCATATGCAAATTTGTAGAAACAATTTACATAACCAAACGCAGACCGATAGGAGATGAAAAAGTTCGTTAAAACACCTCGCTTGAAAGATTTCTGCTAGAACAAGCGAAAAGCAAAATGTTGAAGTCTTTCGCATCCCTTTCTCAACAGCAGACATAGCTCCTTTATTCACCTGTTCAGTAAAAATGTCCCAAAGCACTTATCTTGGGCTTGATAAGAAATACGCTGCTGCAGAGCAGATGTCTTTTCTTTCATTAATTTTTTAACGTGTTCACGATAATCTTTCGAAAACCTAAATGTTAAACCCCTTTCTCAAAAGCCAAAAAGCTTCCTTGAATCTTTGTATGAGCTTCGAAACAATCCATATTCACTCGTACGGATCTTTCGACAACTATCTTAGAAGAATTCCTATATGAATTATTGACTAGGCTTATTAGAAGTTTTGCTTCTCTAGATGCACAAAACAGCCGGGTAAATTCTCCAACTGGTGACTTCGAAAAATTTCTAGCCATCTGCCGGGAAGCACAGCTGATATAGCTCCATAAAACAGGTTGTTTCGCCTGTTTGCAATGTATTACTTAAATAAAATGACCCAGACTCAATTTAAAAACACAACTGCCGTTTAGTTTCTGATTCATTTCAAGATTAAGCCAGCCCTAGCAAGTGTTTTGTGATGAAGCAACCAACTGCCGTCTTTGAAGTGCTTGCACCTAATATTGCTATACGTGCCGGGCGCTCTCGACTGACCAATTCTATTGGAAAAAATTCCAAGATTCATCGGAAATAAAGTATAGACAATTTGCCACACAAGCCAAATAACGAAACGACAGAAACGCAAAAAGAAATTTAAAGGTATATTTTATGCGAGCAATGATCATCAAACAATCATCAAACAATGTGACAGAACAACAAAGCGGACGGCAAAAAAAGCATCAAAGCGAAAATCAAAAATGAAAAAATGACTTCCACAACATAACAATGGTTAAATTCACCAAAAGATAAAATGTCGTACTAGCCACCATATTATTTCATAAGATTTCAACTCATGCGTAAAGTTGTGCAATGTGTACATAGAAACGCATATGGAAGTTTCAGTGTCAGCTATATACCGTTTATAAGATTAACATATCAGTGTTACATACCTCAAGATATAGAGGACACGGGAATTAAAGAAATTCACAGAAAACTAAATTTACAAATCCGCTATATTCCCCGTGTGTTATCGTGTTTTAACATCCATATTTCAAAGGATTATAGCGACGTGTGGACAATGAACGTTTTGACAATCGCTAGTAGCTATAGAGTAGGCTTCAACCTTTAATGTTCTTTGAAGATAATTTGGTGTCTTTATAAGCTTACAATAAAGACGTTTTATGAAAATCTCTAGATATATTCATTGTACGAAACAAACATACTTGTTGACAAAGTGTACCTGCACTGCCAATTGACGTAGAATTTGTGAATGGATAAGAACTTTTTCGTGAAATATAGTCGGTATCATCTTCCAAAGGATCTAGTGTATTCTCTGAACCAAAACCCTGCAATAATAATAAGCGAGTAAGTCATGAAAGCTTCCCTCAGCTTGAAAATGGAAGCGATAGGAATCTGATCCAACTATGTATCTGGTTCACTGCCAAACCTAAATTCATTCGTACCCATTTTTGTGCAATAGTAAGCCTCTGGCATCTTCAGTGATAAATCTACTAAATTTTTACATACACATTGGAAGTTATTCGTCTTGCAAACTATTTGTAAACATGTATAAAGTGAGTTGTCCATGTAGGGAAACATGCAAAAAATTTAGCATTAAGATCTCAAACGCCACCGCGATCGTCACAAAAGTATACTTTGCCATATTTATCCATTGAAAAATACGTTTGACAATTATACAGAGTTTAAAAAGTGCAACAAAGCGTACTAGAGCATAAACTTTAGGAAGAAATACAACTTGTCGTTGTTATTGTCTACAAAACGTGGTTGAACGGAACTAGCGAATAAAGAAAGGCATTTGTAAAGGGAAACGGGTCGCGTGCGGAAGATTTAGTACTTAGAGCATTAACAAGAGACAATATAACCTTCTCTATTTAACTTACCCGACTTTCGAAGCTTCCAACAGGAGTTAAAGTGGGACTATTTTGCCACGTGCGTGTTGTGTCATCGAGACTTGCTGTATATAACAACAAAAAATAGGAATATCAATGAAAGAAATGATTCTCCCAATTTCAAGAGTGAGTCAACAGCTTTTTGCTCCCCTTCGAAATTCAGCGTTTCAAGTATTGAAAAACTTACAATCTCTGGAAGTTAGGAGTCGATCGAGCGGAATGAAAATATTCATGCTTAACAACAAGCTAACAGGTTCTAACTGGTGTTCATCACTCTTAAAATCTCAATCCCAGTACAAACATAGCAAAATACAGACTATTTTTATACACGTTACTACCTGTACGAGCATTTGGGTTTTGAAGAGCACTTGGTAAACCGTTTTCGGCAGGACTTGAAGTGAGTTTAGAACTGTTCGGGTGAGTGAACATCTACGGTGAACAAGAAATTAAGCTTTTATACACAAGCATGCGACCGCACAACATGCAGAACAACTCATTCTTCACGGACATTAAGATAAATGATCTTTTGAATTTTCTACTCGATGCTGAGCCGAAAGATGAATACTGTTTATGAAGATACACGTAAACTGAAGAAACTGTTTTGTTCTTGGTAGCAACGTTTTGGCCAATACTCGTTGGCCGTCACGGACAAGCAATCCAACTGATCGGCGGACAATGAAAGATTTTGATCAATTGATCAAGGTATAGAACACAGTCTTCAGACTCTTTAATAGGGTAGGTAATGTATCCCTTAGTAGACGTACCGCACTGAAGTCCAGCAAATCACTCAATTCCTTGTCTTTCTCGAACGGATTCATCTTCGATGTAAGTAAGAACGATGTGAAGTCCCTGTTGGACAAGGTTGAACGCGAATCAGTAGGTCGACATAAACATGGAAAAGAAAAACGCTCTTTTGAGTAACGTTGCCTGTGTAAAAACCTTCAAAACAAAAGATAGCTAGAATCAAATCTTTTTGTGACACTCACCCGATGTTGTCTCGCTCCCAAGCCCCAAACATATCCGTCGGTCTGTCGGTCATGGCCATAACTTTACGATGTTAAGCGGTGTATTTTATGTCAGGATTTCCTCTGTAACGTTTTCCAAGACGACGATAATGTTTGACGACTTTTCCAATTCATTGCAAATTACCAGATTGCATATCGTGGGTTGAGACAAGACCAGAAATTATGTTCCCTTCGTACATGATTTGTATTCACAAAAATAGCTTATAGTTTCAAAAGATCATTTGCAATCTTCAGACAACTTATTTTATTGTCAACAATCATATTTTGCCACGATGGACCAATGAGACACGAGATTTGGTGAAGCGCACGGCTTGTGATTGGCTGCTTGTTCCGTTTCGCTTCGATCGAGGCCAATTTGAATAATTATGAACAATGCTGAATGAATGGATTCAACAGTAACTGATCGCTGATTGGTTCCTTGTCGTCCGCATTGTTAGCTTTTCATGTGCACTTAGTAGGAGCTTTGTTTATCTTTGTGAGTGGCATTTGAATAAGTTAAAATGTATGAATTGAATGGCGGCTTTGGTGTCGCATACACATCATATTTGCAAAACAAAAATGTAATTAAAATAAGTCAAATATTCTGTCGTTGAAAAAGCAAGCTCCGATTGAAAGGTTGGCTAAAAGGTTGCACAAACCGATAGCTTAATACGTTTAATTTATGCAAAAGACCGTTTAAAAGTCCAACTTAATCTAACCATTGATTATATTTGGTTGAAAAGCAAAAGTATTTAGCATTTTTGAATATGAAATCTTTAGCACAATAGCAAGACTTCCATAATTTACATAAAAAAAATGAACGGCACGAAAAAGGTTTTTAAAACCACCTTCCAGGAAGTTATTCAAACATTGTGGGGAAGTTGTCCAAAGTCCGCTCCAAGATGTTTGAATATTAGTATCATTTTGTTCGCTTAACTTTAGTAGGTCATTGTTAAACTTTAATCGATCGTTAGTGCACTGGGATTCTATGATCGCAGAGATGCCATGAGAAATATGTACATAATGGCCTTTAGTCTACTTCTGACGTATAAAATTATCAAAATCAACTGGATGCTTTGCAGCGAAATTTCGCGACTCGAGCAATAGCAACGAGATGTTACAACGCCCACAAATGTACAATGCATAAAATTTCACATGAATAAGAAAATCGTGCTTTTGATTACGTACAGCTCCTGCGTAATACATTTATGATTCTGTTTCAATGCTAAACGTTGCAAGATTTTTAAGTACCTCTTCACCCACTGTGTTCTGGTTTCTAAAGGCCTCGTATTGTAAAGTTGAGAAAACTATTTGCATGTTTAATGGTTCATAAAGATACAAATTCTGTGAACTCTCTACATCGTAAAAATATTAAAAAAATAACATATTTTACTATTCTTCTAATCAAAACTCTTGACGACAGTGATAGTCAAAATGAAGATGACAGACTTTACGAGCGGACAGATCGAAATAATTATATCGACCAACTGGAAAATTGTAGCAGACTTTTGGATATAAAATAAAGATATCTTTATTGACCTCCCATTGAACGTTCCACAATGAAAATTGACGTTGTTCAGGTTGCTTCAGCTGTTTAAAGTGCTCCGACACACAATAAAATGCATTGTTCACGAATTCAGTCATTGAAAGCTCATTCTCTTTAACAAAGATAAAATTGTGCTGTTGCTTATGATTTAGAGGTATTAATAAATAGACCGAATCTTCGAATATAATGTATCTTCATACAAGACAAAACCGTGTATAATTATGTTTTTGTTTAGCGTAGTACGACATTTTTAAGCCCGTCGAGCAGTCTTTGTGTGGCCCAAAACATGAACAGACAAGAATCATATAAGTACTAAAGTAGAGCGCTGCATGATGGGACCGTTATTTTTTACATACGTACCTTACATAACTTTACCTTAGGATTTTTCACTTGCAGTTTCCCCTCTCGTTTTATCTATTTCTAAAATGACAACAAATTTAGTTACCATGTGAGTCAGTCATACAAGATAGGAAGTTAGCATAAGGAAAAATGATGTCTATGGTTAATTGGTTATTTCTTTGAATGTAGTGCGAGAGTTGTGTGCATTGGACTCATAGTTTTAATTCACGCCAGAATGGTTAGAAACGCGATGAAGGCCTAGAGTAATGCACACACATAGGGAAATGATAGTGGACATCAAAAAATTACTAGAATTTCTTGATGAGAACATTGACAGCCTTAAACATAAACGCAAGCGAGTTTAGATTTAACCTTTCTAACAAGGAGATTTTGATCGCATTGTTGAGAAGTAGAGCTTTTATCTGTCAGACTGGTGTATGCATACCTCCAGCGCTTACCTAGGCAATTGTCCAGGTTCGTGACCGCTGCACATGGTGTTTTTGCTCACCGTGGGCTTAGATACCCAAAAATCTATAGAATACAATCATATACAATCACAGTGACAGTTAGTGCAATAATTCACACGTCATATCATCGAAAAGGCGCCTTTACCCACAATGCAACATTGGTCAGAAATACACTTCCTTATATGGAGTAACACATGTTCGGTGGCGTCAATGAATGTACAAAACAAACTTTTTAGTGCAAGTATCTGAAATAATGTAACGTTAGTTCAGTAGTTCGCATTGACGATGACGTACGATTTTCGAAACATGTTTCTTGCAATAAAAAAAGTTTGTTTTATACAGTCAATTTAACATTCATTTTAGCTACATTTGCTGAAAACGAATGTAGTAATTGTTACATACTGCTGGAGGGGTATCGCCCTGATTATCCCATTAAATGAATTATCCGTCCGTATCATTACATTCATTCATAGCCTCGCCAATGCAAAGAAACATCTCATTTTTATCCTAAACTCGTATTTGTTTTAGTCCAAACGGATAATTTGTCCGATATCAGATATCATTGGGTAGTTTTCAATAACAACCAATTGCGTGTAAAGACTTTGTCCTCGAAGCTGTGCAAAGCTGCACGCAGCTATTTTGCATGTTGGTCCAAGACAATGAAACACTTAACGCGTGATTAACCGGCGAATTATATCATCGTATTACATAGTGTTTAGTCTTATTCAAACATCAAACTACGAGACATGAGTTGCAACGGAAATAAAACGAGTAAGTAGCAATGTTTCATTACATAAAGATAGATTTAAGACTTATTTTAGGTGTAAACTGTGCATAACTATCGTTACATTATTACAAAACCGTAAATGGCCTCCACAAAGAAGACAATCGCAGTATATAATAAATAAAAATCAATGTAACATGGACTATGTTCGTGGAGAGAAAAACACTTTGCTTAACAAAACGATGTTGAAATTTTCCTTGTGAATAATGAGCCAAAATATAGATCATAGCATTTTGCCTTGTATGAATAGAAACATATATTTTTTGGCAAAATTCGACTTTGGGTTGGTAGAGAGATAATTGTCAAAAGTCAGAAAAATAATTGTGGGGCCCCATATAAATGGCCACATTCATATATTTATTTCATAATTCCCCCAAAAATGGATTTTAAAATAAACTAAAATGGCATGTCATGGATATACGAATATGACCCACCTCCCAATAATTGCTCTGGCTGTGTGCCTGCTTAGAAGCATTGAAACCCTACTCCTCACCACACATCAATCACACTCAATTACTCAACTGCAATATAAATGTACAAATCTATATTACACTTACCTGGAGTAAAGTTTTAGGGGATAGGGTAGGTTAGAATTTGTGTTACTTTCCCACAGTTATTGTCAGAATGTTAAAGTTCACCAACCAAATGTAGATATAAATACCTTCAATTATCATACTGCATGCACAATACCATCACCATATCCATCAGTCATCTCTTCCATGACATTTTACTATTCTAAAATTTATGTTATTTTTCATGGTACTGGCATTGAACTTTGATGATGTTTTGTAAGAACATTAATGTATGTATAAACAAGTATATATGCATCCCTTTCAGATGGCTGTATGGGCCCAGGGTATGCTACACCTTTGGATGCAATGAAAGGGCCAAGAGAAAAGATTGTTTATTTGCCGTGCATTTACAGCAATACTGATATAAAAAAACCTGATTACCTTGCCACTGTTGATGTAGATCCTACATCTAAGGACTTTTGCAAGGTAAAAATCATGACAAACAAGATAAAAATCTTGGGAGTCTGAATTTTAAATAATTTTACTTTCATAGCCATTAGTCAATAAAACCCATCATTTACTTTGTATATACTTCATTTAAGGTTATTCACCGGCTTCCAGCTCTACATCTGGAAGATGAACTCCACCACAGTGGCTGGAATGCCTGCAGTAGGTCAGCAGTAAAAATGCAGCATATTCATTTTCATATACATCACATCTTCACTTTATTCATCATTTGCAGTTGTCATGGTGACAAAAGTATGACCCGCGATTCCCTCATTATGCCATCACTAGTTTCCAGTCGTATCTACATCATCGATGTTGCTACAGATCCTTGTGCACCAAGAATTCGTAAGGTAAAGCAAAATATTCACATAAGAATTTACTTTGTAGCTGTTTTCTTATGTGATTTTGCTTATTTCCACATTGTCCAGGTTATAGAGCCAAAGGAGGTGTTTGAAAAAACAGGTTTAGCATACTTGCACACATCCCATTGTCTTGCTAATGGCGACATCATGATTAGTGCCATGGGCAATCCAAAAGGAGAAGCAAAAGGTTTGTAATCTTAAAGTTTAAGACAGTTGTCATACATGTTTATTTAATCTTGGTTGTATTAGCTTCACTTTTTGAGGGACATTCTAAAATGTAATCATTATTCCTTATACAGGAGGGTTTGTTGTTGTTGATGGTAAAAATTACACAGTAAAAGGCCGCTGGCAAGAGAAAACGGTGGACTTTGGTTATGATTTTTGGTATCAGCCACGTCACAATGTAATGATCAGCTCAGAATGGGGTGAACCTAAGTCCATTTTGCAAGGATTTAATCCTCAACATGTTGCTGATGGTAGGTTTTAAGGATTTAATCCTCAACATGTCACTGATGGTAGGTTTTAAGGATTTAATCCTCAACATGTTGCTGATGGTAGGTTTTAAGGATATAAACCTCATCATATCGTTGGGTTGGCTAAGGAAGCTATAATCCAAAGCAAATTTCTGAGAAACATGTAGTTTGGCTTAGGATGTAAATTTAAATTTGACATCACCTAATCAGGAAGTTTGACTCAAGTGTCTTTATTTATCATATGGATTTTGTTTACTATAGGTAAATATGGAAAAAAACTTCATGTTTGGGACTGGACAAATGGTGAACTGAAGCAAACGCTTGATCTAGGCAACGATGGTCTTATTCCTCTAGAGTTGCGGTTTCTTCATAATCCAGATGCCAAATTGGGATACGTGGGTTGCGCTCTGTCCAGTACAGTATTTGCTTTCCATATGGAAAAGGTGTTTAGCTTTGAATATTTTTTATTGTAAATTTAGCGAATTAAATTGTTCCTGGTAGGGAGAAATTCGGCGACATAAAACATCAAGAACTTGAAACGGAAAAAAGATCGTTTTTTGTGTAAAGATGGACAAAGCCTGCTTCTCTTGATAGTAATATTCAACGCAACATATTTCTTATTTTCACTTTCCAGACAGGAAAATGGATAGCCGAGAAAGTGATTTCTATTCCAAGCAAATCTGTGGAAGGTTGGGCTTTGCCCGAAATGCCAGGTAGAACAAACACTATCGAAACAAATTGAAAACTTTATCGAGAGATGGAATTCTAAATTCTCATTTTAAGCTCTTCCGACGGACATCTTGATTTCGCTGGACGATCGTTTCCTATACTTTAGTAACTGGTTGCACGGTGATTTGCGTCAGTACGATATCACAGATCGATTGCATCCAAAGTTGGTTGGACAGGTAAGGCGATGAATTTCTGTCATTTTTTCTGCTACAATCCTTTCTAATGTGTGCATCTATTCCCAATCAATCCCAAACTTCTCTTCCGTCGATTTCTGGATGAGGCAAAAAGCAACCACGAAAATAACCATATCATTAACACTGTTTGTTTTGTACATTTTTAGTTGTTCATAGGAGGCAGTATCAGCAAAGAAGGCGCTGTGAAAGTCACCAAGGATGTTGAATTGAAAGAACAACCAGACACATTGTATGTCAAAGGAAAGAAAGTTCAGGGTTCCGTTCAAATGATCCAGATGAGCTTGGACGGAAAGCGAATTTATCTTACGACATCTTTGTTTAGTGTTTGGGATAAACAGTTTTATCCAGAGATGATGAAGTAAGGATAGCTTGATACTTTAGAGTACCTGGTGAGCGCCTATAGGGATTAGCGGGAGTAATATTTTTCCTAGAAAGTCAGTGAAAATCTATACGATAAAAAATAGGATAGCCAATGATGTAAATTATCCATGGATGTCAATTTCGTCTTTTATACCAATAGGAAAGGTTCCATGTTGCTGAAAGTTGACGTCGATACAGATAAAGGAGGCCTTACGCTTGACAAAGATTTTTGCGTTGATTTTGGCGACGAACCGGACGGTCCAGCACTTGCACATGAGATCAGGTATCCCGGTGGCGATTGTTCCTCAGACATTTGGCTCTAAATATCTAACATTCCATTGAAAGTGTAGTCAACTCGGTCGTATTAATGAAGATATAAGAATTTGAATTCCAAGGGTATAAAATTTTTGTTACGTATAACATACGAAGTTTTTGAATGATATTGAAAACAATAAAACGTTCTCTTTTGAACTGCTTTAAGTCAACTTCTTTAAAGTTAATTATTTACTTCAGATGAGTAATTTATGTTAATTTTCTTTATGTATTTAATTAATTAACTAAATAAACGTTAAGCTCTTTATCGTTTACGCTTCTAACATTGGTTTATGAACACTCAACAGTACGTTTTAAGAAATGAATGGTTTTATTAAAAGTACTACCATGGTTGCGTCAATTTCTGATGTTTTAGTAAGACGAATTAATAAGTAATTTTACGTAATTACAATTCACCTATACTTAACTTCACGGGTCGTATTACATGTAATAAGACTTTGCATGTCCTCTGCACTTGTAGTAACAATCCCAAATTTTCAGCTTGAAATAATAAAACTCACCACAAAATATTCCCAAAAATACAAAATCGTATAATTTACATCATCGTTGACAGTGCGTGAAGCACTGACTAAAACATTTCGGCAATCATAGTATTGCATAATAAAACCATGGTAGTTTGATTACTTAGCGATGAAATGTGCTTGAAGCCTTGGGAGGTTTAGTAAACTTTTACTCAGCCTCCCTCGGATTCCATTTACTCACTAAGCAATCAAACTACCCTGGTTTTACTTGTAAATAAACCTTCCATTTGTCCTTTGAAACCAACCTTTACCTGCTTAACTAAAGGGCCGATGACATGGAGCAATTTCAGCCCGGGCCTGTTATAATATCCTATCAAAATAGCGTACGCGGTTACATGAAAACAATTCTAGCCCGGACTGAAAAATCTGTCATGTAAACGTTTCAGCCCGGGATGAAACCACAGCTGAAAATTTTCACGCATGCGTAATTGCGTGCCTATTGCTTATGATGACGACAACACACATTAACGACAACTGGCGCTCAAGCCTCGGACGAGCTTCGTAAATTCCAGCCCGGTCTAAACACCGGGCTGGAATTGACCATATAATCACATAAAATTTCAGCCCGAAATTGCTCCATGTAATCGGCCCCCTAAGAGTGAAACATCTCACTGGCTAGGTATGTTTGTATTTTAACTTGCTTTTGGGGTTACGCAAATAATTGAGACGAGTTATCTAGCTCACTTAAAAATTTCTCTAAGCACTGATCTAGTGGCTGTGCAAACTCTCTTCACTTGGTGATTTTGGTTTAGTAGGCAAAGTAAATCACAGCCGCTGATGATTTGAATCGCCCCAACGACAAAGCCATTCGTTGTGAATTTCCAAAGAACAAAGTCTGACCAATTATTGAGCTGGTTGTAATTTTTTTTGCCTAAATCTGGATCCGTCACTAGTTCACTTCAACGGTTATTCCCAACGCTGGACAAAGCCTAATTAAACTCAACTTTCCAGAGACAAATGACATTAGAATCACGTGCTTATGCTATTTGTAATAAAATCTGGAAGCAAATACGGATAAGGAAGATGACCACTTTTCATGCGAATTGCGTTGGCAAATGCCATCTTTTTCGTGACCATTACAAGATTTGTTTCAACAAACCTGTCCATGTATTCTCGAGCTTCTTTATCCTGTAATTTTGAGCCATAGTCGAACAGCTTGTCCAAATGAGTTGACGCAATGTTGGACGTGAACTCAATTTGATCCTATAACATACATATATATCGTATAACATACATATATATCGTATAACATACATATATATCCTATAACATACATATATATCCTATAACATACATATATATCCTATAACATACATATATATCCTATAACATACATATATATCCTATAACATACATATATATCCTTGAAAATACAGTTATAGAAAACAGACATAACAAAAACTAGTTTTCCTGCTCGATAATTGTTCACTATAATAATACTTATTATTCCCTATATAAGCAATGTCGCTTTTGATTGGTCAACTTCATGCAAATAATTCTCGATATCCGTAGATATGACGTCATATCTACAAATAATAGTTTTACAATTATGGACGCTATTAAAAGCCGGTTTGAAAAATCAAAGCGATGTTTCAGCGATTGCAAAGTTTGTAAACAAGAACGATTGATAAAAAGTTGTAAACAACGATTAATGGAACGATTAATATTATGACGATATTAACACGATATCTTTCGAAACGATATATCTCAATTAGCCATTGATACGCACGTTACAAACCCCCAAAAATCAAACCACAACGATGTTTGCCACAGCTTCTAAAACGAAAGTTTGGGAACGGAAATGTGAACAAAAGGAACGGAACGATAATTTTGGAACGATAAATTTTTTTTAAGAGTTAAAAAGCGGAACGATATTTTGTTGTGCAGGATATAGGAAATCAAAACGATACGGAAAACAATTGCAGCACTAAATTCTTTAGAAATCAATTGTTTTCTTCAGATTATAGCTTGCATATGTGAACATTCCCACAATTATAGAGGCTAGCTTAAACACTCAGAAGTAGTACCGATTAAATTGCGCTTAGAAATTCGTTCATTGCCTCCTTACCAGTGCTCTCACTTTATTTCCTAACATGCTGGTTGAAAAGACGTCGTTGTCTTCATCATCGGAGAAAAGGCGATAGGGTGCATTAGGCAGGAAACCACCATATTCCAGTTGAGGAAATGTAACGGAGGCATGGTAACCAGTAGCCAACCAAAGTAGCTTAGATAGAACATCTTTTACCGTTCGCTTGTCTTTAAATTTACTCGGAAATTTTTTTACCTAACAAAAAAATTAAAATATTTTTCTGTTGACCGTAAACAAACATTTCAATTCATCGCTGTCACATTAGAGCGAGTTGTTTCACTTCATTAAATCTAGATTTCCGAACCATTCGATCAATTTAATTCATTTAACACTTTAATTTAACAATAAAAATGTTAGCAGCGCAATTACAGCTTTTCAACTCATCAATTACACATTTTCACCGTGCAATTACGGATAAAATGCACTGCAATCAACCAATCACAGTCGAGAAATACCTTAAAGTACTACAATGCAAACTTGTGGCTAGAATTATTGGGAGAATTATACCAAGATAAGTCGTAGCCGATATCAAAAATTGATAGTTGGCAAGGCAGCTTTACAATGGCCACACATTTCTACATTTATAGATAAAGTTTTATCAAGGTCACATGTAGCCTATATCGTTGACAGGAATGTCAGAAGCGGGGAATGGGCTCGGCATGCTCCAATAATTTACAAAAATTGTTGTGAAAATGCTAATACCACACTTTCTTCCTCAATTCCATGAAAAAGTCACAAATTTGACCCCCCCCCACCTCCCTAATTTTATTTTGCTTCCGACAACCCTGAATTATGTTTACGTTGGTTCTATGATCAGTTCATCAGAAAGATAGCGATGAACAGCACCTACAATTTGAATATCGACAAAGTAAAGTATACGTAGAAGATGATTGTCGAAATACATACTAATCCCCTTGAAGATGCACGAGGATTGCCATCGGACGAGACAGCATCTGCCCATTTTTGTAACTCCGTGTCGTCAAGTACGTCAGAATTGTCGTGGTAATACCTAAACGAAGCACATAACTCATTGTATGTAGACATATATAAGTTTGAAAATTTGTAATCCAGGCATTTAATACATAAAAGATAAGTTTCTCCGGATTTTAAGTGATTTTTATTGAGCTTTCGACTCGTTGCTTCGAGCCTTCATCAGAATGAGGATGTTTCTAACGTCTCCAAGCTAAAAGCACGCGTAAATAAACATCCTCATTCTGATGAAGGCTCGAAGCAACGAGTCGAAAGCTCAATAAAAATCACTTAAAATCCGGAGAAACTTATCTTTTATGTAGACATATATATCTATCTTTTGGACAGAGCCTGAACGCGTGAATCAAAACATAGCTCTATTTTCTTAATAAATGGTGATGCACGTACATGTCAACAAAACCGCTGACAAAAGTCCGTATGCTTGCTGTGATCAGTCTGCCATCGTCTCGATAGGGATAATAAGGGATAATATTTGCATCACTCATACCTCGTCTCTACGATAAAGACACAAGAAAAAAACAGCAACATTAGAACCATGCATTTTTAGCAAGAGCTAAAAATATTTAACGATTCTATGCCAAACATTTTATATCATATAAAAATAATACATGATTTATAGCAAGTAAAAGAAAAATTCCTTAGCAAAACTAGAATGACTGATGTGAGTTGATGTACTCAGAGAGAGACATCAAAATATCAACAATTTAATCCCAGGCAATCTGTTCACTGACCTCCATGTCTGCTTCAAGGTCAATATTATCCATCGTTAACGCGTTGAAATTTTTGTTTATGATATTTATTGAAGTAGGATGATCCACAGACAATATATTATACAAAGGACCCTTTGATCCTAAAAACAATAAAGGATAAAAGAAATTTAATTATTTGAATGTGATAAAGTTAAAGTAGGTGTTTTGTTCAAAATCCTTCCTTCCTCCAAGCACTGAAATGTACTGTAGAGAAACAAGATACCCTTAACCTCACAAGATACCCTTATACACTCACAAGATACCCTTAACTTCACAAGATACCCTTAACTTCACAAGATACCCTTATACACTCACAAAATACACTTCACAATCACAAGATACCCTTAACCTCACAAGAAACCCTTAGCCTCACAAGATACCTTTACACTCAAAATATATTCCTAAATTGACAAGATATCCTTACACTGACAGAATATCCCCAAGCTCTCAAGATATCCTTACACGGACAGAATATCCCCAAGCTTAGAAGATATCCTTACACTGACAAGATATTACTGAGCCTCCAAACTGACAAAATATCCCCAGATAGACAAAATATTCCCAGAATGACAAGTTATACTTGAATTTTCAAAATACTCTTAGAAATCAGTAAGAAGTGACGTCATTATGAACACTGCAATGTGCAGTAAAAGTGCTCACCGTAAAGTCTCATGACGTCATTATGAACACTGCAATGTGTAGTAAAAGTGCTCACCGTAAAGTCTCATGACGTCATTATGAACACTGCAATGTGCAGTAAAAGTGCTCACCGTAAAGTCTCATGACGTCATTATGAACACTGCAATGTGCAGTAAAAGTGCTCACCGTAAAGTCTCATGACGTCATTATGAACACTGCAATGTGCAGTAAAAGTGCTCACCGTAAAGTCTCATGACGTCATTATGAACAATGCAATGTGCAGTAAAAGTGCTCACCGTAAAGTCTCATATCAAAAAGTTTATTGGTTTCGAGGCCAGCTCGACAATGATACTGTAACATATCGTACAACGGATGTAGCTCAGAAAATGTTCGTTCCATCAACAAACAAAATGGTTCCATGTATAAACTACACTTTAGTCGTTTGTGTACAATCTGCATGAAAAAAATGATGGAGAAAACATTTTACAGCAAACCTATCAATAGCAACCTAAGTCGTTTGTGTACAATCTACATGAAAAAAATTATGGAGAAAACTTTTTACAGCAAACCCATCAATAGCAACTTAAGTCGTTTGTGTACAATCTGCATGAAAAAAATTATGGAGAAAACATTTTACAGCAAACCCATCAATAGCAACTTAAGTCGTTTGTGTACAATCTGCATGAAAAAAATTATGGAGAAAACATTATGCAGCAAACCCATCAATCGCAACATTACTTGAAGAGACGCTAGAGTTTCACAAAGAGACAGTTTACTTTAAAAAACTAACTCATACCTGAAGAACATTGAAATCCGCTCTTTGTACAAGAGATTTCGCAAAAAACCATTCTTCATTATCCGCAGGAACGAATACTCGAGCTTCAGGTACAGCATCAGCCTGTATGGCTACTGTCTCAACGTCTTCACTATTACCATTACCTTTCATGATGAACATCGCAATAGGTGCCGTGAACCTAACTACTGTGTGATTGGCTAATCCTTTGTTCTTTTTTTGCAGCTTGTTCAAACTCACTCCCTCGAGTTCAGGATACCAAGATACAAATAATTTATTGTTTTCGATAGCCTGAGAAGAGAAAATAAAGTTTCAAGTAGAAGCAACCATCCTTAGCTAATAAAAGTGCGTCGAAAACTAAACACAAAATATCTTCATAAAATTGAAATGATTAAAACACCAAAACCGTATTCTAAAGTCAGGTGCGCTATTGATACTTATAGTCAGTGATAAATAAGATCTAAAACAGTAGATTATATAATTATTTGTCACTGTCTTACACTCATTAAAAACTATTTCAAAAAGCTTTCCATTCATTGAAAAGTCCACAGCAAATTTGTTGAAGGTATCTGTTGAGCACCCTTGCTTGATTACTTCACTATTTGGATGTTTATACCATAACATTGTACAATATGTTGAGGGCATACTTCATATTAAACAAGATGTTTTGTACAGTACACACTCTGTACAGTACACAATACAAATTCTCCTATCACTTTGTCACTGCGTAAAACGTGTTCGCAAAGACCCCCGGGGGTATTTCTCCGAGGCATTTTCCATTTTCCCGGGTGTCTTTATCCAAGGATTTTTCCCCAGGAGTTTTTCCGGTGTTACCATACATTAACAATTTATTATCAAAAATGAGTTGATCCGTGCAAAATGCTTCCGCCTGTTTAAAATGTTGCAATGATTTATCAGGGGGGGCGTGTAAGCTCTACTGGGTCTTTCAGCAAAATCAGTGAAAAAGGTTATTTATATAAGCAAAACTTCTCTCAGGTCTTTCAGGGACTGAGATTTCCCTTTAAAGATCAACTTCTATATGCCATAGTTTACTGTTCTATCGCACCTAGCTTTTTTATTTAATGTAAGGAAGAGATCAACACTTACCCATTCTATAGCTTGTTCAAAACTCGTCCCTAATGCAGTATTAATCGCATCATTCCAGTTGAAATGCTTATTCAATTTATTCTGAAGGTTATTCCAGGAAAGTCCCCTGCCATCTTATAAGAAAAGAGTTATGAATAAAGTGTCACATTCGGACCATTATATTTGGCTAAGTTGGATAAAACAGCATCGCGCATTGAACCATGGGACAAAAGGTGAAAATGATAGAATGAAAACAATTGTGAATGATAGTTTTCAATTCACCACAATGCAATGCTCGAATAGCATCGCGCATTGAACCATGCGACAAAAGGTGAAAATGATAGAATGAAAACAATTGTGAATGATGGTTTTCAATTCACCATAATGCAATGCTCGAATAGCATCGCGCATTGAACCATGGCACAAAAGGTGAAAATGATAGAATGAAAACAATTGTGAATGATAGTTTTCAATTCACCATAATGCAATGCTCGAATAGCATCGCGCATTGAACCATGGGACAAAAGGTGAAAATGATAGAATGAAAACAATTGTGAATGATAGTTTTCAATTCACCATAATGCAATGCTCGAATAGCATCGCGCATTGAACCATGGCACAAAAGGTGAAAATGATAGAATGAAAACAATTGTGAATGATAGTTTTCAATTCACCACAATGCAATGCTCGAATAGCATCGCGCATTGAACCATGGGACAAAAGGTGAAAATGATAGACTGAAAACAATTGTGAATGATAGTTTTCAATTCACCATAATGCAATGCTCGAATAGCATCGCGCATTGAACCATGGGACAAAAGGTGAAAATGATAGAATGAAAACAATTGTGAATGATAGTTTTCAATTCACCACAATGCAATGCTCGAATAGCATCGTGCATTGAACCATGGGACAAAAGGTGAAAATGATAGAATGAAAACAATTGTGAATCATGGTTTTCAATTCACCACAATGCAATGCTCGAATAGCATCGCGCATTGAACCATGGCACAAAAGGTGAAAATGATAGAATGAAAACAATTGTGAATGATAGTTTTCAATTCACCACAATGCAATGCTCGAATAGCATCGCGCATTGAACCATGGGACAAAAGGTGAAAATGATAGAATGAAAACAATTGTGAATGATAGTTTTCAATTCACCACAATGCAATGCTCGAATAGCATCGCACATTGAACCATGGGACAAAAGGTGAAAATGATAGAATGAAAACAATTGTGAATGATAGTTTTCAATTCACCACAATGCAATGCTCGAATAGCATCGCGCATTGAACCATGGGACAAAAGGTGAAAATGATAGAATGAAAACAATTGTGAATGATAGTTTTCAATTCACCACAATGCAATGCTCGAATAGCATCGCGCATTGAACCATGGGACAAAAGGTGAAAATGATAGACTGAAAACAATTGTGAATGATAGTTTTCAATTCACCATAATGCAATGCTCGAATAGCATCGCGCATTGAACCATGGGACAAAAGGTGAAAATGATAGAATGAAAACAATTGTGAATGATAGTTTTCAATTCACCACAATGCAATGCTCGAATAGCATCGTGCATTGAACCATGGGACAAAAGGTGAAAATGATAGAATGAAAACAATTGTGAATCATGGTTTTCAATTCACCACAATGCAATGCTCGAATAGCATCGCGCATTGAACCATGGCACAAAAGGTGAAAATGATAGAATGAAAACAATTGTGAATGATAGTTTTCAATTCACCACAATGCAATGCTCGAATAGCATCGCGCATTGAACCATGGCACAAAAGGTGAAAATGATAGAATGAAAACAATTGTGAATGATAGTTTTCAATTCACCACAATGCAATGCTCGAATAGCATCGCGCATTGAACCATGGGACAAAAGGTGAAAATGATAGAATGAAAACAATTGTGAATGATAGTTTTCAATTCACCACAATGCAATGCTCGAATAGCATCGCGCATTGAACCATGGGACAAAAGGTGAAAATGATAGAATGAAAACAATTGTGAATGATAGTTTTCAATTCACCACAATGCAATGCTCGAATAGCATCGCGCATTGAACCATGGCACAAAAGGTGAAAATGATAGAATGAAAACAATTGTGAATGATAGTTTTCAATTCACCACAATGCAATGCTCGAATAGCATCGCGCATTGAACCATGGCACAAAAGGTGAAAATGATAGAATGAAAACAATTGTGAATGATAGTTTTCAATTCACCACAATGCAATGCTCGAATAGCATCGCGCATTGAACCATGGGACAAAAGGTGAAAATGATAGAATGAAAACAATTGTGAATGATAGTTTTCAATTCACCACAATGCAATGCTCGAATAGCATCGCGCATTGAACCATGGCACAAAAGGTGAAAATGATAGAATGAAAACAATTGTGAATGATAGTTTTCAATTCACCACAATGCAATGCTCGAATAGCATCGCGCATTGAACCATGGGACAAAGGTGAAAATGATAGAATGAAAACAATTGTGAATGATAGTTTTCAATTCACCACAATGCAATGCTCGAATAGCATCGCGCATTGAACCATGGGACAAAAGGTGAAAATGATAGAATGAAAACAATTGTGAATGATAGTTTTCAATTCACCACAATGCAATGCGCGGTACCTTCGTTTCTGTCAAGGTGTTACCGATGTGACTATGATGCCCAGAGTTGAAACAAATTAAAATGTGAAAATAAAGCAATATCAAACGATGTGCTTACCGTTAAGATTTGTTACTCTGTATATTTGCCATACGTTTGCTCCGGCAAAACGCTGATCAACAAACGACCTATCTTTGTAGAAGTTCGCTTCAATTGACGGACTTTGATGTAAGACACTCATGGCGCTTTTCGTCTGAAGAAGACAAAACGAAATTCAATGTAGCCTAAAGAGATTTGTCAGGAGAGAAGAGAATTCTTTAAAATGAATGTGACCAACATTTAGTTAACAATATAGTGGCGCAGCTAACAACTCTGATCAAAAATCGAGCAAAATAAAAATAAACAAAATCATCCATATTTAAATTGTATTTTTCAATTTCTTTAATGCGTAAAACCATTTTGCTTTGGCATGCGATACTTAAAACTCAGTGAACGCTTCGTGTTTTTTGCAAAACATCGACCTCTTAATATCATTGTGAAGCTTATCATTGAATGCTCAACATCAAATCTTTGCTTTTTTTAGAAAACATCAACCTCTTGATATTATGGTGAAGCTTAATCGACATTTATAACAAGAAAAGACAATTCAATTTGTATCTAATGCAATTCAATTGTAATCTAATTTTAATTGTAATCTAATTGTAATCTAATCAATTCAATTTGTATCTAATTTGTATCGAACAGACAATTCAATTTGTATCTAATGCAATTCAAATGTAATCTAATTGTAATCTAATCAATTCAATTTGTATCGAACAGACAATTCAATTTGTATCTAATCCAATTCAAATGTAATCTAATTGTAATCTAATCAATTCAATTTGTACCTAATTTGTATCGAACAGACAATTCAATTTGTATCTAATGCACAGGCCACAAACTTACCCATACTTAAAGTGTCAATAAACACAACAAACAAATAAGAAACTCTAAAAAAACAAAAGAACTAGAGAAGTTTGCAACTTGCCTTATGTTGCTTGTAGAAATATTCATATATCTCGGATAAATCTTTCAATGTCGGCTGCTCGTGGAATTTCTTGTCTTGCAACGTAAAATGAGCATGCGCGTTGGCATTCTCGTTAAAAGTATCTTGCATTTTCATGTACCAATCGATTGTAAAGGAATTAGTTGATGCATCTTTGATAAATGTTTTTTGGGACTTTACAAACATTTGTGGCACAGATATAAGATTCATTCTACAAAGAGAAAAACATGATCAAATATCGCTCAATAGTTGCTTCTTTTAAAGCAAGTGCCGTACAGTCTGTTCTGAGGTATAATATGTATAAGAATTGATAAGATGACGTAATGATCTATAACCAAATGTACTAGATACATGACCAAGCCGAAATTCTATAGTTAAGAGTGAGACGAACCGCAATCTTGAAGGTGGTAATACTGATGATATTTAGCTACGACTAAAATCTGCTTCTTCTGAGTTCATATGCATTTGAAAAGTTGATAGTCTAGGTTTGATTTTTAAAATGCTCGATATGATTGGTTTTTTTAAACTTTCTTTTAACGTACTTTTGATTTTGAATTTTGTTTTTTGCGACCTTTCAATATGGCGTCCTTACTATACCTTACTTTATTCGAAATTCATCATCAGAGAATATATATAATATTAATCCTAACACAGTTTTTATTTGCAATGAAAATCATGTGACTTGGGCGAGATTTGAACTCGCACCTTCGGGTACTAGTCCGCCGCTCTACCTGTTGCCTTTGTAGCTCAACAGGTAGAGCGTCGGACTAGTATCCCGAAGGTGCAAGTTCAAACCACGTCCAAGTCACATGTTTTCATGTGCATATAAAACCGTGTTGGGATTAATGTTATCCCTTACTTTAACACGGAAGTCACAAATCCAGGAGACTGGGTTCTAAATCATTGAGATGGCACAATTACGCAGTAAAAAGAGTTTTACAAATGAACAGAAGATTTCGGATGAGCCTATGGATTTTAGGTGATTCGATGTTAAAATAATTTCTGAAAGTACAAAATATCTAGACATCGAAATATACGCACTACACCAAGCACAAAAAATCTTTCATCAAATTACCCATGCGAATTTGAATTTAAAGAAAAAAGTTTTCGTCTTTGCTTGTGATCCTGAAGCCTTTTTATGAGACATTTCATGGAAGCGTACTTTATTAAGGATAACTTGCATCGGAGCCCTGAAACAGTAATAAAATAGATTTGCTTACTAAAAACAAAGAAAATTACAATTAAAGTCGATAAAACTAGCTGACCAAAACAAACCGAGGCTTAAGAAACGCAATTGCAAGAATTCGCTCTGGCTGAGTTCGAAACTCACTTGTCAAGAGTTTGTAAACATTCAGAAGCTACGGTTTCCTAAAGGGTGAGTTAGGATATCATAGGGTAGTACTATTTCCTACAGGGTAAGTTAGGATATCAATAGTATGTAAACATTCAGAAGCTACGGTTTCCTAAAGGGTAAGTTAGGATATCAATAGTTTGTCAACATTCTGAAACTTCGGTTTCCTAAAGGGTGAGTTAGGATATCATAGGGTAGTACTATTTCCTACAGGGTAAGTTAGGATATCAATAGTTTGTCAACATTCTGAAACTTCGGTTTCCTACTTAGTCAGTTAAGATGTCTAAGGGTAAAATAGGGTAGGACTATTTTCTACAGGGTATGTTTGGATATCAAGGGATAGGAGTAGGATTAACTTATCTATGAGCATGAATATAAACTTATATAGGACATCATAAGTTAGAGGGCAAGTAAGTTAGTAGAATTGTTATAAAGCCCATTTAGCAAGTAAACTAGAATGATTTTCCTTACGTTGACATTTGACCCCATCATAGTTATCCTCACATTCACAGAAATATCCATCAACGTAGTTGTCATCAACGACACAACGTCCATTATGAAGACAAGGATTCCTTTTGCAAACACCCGCCTCCTCAAAATGTTTTGCTTTACGTATAGCTGTAAAATCACAGATACATTTTCGCAGCAAGAACAATGACATGCTTTTATTGTCAATGAATGACTTTAGGAGGTCATTGACTCTGTCGAGTTGACTTTGAAGATGACTACCGCCAAGGATGTTGAAACATCAGTCAACATCAACACCAACACTTCTTTTAAAGACTAACCTGGACGCTCTACATTTACAAACATCTAACATATTAACTAACGATGGTTAAAAGCAAACCGGCATCACACGTAAAAGAAAAATCAACAACACTTTACAGACATTTTATTCATCACAGGGAGCCCTCTGTTATGAAGATTATACAATGTCTTAGGTAGTAATTTAGAATTTTTTTTATTTTACATGCAGAGTTCCATGAAATGTTTTACAATAAATAAATTACCGCAAGGAATAAATTTGAAAACTTTCATACTTCAACGGTTCATTTATAAGACAAAGCTCGATAAAACTTCTTACAATAAGAAAAAATTTAGGAGTAAACTCAAAGTCTTTCATACTTCAACGGTTCATTTGTAAGTAAACAAACATATCAAAACGCACCTGTTCGGTTGCGATGAAAAAACTTCGTTTTTGAATCCTTCAACAACGCTTGGAGGCTTGCAAAGGAAAAACAAAAACAGGTACAAACACTAGCGATGAAGAGATACCAAACCATTGACATCTTCAACCGTGAGATTAGTCCCGATCACAAGTTACAAACAAATTCCATCGTGTTTAAGATCCATACATACGGACAGGAAATTGAGAGGTTATGATAGTATTATGTTTAGTCAAACTGCCTTGAGCCATTTAGTTAGAGTCATACCAGTGAGTGGTTTAACAACCTGCAATACAATGTTGAACAATTAAAGACTCAAATGATACAATAAAATCACAACCATACAACTGTTCATAAAGAAACAAAAGCTTAAAATTTAACGTTTCCTTCTTAAATTAAAACGCGCGACAGACCATGGCAATAAACCGTTAAATCCTTACGAAACTTATCATTTCCATGCATCAGTAAATCGGATTGTGACTCAGACCAAGTTGTCATTTAGCAAAAAGACATAAAAGCACTGAAATGTAAGGCAGTTTAGAAATACATACAAACACAGCATATAATGAGGAAATACAAAATATGCAAAGGCTCAGAACCACGATACTCTACAACTTAAAGCAAAAAACTTGCAATAACTTCAAAGCCACTACGTCATATGAAAAAATCCGAACATACAGGTACCAGCAAACAGCGATCAGCTACGACGTACTATACTAGACTATAAAATTTGAATCTACTCAATAAAAGTGTCTTATTGCACATTGTATCATAATTGAAACTGGAAATATTCCAAAAAACATGACATAATGAGGATTGCAACCATCACCATGCTCCTGGGGGTTTTAACCTTCATCCAAGGATGGCCGATACAAGGTAAAAATCACGAAAGATATCACAGTCATAGCTAATGCTAGATTACACATCGTTGTTGAACAATGTTTCGAATTTGTCTTCGATTTGAAGAGATGGCAAGTACGTCTATTCCACTCATATATTCTATCCGTGTTCACTCACTGTAAAATGAACAGATTTCTAAAGAAATGAATAATGTTCATGATCTAAAATTTAAATAGCACGACCACAACTTGCTGGTTGGCTACGCCATTGCACAGTTTCTCGTTGAAATGCATCGAATGTATTGAGCTATCAAACGTTATCTCCACAAAAGAGATCATGATTACTTAAAATCATGATGCACTATATCATAATATCTCCCATTAGAAATGCCGTTAAAACAATTTCTACATTAATAATGCCCTTCTGTTGTACTACAGAAATGCGCGATGGCACAACAGCACGACATAGAGCTAACAAAGAAGGTAAGAAACAAAAAAAGAAAGTATTTTGCACGCTTTACAAATGACGAGTTCATATCAAATGCGGTTATTGTTTGTAGCTTGAACATACAAAATTACGACTGAACAAACTCCATATTTCACGCTCGATACTAAATATGAATCAAATTTTTTTCATTTTAAAAATCAGTCCGTACCATCATTTCGGCCATTGTCGATGCTGTACTCGATGGCGATCGGAAAAGACGATCAGAGACAGTGGGTTAGTAGACAGCAATGGCGTAGCTAGCATCGATGATTGGGGTGGGTGGGTGTTCATATATGTACACTAGTTACAAACGTACATACCATGCATATATGAACACAGCCCCCCCCCCCACCCAATTATCAAGTTGGCAATGCAGCTGGTAGACAGTAATATCTAACCATGTTGAATTTAGTAGTAAGTTTTGCTCGTGCCATTTTACCCTCAAAAGCGTAAGATATTTATAGATTTAGACGATGAGAAGCCATCGAAAGTAAAAAGGAAAGATTGGAAAAACATGAAGAAAAGTAATAAAAATACAAACGGTATTCTCTAGGAACTGAATGTTTTATGATAGAAAATACTGCTGTCATCAAATCATGCTTTAATATTCTCATAGACATGATGCATTTTGGGAAGAACGTGAAAACGATCAATAAACGTGATGAGCAGGAGGACAGCGTACCATTGGCCGATGTCATAGCAACCAGCGATGTCAAATCCAGAGAAAGCCAATCAGAAATAAGCAAGAAAGACGTGATAAGTCGAGCTAAGAATGAGAAATCGACTGTTTTGAATGAAATAGGTTCAACAAACAAGGCAACTTCTTCAGGAAAACAACATAAGATGAAAAACACTGAAAACAAGACAAGGAAAGAAAGAGATGAAAAATCATCAATTGATAAATCGACTTCAAAGATATCCCCATCACGTAATTCCACGTATAAATCAACCACAAAAATGAAGGAAGCAAATGTTAAGTCAAAAATAACAACGGCACAAAAGAAAAGCTCCATAAAAGCCGATAGCTACGAGGATTTTTTGGCGCACGATGCAGCATTGTTTTCACAGAAGCAACATAAATCTCTTGAGGATAATGATGAAAGTTATGAAGTGAAGGAGAAGACCGTAGATAGAACAGGAAATTTTGACGACATGAGAGCTGGTATGGGAAATACCTATACAATGAATGATAAAAATGCCAAAGGCTTATCGAATGGCTCGGTGAGCGAAAATGATTTAATGAACAAACAATATCCAATAAACGAGAATGAGATAATGAACAAGAACCATCCAATAAATGAGAATGATTCAATGGACAAGAACCATCCAATAAACGAGAATGATTCAATGGACAAGAACCATCCAATAAACGAGAATGATTCAATGGACAAGAACCATCCAATAAACGAGAATGATTCAATGGACAAAACCATCCAATAAACGAGAATGATTCAATGGACAAAACCATCCAATAAACGAGAATGATTCAATGGACAAAAACCATCCAATAAACGAGAATGATTCAATGGACAAAAATTATCCAATAAACGAGAATGATTCAATGGACAAAACCATCCAATAAACGAGAATGATTCAATGGACAAAAACCATCCAATAAACGAGAATGATTCAATGGACAAAACCATCCAATAAACGAGGATGATTCAATGGACAAAATTATCCAATGAATGAGAATGATTCAATGGACAAAAATTATCCAATAAACGAGAACGATTCAATGGACAAAACCATCCAATAAACGAGAATGATTCAATGGACAAAAACCATCCAATAAACGAGGATGATTCAATGGACAAAAATTATCCAATGAATGAGAATGATTCAATGGACAAAAATTATCCAATAAACGAGGATGATTCAATGGACAAAAACTACCCAATAAACGAGGATGATTCAATGGACAAAAATTATCCAATGAATGAGAATGATTCAATGGACAAAACCATCCAATAAACGAAAACAATTGGAGGTTGAATGAAATGAAAGAGGAAAGCAATGACATGTTGACAAATACAATGGTGTCTAAACCTGGTCACACAAAGACAGATGATAATCACAATTTCCATAAATTTGGCCAAGATGAAAAATCATCAAATAACTCCAATTATGATGAACCAACTTCTGAAAAACAGCCTGTACACGAAGAAACGATAAATGAGGAAAACTTCGATGAACCAGACACAAATGAATCCGATAGTAAAGCGTCAGATACAAAAGAATCGAGCACAAAAAATGCAGCAGCATCAAGTTTAACTCAATCATATCCAGATGAATCTTACGTACCCGAGACAAATTTGGAATACTCCAACAAAAATGTACAAAACTTGGATGAATTCAACCGAAACAAAGATAATTCTGGATGGACAGGCTCAAACCGAAAATCACGGAATTCTTCGGAAAACAAACCATTTTATGAACATGAAAAAGTGACACCTGTCACAGGAGAAGGTGATGTAAATGAAGAAAATAAGAAAATTTGGAAAACAGTAGACGCTGTTGGCACGTCTAAACAATCAGGGACAATGACACCAAGCCAACCAAAAGATGCTTTAAAAGATAATCGCGAAATGGAGAAAGTAACACAAGATCAAAAAATCGATAGATCCGAAGATGAAGCGACAGGGAATAACATTGATCCGTACGAACAACGTAACGATGACAGTTCGGTGGCTGTGTCCAATGGCGCTCCTCTATGGAGATCTGAACAAACAAGTCAAAACGTAAATGATGATAAGGAGTTCAAATCTACGACGGATGTTTCAAATAAGAATTCTCACAAAAATCGCACAAGAAACTCCAAGCTATTTCCAGATAGTCAAGCAAATAAGCCGGCAAAAATCAATCAAGATCATTTCGTGCCTCAAGAAAACACGAAAGGAAAATCGAATAATAAAGTAGGAGGCAAAATGAACGGCAAAGGCACTGGATCAGAATATAATGGCTCCATAACAAAAGGTCTTGGAGAACATCGAAACACTACAAAAATTGTATCAGAAAATAAAGAAGGAAAGCCTTTCAACGGTTCTTCTCAAAGTTTGAAATCGGAAGATTCTCAACTTTTTATCCATGATAAAGGAAATAAAATTTTGGTGACAAACAGCAAGAATTATGGCAACTCGAAGGCCTCGGGAAACGAAAAACACCAAAATAAAGTTGACAACGATAAGTTGCTGAAAAACGAACGTTTTAATCAAGGTTCTGCACACACTAGCGAGCAGAAAGAGAACGAAAATTTACAACACGAAGAGAGCAATACAGAAGGCAAGAAGGCGCCCGCTGACAACACCATGAATGAAAAGGATATAGAAAACATTTCCAACTCAAAAACTTTAGACGTTAACGATGATAGCAATTATGATGTTAATCAACCAGATAGAATTGGAGAGAACATGGATGGATCTCTTATAGGGAATTATAATCAGGTTGATGGGAATGAAGACCTATATGGAACAATTGGTGATGGGAATGAGAAAATTCTTGATAATTCATACATATTTAATGATGGTGAAACACAGGATAGTGATTACACAAAGCAAGGTACGCATTGCACTGTAAAATACAAACAATAAACCGCGTGCGGTGATTGGTCTATAGCTGTGTTTGCATGCGGTGATTGGTCTATAGCTGTGTTTGCATGCGGTGATTGGTCTATAGCTGTGTTTGCATGCGGTGATTGGTCTATAGCTGTGTTTGCATGCGGTGATTGGTCTATAGCTGTGTTTGCATGCGGTGATTGGTCTATAGCTGTGTTTGCATGCGGTGATTGGTCTATAGCTGTGTTTGCAAGCGGTGATTGGTCTATAGCTGTGTTTGCATGCGGTGATTGGTCTATAGCTGTGTTTGCATGCAGTGATTGGTCTATAGCTGTGTTTGCATGCAGTGATTGGTCTATAGCTGTGTTTGCATGCGGTGATTGGTCTATAGCTGTGTTTGCATGAGGTGATTGGTCTATAGCTGTGTTTGCATGCAGTGATTGGTCTATAGCTGTGTTTGCATGCGGTGATTGGTCTATAGCTGTGTTTGCGTTAGCCTGTTCAAACCGATCTGGGCTCAAATCTTTGCCATCAATATATTTATAGTGAGCAACCTTTGGACAAATCCATCACAAAACGATCCATCACTTGGTGCGAGCCCAAATTATGACGATATTGAACCAAATATAAAATTTCCTGGTGAACAAAACAATTTCTACCAACAAGATAGTTCTCACGCAAATGAAGGAGTATGGAATGAAAACAACATGTAAATATTTTTATTTATATTAGCATAGTAACTATTCTGTAGGGATGTATAGGAACACAGTAACGATACTGTAAAGATGTATATGAACACAGTAATGATACTGTAAGGATGTATAGGAACACAGTAACGATACTGTAAGGATGTATAGGAACACAGTAACGATACTGTAAGGATGTATAGGAACACAGTAATGATACTGTAAGGATGTATAGGAACACAGTAATGATACTGTAAGGATGTATAGGAACACAGTACAGGTAACTAGCTCTTCCTCATTTAACAAAAATACACCTTCAACGTGACTGTTTTGATATCATACAGGAATGGAAATAACGAGTACAACTCGTTGCTAAGCAGCATGGCAAACAACCCACAAGTGAGCGGACAATCCTTACAAGATCAGCTACAGGATTATCAATCTAATGCTTGGAATGGACAGGAGTCTCCTTATTTACGCCAAATAGAAAGTTTGACTGATGTAAATCAAGACAGACAAAACTCAAGAAAAAGAAAAGTCATACCACACAAAGACGCAAAAAACGGTTAGTAAAATAAAAATAAACAGAAAAACCACTTATTAAGATTCAGTAGAATTCCAACCAAGGTTTAGATCACAGCTTTAGAAAAGCCGGTCGTGTTACAAAAACACGACTTTACTAAGGTATAACACAACACGACTTTACTTAGGTATAACACAACACGACTTTACTTAGGTACAACACAACACGACTTTACTTAGGTATAACACAACACGACTTTACTTAGGTATAACATAACACGACTTTACTTAGGTATAACACAACACGACTTTACTTAGGTATAACACAACACGACTTTACTTAGGTATAACACAACACGACTTTACTTAGGTATACAACACAACACACTTAGATCAAGGACCACGCGTAAAAATAACCCAAACGGCTTTATAGGACAAACCGGATCCTTCATTCACCGTCGATCTGAGTTACCAGGTATGAAATGATTGTAGATCTTTAGGCACTTTTGCAGACCCTTACTTTGGATTGCGTCATATTTGTGAGCACCCTGTACGCAGGCTAACAACTATTTCATACTGAAAAAAAAAGGTAGAAATCGGCCAGCCGACATGCTTCCATCCATATTATTGATCTCTATGTTCGAACTGGATGTACAAATAAACAAAGAACTTACATAATGTACTGTTAACCACTTTCAATAAAGAAATACCAACGGAAACTTATCTAGAAACGATAATTCTTATGCTAGGACTAAAGGAGGTCAATAACCCACATCTGTTTCACTGACATTAGTCTAATCCAAATAACACAAGATGTCATACAAACGCAAGTTTTCCAAGTGACTGGAAACGTCCATTACTCTTCGTTGACGCTACACACATGTACGCTCTGCGTACCTTTTTTCATATCTTAAGCTTCTATTTCTTTGCATTGAAAATCCAATAATTCTTTTCTGTGAATTTTGTTCAGACAAACGAAGAAACGAAAATGAAGATGAGATTTATGAAAACTTGTTCACGGACATTAAAGAACCATGGATTCAACGTTTTTTGACAAAAACATTGCAGACGGCGGTAAACGAAAATAACGATTACCTTAACTCAAGTGATAGAGAACAAGACGAAAATCAAGATAACCTAAACTCAAATGATAAAAAACAACACGAAAATAGAAATCATCGAAACTCAAATGATAGAAAACAACACGAAAATAAAGATTCCCTAAACTTAAATGGTAGAGAACAACACGAAAATCAAGATAACCTACACTCAAATGATAAAGAACAACACGAAAATAAAGATACCCTAAACGTAAATGGTAGAGAACAACACGAAAATCAAGATAACCTAAACTCAAATAAGAAAGAACAACACGAAAATAAAGATACCCTAACCTTAAATGGTAGAGAACAACACGAAAATCAAGATAACCTAAACTCAAATGATAAAGAACAACACGAAAATGAAGATACCCTAAACTCAAATGATAAAGAACAACACGAAAATAAAGATACCCTAAACTTAAATGGTAGAGAACAACACGAAAATCAAGATAACCTAAACTCAAATGATAAAGAACAACACGAAAATGAAGATAACCTAAACTCAAATGATAAAGAACAACACGAAAATGAAGATAACCTAAACTTAAATGATAAAGAACAACACGAAAATGAAGATAACCTAAACTCAAATGATAAAGAACAACACGAAAATAAAGATACCCTAAACTTAAATGGTAGAGAACAACAACAAGGTTTGTCTTACATTAAATCATCATTTAAAAAATAAAAGATGTTTACTGTGTTTGCACAGGCTTATGCAAACCGAGAAGACCTTTGGCTCAGTGTGACAGCTGTCTGAGTGATGCAATAACGGAGCGTCATGACGTATATTTTATTATTACTTCTAATGAACACTTTGACGTGACAGCTGTCTGAGTGATGTAATAACGGAGCGTCATGACGTATATTTTATTATTACTTCTAATGAACACTTTGACGTGACAGCTGTCTGAGTGATGTAATAACGGAGCGTCATGACGTATATTTTATTATTACTTCTAATGAACACTTTGACGTGACAGCTGTCTGAGTGATGCAATAACGGAGCGTCATGACGTAGATTTTATTATTACTTCTAATGAACACTTTGACGTGACAGCTGTCTGAGTGATGCAATAACGGAGCGTCATGACGTATATTTTATTATTACTTCTAATGAACACTTTGACTCTAGCCGTATCAGCTGGCCTGCCTTCATTGCATAACCTTATTATACATACATAGCCAGCGTAACTGAGCATGCTGACCACAAACAGCGCGGACCTCCAAACGCTGACGTCCACGACTCAGCTGTTAAAGAACTTCATTTTTCTATATTGTAGCTGATACAGAGAACGCCTCGAAAAAAAGTAATGGTTTGGTGAAAGATGAAGAACTTGAAATGCCCATAGATGCAACGATAAATAAAGACGACTCTGTTCGTAAACACACAGATGGCCATGACGATCTCGATGACGTCAATAATGACGTGTATGATGAAGAGGATGACAACAACAATGTTGACAATGATGACGTGGAAAAAACGGAAGTAAATAATTCAAGAGAAGACAACGGCAATATGAACGATGTAAGCGGCAAAAATATTACAGAATTAATCAACCATATTAATGAAAACTTATTTATCGTGTAGACGCTTGCGTTACAAGACATGAATACAGATGAAGCTGCCGATAAAAAACACGACACAGTTAGGTAAGCATGCTAAAAACTGAAAAGATGAAATCGTCACCATTCAGTGAAAATGTCAACATCGCCCCCCTGTGAGCAGATATCATTACGTCACCATCAGATAGAGATAGTCTTTTAAGAATGGATCAACAGAGATTATAAAATTAATACAATAAAATGCGTGCGGTGATTGGTCTATAGCTGTGTTTGCCTGCGGTGATTGGTCTATAGCTGTGTTTGTGATTGGTCTATAGCTGTGTTTGCATGCGGTGATTGGTCTATAGCTGTGTTTGCATGAGGTGATTGGTCTATAGCTGTGTTTGCATGAGGTGATTGGTCTATAGCTGTGTTTGCATGCAGTGATTGGTCTATAGCTGTGTTTGCATGCAGTGATTGGTCTATAGCTGTGTTTGCATGTGATTGGTCTATAGCTGTGTTTGCATGAGTGATTGGTCTATAGCTGTGTTTGCATGCGGTGATTGGTCTATAGCTGTGTTTGCATGAGGTGATTGGTCTATAGCTGTGTTTGCATGCGGTGATTGGTCTATAGCTGTGTTTGCATGCAGTGATTGGTCTATAGCTGTGTTTGCATGCAGTGATTGGTCTATAGCTGTGTTTGTGATTGGTCTATAGCTGTGTTTGCATGAGTGATTGGTCTATAGCTGTGTTTGCATGCAGTGATTGGTCTATAGCTGTGTTTGCATGCAGTGATTGGTCTATAGCAGTGTTTGCCTTAGCTTGTGCAAACACAGTAAACATCTTCTGTATATTAAATGACGCACGTTCAACAAATTTTCAAACTCCACCTACAGCCACTTTTACACATGCAAATAGTACAGAAGCTTTTCCCCAAAACAACAATGCAGCAATGAATGTATTGACTAAACCCGGTTTACCATTATCACAAAATAGCCTTAGCACACAGACAACACAGCAGATAAATAGAACGACATTGAATTCACCCGTTGTGACAGACCATCAATCAGCCCCGTCTATCATTGGTCCACTTATTAAAGTGATTGCGTCAGCTCCTAATAAAATCGAAGCAAGTTCAAGAGGACAAAATGATCTCTATGACAACAAGAAAATTCAAATGACGATTGACAACGCTCTAAACAGCAGTAAGTAAAATATAAATAAACACTTTCGGGGAATGCGTTGTCCGTTCACAAAGTACGAGGCAATTTTGATCATCCCAACAACACGTGATCATTGACGAAATGCAACAAACACCTAGGTATTCAAAATGTCGGAATATCATCATCAAACGACATACTGGAAAACGCCATCAAGGAAAAGGAAGTGAGTGAACATAAACTGTAAGATCAGTTTTAATTTTTCAATTCAGTTTTAATTCTTTATTTTCTTAATCTTGAAGTTAGTTAATGTTCTCAAAGACGCCATCCCTCTCAACCAACGAAGACCAGTTGGCACCGAAGAAGACTTGAAGAAAGGTGAACATACCTAGACATATACGTATTTTCTTGTTGCATGACGGTATTGCACATAAATCACGTCTGAAACTTGCTTTCTATACATCCTAGTGGAGTTTTTAAGGTTGGCTGAAAAAATCTCAACACTACATTAGTTGACATAATATCTTCAATACAGGTCTTGATCACTTAAAAGATTACGCTATTTCTCTGACTGAAACCAAAGGCCTATCACTGGCTAAGCGTGACAACATAGCCGAGGAGCTAGCTGGTGATCTAATGGAAGAAATGCGAGTTGAGAACAAACGAAAGGAGGAAATACTAAAAGAGCTTATGTCTTTTGTAAAGGCTATCGAAGTATCAACAATAAAAGGTTTCTTTTGCTCAATTTTTTTTTGGTTACCTTAGGAAAATGAGGAACGGTTATAAATCAATAGTAGTTTTTCTCTGGATAACTACAGTGAGAAATCATGTGCGCTAGGAATAGTCACACAGGTTTACAATGTTAACCCCCTGAACTAAAATACATGGAACGCTACCTGTAATACAAAACCCTGATGATTTTTTGAAGCCGTGATTTTACCCCAGACACGCGGATTTTACACCAGACACGCGTGTGAAGTCGATCAATTTCCACTCCGCGAGAGAATCCCGAAACACGACACACGTATCTGATGTAAGATTTGGCTTTAATTATTTACTTCAGGTAGCGTTCCATGTATTTTAGTTCAATGTGCTTACCATTCAATTCTACGACTATATTTCTTATGTTCTCCATCACTTTCTCTACATAGAACGGATGAAAGCGATAAAAACTCAAGTGATCAAAGCATCAGAAGAGAGTCCAGAGAACGAGAACAAAATACGCGATACGGCAAGAAAACTGTTAACTGATCTCCTAGAACACATTGGGCTACCGGAGATGAAACGGAAGCGAGCAAAAAGGCTGTGGATGATTCCAAGTTGCTAAAAAGTTTGGTACAAGCTGGAGAAAAGACTGTATTGTTGATGAAACTGAAGGAAGCCTTAGTTGACTTAGTAGCACACAAACTTTTGTAAATTTTTCACGGCGTCGCAACACTTGTAATTAAACTAATTTTGAAAATAAATAAAATCTTTACGTTTTTGTGAAGAATTAAGGATGAAGTGTCTTCACTTTCCAAAGACTTCGACCGCAATTCGTTCTCAGATAGAAATAGCTCAAAAGCTATACCTAATTCAAGGTGACAAATACCCCAATAAATATAACATCCCATAGTGCTGTTCGAGAGCATGAAGACTCTCTCGCTGCCAAGTTTACACATGTGCAGGTTGCTCTGACGCAAGTGAACGGTTGAGTGAACAACATTGCTCACACACCAAAAATGACTATGGTCAATTTGACGATCGAAGAGAAATGATCAGAAATCAGAATTGAGAACGATAGTCTCTCAAGAGTTGGAGTAAAAATCAACTCGAAAATAAAGATTGGCGATCGTTGTGTTTTTGTTTCAACGGATTTACATTTTTAGGAAGATAAGGAATTTTGTCAAGAGTGTTTGAATTCTTTAAAGACAAAACAAATGGACATCGTAGCATCAAAACATTTGAAAACCACAGCAATGTGAAACCCAAGAAAGATAAAACACTTTGTTAAAAACTCCAATCTACCACGTACTACGGAACACAGAGAACTAACAGTTGTCTTGCTACGAGAAAATTATCATTACGACAAAAAACCACGTAGAATACGTCAGTCCACTACGTACTACGGAACACAGAGAGCTAACAGTTGTCTTGCTGCGAGAAAATCATCATTACGACAAAAAAAAACTAAGGGAGAAACCCACGTAGAATACGTCAGTCCACTGAAACGTCTGTAATAGCAAAGAAAGATAATGCAAATGGTAGATTTGTGATACAATATCGTGAATAACTAGCTATAGTTTATGAGCTCGGAATAACTACGATATCATTAATGGGTTCCTATGGGAAATTGGATCACATCATTAGGATTAACAGAGGTTATTGAGGGATTAACATGCTGCATATCATCCATATTTAACCTCGTGTGTTCCTCGTGTATCATCAAGCATTCTCGATTTCTGTTTTCGATATATCTTTGTCTGGGAACCGTCTTAAGTTTCCTAGCTGTCAGTCCGAACATGCGCAGCACTCTGGATAAAATACCTTACTTCTGTACAGCGGTAACCACGAAAGAAATGTGCGACAATTTGGTCGGTTATCGGTCGGTTTATCGTATTTGTCTATCGTTGGCAATGTTTTATGCACTTTTTGGAGTGTTTATGTTGAACACGAAGTCCAAGAATGATTTTCGTCTAAAATTTCACGACGGATTCTGGTTATTAAAACTATTGCTATTGGTTGGAATATTCGTCGCATTATTTCATATACCACAACTAGCTGAGTTCGGAATTTTACTCATGTACGTGGGTCTTGTTGCTGGATTTGTGTTTATTTTGTTGCAAATCCTCTTGGTCATTGACTTTGGAAACTCGTGGAGTTATTTAGGAACGGAAGAAACAGACTCTGGTGGTAGCAAGCTTTGGTCAACATTTCGCGCTGTCACAACAATATCGATGTATTCTATAGCCATCACGATGGCTTTTTTATTATCTTTACTTCACAGATGTTCCAAATCTTTCAAAGTGTCGTGGAAACACGTTTATAATAACCTTTAATATCGTCCATTGTTCACTTGCTTCTATTATTTCAATTTTACCTCGCGTCCGACAAACTTCCCCAGATCGGGTCTTCTACAGTCTTCCATAGTGACTCTTTACACAATGTACTTAACATGGTGTACGCTGAGCAGTGAGCCTGACGGCGCGTGCAACCCGATGGGAGACGTTATTTTACAATATAATGAAGCATCAGGAATCAACGGTCAATCGATTTTTGAATGCATTTTAATGTTTGCCCTGTTAATTTACGCGTGTAACGTTCGCGCGAACACGTCAAAGTTGGAAAAAATAGGATTTTCTCTGACGAAATATTCGGTCGATGAGGAAGAGACATTTTTGGGTTACCACGAAGAAAACGGCGGCGAAAATTTTGTCAATGACGACAAGGTTGAGTACAATTATTCCTCCTTTCATTTTGTCATGTTTTTGGCGTCACTTCAACTCATGATGATAGTGACGAATTGGCACAGTCCTGACGAACAAGCAGACTTGAAAAAACTAGTGAAAAATTGGGCGACGGTTTGGATTCAACTATCATCTAGTTTTATATGTGTCCTTTTCTATATATGGGCAACCGTTTCACCTTTAATTCTAAGAACTTGGGGAGCATGCCTAGGACTGGACTACGAAGCAGTTCCGACTGTAGACGAGTACGAACTACTAGAAAGACTTCCAAAAAGGCAAAAAAACAAAACAGGGAAAGGTTATGGCACTTCCCATGGAGAAATGGAAAGTTTTGGTGCAAAGATCAATAATGACGAAAAGTTTACAGTGAGAAAAACACGGGAAACTTTTGAGGTTTTCGAGAAAAATAATCACTGCCAAACGATAAATAAATCCGAAAGCAAATCAAGTAACCAAATAAACCTTTCTAAAAATAACATGGCTCAAGTCGATGATTATGTCACAAAGGACAGTGGTATGGGCGATGAAACAAATTTTACAACCATATCAAGTAGTCGTGATTATTCAAAATCATCGAATCATTCTCAAGGTACCAAAGAACCAGAGAAACAACATGAGGAAAGACAGCAACTTGACACGGATAAGGTTATGATCGAGGAGAAATATTACAAGAGTGAAAATCTTATAAATACCGACTTAGAAGAAGAAGACCAAAATCTGCTATGGTATTTACCAATATAGACGATAGTAATAGTAGTCATGAAAGGAACAAAACGTACCTTCAAATGAGAGCAATGAGCTGCGAGCCTCCACAAATATGGCGAAAAGATTTTGCGTCAAATAGATTTCACCACGAGAAGAAAGACACTTGGCACCAACCCTACAAAAGGTTGCATAATAATGAGTTTCATTCAAACTCAGCTTTTGATAATAAACACAACAAAAAGAAAAATCATGTCAATGGTGCAAATGTGTCAAAAACGCATGAATTTTTGGCGACTCGAGAAATCAATGCACGCACAAAAACTGAAGAAAGTAGCGATTTTGGTAAAAAAGAGCTTCGTTATGATGCGGAGGATGTAAGAGATAATGCAAGTATTGAAAACGAAATAAGACCTTCGCTCCAAATGCGGGATCACTTAGAATGGGCGAAGAGATTACGAAAATACAACAATAACTTAAACATTGAAAATAAACGTAAAAAGATGACAAAAAACATCATTAACGGGAAAGAAGATTCATTCTTAACAACAACTTGTCTAAATAATGTGAAGGAAAATATAGAAGAAACTGCAAATGATTTTGAATGTCACGGAGAAAATTCTTATAAACGACGTCGTTTAAACAGCGAGGCAAACGAAGAAAAAACGAACAGCATTGAAAACGAGGCAAATGAAGAAAAAACGAACAGCATTGAAAACGAGGAAAATGAAGAAAAAACGAACTTAAGGAGCGCGAAACTGATAAAAATTGCCAAACAAACGTTGGACGTGGTCCATGAATGCAGGAGGAATCCGGTATCACTAAATGGAGTAAAAATGACGAAAACGATGTAAAATTACAAACTCCGGAAGTTTCAAAAGAAATATTGAGAATTCAGCAAAAAATATTGAAATTCCAAGCAAAAGTTGTAAAAACGCAAATGCAGATTCATGAAATGCAGAATTCGTAGTTTTAAAATAAAAAGAAATATTCTTTGTACGTATAGTATATTGATGTTTTGTATAGGATATATAAATAGACAATTATCGCTGAAGAAATTGCTAATTTTTTTGAGGTAGTTTTGCACACATAAAATATTTATATAATTTTATGGACAGGAAATTAAAGCGGGCATGTTTTCCATACAACAGGTAGTTTTTTTCAGGCTTCATCAAACATCAACTTGGATATACGTATGAGAACATGAAGGCACATCAAACAACGAAACAAACAACAAATTTAACAAATATGACAAAAAATGAGTCAAAGTCTAAAGTAAGAAGAAACATATGGCAGAGGTTCCGACAATTCATCACGAATACTTCATCACCTTCCTTGAACATGTCAGATAGCTCATTCACAACTCAAAATGGATACAGCGAGAATATGATGAAAAGTCCTTCAGAGTTTACATTAAGTACATGTTTGAACAAAAGCACGAAGGCAAAAGGATCAAAGAATTCTTGTGAAAATATTAGTGAATTGGCATTGGTTGTAACACAAAGTGAAAATAACAAAGAAGTAATGAATAATTTTCAAGATGTAAACACAAGATACAATAGTGTTCAGAAGAAAACAGGTGCAATGGAAACAGAAACTTACAAGAAGTTGAAAAAGATGAAGAACATGATATTGTTATGAATGAAAAAAAAGAAGAAATTATTCGTCTTCAACAGAAAGTATTGAGACTTCAAGATAAAATTCATGTGCTACAGCAGAAAGTTTCTCTGTTGCAAGGACTTTAAATAAGATTGGAAAATAATGCACTCTATCAGAAGTTTCGTAGGAGAGTGGAAGATAGTGAACCAGATTTCTTTATTAATACATAGATGATCATGCATTGCCTTAAATATCTTGCTAAATATGTACTTGCCATGATCAAGGATGTGTCCATCATTTATCCCCGACATACCTAATTGTACAGTAAAAACATTAATGCTTTCATCGAAACTAGAAAATAACTTTAAACTTTGCAAAACCAGGCATGATAGTTTGTGTTTAAGACAAACTATCAACAGAGAATGTTTAAGTTTTTGTCAAACAACAGCAAATTTGAACTCTTATGTCCTATTTTCTCAGCACGTTAGAATTATCAGATAGCAAGCAAACTTGAACTTATTACATGCATACAGCATCGTTAAACATGCTTCGAATACCCAGGGCTAGTTGAATTTGAAACATGGTAAACACTACTTTAACTATCGCGCTTCACCAAATGAAATCAAAAAACTTGTGGACGAAGTGCTGAACTTTTACTTATCATACCGTTCATACCTTAATGAATAGTGTTGTCGTTTGCCTTTGTCGCTTTTCCTCCAGACTATCGAGGTTTCTAAAGATGCTAACTTTGTCATATTTTTTACAAGTTCAAAGCCCATGAATATCGCGGAAAAAATTCTTTCTAATGTTTAGTACGTAAAGTTTCAAAAAATGGCGGTGAATATGTCACGCGTGTCTAGAGATCAATTTACGTGTATTACACGCGCGAGACTACACGTTACACGTTATACCGAAGACTTTTCTGATTTTGCTCAAAGAACAAACTTAGAAAAGTATTGTGGCATTAAGGGTGATGGGGCTTGATCTTTATTCAGTCAATTAAGATGCTTACTATTGAATACGTATTTTGAAAAAGGCTAGAATTCACACATTTTTAAAAATGTGTAAAATTGCTTACGTGAAAATCTGTCAAAGTGTGTGAATTATAGTGCAATCGAATTACACGATTACAATGTAATCGATTACACATTTTCACACAAAGACTACCTTTGTGTCTACCTTAATATCTATCTTTATGTCTACATTTACGTATACCTTTGGGTCTAACAATGTGTCTACCTTTATATCTACCTTTATGTCTACCTTTATGTCTACCTTTATGTCTACCTTTATGTCTACCTTTATGTCTACCTTTATGTCTACCTTTATGTCTACCTTTATGTCTACCTTTATGTCTACCTTTATGTCTACCTTTATGTCTACCTTTATGTCTACCTTTATGTCTACATTTATGTCTACCTTTACGTCTACCTTTATGTTTACCTTTAAGTCTACCTTTAGGTTTAAATTTGTGTCTACCTACCTGTCTACCTTATGTTTACACAGTTGTCCATGAACTTCTAAATTACAAAAGCATCTAAAAACTATGTTCATTATTCATATTTTTGAGCGTAATATGTTCTAGCAGTGTAATTACATATATATAAGTTACATTTTATTGCATAAAAGACAAGAAATGAAATCATGTGATTGAATTCGCATATTCTGTTTGTAGAATGTTTTTAGGTAAAATATAGAATACAATCGTTTGTCAGATAGCATCTTTCCTAAGTTAAAGATATTTTAGTTTGGAAAACGAAGTATTTACAAGGCGTATATAATATCTGAATATATTATACCATTCTTTAACACTTTAAAATTTTACTTGAACGATGAACACAAAGAGCCCTGCGTGTAAGCAGAGCGTTTAACAGCAAACTTTGTGAACATACAACTTATTAACACAACAAGAGACACGTTGTCAATCCTCCATCAAACTTCATCCTCTTTTGCAACAATTGTGTTAAGATCTCTTACGAGATTCTCTAAATTACTGTCGCCGTAACTGTAGTATGACAGCTGTAAAAAAGGTATATCAGAATGTAGAGAAGTCCTACTTTTCTAAAATTAAAAATATTGAATTGGACGTAAGCGGAAAGCTACCTTCGACAAAACAGCAATTCAACTTGTCTCAAACCCTCGACACGCGGCTCTAAGAATCATTATTACAACATACGCAGCTGGTGTCTGAGGGTAAAATTTGGCTTCATGCAAGGAGAGACATGTTTATACAAAGGTAACCATCCAGTTATATATTCAGTTCAATGGTTATAACATGAAAAGTTAGAGCTAACAATTTCATCATCTTTATGATAAAATCTTATACATTACAGCAAGCGCAGACATGTTTATATTAAGGTAACCATCCAGTAATATAATCAGTTCAATGGTTATAACATGAAAAGTTAGAGCTAACAATGTCATCATCTTTATGATAAAAACTTATACATTACAGCAAGCGCAGACATGTTTATACAAAGGTAGCCATCCAGTTATATATTCAGTTCAATGGTTATAACATGAAAAGTTATAGCTAACAATGTCATTATCTTTATGATAAAAACTTATACATTACAGCAAGCGCAGACATGTTTATATTAAGGTAGCCATCCAGTTATATATTCAGTTCAATGGTTATAACATGAAAAGTTAGAGCTAACAATGTCATTATCTTTATGATAAAAACTTATACATTACAGCCGAACCTCATGTAAGAAGACACCCTTTGGCTCACAACTTGATCTCTGCTTTCGGGAGGTGTTCATAAGTAGAAATTTGACAGTAGTAAAATAATTTTACCTAGCTTAAACTTACATCACCATTCGCTTTACCCTCTGGGAGATAGCTGACACTTGGTTCATTGCATTTTGGTGAAACTATTTCTTCAGAGCCGTAGTCACTAGATGGTCCCTCGTTTCCATTCAAACTCTATAAAGACAAAGTATTTAACATGCACAAGACGTCATAAAGAAATCGCCTATGGGTCATTTTCAACACTCACATGCATGCAGATCCCTTTGCAATGGATCATTTTGACCACCCACATGCATGGAGATCCCTCATGCATAGATATCCTTCTTTGATAGGTCATTTTGACCGCCCACATGCTTCGAATTGTTTTTTTGATAAATCATTTTGACCACACACATGCATGAAGATCCCTTTGCAATGGATCATTTTGACCACCCACATACACGGAGATCCCTTTGCAATGGATCATTTTGACCACACACATGCATGAAGATCCCTTTGCAAAGGATCATTTCAATCACCCACATACATGGAGATCCCTTTGCAATGGATCATTTTGACCACCAAATGCACAGAGATCCCTCTATAAAGGTCATTTGCATTGCCCACAGGCATTCCGGGATCATAATACATGTATAATGATTTTGTACAACAGGAAGAAACTTGAATGGAAAGCATGGAAATTAGTGTACCTCAGGAGGAGATGGAAATGATGAACGTTTCTCTGTTGTGAATGGAGACATACGGACTGTCATGTTGTCCTGGGGATCAACGACGGGCAATGGTTGATAATCTTCACCATGGCGATATGGTGGACTTTCGAGAAAAGATTTGGGAGATTTTTCTAAAAATGATCAAACATATGTAAAAGTTAATCATCTTCGTTTTTCCCAAAACTATACCAACATCATAAATCATGCACTGTTCTGAAACGAACAGACACTATCCTTGCATGTTCCCCTTAAAACTATCAAAACATCACCTAGCAACACAGTCTTGTGACTCAACACTATTCTAACATGATCTACCTTACACTGTCTACATATCATCTATCCAACACTGTCCTAAAATGATCTACCTTACACTGTCTACATATCATCTATCCAACACTGTCCTAAAATGATCTACCTTACACTGTCTACATATCATCTATCCAACACTGTCCAATGTCCATATCATCTACACTGTCATCTATATAACACTGTCCTAACATGATCTACACTGTCTATATATCATCTACCCAACACTGTCCTAACATGATCTACCTTACACTGTCTATATATCATCTACCCAACACTGTCCTAACATGATCTACCTTACTCTGTCTATATATCATCTACCCAACACTGTCCTAACATGATCTACCTTACTCTGTCTATATATCATCTACCCAACACTGTCCTAACATGATCTACCTTACACTGCCTATATATCATCTATCCAACACTGTCCTAACATGATCTACCTTACACTGTCTATATCATCTACCCAACACTGTCCTAACATGATCTACCTTACACTGTCTACATATCATCTACCCAACACTGTCCTAACATGATCTACCTTACACTGTCTATATATCATCTACCAACACTATTCTAACATGATCTACCTTACACTCTACATATCATCTACCCAACACTGTCCTAACATGATCTACCTTAACACTGTCTATATATCATCTACCAACACTATCCTAACATGATATACATTACATTATCCATATATCATCTACCCAACACTATCCTAACATGATTTATCTAACACTGTCAGTCATTTCTTTTGGGTAACTGTAACTGACCTTTTAGTTCTGTGTTTTTTTCGTTTTCTTGTTCAAGAATGCTTTGATCTTTTCTCGATTGTAAAGGAGTATCTAAAGGTTTCATTTCGTCCGCATTTCTGTATAGCAAAAATAGTTGTAGAAATAGTTGAGTAATTTTGTGACAACAAAAAAATGCGAGCGCTGATTGGTCTATAGCTAAGCTTCCATTAGCCTGTAAAAACTTAACGTCAATCTATCATGAACAAGTAATAAAACATTTGTTTACAATTTGTCTGTTTTGCATTATGTTTGTTTTACAAAAGAAACACAAGATGTTTACTGTGTGTTGCAAAAGGCTTATGCAAACCGAGGCGACATTACTGAAAACTCTTGAACTTCGGTCTCGGGCTTGCAATGATCTGCTCTCGAGTTCTCTCAAAGGTCTACTCGGTTTGTTAATAAAAACTTGAATACGACAAACATCTTGATGCTTTTAAACACAATTACCTAGGTATGGTAGACGAAACAGTTTCGTCACTTTTCACACAAGGCTCCAACTCCAACTGATCCTGTTTAATCCAATAATCCTCCTTATTGCTCCTTTTTTTACTATGGCTGTTACCATTAGCAACAGCTTTATAAGACTCGGCCCCGTGCTTCCTTCAAAGTAAAATACCAACGAAGATTTTAACGTTCTAACACCACGTACATAAGATAACGGTTACAATTGCCACAAACCTTTTGAATGCAGGACTGCTGTGTGATTTTTTCTTGCACAAAATAACGCTAATAACAACTATGGCAGCAATCGTTATCGCTGCAATGACACCAATTACTATCCACAACGTCATCTCACTTTCACTCAGAGCACCTTTGTTGCTTGCTAAAATGAAGTATCACAATTCGAAACGCTTTCTTCACATAAAACAGCAATGCTTGAAATGAATTGGGGAAAGGAAATTAACATCGCGTTAAATAGTCCGAGAATGAAAACTTCCTGAAGCGGGAAAGAACAAAATGACTTTTATAATCTCTTCAGCGAAGTTAAATTATTCTACATATTTCCATGCATTGTTCATAAAAACGTTGCCATCTACATCGATGAAACAACAACAGCTCTTTACTAGATAAAACATTTTAATTGAAAACGTAGCAAACCTTCTATCTTTTCTTTTTTATCTGGCGGAACTATAAAAAATAATAAATTGTAAATAATTGAAAAGAATGTTAGTTGATCCTTCATGTATGTGATGTACAGAAGATGATACAATTAAAAGATGACTATCGCTAAGGTTGTCAAAACGACAGTCAACATTAAAAACAACAGCCTTCTCTGGACTTTACTGACGTGAACGAACTGCAGGGTTAAAACCATTTACTTTATTCAAAAAAACGTCAGAGAGTGTGACGTTTTCAAAACCAGAAATAGAAGATTTTCAATGTTGTTTATGGTAATGTTCCACAGAAAGGATGGAAATTAGTAGATAAGGTGAAATTCTGAAGTGAGCCGACAAAGTATTGCAGAGTAATCGTGGAAGTAAGAGCAGCGATAGGTGTTGACTTTAATAAACATGTTCCAGGAAGAGAAATGACTGTAGTAATTAAGAAATGCGGAAAAAAGGTGATGTTGGATGGAGAAGATAAAGAAAAGTGTGAGGAATGTTGTGTGATAAAATATTGTCAAGAATGGAATGAAAGATTTACAAAACGGTTGTACGACCAGCATTCTTGAAGGCAACAAAGGAAAGCGACGATTCATTCAAGAACATTAGAACATTCCATATGGAGTGTTGTGACTGAAGCTACCGTCTAAATTCAACATTACCTACCTGTTGTAGAAATGTTCCTAAATCTTATAGATGTATCTAAATATAAGAGAAACAGAATGTAAGTAAATAACAAAAAGATTCTTCGGCTTCATCGAATTTCAAGAAATCACAAAATTTTTCATCTGGAACAAACGTATATTCCCTAATCTCAACCTATCATCATGTTATCCAAGTGTGTATTCTTAAATCCTACGTTATCATCACACATCATACAGATGTACGCTTCTGCTATCATCCATCTTTCATGTATATTCCCTAATCTCATCCTATCATCATGTTATCCAAGTGTGTATTCTTAAATCCTACGGTATCATCACACATCATACAGATTCCCTAATCTCAACCTATCCTCATGTCATCCAAGTGTGTATTCTTAAATCCTACGGTATCATCACACATCATACAGCTTCCCTAATCTCAACCGATCCTCATGTCATCCAAGTGTGTATTCTTAAATCCTACGGTATCATCACACATCATACAGATTTACGCTACTGCTATCATCCATCTTTCATAAAACAAAAACAATTACCTCCGGGAAATTTAATGCTTTTCGAGAAAGCACCTTCACCGGCAGAATTTATTGCAAGTATCCTCACGGAGTAAGTGAAGGATGTGTTTAGATTGGAAATTCTATAACTCAAAAAGTGCGCTCGTTTTCGTTTACAAGTCCATTTATACTGAAGATCATCGACAACAGGACGCCAACATATCTTGTAGTAGATTAATTTACCATTACTCTCGTCTGGAATGTTCCAACCAAGGTTCACACTTGACACCTCTGATGACATAGTAATAGTCAAATCCTTGGGTGGGCTTGGAACTGGAAAAGAAATACAAGACCATCCGATTGTAGTCTTTATGCAAATGTTTTCTGTGACAAGATATGCCTATGAGGCGTTCTTTCGGGCCACTCGAGTCAGGATTTGGTTATATTCGCCTATTATATTATTTAACAGTTGCCAAATACCATACAGTAATTCAAACATTGCAAGTCACATGTGACATAACAGTATACTAATCATTTCATACGGCAGATGGCAATAGTGACACTCACGCGTGTAATTCGAGCAATTCCGCGACATGACAGGAAAATCCTTACAGTAGGTGGCCCGAGTCCTCAGCCGGGATTATAAAGATGGCGCTGTTGATTTATCGAAGGATCTTCCGGCTTGTTAGATAATTACAAAATTAATTTTTCAATGTCTTTAAAATGGCTACCGAATAGCAAACCGAAACGTCGGACAAATTTAAATAATTTTGTAAATATATAACAATCTGGATGATCCTTAAATAAATCAACATAAATAACAAACCTAGGTTCAAACCATTTGAAGAAAGATGGCACTTCTAACGTAGTTATATGGCGACCAAAATAAAATCTATCTATCAATAAACTAGCTGTTAAGTTAACCATGATGAAATTCACCTCACATGATTTTTGCCTTCTTATTTTAAACTTTCACAAAGGTAATTCTAAGCCACGGCATCAAGTGCGGCATTTTAAAGCTACAGCTATAAAAGTCAGTGGCGAGAACATCACAAAACTTGCGTATTTGATTTAGAGTCTTTCGGGCGTAAAAAATGGCGATTATATTTTCTTCACAAAAATGAACTTTGTTATCTTTGAATGAACTTGTCGTTAAGTAAATGCCTTGAAACTAGAAGTATCGTCTAAAGTTTGCGAAAGATGATTGTCCAGGTTTGTGAAGTCCGGAGAAGAAATGTTTGTGTCAGTTGTATTTGTAATGACTAAAGTTTAAACTTCTTCAACAACGGTCATCTTTAAAGTCAAAGAAAAATGTCGTGCTATTCCTTGTGAGTTTGCGAAGCTTTTGCCAAGCAATAGATTTTTAAAACTATCAAAAAAACACTGTTTAGGAAACGTGCAACAATAATTACCTTCCTCACTCGTTACATTGGACACTGTATTATATATTTTTTCATCATCCTTCTTTACGTAGAAAGTGTAACTTCTTCCTGGTTTTAAATCTTTCACCACAAGCGACATCCTTCCGCTTACATTGAAAGAACGCCATTCATTTTCTTGCTCGAATTTAACATGATAGCCAACATTTGGACGGATATAGTAACTGGAGTCCATCCACGATATTCGCATTGTTCTATTCCCGATTTCGAGAGCTCGTAACTGTTTAATACTCGAATTTACAGCTGGAAAAAAAACAGACGAAGATAAAGGAACAATTTGAAAGTGTTCCTTGCATTTTTGCATTTGTGCCATTTCAATAGTTCAAACTTTTTTACGAACTTTGCGAGTCAGGAGGAATTATCACTTTTTCCATGACTTCGAGGCCAGGACCATTTTATTAACAGCCGTCACACGAATGATATAAATTGTCGCAGGTTCTAAAAAGGGCAAAAATAAAAATTTTCTCAAGAAAAATTTTGAAACGATAAAATCGATAGACAGGTGTCAAAACTTTCATGATACCTACGTAAATTTTTAAGAAGATGCCAAGTTTGGTTGGCTGGCAATTTTTCGTCATCTTCATTAGGCGTTCTTTTGCCCCAACTTATCACATAATGTCGTACAACAGTATAATATTCTTTAGGTGGTTCCCAAGTCACTTTCACCATTCCCAATAAAACAAATACACGCAAGTTTGTCGGTTTTCCAGGCCGTTCATCCTCTAATAATATTAATACGTTATGTAAGTAAAACAAAATACATACTGAAACCATTGCTGCTTAGCTAACGTATTTTACTAAAGAGCAACAACCAAAACTCGTGTGTATTTTTCTATGTTTCTCATGAAACATCAACTATCTTAGCAACACCACTTTAACAGCGATGGGCAAGACCGCAAGGAATGTTGAGTACCTGTGATGGGAATGCGAGGGGTATCCTTCTTTATCCATGAACTAAACTCGCCTTGACCAGCTTCCGTACAAGCAGCAACTCTTAAGCTGTAAGTAACAGATTGTTCAAAATTCTTGAAGGCTTTGGACTTTCTCTGAAATGATAGATTGGTAAATGTCGGACTTTTTCAGGTTTCATCAATCCACTCCACCTCCTCAGTCCCCACCCCCCCTAACCTCCCCAGTCCCCACCCACCTAACCTCCCCAGTCCCCACCCACCTCCTAACCTCCTCAGTCCCCCCCACCTCCTCAGTCCCCACCCCACCTCCTCAGTCCCCACCACCTCCCTAGTCTCCACCCAACCCCTAACCTCCCAAGTCCCCACCCACCCCTAACCTCCTCAGTCCCCACCCACCCCTAACCTCCCCAGTCCCCACCCACCCCTAACCTCCCCAGTCCCTCTCCGATGACGTTCAAACAACGCATATCAAAAGCAAACACTTACATGGACAGTGTAATTTGCAACATGGCCAGACCTTGAGTTCTTTAACTGAACAAAATAATGAGTAATATTTCCATTGGGATTGACAGGAGGATTCCAGAAACCAATAAGTAATTTCTTGGTTAAAGTCAATTGAACATGTTCAGGTGGTCCCTTTGGAACTACATATAAACATAAAACAGACATATAACTCCTTCCACTACAACGTTCACAGACAACATTATTTATAAACATACCTCCACTTTTGGTTATACCAAACACCTCGTCGGACTTTTTCCCAGGCCCACTATCTGTATATGCAGTAACAGTCACTGCGTACTTCGTGTAAGGTTCGAGTTTCAAGAGAACAAGATCAAGCCTCGCCGATGTTTCTAATCGCCATGCATGGTTCCCGCGAACACTTCGATAACGGATTGAGTAATTATTTATTTTTTCAGAACTGGAAAAAAGAAAAATTAAAATGAATTTGAATGAATTGGCTTGACTATTGACAGATGCCTTGACAGAGCAAAGAAAAAATAAAATAGCTGCGAAGCTAACTTGTTCATGAATGTTCAAAAAAACTGGAAAAGCAAGTGTTGGTCTTGCTACTGAGAGAACACAGAAAAAATTACACAGCGGGACCAAATTGGTTAAGGCCTTGCAAGCAAGTCTTATTGCTCAAAAGTAAACTAACGTTAAAACCGTTTTGACATCCCACAATAACATTGTAAAATCCCGCTAAGTCATTAGTGAAGCAAGCCAGCCCACATCCTGTGCAAATATTTAGGAGAAAATATCTGTTTTTATTGATAATTTCACAAGTGAATTCTTCTGGAACTAATTCAGTAAATGAGCACAACAATCTTTACTAGAATGTGAAGGAAGTGAAACTGGTTCTACCATTGAACTATACATGTAACTGGAATGATATTATTGGGGGGGGGAATACCTTTACGCGTGTAACGTGCCATTGCTTCGAGTATACTTTTTTAGCCATAGGAGGAAATACTAGAAACTAGTTCATGGAGTTGCTGGCTTAAATTTTGGCTAAGGTAGTCTTGCATTTATATTCGGTTACATACATCGACAGGTAAAATACTTACAAATTCAACGGAGCTCTCCATGAAACTCTCAAGGCTTTTGAACCGATTGCTTCCACTTTGACACGTCGTGGGGCAGATGTAAGTTCACGCACAATTTTCTTTCTTGTGTATACATCCAAAGGCGAGCTCAGTTCACCGTTTTTATCATGTTCATTTTTAGCAATGACAATAAACTGATACAGCGTTTCAGGTTCAAGTCCCGTTATCACGAGGAACATGTCTTTGACAGTGTGTTGTGAATTGTGTCCAAATTTACCTAAATAATATGACAAAATGTTTCTTATCTGTAAACAGACGTAGACAGAACAATATTATGGTGAAAATAGCAAAGTTGAATAATGCGTTCTCATGAACGTTCACGGCAATCTCATTAACGGTCATCATTTACATCGAATTACTATTGCATAAATCAACACACTCTTTCCAATCAACCTCCCCACCAATGAACAAACACCCAATCCTTCCTATCACCCCTCCAATCAATACCCACATCCCCAATCCTCCCAATTAATACACCCCCAACCCTACCAATCATTACACACATCACCAATCCTCCCAATCAATACACACATCCTCAATATTCCCAAACAATACACCAATCAATCCACACATCCCCAATCCTCCCAATCAATACACACATCCCCAATATTCCCAAACAATACACAAATCAACAATCCTTCCAATCAATACACACATCCCCAATATTCCCAAACAATACACAAATCAACAATCCTTCCAATCAATACACACATCCCCAATATTCCCAAACAATACACACATCCCCAATATTCCCAATCAATACACACATCCCCAATATTCCCAAACAATACACAAATCAACAATCCTCCCAATCAATACACACATCCCCAATCCTCTCAATGAATAACCTACAATAGTGTAGAGTTAACATTGAAAATTGCCAACACCTCCCTCTCATCCATTTACCTTGAGTAAACTTTCTTGTAAATATTAAATATTGTTTAATCGCCCCATAAGGCTGTGCAGGTTTTTGCCAAGATAGTCGAATGGATGTTGAATTGATAGCAACAGCTGTGACATTCTGCGGAGGACCTGGAGAGAAAATTCTTTTCTTCGTAGTAACAAGGAGTGTTGTTGCTAATGTTGTTCTTGGCCTCGTGGTTGATGGGGTTGAAGGTGGGGGACCTAGAATATTTCAAATGACATCATCAAATCAAATAAACTAAAATTATTAACAAATCTTGAGGAATTAACATATACATTCATATTATCCATACAATCACTCATATTATCCATATAGTCATTCATATTATCCATACAATAACTCACATTATCCATGCAGTCATTCATCTTATCCATACAATCACTCACATTATCCATATAGTCAGTCATCTTATCCATACAATCACTCATATTATCCATGCAGTCATTCATCTTGTCCATACAATCACTCACATTATCCGTATAGTCATTCATCTTATCCATACAATCACTCACATTATCCATATAGTTATCCATATTATCCATACAATCACTCACATTATCCATATAGTCATTCATCTTATCCATACAATCCCTCACAATATCCATATAGTCATTCATCTTATCCATATAATTGTTCATCAAAGCACAACATAGCATATGCTTAATACAACAGAAATACATTTTTTACAAAACTTACGTTTCACATTAAATTGAGCAAATGCTTTGATTTCGCCACCATCATTCTTTGCTACACATTGATAAATACCAGAATCACTTTCTAAAGCATCCATGATTTCTATACCGCCATCTTTAACATCAATGTGCTCAAAATCATCATTCCCATTAATAATATCATTGTTCAGAAACCATGTGATTTTGGGAGTTGGAAAACCGGACACATTGCAAGAGAATGTGACATCTAAATCTTCTTTTGACTCAACATCTGTAGGAACGATGAGGAACTTTGGTGGATCTATAAGGATTAAAATGATCTATCTAAGATTATCTATCATTACATGTTTGTAAATGATACTTTACTTTATTATCTATCATTTATTATCTACCATTTACTTTATTATCTATCATTCTTAAAAAAAGCCACAATAATTTATTTAACAATTTAATAAGTATACTTAAAAAATAAATCTAAGCTCACCAATAACATGCAAAGTTGCTTCAGCTTTTTCATTACCCATGACACATTCATACTTCCCAGCATCAGTAGTTTGCGCAGATGATATCTTTAAACTATTTGCTCCAAACTGGGAATAGTTTCCAGTAGAAGACAGAGCTATGTTCACACCATCTTTATGCCACTCAACAATAGGTTTAGGATAACCAAATACAATACACTCCAAAATGGCTTCTTGGTTTTTAAAACGGTCACCTCACTCGGTTTTAACAAAAACTTGTTTGGTTTTGGAATGGTTGCGGCTAAAAAAGTAACAAAAAAACAAAACTACGGTCAAGTACACATGAAAGGTTTAAAAAACATGTCTACCACAGAAACATTGCATTCCTATAAATGTATTTCTTGTGCTTTTCAGCAAACCTACAGAATTATACACCAACTAAACAATGCTCTTGTGATGAGAGCAAAAATATACGTAAAAATCAAAAATTTGAGATTCTAAAAAAGTTAAGTCAATAAGACTCCAGCTGGAAGAAAATGCTCAGCAGGGTCTCACAGTATGTCTAATTAAAAAAATACAGCAATTTATCATGGAAAAAAACAATTATCTAGTAAAGTACACACACCTTGATTGATGGTCAATGCAGCCTTAGCTGTGAGACTCTTGCCCATTACATCATTATTTGCTGTACAAATATAATTTCCTTCGTCACTTTTTAACACACTAAGAATTTCTAAAGTGCCAGATGGATAAACCACAAATCGAAAATTCATTGTCAGATCAGTATTTTTGCCTTCTTTCGTCCATGTGATCTTGGCATCTGGACGGCTTCGTTTCACTTGACATTGAAACATTGCTGTTTCCCCTTCATTTACAGTAACATCTTTTGGATTCACAGCAAATGATTTAGACATTCCTGTATAAAGAACATATTATGAAAAATATATACTTCAAGTAAGCACAAATAATTTGATACAGCCAATGTACAAATGCTTATACAGCCTACTAGCCAACTTTTATTCTAACCTTATGTACTACTCAATATTAGTCTGTGAATGTCTTGTCTTAAGAAGAGTCATTTTTCATAAAAACTTTATTTATATCAATTGGATTTACTTGAAACATTATGTTGCTTCCCCCACCAGACAAATTATTAGTTGAAATAAACACAACAAGTCAAAAGATATATTCAAATTTTCTTACATTCTTTATTGTGCCTTTAATTTTTAAAAAACCCAACTTAATTAGCTATTACTGTGAAGTGTGAACTGCACTGTGTCTGAAGTTTAGCATATTTCATGGGCTTTTGGTTACTCATTATAAATTAAATTAGACATGAATACACTTAAACATAAATCAACTTACCAACAATACTAAGTCTTGCTTTTTGACTAACTATTTTAAACAAGTTACCATGAACAACAGTTTCACCGACACATTCATAAACACCAGCATCAGATATTAGGTTCTTTTTCCTTAAAACTGGATTGAAATGCAAAGAACCAGCGGGCTGTATAGTTATGCGAGTGTTGTTTGTTAAGTCCAGTTGTACACCATCTTTCAACCACGAAATGTAAAGGGCATTTATGGCAGTGATATTACAATGCAATACTGAAGGTTTGTTTCTTTCAACAATAATATCTGATGGCTCTTCCAAAAATTGAATGAACTTTTTTGCTATAGAAAAAAATCAATGAACAAATTGGCTATTAAGTCATTCATCTGGCATTGAATAATTGAATAAGTCTGAAGCATCAATTTTGATGGCCATGAAAAATTAACACATTGAGCAGCTTAAGTGGAATATATTTATGCTATATAATTTCCTTCATGAGGATTCATTATTTTTAACCCAGATATCAAAGAAAAAACCTATGGTTTGTTCTAATTTAATATACAGAAAACATGTCTAGAACTGAGTTTAGTGGACAGAATAGTACTTCACAAATGATTGATTTTATACAATAAGCTCTAATCAACATATCTGTGATGCTTTGAACAGAAATTGACAATAAGTATAATTTTAAAAGGCAATTCATCCTTCCATTCTGGCAGTTTTGTTATATTTATGCAGTATTGCTTGTCAAAACATAAAGTATTATTTTTCAGCCTCCCTCTATGAATTAATGACATAAAAGTAAGTTAATATGAACGAGACTAGAATTACGCAGATGTTGACAGATGGAGGTATGTAAATACAAAAGAATAAGGTTGTCTTTACAAAACTAAACATCTGGGCAGCAATGTTTAGTACTAATCACTCTAGCAAAAACATAATCCACGGATCAAAAACACTTCATGCCAAAATAAGTGTTTGCATACAAAACAGCTATAAATCAGTCATTTTGCTTTTGACAGTTATGATATTATGTATAAAGCTCCTTTCCGACGAGACTTCAGTCTCCGCACAGATGTTTTACATATTTACAGCCCCACACATTGTCAAACATGTCATTTTGCGGGTCTTAATGAAAAAACACACATCCTACAAAAAGAATCAATCGGCCTTACTCCTACAATTCATCTTGTCAAATATCACGCATCGTTTTTACCCCCCAGGGGATCATTCATCGCTCGAAAAGGAAAAGATGGAATTGCAATTCATCTTTCCAATCTTTACAGAAATGTTTTTCAAAGCATATACATAAATCTCAACCATACGGGACCATCAAAGAAGACCTGTCAAATTTCATAATTAAACAACGCTATGGCCTTATTTTGATTGAACGCTCACTTAAACTATCGTAGTGAATGAACGCCATATAAAAAATCTTTGTGGAGATGAGTACGGCAATATGTTACGCTATAATTATAAAATATCGGCTATTCCTTTTTGATTGATGGCAACTAAAAGTACATATTGTAATCCCAGTTTAATTAAAGAACAACTTTGAAGATTTAAGTCTGAAATATTAAGCGCGGACTTAACAAAAACAAACATACTTAGAGTCGGTAAATAACACAAAAACTTCAAAGATAAATTCTTCAGTTCATTATAAGAAGCCTAGCTGTTTTCGAAAACAAAATATCATTTTCGAATTGCAGTAATAGAGCAATCTAATAAAAATACCGCAAATGAATTGAAAATTCTGCGTCGAATTTGCGGCAAGTTATGAACTAACAATGCAAAACAATGTATTGAACGTATTTCATACCAAATACTGGAACACTTGAGATGTACAGAAGAGCAATGGCCAAGTAATTCATTCTTGTGATAAATCCAATAAGAATATCAGTGTAACGTCTTCAATACCTATCAAAAACGATAGAAATATATAATCAGCCCACTGTGGCCATCTTCATTTTAATCACAAATTCCGAGGTGTAAATTTCGGGCAGTCCTCGCGTGTAAAAACACGAAATAAAATACATAGTTACATATACGAAAAGTCGTAAACACGTTCTTCAAGGCTTTTGGATTTTCTTTCTGTTAAAAATACGTCATTGAATGTGACAATATTCTATGAAAATCGTAAAGTAAATTGCAATATGAATGAAAATTCAAGTAATTTTGCAATATTTTCTTAACATCTCGAACTTTCAGTATATCTATTTTGGTTCAATAATCAAGCGTCAAGTTGGCGGCCAATTCAATAGTTGACTGCTGTTGACCCACAGCGGGAAATATGCTAATGTCGTTAACGATATATATTATTATTTTACTACACAACATAAATCATGTCATCCTGTGAATGGCTATTTTGCCGTCAAATATTCGAGCTTTTTATAGTAGAATGTCCTGTCTAACTATCGCTGCCACTTTCTCATTGAAAACATTGAACATGTGACAAGTATTTGTAATTTAATTCTACAACCCCTTTTCCCTGTCTTTTAAAATGTACAGGAAATACATATCGGTGATTGTCTCAGCAGCTTCCGTTGAAAAGAAAGCATTTGTGTTTTTTTAATGTCTCGTTCAGTAAACGACTTATGGCAATAATTGATAATAAGACAAAACAAGCTACATTTTCCTTTGAAATTCGACTTTCTTTTAAAAAAGGTTGTTTCGATTTGGACTGACGATAGACTAGACATAAACCATGACCAGCCGACAATTTAAAAAAGTATAATATAAAACAAATTCCGAAGAAACAAGACATCTTGAGATTGCAAAATATGAATCAAAACAAGACGAGAAGTAAACTGTAAATTTTCGACTTTATATCAAAGTCATCCTCATTCTGTCATTTACAGTTTACTTCTCATCTTGTTTTGATTCATATTTTGCAATCTCAAGATGTCTTGTTTCTTCGGAATTTGTTTTATATTATAGACTAGACATAATTTATTAAAATATATAAATCACTGATAGCAAATTCCTTGGTCAAAAAAAAACAAACGTGCCTCGAGTATTGGACGAAATCAAAGATACCGCATTGCGTGCAACGTTACGTTGAAACAGCTTGATCTTACACTGAACGTAACTCGTTGTAATCATCAAAAATAATCACACTTAGACCAAATACACCACAGCTATTTATAGATATTGTAAACTTACCATTGTGAAGGACTGGAACAAAAAATCAACGAACAAACTTCAATATATTTCACCATTGGTTGAGGGGAAAGGAGACCATGAATCTGGGTAGACATAAGTAAGAAGAGGTGGTATGTAGCCATGCAATACTTGAAGGTGGGGGGTAAATAGGATCAGAAATCTCGGTAGAGGCAGTTAGAAGTGGTGGGTGGACAAGACTAGGATAGAAACATCGACATGAGTATGAGATATGGTTTTGGCAAGGTTAGTGAAGGGACATGGGTAATGTTAGAGGAGGATCTAGGAAAAAATCTAAGAAACGAACAGGGTTATTATCATATGACCAGGAGGGGACAAGCAAAGTAATTATCATAAGACCAGGAGGAGATGAACAGGGTTATTATCATGACCAGGAGGGGACAAGCAGAGTAATTATCATAAGGCCAGGGGGGGTGAACAGGGTTATTATCTAAAGACCAGATCCAGACATTCTATAAATAAATATAACCCAAGAAAAAAACATCATCTTATATTTCCATTTTTCTGTTAATATCAAACAACTGTTCTTTTCAAACTTATTTTCCTAACATGATAACAAAAAAATAAAATTTTTATATATATATGTAAAATTCCATAAATTTTGTATGAAATGCAGTCAAAGCTGATTGTTTGTAATGATTGATTATGGTGGTATCTATGCCAAAACTGAAAAGCTTTCGAACATTTATGTAAATTACTTCTAAACATGCCAATATACAATCATAGAGTATCAATTTGATCATTCATAACACTAGTTTCGACCTGTAGAGCCATAACCCCCATCTCCTCGAATGGTCTGATCAAGATTCTACAAACAATAAATAATATTTAATCTACGTAACTTTTCTTCAACATATAACGTCATGATCTGAAAACTACCTTGACCTCCTTTAGTTCGGGTGTACATATTCTTTGAATAATGAGCTGAGCTATCCTGTCTCCTCCTTTCACTTCATAATCTGAATGGCTCAGATTAAACAGAATAACACCAACATTACCACGATAATCAGAGTCAATGACACCTGCACCAACATCAAGATGATGTTTCCATGATAAACCAGATCTAAGGATAATATCTGATTGAGTCAACAGCAAATAAAAATTAAGGCAGTGGAAGTAGTTAAATACACCTTTCATAATCACGATAACATTATGTTGAAGCTACAGGTTTGTTCATGAAGATCGTCAAGGTTAGTGAAATTCTGAGGACGTTTCATGTTGGTATCAACTGCTCACTTCAAGAGAAGGGACTCTGAAGATGACACAGCAAAGGAGGTTGAATCATTGGTCATCAGACTCATCACCAATACAACACCATCAGTCCTTCTAAGATGGCACCAACCTGGACAATCTACATCTACAGACATGTAGTATATACATACTATAACGTATAATACATATGATATACATATTATAACACACATACCTATTATAGCATATAATATGAGCGCATTAAGGAGTAAAGAACATCATAATCCGACCTAAAGTCCTTTTGTAATGACATCTAGTATTGAAATATGACATCTAATCATGTCATATTGTAAAATCATGAAATTTGAAGACGAACCTTGGTGCCACACGGCCATACCATCCTTCAGGTAGTGCAACAGCTATATCAGTTTTTACAAGAGCCTTTCCTTGGGCTGGTATTTGAGCATCGTAAGCAGCATACAAATCATAACCTGCTGCACCACACGAGCCTCGTGTCGGCGTCATTGCATTCTCGCTCATTTTACTAAACATAACGGACTTTGGTAGACTTTCCTTACATGAATACAAAGTGTTGTAGATTGTCTTTATGGTCGATGTCATCAACTGGCCCATTTTGATTAAAATTTACTGGATTTCTTGCCTTGATTTACTGAAAACAACGTTAAGGCAGAGCAGAGTGGCTTCAGTGATTTATTTCGCGCCAATTTGTTTTTCGCGCCAAATTTTGGCTTCGTAGGAATAGACTTACATAAAGTATTTCATTAGTAAAGCATCATAACATTCGCAAAGTTATTTCGAATACATTAGCGAGAAATTCTTGTCGTTTTCGAAGGATATTGTTTAATATTGTATTAAAGAAATAGTTTCTATTTCATTAATGGTAAGTTCTCATCGATAATTCATATTTGTGTCGTCAACTTTATGTTGTAGTATAGTTTTATTCAACTTTTATTTAACTTTTTATGATCGTTAGGCTGAAAGCTTTAGTCAACATCAAATCAATGGTGAGCTCAAATCGTATACAAATCCTTTTCATAATTCCTTAATAATACGATTTATGAGTGTTATTTAGCGTAGCAGGCTCAGGGTAGTGAAAAATTTAAGTGAATTAGAATAATCTCTATCGAATACAACCGTAATTATTTTCGTTCTGTTATCATGAATAGTTTTCAAAGATTGCTTTAATTTGTACGACGATAACCACGATGGAAAAATTGATAAGGAAGAGTTGACTAAAATCATGCGAGCTTTGGGTCATCCTGTGACGTACATTGAAATGTCTGACATAATGAAAGATCACGGTAAGTAAATGGGCCAAGCTATGGAAATAAACTTATGTGGTTAACTCTGCTTCATATGACTTTAAATTGCTGTGAAATTTTCTTCACCCACATTTATTGTTTTGATTTACTTTCAGGGAACGAGTCCATTACATTTCCTGATTTATTGACGATTCTTGCGAATCGTGAAGGAAAACCAATCGCAGCTGGCCACGAGATTTTTGATGCATTAACTTTGAGGGATGAAAATCGCAATGGGTACATCAGTCGTTCAGATCTTGAACATCTTCTTACTAGAGGTGGAGAGCAAATGTCTATACAAGAAGGTAAAACAATGCAAAATATATATCTATATGCATATGACATTGACTCCAAACAAATATAGTTATTCTTATGTGCTTATGTTTTGTCTAGTTGACCAACTTCTTCAAGACTTTGGTTTTGATAAGATGTTCACACAGATTAATTATGAGGGTAACTGTCAACATTTACAATGATAGTAGATGTAGATCATCCAGGTTTACATGTTTGTAGATGTAGATCATCCAGGTTGGTATAGTCCTGAGAAGGACTGTTGTTGTTGTTGTTGTTGTTGACTGATGTTTCAACAACCTTAGCGGAGTCATCACTCTGAAGATGACTATCGTTAAGGTTGTTGAAATGTCAGTCAACAACAACAAAAACAGTCCTTCTCAGGACTATACCAACCTGGACGATCTTCATCTAGAAACATGTAAGGATACTCCCGGGTTCAAACCATTTACTTTATTACAATTACGTACCATCAATTGTATACTTACCTTGTTGTTTTCATTGCAGAGCTGTGTAAAAGAATCAATGCCAATTCTAAATCATTCTAGGAAACAGCAAGGCAAAGCCATATCCCACTCAACTTGACATATTCTTGAACATTTTTTCGTAGTTTAATGTAACTTTAAACTTTTAACCATTCACTTGATTGTTATTTTATGTTGTAATATACTTACATTTTGCCTAAAGTGATATTTTATATGCATTTTTTAGATAATAAAGTATATAGGTGTATGTCTAACCAATGAATAAGAGCATAATATTTGACTGAATTTTCGTCATTTGTATGAAAAACTCTCTAAATTACGTAGGAAAATTTTGATAAGACTTCACTCATCTCGCTCACTATTTGTACATTTCACATTTTGGTGACAACACTATTGACAACAATATCTGCTTCGTATCCGAGATTGCTTATCTCCAAGTTTGGTTTCACTTGGTTGCTTTCTTCTGCATCTTTGAAAACTATCCATGACAGAAAGTAGAAAACAATTCCAGCCGCTTCATAAAGCAAAAATAACAAATTGTTTATCAAAAAAGAAAAAACAGAATATACCAATTTCATTTTATCTCCTCTGCAAATCCTTTTTACAAAATACCTGTAGCTGATGTGTGTAATTATGAAAATTTTACATACCAGAAAGACTTCCTGCAATTATGGTCAGAAGTTCCATCATATAGTCTAAATCATACACCATACAGAAACCATTTTTTCCACAAACTTTCTGCCAAATATCACAGCTCAAGTCGACAATATGACCAAAAAGAATTGGCCCGGGTATGTTGGCGATCAATTTATTTGAGAGGTAATGAAGAGCAAATGCAAACGTCAAATGCTCAGCTTTTACTGATCTAAAAGGAGGTGAGAATAATGAGATTGCGAACGAATGATCAACTTTCTGGAGTGAAAATATGAAAATTCAGCGTGTGTAACTTAGAGGAAAAAAGAAACGAACAAAAGATATCTGTACTTATGTAATGGTGATGTACTCCGAAATAAAGACCATCAATCTATACTTATGTAATGGTGATGTACTCCGAAATAAAGACCATCAATCTATACGTATGTAATGGTGATGTACTCCCTAATAAAGACCATCAATCTATACTTATGTAATGGTGATGCACTCCCTAATAAAGACCATCAATTTATGCTTATGTAATGGTGATGTACTCCCTAATAAAGACCATCAATCTATACTTATGTAATGGTGATGTACTCCCTAATAAAGACCATCAATTTATGCTTATGTAATGGTGATGTGCTCCCTAATAAAGACCATCAATCTATACTTATGTAATGGTGATGTACTCCCTAATAAAGACCATCAATCTATACTTATGTAATGGTGATGAACTCCCTAATAAAGACCATCAATTTATGCTTATGTAATGGTGATGCACTCCCTAATAAAGACCATCAATTTATGCTTATGTAATGGTGATGTACTCCCTAATAAAGACCATCAATCTATACTTATGTAATGGTGATGTACTCCCTAATAAAGACCATCAATCTATACTTATGTAATGGTGATGAACTCCCTAATAAAGACCATCAATTTATGCAATCAATCAATCAATGGTGATGCACTCCCTAATAAAGACCATCAATTTATGCTTATGTAATGGTGATGTACTCCCTAATAAAGACCATCAATCTATACTTATGTAATGGTGATGTACTCCCTAATAAAGACCATCAATCTATACTTATGTAATGGTGATGCACTCCCTAATAAAGACCATCAATTTATGCTTATGTAATGGTGATGTACTCCCAAATAAAGACCATCAATCTGTACTTATATAATGGTGATAAACTCGGCAATAAAGAGCTATAATGCGGTGATGTATTCTTGATAAAATGAACTAACAATTGGCAACTGCTAACTAACTGAAAACACAAGAATACATGTATGTTAAGGCAGAGGCTCACCTCATAACGACAACTTTAGACGGACCAAACACAAGAATACATGTATGTTAAGGCGGAGGCTCACCTCATAACGACAACTTTAGACGGACCAAGTTGCGCAAAAATAAAAAGTGAATAAACACTTATCATTAAAACAAACGTGAGCCAATTCTTGCAGTCAGCATCACAAAAACCAACTTTACCATGACCGCCATAACCATCTGATGATCCAATGCAAGAGCAATTACCAAACGTCTAAAAAAGAAGCGTGTATCGTTGAAGGATGTTTTTCATTGGAGGTTTTGTTTCGAAGAAAATTTTACATTAGGGAAGATTAACGTTTTTTTCTGAGAAGAAAGTTTTGTACGGGAGAAAGTTTTTGTTGTGAAGAATGATTTGTATAGGCGAAGGTTTTTGTAGTGGAGAAACTTTTGTATTGGAGAAAATTTAGTATTGCATGTATGAAATGTTTCAGTGTTGAAATTGATTCCACCACAACACTCCTGGGATTCTTTAGATATACAAAACTTCCTCCAATACAAAACTTCCTCCAATACAAAACTTTCTCCAATACAAAACTTCTTCCAATACAAAACTTTCTCCAATACAAAACTTCTTCCAATAAAAAACTTCCTCCAATACAAAACTTCCTCCAATACAAAACTTCCTCCAATACAAAACTTCCTCCAATACAAAACTTCCTCCAATACAAAACTTTCTCCAATACAAAACTTCCTCCAATAAAAAACCTCTTCCAATACAAAACTTTCTCCAATACAATAATATGTTGCATATTCAGATCAAGAAATGTTAAAAGCTAATAAAGAGTCACCGGAACATCAATAAATGGTGGGTGGGGGGGAGGCTAATATTTATATGTGCACGTTTTACTTTATTAGTTTCTATTAAAATCAATTGTGATTAGGAATTATACCACATGAATGCACGAATATAAGCCCCCTCCCCACAATTATCAATTTCACGATGTCCTTGCAATAATATATCCGCTACTTACAAGCATCGAAGTTGGAGTTGTACAACCAGCAAAGCAAGGATTAAGATACGTTACACCATCCTTACCACACATTGGTACAGCAAGATTTAGACGACAGTTACAGTCCGAGTTACATGTTGACGCAAGAGGAAATTTGTCACTTTTTAAATACACTTTAGTAATGTTGAAACCATTCGCAACAGGAACTCTGAAAGATAATCAAACAACAAAAGATAATTACGCTTTTTGATTAAGAAAATCACGGAACACAAGAATCTGGTTTGAAATAATCTGACGCCAAATCTGCGTCAAATCTTTTAAATAAAAAAAAATTCTCGAGTTATGAACATAACGAATTGCCAAACATAAAAATGGCAGACAAGGGAGTGACTTTATTGCAGAATATCCAACCATTAGTGGTAAAGTATCCATATCTTAAATGGCAAAGCGTATATGTTTAGAGTTTGAAAACTTATGGTGTAATGGTTAAGGGTTTTGGGATAGAGTTCTATGGTTAGAGTTTTAGAGTTAAGGTTGTGCAATTAAAACTAGCAAACTATTGAACGAACATTGCAATGAGATAATTCTGGGACATTGAAAATGAAGAAAACATACCTCTCTCCATATGGAACAGAATAACCAGGCATATTAACATTTTTACAGCCATCTAATACGCATGCTGTTGGCGAGGAAATTGTACCAAAGTGCAATAAAAAGCAAAGAAAAGCTGCTTTCTTTCCTGATTTTTCGATCTTAATAACTCTCGATAGAATGACGCTGAACGTGACTCCCACTGTGAAGAAAATAAAAGAAATAAGAAATTGTTGTTATATGATAGTACTTTTCCATGTATAGATCCACAATGGTATCCTGGTGGGGAGGGAGGGCGAGGAGTGCACTAGTTTGAATTATATTTCAGTGGCAACTTGTTGCCACACCATGTAAGGCATTTTGGTTAAATTCTTTTCATTTCTTATTATGATAGGAAGATGTTTGAAACTTTTCTCCATTAAACACTTATTACTATTGCTGTCGCTTTATTGTTTGGCATACGAAGCGGGGAAATTGGCCTCCTCTCCTGTCATCAATCAATGGCATATTAATGAAAACGAAACAAACAATACTTCCTGAAATGAAATATAAAAAATCTTACGTATTAAAGGCGGCACCACAGCAATATTCAATATTTTCCCAAGATCTTTAATATCCACGCCAAAGCGAAGAAGCATAATTTTCCCAATAAATGGAGCTAAGCCCTCGCCAAACAACAAAGCTGTGTTAAATGCTAACACGTTGAAAACGTACGTCGGGTTCTTCAGCAGTTCCAAAGGATCTTGGGAATCTTTTCCATTTTTTCTTTCAACGTCATGTCACGCATACCATCATCAACTTTAGCAATTTCTTTCAGCTCATTGTCGTTCAAGTCACTGCGTATGTGTTGTGGTAATCCCAAAGTAAGAAGACCAACCAGAAAACATACAACTGCAGGTCCAAGGAAGGCAATCCACCACGCACTTATCCATCGAGGATCCTCAGGTATCAAGAGTTCTCCTTTTGGCTTAATGTGGAAATGATACATTAAATACCAAATGTTAACATATGTTATATTGAATGACATGCGTTAACAAGCATTATATTGCTTGACATGTGTTAACTGACTGACATGTGTTATATTGACTGAGATGTGTTAACAAGTATTATATTGACTGAGAAATGATGTGCACTGTTTTTACAAATACGCAAAAAAAATTAACTTCCTAATCAAAAAGCAACCTAAAATTCTTCTCTTACATGAATATATGAATCATGAAAGCTCTTCATGTTCAGTGATGCAAAAAAACCCAAATGCATGCAGTCTTTACGTGGTTTTCAAACAAACCTTCTTTATGTCGACCCAGGTCTCCAAGACTTCCTCGGAATACGCAAAAGCAAGAAGAGGTCCAACAAAAACAGAAACTTGCCACATTGTTAAGCATGCTGGGACATGTTTTGGTTTGAGTGTTTCTCGAAATATCGCCGGAGGAAAGGCGAATAGCGGTATAGTACCTACGCCAGCTATGAATTGACCAATCAAAATCAAAGCCAGGTGATATCTGTAACAATTTGAGACAAATTACATAACGATGCTTCAAAGTTCTAATTTTGAATGTGGAATTAGATTGCTAAACAAGTAAATAACGAAAAATATCATAGTATGTACAAAAATATAAATACCTTGGAGCAATTTCATTATTGTCTTGACATGCTGTTTTGGCAACCGAAGAAACATTTGTACGTATACACAGAACATTTTCCGCTGTCGGTGGTCGATAATCGTCGATTATGTAGTGTGGTATTGTGACAATGAAGAATCCAATACCTTAAAAAACGAAAGATAAACAAGCTCTTAAAAAATTCCCACGCTCCTTGTGTAAAAATAAACCCTTTTCCTACAGTTCTTTTCTTATATCATAGTGTAAAAATAAACCCTTTGACTACAGTTCTTTTCTTACATCATAGTGTAAAAATAAACCCTTTGACTACAGTTCTTTTCTTTTATCATATCCATGACTGAACTCTCTTTCTCTACCTCAGCTCAAACAATTAGGACGTTTTTCTTATCATTAACAACGATTATTTGCCAATATAAAGTCATATATAAAATGGCTACCAATACACTAGAAAACACATCATTCATACTGTTAAACATGTTACAATTATACGCTCATCATTCATGCTTTCATTACAACGACTCGTATGTTTTAAACAATTCTGATGTCCTCAGCAGCACCAGTGTTAAATTTTTGGTGAGGATAGACTATTTCTAATTTCTTCAGGTGCACCTGTATATAATGTTAGAGTGCTAGCAAAGCATCAAAGTTTGAAGTGTCGTCCGCAAGGAAGATTGTTTACCGTATTTCCTCCATTCACCCACCCCCCCGGAGTTATTTTCTTTTACTACATTTCAAGCGGTGGGTTAATAGATAGGTGGGGAGGGGACTAAAATGAGGCTGGGGGACTAAAAAGAGAAAACACGGTATTGAAACTTCAATCATTTTCTATTAAAACGTCAAGGTTTCAAAGTAAGTCATACCCGTAAAAATGCCTCCAACGCCAATCCAACGAACTTTGTTACCATATTGACCCCAATGAGCGACAAACAATCCGAGTAAAACAGCGGGAACGTCATTTGCAGCGGCGACCATACCAGAATCAAAACCAGACAAATTGAATCGTTTTTCAATATGCGGAAGAAATGCGGCCAGTACACCAACAACAGCACAAGCTGAAGGGTGGTAGAATTGTGGTTAGAATTTTTTCGTCCATGCACTATGTTCTTTCGAATAAGTAAAATTTTCAAAAAGAAGCAGATTCCAAAGAGTATGGCATCTTGAAATTCAATAATTGAATCAAAACAAGAGACGTAAAATTAAGTGCTCATTTTTGACTTTATTTCAAAGCCTTCGTCAGACACAATGAAACCGGCAAATATTTCACATGCAAATTGAAATAAAGTCGAAAATTTACACTCAACTTTATACGTATCTTGTTTTCGTTCAAATATTGAAATTTCAAGATGGCTATATTCTTCGGAAACTGCTTTCTTTTATATTTTTCCAGAATTGTCGGCTGGTCGTGGTTTATGTCAAATTTAATCATCATAGTTTTTTAATAAAAAAGTGACTTCACTGTTGCAAGCAACTCGTAAAACAAAATACCTTTGCTGTTGTAACTCTTAATACAAAATACCCTTATAGTAAAACATATCCTTACAGCAGCATGCAAGTCACTTTATGTTCAAAATAACATAACAGTAGCAAGCAGCTCTCAGTACAAAATACCCCTGCTGTTACAAGCAACGCTCAGTAAACATATCCTTATACTGTTTGAATTCATTCTTAGTATAGGATAACCTGGCAATGTTTTAGGTCATTTCTAGTACAAAATAAACTTACTGTTGCAAACAACTCCTAGAACGACCAAGACGAGAAAAAACCACGGAGAATTTAGCCATTGAAGACATGACGGATGAAATCCAAAATAGCCAAATTTTCCATTTCTGTGTTTATCTCCAAGCTGACTGTGTTCATTTTGAGACATGTTCTTTCCACCGTTTTCCATTTCTACCAAAGTAAACATAAAAGTAAACAATTAAAAGTGGTATACCACAATGATTTTCTAAAAATTAAAATCATATAATAATTCAAATAAAGTATAAGCTAAATTTTGCTAACACCACAGAACAATATGCTTCAAAATTTATCCAATTCGCTTTTCATTAGTGGAAGAAATGTAAAACATAACAAAAGTATTATTTTTCTATTCAATTTAGCTTGATTTTATCACACAGAATATTCTTCTACAGCCTGAATCACTCGACTTCAAGCAATTCTTGTTATTAGCAGTTTTAATAATAATGACAACAAACAGCTTTCACTTTATAGCAATTAATACACTCGTTGTTTTAGCAATAAATATCAAGGAGTAACTCTAACAAAAGATAAAAGGTTGTCGGCTTTTTAATTGAACATTTGTTGTACACGAAAAGAGAGCTTGAAAATTTAACCAAAAATATGAAAAGAAGAAACTGCAGCATCTTACAAAATAAATTGCTCTTCAACATCAAAACACGCGTATATCTCCAACTGAACTGTTAAAATAACTTGTATTTTTTTGTATGATTCAAATTTACTAAAAATTTTAAAAAACTGTATTAACATAGACCAGAAATGCCTTTAGCAACGACGAATATACTCAGACAATATGTTCGCAATGTGTTCATTAAATATTTATTGTCGATATGTAAAAAAACTCATTTCTAGTTATCTTTTCTCTGATTACATCAAATAATAACGAAACCACAGGAACTTTTCAAGAAAGACAGTCATTTCATGTAGACTCTTTTCTGCCGTTCTTTAATTCTTGTTGCATAAAATAGACGCAAAAAGAAATATAAAAAGAAATACAAAAAAGAGTGTAAAAGAAAAAATTCTTTAGTTCAAGTTATCAAAATAATTTACAATATTTATATTATTCAATAATGATTCCATTTATGAATGTAAATTTTAAGCACAATTTTGGTCGTCGAAATTATATTTTATATAATATCGTTAATAATTCAAGCAATTTCGTTGACAAAGACGCATGACCTATAAGAGGACAAAACGACAACTTTTTTCAATTACAAACAAATGGCAGAATCGTTTGAATCATTTGAATACCAAAACTTGTGTATGTCCGGGCACTCAGACAACAAAGACTTCTAAAGACTTGACGACATACCATTATAATGGCAACAATGCACTTTTTATTTGTGGTATCTTGTTCAGCAGAATATCTAAGGTGTGCAGGGTATCTAAGGTGTGCAGGGTATCTAAGGTGTGCAGGGTATCTAAGGTGTGCAGGGTATCTAAGGTGTGCAGGGTATCTAGGGTGTGCAGGGTATCTAAGGTGGGTAGAGTATCAAAGGTGGGCAGGATATCTAAGGTGAGCAGGATATCGAAGGTAGGCAGGATATCTAAGGTGAGTAGGGTATCTAAGGTGAGTGGGGTATCTAAGGTGAGTGGGGTATCTAAGGTGAGTAGGGTATCTAAGATGTACACGGGAAACGTTATCATTGCAAGTGAATATTTAATGAGAAATAAATTATTCAAAAACACTTAACTGTTCAGAGAACAACTTTTGCACCTTTGGAAGAGCCTTGCATGAATTTTAAACAAATATCCAAATATACGGCTATTTGTCAATCACTTGAACGAGAGACATACTATTCGTTGTAATTACGATGAACGACAAAAATTAAAGCTACAGCTTATGTAATGTAGACATTTATCAATTGAATAACAAAACTGCATGACATCTTTTCAGAATGTTAACAGTTTCCTGATAAAAAAAAACTTCTTGTGCGTCAATTTTAAATTGCCTACAAATAGACGATTCCTGACTCTGAAATTTGAATTTCCCAACATGTTTAAGGGATTCCGCCAACCTCTGTTTCTCTACTTCATCGTCAAGGAGTTTCGAGGAAAGTTTCGGAAATTTCAGCAGTGTTTTGAAGAAGATATGATTTTCTTTATTATTAGAACCGAAGCAGTTGAATAGAAAAGACAAAATAACAACAAGACTTATTCGTTTTCGACAAAGATACAGGAAAGGAACAACTAAGTTATTTTCAAATAACTATCAAATGCCGGTCAATCTGTTTGACCGTTTGCTGTTAAAAACTTTGATAGAAACCATCGCCCTGATTCTAAAACCTTCAATCAGACTCGCTGAGTACGGCATAAAAATCTCTCTTTCTCTAATCAATGGCAAAATCATTTCACTATCGATGGCAAGATTTTTTCAAAATATTTCAAATCGAGCAATCGGAGTAGGGAAAATGATGTCTTCAAAAATTATGAGCATTGACGAAAAAATTTATCTGACGGTTTGCTGATGAAAAAGTTTCAAACGTAATAATTTCATTTTTGCTACAATTGGTTGATCCTGACTTATATACAGACAGGTCCATTATTCTGTCTATTTAAAAGAACAAAATTCCGACAGATTATATCAATATTAGTTTGATGGCTCTCACAAGCGTTATATTCTTAAGTAAAAGGAAAAAAGGCAAAATCCCGTTTGAAAAACGTACAACATGTATATTCCATGGATTACGTACCTTATTAAAAGAACGAAATGGTCTTTCCAGTGATCTTCTTTCCCAACACAAAGAGCCGCACTTAATGATGACCCAAGTCAGACAGACGACTGCTGACATTTGGGAATTTTCTTAAGATGTTTTTGGTTCCTGTCATGCATAGCATACATAACATTTACAATCTTTGCTTTTCACGATTTGCATCATAATGAAGAGGAACCCGAACAATGATTGCACCGTTGATAAAAATGCTATAAATACACAAAGAGAAGAGTCAAGGAACCGAAGGGGAAAAATGGTCTTTCGCTGAAAACAAAATTGTTGAAAAGAGCGACTTTAACGTAAGGATAGCGCGCATTTGGGTTGGAAAGAAATATCATATATAAGACATTATAATTAACATGGAGTTTTTTTTTATCTTACTAATTATGTTTGTTGGCAAAGTGATATTAAAAAGCCGAACAGTGAGCAGCTGGAGACATTGGACTTCCTTTTTGTTATTGCAAATCGTTAATGCTTACAATAATTCACCGCAAACATTGTATAGCTTCTTGCAACTTATTGTTCCAATAATTGGAAAAGCTTTAAAAAATGTTTGATAAAACAAAGCGTTTCCCGTCATTAAAGACGTGCACAAGTATGTTTCTAAATTCACGTTAGTTAAACAATGATTTCAGCATCATCGTTTTTCCCTTCACAATCAGGTTTCACGTTACGATAAGCTCCCTTTGAACTTATCTTAAACGCAGGTTTCTTACAACGTTTTAAATCAGTTAGCTAACATGAAACGAAAAAGATGGTTAGCATTCCAACTTTACTTGATTACTGACAAGGTCGAGTAGCCACGAAACATTAAACTCAAAACGTGGTTCTTTCCTTCAAAACGAAAAACTTTCTTCTCAACACAATAATTCATCAATATTGCTGCCTTATAATGAAGCTCGAGGTTTTTTAATTTTAGACGTAATACTATAATTACAGTTCGGTAAGATTAGCTAAGATCCATAGAGACAAACCGACATTACTACCACAAAACAAGATAATTGAGTTTTGAACATAAAAGCGACCGCGCAATGTTCAGTTTATAAGTTGTTTGCAAACGGTCAACACAATTTTTGTTTACATATTTAACGAATTTTGGATTTAAATGAACACAATTCGTGATATCTGGAATAAAGTGGAAATGTACTTTTTGATGACGTAGTATAATCACATGACCACCAAATAGACGACATAAAAACTAATGAGGGGGCATGGTCTTTTCCTTTAGCAGTACGATACAAAAAATTTCAAATGTTCATATATGAAATTGCGATTTAGATTGTAAGACAATCAAACCATTAAACAATTTGAAGACTAACAAAGAATTTGTAAAAATAATTTCTTGGAACCCAATTTAACATTTGCATATTGATAAAGAAACAAAAACACAATTTCATATAATCTATTAAGCTGAGAAACTTTCTAAATAAGAAAGTAGGACTTAGACAAAAATGGTATTATCGAAGTCTTTGAAGAACGGTTTTTCATTGTATACGGTGTTAAATTTCGAGTGTTCTTCAACCATTTTCACGCGGTAAAATATTTTCAATTAAAAGTGTCTTTTACTCGATTAAAATATCGTTGAATAAATTTTTAAACACATCGGCCTTATTTCTATTTCTTCGTTAGTGGTGTTATGTTCATTTCAAGAAATAGCAAAAATTTAAAATCAAATGTAATTGGTCAAAACCGGTCACGTGTTACGTAATAAAGCGTGCGCCGTGTAACGTTGGAACTTTATGCACCCTGATGCACCCACTGGTTGCATTAACGTCAAACTATAAATGTATCATCGCCAACTTTGACTGCTACGTGTGTCATTGAATTAATCAAAGACTGCATAGAAACATGTTGCGTAGTCTGTCTGTTTTGCAATAGAACTTATCCTGGAGCGCACTCTCACCGTGTACCCGGAGCAAAGCCACGTGCGATCTCGGGGTCTGATGGGCAAAAGCTTGATATTGGCTTGATTCATTTTGGATAGTGAATTTCTTTTTACCTTACGATGTTCTCATGATTCAATCTAGAAAGTAACTTCTCTTCTCGAGTAATTTTGCGATTAAACAGCACACTTGTCGGATTCAAAGGAATTCTTTTGATCGCAAAGAGACAGCCGTCCAATTTATTACGTAGCTAAGCGTATATAAAGCATTTCCAAATCACGTACAAAATTTCTTTCACATGACCAAATTACCGTCTATTTGAACGATGCATGTAATAAAAAGTTACCTTGACAACTGAAGCAAAACCTTCTTTTCCAAGCAATCTGGCGTCGTTTTTTCCCCTCTGTCATCATGCTTGATTTTGTTTCACTGTTGGAAGTTTCATTTTCAAGTATTTCTTCTACCTCAATCCACGAATTAAAAAATCTGTCATAAAAAAATATTAGAGCATTGTTTAAGCACGAAATATGCAGACACAAAGTTATGGAGGAAAATAAAAACATCTCTAACATTCTCACAGATACTACGAGTGGCGTAACAAAGTGTTGATGAGTTTGACAAAACAAGCATAAGAATGCAAACAGCATGCCTAAAATATATGATTGAAAATTTGCTAAGCTTGTTTATGCTAAGTGCACATACAAGCACCAAAGTCAGAGCTCGCTCTGTCACAAGTGACTTTAATAATACCACAACTTTCGTAAGCCTTTGAATTTAGGTATATATATATAAAGTCAATACTAGGTATAGTAGATGTCAACTAGCAGTGGAAGCTGGGTGCGATATAGCATGCAGTGGCTTAAGGGCCCACACTTCGGTGGCGACCGCACTCTCCCTGCGTACCCCGAGCAAAGCTTATCACAGGTGATCTCGGGGTCTGATGGGCGGAAGCTTGCTATTGCATCTCCCAAGTAGGATAGCGTGGAGGGGCCGAAATCTCCTACCGTAACGTTAACATGCGGCGTTCTTGTGCCTTGCGCTTAAGAGAGTATCGGGAAGCATGGACCGAAAACGGGTTTTTTTGCTTTCGTATTTTATCTTTTTGTTTATTTTTGCGAGTTCTTCTCTTAAAATAAACCAAGCAATGTTTCATTAACTTCTTCTGACACTGAGCCTTTTTCTTCGACAGGTTTTACACAATTTTTATTGGTTTATATCTTTCTGATTCAACTCTCTCTTTTCATGTATCACGAGCAAACCATACAATGGCTTCATGGCAAAGGAGGATTATCTGGTTCCATTAATTAACATGCGACGCTCTAGTGCTCAACTATCTCGGGGTATCGGGAGGCATGGCCCGAAAACGGGGTTTTTTGCTTTTGAATTTTATCTTTTTTTCTCTTTTAACAAGAATTCTTCTCATAAAAGAAACTAAAACATCCAAGGATACTGCAAAGGTTCAAACAACTTCTGCCTTTTCGACTTATAATTTAAAGCAACTCTAAGCATGTTTATACGTTTTTTACTTGTTATCTTTCACAATGTAACTTTCTCATAACTCTCTCGTGATGAACGAGAGCCTCCTTATACAATATAACTCTCTCATCATGAACGAAAGCATCCATGGGCTTCTTGGAAAAAAGGGATTATCTACTTTTTTATAATAGTTTCTACAAAGATACAATAGACAAATTACCGTCTATTTAAATGATGAATGTAATAAAAAGTTACATCTCAGATAGTCAAATAAAAAACTTGATATAGATAAACACGACATAAAAACAATGACCTTTTTAATACAATTATAGCACATATTCTATGCAGTGACTAAAATTAAAGTTATATGTCAAAGGAAGCCTCTTTAAATCTCTTTCTTTACCTAAACTTTCTACTAAGGTTACCTTGCAAATGTACTTTTCCAAAACCCAAGACAGTTTCTTTTCCTGGAACAATAAAAGTGAACAGAGATTAAGTTTAAATTGATGATTTACAGTTTGTGGAGTGTCATTTGTGCCAAAAATTTGACTCGCTACACTTCGCACTTGATTTCATCTCCACTAAATTATAGTCCCCTTCCGAGCCTATAACCCATTAAGTTTGTTGTCGTAGACATTATAATCTCAAACATTGAGACTCATGCAAGAAGAAGAAGAAGTATTTAATAGAATAAAGTGATGTATCTATGTACATGAAATGATTGATTATGATTGGCTGGATTATTACAGTGCTATGATTAAAGATGGTTCATAGGAAGATACCGTGAACACATGGTGCATGAGAAGATAGTATATCTGTTTATTAACAAAGGAAGACACTTAACACTATCACTGTTTACAATGTGACATATCTTAGAGCAGTAATTAACATGCCTCCCCACCCAAATTATAATCTCCGAATACTATCTTACAAAAAATAAAAAAAGAGACAAAATTCTGGGAGTTAAACGCTCCTTGAGAAAACTTTGCCAGTACCACCGAACCATTTTTCCTTTTAAATACAGTAAGGAAACATATTCATGAGCAAGCAAATCAACAACTGTTTTATGGCTAATCATTTGAATTTATGCTTAAAATTTTTCCTGTAAGGGAAGCCTCAAATTTCAACATCTTATATACCAGGAATTGACCAACATTACAGTTTTCAGTCACGAACAGATAAATGCACAAACAAAACACCTGTATACCTTACTCAAAGCAAAAGGCCAGTCACTACTTAATATCAAACAGTTGCTAACCAAAATTTTCATAACATTTTTATACATCTTGCAAATAATATTGGCTTCTTTTACCACCAATTATAATACACTATAAATATATTACACCCCTACTAAACATCTTACCTCCTTTGACTCTTGGACACATTCTCTTTTCCTTATTTATTCCAAATGTTTTGCTTTTTGTAAAATGTCAAGTGCATTCCTTAGTCCTACGCAAAAATAATTTAGAAACTTTCACCATATATGTAATACTTGCAAAAAGTCTCACCTCCTTCGACTGTTGGACACAACATAAGAATGAAACTTGTATCAACACAAATACTAGCACTAACATTAGAATTAAGACAACACTTACTTTAGATGAGATTACAAAGTGTCTGAAGTGAATGTACTGCTTGTATGAATGCACTGTATTTATGTGTGACAGGGCTTCTGTTTGGAATTCAATATCATCAGAATTCAGATGGCATAAGTGTCCAAAATAAACATGAATCGTGATTTACTTAACAGCGGTCATATTCAACACAGCGTCAATGGAACAGCGTGTCGTTGTCGTAATTAAAACGTGTCGTGTGAAAACGTTTAAACGCTGCGGTGTCACGAAAATAAATGAAACTAATATAAAGGAAATAAGAAACGGAAGTAATTCGATTCATTTTCCACGCAAAGTAATACCTCTCATCTCTGCAGTTGGTAGTACCTTTCTCAACTCAAAGCAAACAAACACAGTAAAAATCGACCATTTCTTTGCAAGTCTTATCGATCAAATACAATTGGTTTAAAATCCATACGATTTGAGGTAAATATACTTATGTTTTATAGAACACATTTTGTTGTGTTTTATTCATGAATTTTTGATACAGTTATATAATTTTTGTCCGTGTAAATGATGTTTAGTTTTTATACTAAAAGCACAATAGGAGATGCGGAATGTTATACAATAGGTAATTAAAAAGTAAAGAAAATTATTTTATGCATAAAAGACATTAATGATTAGGAACTTTATATACAAACTATTGTAATTATTTCTGTTATATTGACATCGGCTAATATCCTATATCATTGTTGCTCATGAAGAAAACGTGTTTTCGAAAAGAAAAAACAATGATCGTTGCAAGCCGGCAACTTAAAGAACTAAAACTTGAAAACAATCATAATACGAAAAACAAATACAATATTTTTATTAAGAACAGAGAGTGTCTATTTTGACAAGTTTATTTATAAATTTGGATTCTGTCAACTGGTCATTCTACGTATTGAATAGTTGTGATTTCATTATTTCTCATCTAGCAATGTCTTTGAAGCGCCGAAACACTGACTACAATGCTGACATTGATATTCGAGAGTACCAATTGTTGGCAGATAAGAGCTCGACTTATCTTGAATATTTGTGTAATTTGGACATTGATGTTAACCCTGGAGCTATACGTCATACCAGTATTATATGTACAATAGGTAGGTACAGCAATAGAGATACACATTCTGAAAACAATGCAAGTTTCAGGGCCAAAGGGCAAGACTGAACAGCTGCCCAGATATTTTACAAAATTGGTAACTAAATATCATTATCAGAAAAATGAACTGCTTACAGCCCGGGAAGAGGGCCTCCACACATGTTAATCCAGCCCTAGCAAGTTTACATGTTTCTTAATGGCACTTGACAGGTCCCGCAAGTCGAGAAGTTGCAACTTTGAAACAACTGATTGAAGCAGGCATGAATATTGCTCGGATGAATTTTTCTCATGGCGATCATAAGGTACATGGTTATGTACTAATATAGCCAAATCATCAATTTTTTTAAAATCTTAATGATACATTTCATCCAACCTGTTATTTGACTTTTGTTGCAGTACCATAAGGGAACAATTGAAAATGTTCGTGAAGCTGCAAAAGAAATGTATCCGCATCCTGTAGCTATTGCTCTTGATACAAAAGGACCTGAAATAAGAACAGGATTATTAAAAATGGTAATATAAAAATGGTATCTGAAAGCACTTAGTTGGAAAATGAAACATTGGCAACATTTGTTCACTTTGAATTTGTAAATATTAGCATTAAGGTTAAAATTGCTAAAGACTAACCTAACTTTGTAGGTCTTGGATGCTGCTGTATTGAGAAAAGTATTTGCAAATATTACAAAGTACAATTAGGTTTTAGAAGGTTTTTTCATGGGTTTAACGACTTTTCTAATTATTATTTTATTTGTTTACAATCACCGTATCTATAGGGTGCAACAGGTGAGGTGGATTTGGTTGATGGTCAAGCATTCAAACTTTCATTGAAGAAAGAGGATTATGAAAATGGCGACAAGAATATGGTGTATGTTGATTATGAAAACCTGGCAAAAACTGTCAAGCCTTCAAGTAAAATCTTCATAGATGATGGCTTGATAGCATTACGTGTCACAGAGATATTTGATGATCATGTGATGACAGTGGTCGAGAACAGTGGAAAGCTAGGAAGCAAGAAAGGTGTTAATCTTCCAGAAGCCATTGTGGATCTTCCTGCTGTGTCTGAGAAAGACAAATCTGACATTTTATTTGGAGTAGAAAATAAGGTAATGTAACTTAATCTCTTTACTACCAAAGATATATATTTACATTCTCGTAGTAAAAACACATATTTGTCTTAGCTAACATTAGTGATTTGATCTTTTGTGCCAAAGCTTTGATAAATAGTCAGATGTTTGCAGCAATTGCTAGTTTTAAATGATCATGTGCTAGTGGCATGGAAAAGTTTAAAGTGATATTACATCATGTGAAATCCAATTCCATTATTAATGAAATTGATTGAAGGTAGATTTACATCTTTGTTCACTTGATTTTTAGATTGACATGATTTTTGCCTCATTTATTCGTAAAGCAAGTGACATCGCATGATTCAAGCATTGTTAGGAGCTGAAGGCAAAGACATTAAGATCATTGCAAAGATTGAAAACCATGAAGGTGTGAGAAATTTTGATGAAATCGTCAATGTTGCTGATGGTGTGATGGTGGCTAGAGGTGACTTGGGGATAGAAATCCCAACTGAGAAAGTTTTTGTTGCTCAAAAAATGATGGTTGGCAAATGTATACGCAATGGAAAGCCAGTAACTATAGCGACACAGGTAGGTAAAGTGTTACAAGATTTATGCATTAACATTTCTTACCATGCCATAGAAAGATCATCTTTAAAGTTCAATTTTGTTTGTTGCAACTTTCAGATGTTAGATAGTATGATAAAGAAGCCAAGACCCACAAGGGCTGAAGGTTCTGATGTTGCCAATGCTGTTTTGGATGGTGCAGATTGTGTCATGTTGTCAGGGGAGACCGCAAAAGGAAAGTATCCGGTGAAGTCAGTTGAGGTTTGCCATTTTGAATGTTTTAATAGTAATTTTGATGAGAAAATAAGAAATTCAAGTTCATCTCTTGACTATGTTAAAACGCACTTTAATAATGAGACTATACACCATTCACTTCTGTAAACAAGATGAAAACTACTTACTCAACAGATTCATCCCTTTCCAGGTAATGCACAAGATTTGCTGTGAGGCCGAGGCTGCCATGTATCATCGACAATTTTTTGATGATAGTCGTTATTTGGTTGAAAACCCATCTGTGACAGAAACCATTGCACTAGCTGCAGTTGAAGCATCTTTTAAGCAGAAATCCTCAGCCATCATCTGTATGTCGCATTCTGGGACGTAAGTATGACTGTGACAATACTTCATCGCTTGATGAAACGTTACTAACCGTTCGTTTCTTTACATCATTTGGTGACGTTGTCGTTAATTTGTATAGAACCGCTCAACTCATTTCAAAATATCGTCCTCGTTGTCCAATCATCACAATAACACGTGACGAACGTGCGGCAAGACAACTGCACTTATATCGTGGTTGCTTTCCTTTGATTTATGATAAAAAAAACAAGGAAGATTGGTTTGCCGACTTGGAAGATAGAGTTAACTTTGCTATAAAGGAGGGCAAAGATATGGGTTTCCTCAAACTTGGCCATTCTGTTGTCTTGGTTTCTGGCTGGAAATTCGGACCAAAAAGTACAAATACAATACGTATTTTTACCATAGAAGAAGAAAAGACCAGTCTGAGATATTAGATGCTTACATGGGTCCAGCAGTTTTACCGTGTGTATCTATGAAGATATAAATAAACAACTATAACAAAAACGTTAGTGTGAGTCAGTTCAATAAAATTTTGCATAAAAAACAGTGATTTTCTTTCTCATTTTTTTAAATCATGATTACCACCTCAAGTCTTGCACTAACATAAAACGATGAATGTTTTCTATTCGGACTCAATATTTGTAACTGTGTATATTACGTTAACTTATTTGATTTCCATCACCTAACAAATTTGTATACGATTTACGTTAACTTATCAATATTTGCTATTTCCATCATATATACTATCAATATTTGTAACTGTATACGATTTACGTTAACTTATCAATATTTGTAACTTTACCTTTGCTATTTCCATCACCTACAAATTTGTATACGATTTACGTTAACTTATCAATATTTGTAACTTTACCTTTACTATTTCCATCACCCTATCAACACAAATTTGTATACCTTATCAATATTTGTAACTTTTGCTATTTCCATCACTATCAATACAAATTTGTATACGATTTACGTAACTTTACCTTTGCTATTTCCATCCTATTTACAACATCAAATTTATTTCCATACAAATTTGTATACGATTTACGTTAACTTATCAATATTTGTAACTTTACCTTTGCTATTTCCATCACCCCTATCAACACAAATTTGTATACGATTTACGTTAACTTATCAATATTTGTAACTGTACCTTTACTATTTCCTTCACCCCTATCAACACAAATTTGTATACGATTTACGTTAACTTATCAATATTTGTAACTTTACCTTTGCTATTTCCATCACCCCTAACAAAACAAATTTGTATACGATTTACGTTAACTTATCAATATTTGTAACTTTACCTTTACTATTTCCATCACCCCTAACAAAACAAATTTGTATACGATTTACGTTAACGATTTCAAACATTTTTCAGCACATTTAATGTTTTCATAGCTCACATTTCATGTCCTGCAGCGCGAGCACGCTCATTAAATTCGTAATAATTCTAATAAAATATTTAACACATTTTTTAAATAGTAATTGTAAACCTAAATATACATATCTCCGTCGGTTTCATTATTAAATTAGACGGCCATAAATATAATTAAAGATAAATTACAGTAATTAAATTATTTAGTAAACAGCCGCTCCACCATCTTCTCGTCTAGAGTCCGCATGACCATATAAATGACCATCATGTTTATAAACACCATTTACGATCGTGTTAAACATGGGTGGAGCTACAACCTTGTTACCTTTACCTTCCAGATACTTAATTATATCAAACTTGTGCAATAAAAAGCGATCCTCTAAAAGAAGAGAAAAATTCGTTAAGTAAACTAACTCGACGCAACAGCAACATATTGAGAAGGAAAGTAAAATTTCCACATGAAAAACATGTTTCTACGAAATCAATCAGTCGGGTGAATGGAATTCTCCAAATAACAAAACATTTTTTAAGTATATGGAGTATAGAACGTCACTTTAGTTGAGAGCGATCTTTCCAAAGCCACTGCGGTAATCAATTCAACTTTCTCAACTTCATTTCACGAGTTTTTCAGTTTTTCCAACAATATTTGAAGTTCATAAAAAAAATCAATAGAAATGAAATTTTTACCTTCAACTTCCACGTACATAGGATCTAATTGATGATGAAGTCTCGGCCATTCGATAGCATCTTCTAAACTTCGGTCGAACGTTATCATGTTGAACAAAACTAGACATATGAAGAAAAGGATGACTTCAGTCAGTAGATGTAACTGGAAGTAATGGCGTACATAGATGAACAAAAAAACCTTGAATGACAGCACTGGTTATATGAGATCCACCAACGCCTCCTAGTACAATCTGGCGACCACACAATTTCTATTCACGAAGAGAATTCAAAATACGTTAAGACCCAAGGAAACCATAATTATTTAAGAAAAAAAAACCATCAACAAATTCACTAACAGATTCAGATTTAAGTAGAGCAATGACAGGAGTCATAGATGACAACGGTCTTTTTTCTGGCTCAATGAAATTCGCCTGTAAATAAAAATATGTAGTTTATTTACAAGGTAAAACGGATTCACACAAGTAGAATAAATTTAGGAAATTCGTGTTACGTACCTTTGACGGCGCTAAACCATAAAAATTATGCGATTTAGGAGACGAAAAGTCGTCCATTTCATTGTTAAGAAGGATACCAGTATCTGTGTAGAGTTTAGAGCCAAACGGAGTATTGATGGTTCTGGAGGAAGAAACAAAAAATATTTATTGCACCGAGCATTTCAATCACAGATATAAACAAATAAAAGGTAGCAATACCAAAAGCAATCTACGATTTGACTTTACAAAACTGTATATTAATGGAATAAAATATACATTTAAAGATAACTTCATTCTTACAAAGTATAACCACCTTTCTAAAAAAGCTTAAAACTGAAGGTATCATTGTGCATATGAGCAGGAAGACTGCGCTTCGAGATAGTTACTTTACAGTTAAAATATTCAACAGAGCAAAATTCATGTAAATTCTTTTCAAAGAATAGATTTTTTCAAATGAACATATAGCTTCGCTAAATTAAAACTAAGTCACGTAGTTAAATAAACCATCCAGAACTACTTACCTGGTAACAGATACAATTCCTCCCTTACTGTCAATGACGGAGACATGTGAGGTACCTTTATTAGGTGGAGCATCGAAGAAAGGTCCATAATAATGTGGATCGTTAACAGTCATGTTGACTTTAATGAGTTTTCGTAATTCCGTAGCAATCGTCTTATTCAACATTATTTTTGTAAGATTTTGCACGTCTTTACTGTAGTCAGGATCAGCCAAACGACTACGTTGTGCATAAACAAATTTTAAGGTCTGCAATGAAATTGTGGTAAAGAAATAAAAAAAAAACTTGTCTGATGTCCTAAGAAGCGATTTTCATCAACTTCCACTTTGATTTAAAGTTATGCAGAACTTTGGACTACAGTATATAATTCCATAAACTTTAAGCAAATGAATTGGTTTTAACACAATCATAAACCTTCTACAATGGTGCCAGAAAAAAGTTCTGATCTTTTTTGCGCGTTAGAAAAACACGAGTGTAACTGAAACATAAAACGTTATTTTTGCACGACTTAACACGATACGCTAAAAAAACCGTAAAGGCATTTACAAAATTTCCTTTAATGAAAACATGATGATGATGTCTTGAGAGTCAAGACGAAACGTTACACTTTAAATAAATATTTCTTTTTATGCATTAAATGGCTCCTTTAAAAGCACTTTGCTGGGCTTTGATATTTATATTTAAACTTCGCTTTCCGCCCGGTATATCCCTGGTCACAATTAATGAAAACATGGTAGATATAGTTATAAACATGCAGTTAGGGGTACCAGAAAAGATTTCTAACCTTTTTTTAGTGTTACCAAATACAGAAAAATCAAACGTTATTCCTGCATGACTTATGAAACACGAAAAACTTGATGACCATTTAAAAAAAATTTCCTTTTAAATCAAAAAAAATAAATTACATACCTCAACAATATAATGATAAACTAAAGGATCGCTTGCATTATCTTTTGTAAGATTAAATCCTTCCAATATATTCATAGCAGAAAGAAGCACGCCTCCTGAAGCCGGAGGACCAGCTGTGAATAGAGTATAGTCTTGGTAACTTGAAGACAAGGCCTTTCTTTGCTTCACTTTGTAATCTTTCAAATCAACTAAACTCAATGTTCCATTGTTTTCTTGTACCTAAAGTAATTCAAGAACGATTTTATCATAACAGCACCATGCTACTAGACATATTGTCAGACAGAAGTACTAATGTTAAAAATAAAGATTTCCCTTTACGATCATTGATGCAAACTATTGTTTAGAGCTTACTTTTGTAACAATACTTTCAGCAATTTCACCGTGGTAAAATCCTTTTGAACCTTGATCAGCAATTATTTCTAATGTATTAGCAAGCTTTGGATGTTTGATAAATGGCTTTATTGTACCTTTCTAAAGATATAGAAACAAAACAATAACAAAGAACAATATTTTATAATTATATTGAAGCTAATTATCAAATGTTTTTATGTCAACGACAAACCTCCATGTACAGCTTTGTGAGCTCAGGAGACAATTTCTCTAACTCTTTCACGAAACTTGCATTACTTAGCCATTTTTCTATGAAAATCATCATTACTTAACCATTTTTCTATGAAAATCATCATTACTTAACCATTTTTCTATGAAAATCATCATCACAAATTGAAATCAGCAAGAATTTTAGTTTTTGAGCAGTCCCAAGCGAGAGTTTTGAAGATTAAAAATTGGAAAATGTATTAGCATAGATATACATTACTTGTTGAATTGAGCACTTTAAAACCATTTCTGGCTTTATTTATGGTTGGAGTAAACAGATCTTTCCACTCTAATCTGAAAGAAAAATAATCTCATTTTAATGTCTGAGATCTATCTAAAATGGTGAAAATAAAACTAAACTAAGACATACTTTCCAAACAATTTGTGAGCAATTTCAAAACCCTTCACTTCACCAGGTATTGCAACAGACAGGCCACCCTTATGGAAAAAAAATTCAAATAAAGAAAACAACAGCAAAATGATAAACTTTTTTTACAAATTTCAAGTTCGCCCTTCATCTACATATATTTTATAACGATAGTCGGACATTGGAAAAAGAACAATAGATTTACCATCTGGGAGCTTGCATTTAAGAACATATCTCTTGTAGAATTTCTTGGAGCAGTTTCACGAAAATCAATCACCTTCATTTTTCCCTCAGGTGATTGAACTAACATAAAACCACCTCTAAAATAGTTCATGAAGGTAAGACATATTATGTAGCAGAACTATGTTATGATGTATTTTATTATTGTTATGATGGTTAAGATGACGTTAGACTAATTCTAAAATGAATTTAGCTTTCAGGAATACTTCTCACACTCACACAGGCCAAATGAAAACTCATAAGTTGTAATTAATCCTACATCTAATACATTATTCCTACATTCTACAATCTACAATAAATAATTATTCCAAATCGTGCTCTTGGTATATTGATGAGGAATACAATTAGTATTATGATTATTATAAATTATATTTTAAGATAACCTGTGATATTTTCCATCAACATAATCTACTAAATAATCATTGCATTCATTGTACATCATTGTACATAATCACTGTACATCATTGTACATAATCATTGCACATCATTGTACATAATCATTGTACATAATCCACTAAATAATTATTCCTAATCATGCTCTTTGTGTATATCAGGGGTCTCCAAACTTTACAGCCAGAGGTAAGAACTTTCATTATGTTGAGCAGAACTATGTGATCAAAGATGAATATTTAATTACATTACACAAGCTTCATTCATTAGTTAAGAAAATATTTACTCAAAATTTAAACTTTAAAGGTTTAATTTCAACCAGGTAATATCATAACAAAATCACAATTATTCTGTTCAGTCCTGAGTGGTGAAATTGGTTTTTCATGACATTGTAAAATCTAGCTTTAAGTTTGAGGTTCCAAGCATTAGAAGAGCCCTGACATGTTTGTTCTATAACTGTTTTCATATACTTCATTCTAGAAAAGTTTTACACAGGTATGTGGTGCCAAACATAGATAGCAGTCCTGCAGTAAAATGCCTCAAATTTTGATAGTTCTCTTGTCTTTTAAATTTTCCCTCAACATAATCTGGAGTTTGGAAAAATTATTGGACATTCATTGCTAGTTGATTGTAACATAACTTTCTGCACATAGTTTATTTTGTACATAATATTATTATCATTGTACATAATCATTGTACATAATCCACTAAATAATTATTCCTAATTGTGCTCTTTGTGTATATTAATCAGGAATACAATTAGTATTATGATCATTATAGATTGTAGTTTAAGATAACTTGTGATATTTTCCATCATAAAAAATACAGAAAATGAAACACAACTATAGAAGAGGCGTCAAAACTGGATAATTAGAAAACTTACCCACCAATACCAGAGCTTTCAGGAAGTACCAAACCAATACATAGTGAAGTTGCTATAGCAGCATCAACAGCTGAACCTCCTTTTTTAATATGTCTCTTCCTAACATTGAACATTCTTTAGAATCTGAGGAAACAGCACCATGACCAATGTTGTGTTCACCAAAATATATATCAATGACAAGTGCGATAGTTACGGCCAGTGCAAAAGAAATGGATGCAGTAACGATGATTTTAAGTCCTCCAGGCTGCACACACTTTTTTTGTGGACATGGCTGGCTTTCTCCTGTCTCCTGGAATAAATAGACACATTTAATTTTCAATTGAAATGCTATACAGTACAATCCAACTAACATAAACAGTAAAGTAAATGGTTTGAACCCGGGAGTATCGTTACATGTTTGTAAATGTAGATCGTCCAGGTTGGTATAGTCCTGAGAAGGACTGTTGTTCTTGTTAACTGACGTTTTGACAACCTTAGCGGTAGTCATCTTCAGAGTCAAATGAGAACTAAACGTCAGGTTAGCCGTATTTGACAGACATTCTGTCTGAGGATGACTTTGAAACAAAGTCGAAAATTAACAGGTTACTACTCGTCTTGTTTTGATTCATATTTTGCAATCTCAAGATGCCTTGCTTCTTCGGAATTTGTTTTATATTATAAACAGTACCGTTTCAAGCAATTGGCTTGTTGCACGATTGTCGAGCTCATCAACTTTGGCTTCGTCATAAGTTTCGCTACGATTACCACTTGTCGACTGCTCTAAGGACATTTTAAATGAACTACTTAACGGCGATTAGCTCTTCCTCAAATGATTTGTTTTAGAAAAACCGCTATAATCAAAGTAATTGACAAGTCATTCAAATGTGCTGACTATTGAATGATGAAATACCGTATACGTCAACAAGTATAAATGGAGCCTGTATTTTGGGTACTACTGCAGTGATTGCGGGCTGGTAACCCATAGAAAAAACAGAGCTGTATAAGTATGCGGAGTGGGAGGCGAAACTATTGCCGGGACATAATAGGTCTTTCATTTAAAAGCATATTTATTTTACAATAAAAATGCATGTGAAACGTAAAGACCTTGCATTGCATCATCAACAAATTGTTTCGACATACGATAACGTACAATATTACCTTTGTTTATGATAAGTATTTATCAACAATAGAAACAAAAATAAGTAATTAACTTTAAAATTCACCCAATTAATCACGCGATTTATTGGAATTGCAACCGAATTGGTTCACACATCATCGACAACTTCATCATTAATCATTGAAAATTGATGAAACAACTGGAAGCACACGCACATTTCCATTCTGCGAAAAACTTGAGAGGAGTTTCTAAAAATGCCGTTATTTTTGCAAATTTACAGAGTTGGAAATCACGAAATATATACAAAGTATAAAAGGATTTCATGAAGTGGATACGTACTCACGCCTCTGTAATACTTCAAAACTAATCCGTTGAGGATAAAAAGATGGCTTTGGCACCGACGAGCTCAGATGCGTGTATGAGTATTGTGCATAGTTTAATGTGTCATCGCCAGGGCGGTGAGAGTGAAGCATTTGCGAAACGCGCCATAGAAAGTTTAGTTAAAAAATTAAAGGAAAAGCGCGATGAACTGGAGTCTCTAATAACTGCCATCACGACGAACGGTAGCCATCCGTCAAAGTGCGTGACAATCCAGAGAACATTAGATGGCCGACTACAAGTCGCGGGAAGAAAAGGTTTCCCCCATGTTATTTACGCTCGAATATGGCGTTGGCCAGATCTTCACAAGAACGAACTAAAACACGTACAGTACTGTCGATTCGCGTTCGACCTAAAATGTGACAACGTTTGCGTGAATCCATACCATTACGAGAGAGTTGTATCGCCAGGTAAGCACGGTAAACATTAAACATATCATGCTGTTTTTACTTGTTCGTTTCATTCATCATAAGATCATTGTAAACATTGCCTTTTATTTGACTAACGTGCTGTTAATTTCACATGTTTATAAAGATCTTGGTCTGACACTGCGTGGTAAGTGAGGATATTACATTTAGGTTGGCACATCAATATGAAAACTAACTAGGTTGTGGAACATCCATAGGTGATCCCAATTTTCACTCTACCGAGGTACATCCGGATCGTCAGATTCATCATTTTCCAGGTAAAATAATTGTTTGAGATTTTTATTGATTTTCATTTCAACAAAATTTGAATAGTCTGAATCCTTTTATGTAGATGGTCAAACTATGAGTCATGCTGGTGGACTTGATGTGAAGGGACTAAATGGTCATATTGGTATGTCGAGGATTTTACATACTTTGAATCTTTCATGACCAAGATAAAACACCATTCTTATACATTTAGGTTGGCCTGGTCAGCCTACTGCACCTGGTTATCCACAACAATCAAGCACCATTCCATATTGTATGTGTATATACCCAATCAAAATAATTGACATAAAAGTGTATGTTGGTTTATTGTACATCTTTATCACAGGGGACCAAAAACCAGTTCCAGATTCATGTGAGATGCCCGGACCAATATCAAAGCATCCACGTAAGCAGCTGTCATATTAAATTAAAACCATATTTCCTCAGAAAGGTGTCATCCTTATTCAGTGTTTACAAGCTGAATGATGTTAGAGCAGTATAGTCTCGGCCACCTTATTTTTTTGTCTGCTAACTTAAGTTGTCATACATCTTTGATTTTAAATGTTTCTTTTTAGCTCCCGATCACTGGTCTTCTATAGCATACTTTGAACTGGACCAACAAGTTGGTGAAATATTTAAAGTGCCATCAAATTGTTCATCAGTTACGATCGATGGTTATGTGGATCCTCGGTGGTCATAGATTTTGTCTCGGTCAATTATCAAATGTTCACAGAACTGAAGTTAGTGAAAAGGCAAGATTACATATAGGTAAGGGTTTGTATGTATTTTGATTTATAATGATTTCATGTATTGATATTAAAATATGACTATTTTGTCAGGTAAGGGTGTAAGTCTGGAGTTACGTGGGGAGGGTGATGTATGGGTGAGATGTCTCAGTGAACACAGTGTGTTTGTCCAAAGTTATTATCTTGATCGAGAGTCAGGTCGCTCCCCTGGTGATGCAGTGCACAAGATCTATCCTGGTGCATACATAAAGGTCTTTGACTTGGGTCAATGCTTCCGGCAAATTCGTCAGCAAGCCCATGCTGCACAATCAGCGGCTGCAGCTCAGGCAGCTGCTGTCGCAAGTGGTGTGGGACCAGGTGCTCTAATGCCTATTTCTCAGCTAAGTACAGGTACTTTGTTCAATTAAATGGTAGTGCTTTCTTGAACAAGAATCAATTCTCATCTTCTTTTCAGGCATTGGTGTTGATGATCTTCGTCGCTTATGTATATTGCGCATGAGTTTTGTGAAAGGATGGGGACCTGATTATCCACGCAAAAGCATCAAAGATACACCATGTTGGATTGAGATTCATCTACACAGAGCTTTACAGCTGCTAGATGAAGTATTAACAGCAATGCCTTCGGGTGAACATCGACCACATGAAATGTGATGAAGTTAATATGGAAGCACAATAAAAACATGACACAGTGAACAATTCTTGTTCAGTATTTTATGTTCAACAATTTTAAGAAATTGGGTAGATGAACATCAGTTGAAGAGGACCTTAGAGCTTGCGTTAACGGCAAGTGTTTTATTTAAACATAATGTATAGAATACTATGTACCAAATTATTTTTATTTAGCTTCCAATTTAGATGTAGAAGAATAACTAGAGTGTATAAATGATGGCTGAAAAAATTAGCTAAAATAAGGTTTCCGTGTGAAACTTACTCATGTAAAACATTATGGATGTCTACCCTAAAAAAATGAAAAACAATAAATAAAAATATGCATAATAAAATACTAATGCTTAAAATACATTGCTTTATATTTACTGAAAGATAAATTATGTCACAGATTATGTGTGGCACTGTGGACAAGTTGGTGATGTATATATCACAAATCATTTCACTGTCTTTTTGGCCATAAGTTCTCGTTCTAAAACCAATTCTTTTTCTCTTCTTTCCGCTTCTTCCTTATCCTGTTTTTCCCGTCTTTCTTTCAACTTAAGAGATCTCTTCTAAAAGTGATTCAATCAATGAATGAGAGACTGATGAGTTGATAAAATAAGACAAATAAAAGTGATTTAATCAATGGATGAGAGACTGATGAGTTGATAAAATAAGACAAATAAAAGTGATTTAATCAATGGATGAGAGACTGATGAGTTGATAAAATAAGACAAATAAAAGTGATTTAATCAATGGATGAGAGACTGATGAGTTGATAAAATAAGACAAAAGAAAGTTTGTTTTGACAAATGAGGAAAATTTACCTTCAATTTTCTTAAACGCTCATCCATTTGATCCATATCTTGTTTGACCCTCTTCAATTTTGTGTAATATGTTTGAATTGATGATATCTTAATTCATTTAAATTACAAAAGTACATTTTCGTAATTCTTTCTCGCTGGAAAACTAATTTTGAAGTTCTCTCACCATTTTGGTAAGCTCCTCGAAGTCTTGATTATCCTCATATTTCTTATTTTCCAATTTAAAGGAATCAATCAGAATACATTGGCTTTTGCTGTTCAAATAAGACAGTAATTAATTACATATGTGTTCAACAAAACAAAAATACCCCAATCATGTATTAACAAATGGTTATGTAAAAAGATAAGATATTAATTACCAGTAAGAAAAGTATTGATTGTATCATGTGATTACCCCACTTGTTTCAATTTACACGTAAAAGAACTTGAAATTGCGATAATATTGAAAATTTCTTGCTCACCATATTTCTTTAGTCTGTGTTCTCATCTCCGCCAGTTGCGGATGTACTTCTGACAAAAATCCGTTTGTTAGGTGACTAATCATGCTATTCGTATTTTCACTCGGTACAGCACATGAAGGTGATTTGATAGTATTCACATTTTCAGGAGTAATGGTGTCCTTAGTTGTTTCAGGTGAAAAGTTATAATCTTTGTCTCGATGTGTGACTGTGTCGTCATTTAAAACATCCTTATTAAGTTGAATAACTTGTGATGATTCGCTGTCTTGCACGGGTTCCATCACTTACTAGGCTTCGATTAAATATAATGCAGAGAAGAGAGAGGAAAATTTCTAAAACAACTCGTTCATTTTGTATAATTTCATTGATTTCTATCTATTTAAAATTTATATATGATTATTAGGAAGATCACGTGAACGGAAATAAATAAGTTTAATACCATTTGGTACTCAACATGGCGCGAAATTTTCTAGTTGTTCGTTTTCCGGCAAAATTTTTTAATTCCGGGAACCGAAGCTAATTCATTCAAGAATGAATTGCGCGAGAAAACGTTTGCCAGGAGTTTTAGTAGGAAGTAATTCCAAGTCATGTTAATTCGCACCTTAAATTACGCTTGTGGTTTGGCTGTGAGTTCATTTATCGCAGTCAACACTCTCAACACTTTTCGTCCTGGAAATACGGTGAGAGGGAAAGACGTCGACAGAAAAGATAAGGATCTTGCATTAAAACAAGTTCAAGTAATATTCCGACATGGCGTAAGGACGCCCATAAGGACAATTTCTGGTTTAGAGGAAAATGTTTGGGATAAACAAGAACTTAGATATGAACTCGAGCATACTAAATTGAAGTATGAAGTGAAGAGCTTGAATGGTCATGAATTGAAGGAAGAAAATTCAACAAAAAATGTATTGAAGGTTAGTTCATCATGCATCATGATGATCCTAGTTGAAGAAGAATTAAGGTGATCAGAGGATCAGAAAGGATGCCACAGGATCATGGGCATGAACTGATGTCTCGTTTTTTAAGACACATGTGAATGCTCTAATATGTTTAAAACAAATTGAAACAGTAGAGAACTGCTTTGAACTGTATACATGTTGTTCCAAGTTTTATATTGCGTTGTCCAAATGTTGTAATATATGAGAAGATTTCTAATGAAGGGGACTTCATATACTGAGATATGTTTGTTGTTGATTTAGGGAGGTTGTGAGATGGGCGCATTGACAACTGTAGGGCAACAACAGGCCTATGACCTAGGTCGGAAACTGAAGAAGCATTATATAGATGAGTTTAAACTTGTCGATGACAACCTTGATGAGAGGATAATTTAGTAAGTAAGATGGTCCATGAAAAACTCTGATATTGTACATATTTAATGTTGAAACTTCATCTTAATTACAAGCCTTCGAACAACCCATTTCCCAAGGGCCATTGAAACATTGCGCTGTGTTGTGACTGGAATGTTCAACCACATAAATGGTGGGATGTGTTCCTTATTAAAGAAGTTTATTTGTAATGTATTAAAAGAATCTGCAACACATTACAGACAATAAACTCGGGTTTATTTCACTTTGTTTTATGTAGAGCCAGTTATCTTTTGGACGTTGCCCATTATTGAAGAAATATTTTTTACAAATTGGTCAGCCTGCAAGGCTTTACAGCAGTTTCGCAAGTATTGTTTCACACTTGCTCATAAATTACCAGGATATCAGGAAGACTTGGAGAAATTCATGAGAGCAGTTGGAAAACCAATGAAAAACATTAATTTTATTCACATTTATGATGAAATGAGTTCCAGAAATGTAGGAGATAAAATTAATGAATTCATGTAATAATATGTGTGTAGTATTGTTAAATTATGGTCATTGAATTGAATTTTCAAGGCTCACAACAAAATATATTCAGATGAAGTTAAAAGTTTAATGAAAACTGTGGAAGCTCGTGCATTACAGCTGTACACAAGTGTATTTCAGTCTCCTCCAACGTGGACAAAGTACGTTACTAGAAGGACATGTTTCCCTTATTTTGAAATGTCCATGTTAGTTGAGCATAAAATATAGCTTTTTTCTCATTCAGAGGAATGATTCTTCCATTATCTTGTGGTCATATGCTCCAAAATCTTTATAAAAATATTCAGTCAAGTATTGAGGAAACAAGGTGGGTATGTCTATTGTAGAGGCGTAGTAGAGGAAGGTTGCTCAAATTCACATTGCTTTTATACAAACTGTGGAATTGAGGTTTCAAACTAAGAGGGGATCTTTTCCAGCCTAACATACAAACATGACAAATGTTTGCGTTACCTTGGGAAAAAGGGTGGTGATAACTAGAGTATTGATTTGCCATTTTGTAAAGTTGAAATTTGCCGGACGTACGTCTTCCGTAGCATTAACAAAGGTTAATAATGATGTCCTATGACTGAAAGTTTGGTTAATATTTCAACATTTGAAGTTTTTTGCGCTCGCCCGTGTTTTTCAGCAACCATAGACTGTATTTGTTCTCTGCGCATGTGTCAACGTTGATAACTCTGTGCGCAGCGTTGGACATAGAACTCAAAGAATGGCCACCGTTTGCTTCCTATGTTTCCTTGGAACTTTATGAGAACGAGGTAATGAATGACGAAAAAAAAACACGACAACGTGATGAATTAAAGTGAATGGTTTGAACCATGGAGGATCGTTACGTACATGTTTGTACGTATATAGATGTAGATGGTCCAGGTCCATGGAGGATCGTTACGTACATGTTTGTACGTATATAGATGTAGATGGTCCAGGTCCATGGAGGATCGTTACGTACATGTTTGTACGTATATAGATGTAGATGGTCCAGGTTAGTAAAATCCTGAGGACTGTTAGTGTTGATGCAGTCTGAAGTTTCGACAACCTAGCAGTAGTCATCTTCACTCTTCTATTGACTTAAAAGATGACTGCTGCTAAGGTTATCAAAACGCCAACAGTTTTTAGGACTCTGCTACGTCAACTACAACAACAGTCCTTCTCAGGACTCCATTGACCTGGACATTCAACATCTACAACTTTTATATATCTGGTTGTAAATATAACAATAATCAAGCAACACTTCGTATATAATCCAACAACACTTATCTTTGTGGTAAAACATTACAAGTATACACAGGTTAATCCAGGTTAGAAGAGTAGAATCCAGAAGGACTGTTGATGTTCATGTTGACTGAGGTTTCAACAAACCTAGATGTAGTCATCCTCAGAGACAAGTAAGGACTATCTCAGTCAACACTAGCACCGATAGTCCATCTCTATCATTCTCTATCCAGAACAATCTACATCTACCACATTATAACCGTCTATTTACTTTCTTTCATAGGTCTGTGAACATTTTGTTCGCGTTGTTTTCTCAGGAGATGTAAGTTATACACGGCTTCGAAACTACGATAGTTTTTCATTTTATGTAATTTTTGACGTCTATTTTTAAGGTCAAGAATTCTAAGAAATTTAGTAAAGAGATGCCCATTAAAGAGTGAGAGTTCTATGTTTTTCGTTATGTCAGTTATTAACTGCTGTACAAGCAATTTTGTCAATTTTTCGCCTGTTTTATGCATTTAGATTCAAAGCAATAGTTGATCGATTGGCGATCGACGATTACGAGAGAGTTTGTAACACGATGTTTGATATACCAGAACAAAGTCAATGAATTTTAGCTAATTTACATAAATTGCGTTGCAATGTTACAAAATGTATGGCGGTAGACATGAAAAAGTTGGTAGCACTTTGTTTGATATTCCAGAACAAAGTTAAATGAAATTGTAATTTACATAAATTGCGTAGAAATGTTACCTATAATCTAACTTACACTATGTATGTAAAATAAAACGAACGATTATTCAATGAACGATGTCAATTTTTGTCAAAATAAATTAAGATTTTTTTTGGTAATCCATACGTCTTGATTGCTTATCGTTGAGACGGTTTGCAAAAAAATTGTCAAATATGATTTTCAAGACGATTGTTTAAGGATGGTGGACAAAATGAGCCTTGTCATATTCCTCATGACAATAATCACAGGTATGTCACAGGATCTTTGGTTCGTTAACATTTTCATATTTATTCAACAGATTTATTTCCAACTTCTGTGTTTATTTGTGAGGACTGGAGCAGAATATGAAGGTGATTTGATAGTATTCACATTTTCAGGAGTAATGGTGTCCTCAGTTGTTTCAGGTGAAAAGTTATAATCTTTGTCTCGATGTGTGACTGTGTCGTCATTTAAAACATCCTTATTAAGTTGAATAACTTGTGATGATTCACTTTCTTGCACGGGTTCCATCACTTACTAGGTTTCGATTAAATATAATGCAGAAAAGAGAGAGGAAAATTTCTAAAACAACTCGTTCATTTTGTATAATTTCATTGATTTCTATCTATTCAAAATTTATTTATGATTATTAGGAAGATCACGTGAACGGAAATAAATAAGTTTAATACCATTTGGTACTCAACATGGCGCGAAATTTTCTAGTTGTTCGTTTTCCGGCAAAATTTTTGAGTCCGGGAACCGAACCATTTCAAGAATAAATTGCGCGAGAAAACGTTTGCCAGGAGTTTTAGTAGGAAGTAATTCCAAGTCATGTTAATTCGCACCTTAAATTACGCTTGTGGTTTGGCTGTGAGTTCATTCATTGCAGTCAACACTCTCAACACTTTTCGTCCTGGAAATACGGTGAGAGGGAAAGACGTCGACAGAAAAGATAAGGATCTTGCATTAAAACAAGTTCAAGTAATATTCCGACATGGCGCAAGGACGCCCATAAAGACAATTTCTGGTTTAGAGGAAAATGTTTGGGATAAACAAGAACTTAGATATGAACTGAGCATACTAAATTGAAGTATGAAGTGAAGAGCCTGAATAGTCATGAATTGAAGGAAGAAAATTCAACAAAAAATGTATTGAAGGTTAGTTCATCATGCATCATGATGATCCTAGTTGAAGAAGAATTAAGGTGATCAGAGGATCACAAAGGATGCCACAGGATCATGGGCATGAACTGATGTCTCGTTTTTTAAGACACATGTGAATGCTCTAATATGTGTAAAACAAATTGAAACAGTAGAGAACTGCTTTGAACTGTATACATGTTGTTCCAAGTTTTATATTGCGTTGTCCAAATGTTGTAATATATGAGAAGATTTCTAATGAAGGGGACTTCATATACTGAGATATGTTAGTTGTTGATTTAGGGAGGTTGTGAGATGGGTGCATTGACAACAGTTGGGCAACAACAGGCCTATGACCTAGGTCGGAAACTGAAGAAGTATTATATTGATGAACTTAAACTTGTCGATGACAACCTTGACGAGAGGATAATTTAGTAAGTAAGATGGTCCATGAAAAACTCTGATATTCTACATATTTAATGCTGAAACCTCATCTTAATTACAAGCCTTCGAACAACCCATTTCCCAAGGGCCATGGAATCATTGCGCTGTGTGGTGACTGGAATGTTCAACCACATAAATGGTGGGATGTGTTCCTTATGAAAGAAGTTTATTTGTAATGTATTAAAAGAATCTGCAACACATTACAGACAATAAACTTGGGTTTATTTCACTTTGTTTTATGTAGAGCCAGTTATCTTTTGGACGTTGCCCATTATTGAAGAAATATTTTTTACAAATTGGTCAGCCTGCAAGGCTTTACAGCAGTTTCGCAAGTATTGTTTCACACTTGCTCATAAATTACCAGGATATCAGGAAGACTTGGAGAAATTCATGAGAGCAGTTGGAAAACCAATGAAAAACATTAATTTCATTCAAATTTTTGATGACATGAGTTGCAGAAATGTAGGAGATAAAATTAATGAATTCATGTAATAATATGTGTGTAGTATTGTAAATTATGGTCATTGAATTGAATTTTCAAGGCTCACAACAAAATATATTCAGATGAAGTTAAAAGTTTAATGAAAACTGTGGAAGCTCGTGCATTACAGCTGTACACAAGTGTATTCAGTCTCCTCCAACGTGGACAAAGTACGTTACTAGAAGGATATGTTTCCCTTATTTTGAAATGTCCATGTTAGTTGAGCATAAAATATAGCTTTTTTCTCATTCAGAGGAATGATTCTTCCATTATCTGGTGGTCATATGCTCCAAAATCTTTATAAAAATATTCAGTCAAATATTGAGGAAACAAGGTAGGTATGTCTATTGTAGAGGCGTAGTAGAGGAAGGTTGCTCAAATTCACATTGCTTTTATATAAACTGTGGAATTGAGGTTTCAAGACTAAGAGAGGATCTTTTCCAGCCTAACATACAACCATGACAAATGTTTTCGTTACCTTGGGAAAAGGGGTGGTGATAACTAGAGTATTGATAATTTCTGCAGGATTTGGCACCCCACACCACCCCACCCTCTCCCAAACAAAATATAAATTCTCACCATCCCTGAAAATGAACTTGAAAGTTCTCAATTACCAATTTGCCATTTTGTAAAGTTGAAATTTGCCGGAAGTACGTCTTCCGTAGCATTAACAAAGGTTAATGATGTCCTATGACTGAAAGTTTGGTTAATATTTCAACATTTGACGTTTCTGCGCTCGCCCGTGTTTTTCAGCAACCACAAACTGTATTTGTTCTCTGCGCATGATGCAACGTTGATAACTCTGTGCGCAGCGTTGGACATAGAACTCAAAGAATGGCCACCGTTTGCTTCCTATGTTTCCTTGGAACTTTATGAGAACGAGGTAATGAATGACGAAAAAAAAACACGACAACGTGATGAATTAAAGTGAATGGTTTGAACCATGGAGGATCGTTACGTACATGTTTGTACGTATATAGATGTAGATGGTCCAGGTCCATGGAGGATCGTTACGTACATGTTTGTACGTATATAGATGTAGATGGTCCAGGTCCATGGAGGATCGTTACATACATGTTTGTACGTATATAGATGTAGATGGTCCAGGTCCATGAAGGATCGTTACGTACAATGTAGATGGTCCAGGTCCATGGAGGATCGTTATGTACATGTTTGTACGTATATAGATGTAGATGGTCCAGGTCCATGGAGGATCGTTACGTACATGTTTGTACGTATATAGATGTAGATGGTCCAGGTCCATGGAGGATCGTTATGTACATGTTTGTACGTATATAGATGTAGATGGTCCAGGTCCATGGAGGATCGTTACGTACATGTTTGTACGTATATAGATGTAGATGGTCAGGTCCATGGAGGATCGTTACGTACATGTTTGTACGTATTAGATGGTCCAGGTCCATGGAGGATCGTTATGTACATGTTTGTACGTATATAGATGTAGATGGTCCAGGTCCATGGAGGATCGTTACGTACATTTTTGTACGTATATAGATGTAGATGGTCCACGTCCATGGAGGATCGTTACGTACATGTTTGTACGTATATAGATGTAGATGGTCAAGGTTAGTAAAATCCTGAGGACTGTTAGTGTTGATGCAGTCTGAAGTTTCGACAACCTAGCAGTAGCCATCTTCACTCTTCTCTTGACTTAGAAGATAACTACTGCTAAGGTTATCAAAACGCCAACAGTTTTTAGGACTCTGCTACGTCAACTACAACAACAGTCCTTCTCAGGACTCCATTGACCTGGACATTCAACATCTACAACTTTTATATATCTGGTTGTAAATATAACAATAATCAAGCAACACTTCGTATATAATCCAACAACACTTATCTTTGTGGTAAAACATTACAAGTATACACAGGTTAATCCAGTTTAGAAGAGTAGAATCCAGAGAAGGACTGTTGATGTTCATGTTGACTGAGGTTTCAACAAACCTAGATGTAGTCATCCTCAGAGACAAGTAAGGACTATCTCAGTCAACACTAGCACCGATAGTCCATCTCTATACTTCTCTATCCAGAACAATCTACATTTACCACATGTAACACGATGGTTTGAAATCGTTGAGTGACATTTTAACCGCATATTTACTTTCTTTCATAGGTCTGTGAACATTTTGTTCGCGTTGTTTTCTCAGGAGATGTAAGTTAAACACGGCTTCGAAACTTCGATAGTTTTTCATTTTATGTAATTTTTGACGTCTATTTTTAAGGTCAAGAATTCTAAGAAATTTAGTAAAGAGATATCCATTAAAGAGTGAGAGTTCTATGTTTTTCGTTATGTCAGTTATTAACTACTTGTACTTTTGTCAATTTTTCGCCTGTTTTATGCATTTAGATTCAAGGCAATAGTTGATCGATTGGCGATCGACGATTACGAGAGAGTTTGTAACGCGATGTTTGATATACCAGAACAAAGTCAATGAATTTTAGCTAATTTACATAAATTGCGTTGCAATGTTAGAAAATGTATGGCGGTAGACGATTATGAAAAAGTTTGTAGCACTTTGTTTGATATTCCAGAACAAAGTTAAATGAAATTGTAATTTACATAAATTGCCTAGAAATGTTACCTATAATCTAACTTACACTATGTATGTAAAATAAAACGAACGATTATTCAATGAACGATGTCAATTTTTGTCAAGATAAATTAAGATTTTTTTTGGTAATCCATACGTCTTGATTGCTTATCGTTGAGACGGTTCGCAAAAAAATTGTCCAATATGATTCGCTGTCTTCCACGGGTTCCATTACTTACTAGGTTTCGATTAAATATAATGCAGAGAAGAGAGAGGAAAATTTCTAAAACAACTCGTTCATTTTGTATAATTTCATTGATTTCTATCTATTTAAAATTTATTTATGATTATCAGGAAGTTCACGTGAACGGAAATAAATAACTTGAAATCCATTTGGCGGTTAAATAGACTCAACATGGCGCGAAATTTTCTAGTTTTTCGTTTTCCGACAAAATTTTTGAGTCCGGGAACCGAACCAATTCAAGAATAAATTGCGCGAGAAAACGTTTGCCAGGAGTTTTAGTAGGAAGTAATTCCAAGTCATGTTAATTCGCTCCTTAAATTACGCTTGTGGTTTGGCTGTGAGTTCATTCATTGCAGTCAACACTCTCAACACTTTTCGTCCTGGAAATACGGTGAGAGGGAAAGACGTCGACAGAAAAGATAAGGATCTTGCATTAAAACAAGTTCAAGTAATATTCCGACATGGCGCAAGGACGCCCATAAAGACAATTTCTGGTTTAGAGGAAAATGTTTGGGATAAACAAGAACTTAGATATGAACTTGAGCATACTAAATTGAAGTATGAAGTGAAGAGCCTGAATAGTCATGAATTGAAGGAAGAAAATTCAACAAAAAATGTATTGAAGGTTAGTTCATCATGCATCATGATGATCCTAGTTGAAGAAGAATTAAGGTGATCAGAGGATCACAAAGGATGCCACAGGATCATGGGCATGAACTGATGTCTCGTTTTTTAAGACACATGTGAATGCTCTAATATGTGTAAAACAAATTGAAACAGTAGAGAACTGCTTTGAACTGTATACATGTTGTTCCAAGTTTTATATTGCGTTGTCCAAATGTTGTAATATATGAGAAGATTTCTAATGAAGGGGACTTCATATACTGAGATATGTTTGTTGTTGATTTAGGGAGGTTGTGAGATGGGCGCATTGACAACTGTAGGGCAACAACAGGCCTATGACCTAGGTCGGAAACTGAAGAAGTATTATATTGATGAACTTAAACTTGTCGATGACAACTTTGATGAGAGGATAATTTAGTAAGTATGATGGTCCATGAAAAACTCTGATATTGTACATATTTAATGCTGAAACCTCATCTTAATTACAAGCCTTCGAACAACCCATGTCCCAAGGGCCATTGAATCATTGCGCTGTGTCGTGACTGGAATGTTCAACCACATAAATGGTGGGATGTGTTCCTTATTAAAGAAGTTTATTTGTAATGTATTAAAAGAATCTGCAACACATTACAGACAATAAACTTGGGTTTATTTCACTTTGTTTTATGTAGAGCCAGTTATCTTTTGGACGTTGCCCATTGTTGAAGAAGTATTTTTTCCAAATTACTCAGCCTGCAAGGCTTTAAAGCAGTTTGTCAAGTACTGTTTCACACTTGCTCATAAATTACCAGGATATCAGGGAGACTTGGAGAAATTCATGAGAGCAGTTGGAAAACCAATGAAAAACATTAATTTCATTCACATTTATGATGACATGAGTTGCAGAAATGTAGGAGATAAAATTAATGAATTCATGTAATAATATGTGTGTAGTATTGTTAAATTATGGTCATTGAATTGAATTTTCAAGGCTCACAACAAAATATATTCAGATGAAGTTAAAAGTTTAATGAAAACTGTGGAAGCTCGTGCATTACAGCTGTACACAAGTGTATATCAGTCTCCTCCAACGTGGACAAAGTACGTTACTAGAAGGATATGTTTCCCTTATTTTGAAATGTCCATGTTAGTTGAGCATAAAATATAGCTTTTTTCTCATTCAGAGGAATGATTCTTCCATTATCTGGTGGTCATATGCTCCAAAATCTTTATAAAAATATTCAGTCAAGTATTGAGAAAACAAGGTAGGTATGTCTATTGTAGTGGCGTAGTAGAGGAAGGTTGCTCAAATTCACATTGCTCTTATATAAACTGTGGAATTGAGGTTTGAAGACTAAGAGAGGGATCTTTTCCAGCTTAACATACAAACATGACAAATGTTTGCGTTCCTTGGGAAAAGGGGTGGTCATAACTAGAGTATTGATAATTTCTGCAGGATTTAGCACCCCACCCCACCCTCTCTCAGCCTCTCAAACAAAATATAAATGCTCACCATCCCTGAAAATGAACTTGAAAGTTCTCAATTACCAATTTGCCATTTTGTAAAGTTGAAATTTGCCGGAAGTACGTCTTTCGTAGCATTAACAAAGGTTAATAATGATGTCCTATGACTGAAAGTTTGGTTAATATTTCAACATTTGAAGTTTTTTGCGCTCGCCCGTGTTTTTCAGCAACCATAGACTGTATTTGTTCTCTGCGCATGATGCAACGTTGATAACTCTGTGCGCTGCGTTGGACATAGAACTCAAAGAATGGCCATCGTTTGCTTCCTATGTTTCCTTGGAACTTTATGAGAACGAGGTAATGAATGACGAAAAAAAAACACACGACAACGTGATGAATTAAAGTGAATGGTTTGAACCATGGAGGATTGTTATGTACATGTTTGTACGTATATAGATGTAGATGGTCCAGGTTAGTAAAGTCCTGAGGACTGTTAGTGTTGATGCAGTCTGAAGTTTCGATAACCTAGCAGTAGTCATCTTCACTCTTCTCTTGACTTAAAAGATGACTACTGCTAAGGTTATCAAAACGCCAACAGTTTTTAGGACTCTGCTACGTCAACTACAACAACAGTCCCTCTCAGGACTCCACTGTCTTGGACATTCCACATCTACAGACATGTAACTTTTATATATCTGGTTGTAAATCTCTCTAATAATCAAGCAACACTTCGTATATAATCCAACAACACTTATCTTTGTGGTAAAAAAATACAAGTATATACAGGTTAATCCAGGTTAGAAGAGTAGAATCCCGAGAAGGACTCTTCATGTTCATGTTGACTGAGGTTTCAACAAACCTAGATGTAGTCATCCTCAGAGTCAAGTAAGGACAATCTCAGTCAACACTAGCACCGATAGTCCTTCTCGATACTTCTCTATCCAGAACAATCTACATTTACCACATGTAACACGATGGTTTGAAATCGTTGAGTGACATTTTAACAGCGTATTTACTTTCTTTCATAGGTCTGTGAACATTTTGTTCGCGTTGTTTTCTCAGGAGATGTAAGTTAAACCACGGCTTTGAAACTACGATAGTTTTTCGTTTTATGTAATTTTTGATGTCTATTTTTAAGGTCAAGAATTTTAAGAAATTTAGTAAAGAGATACCCATTAAAGAGTAAGAGTTCTATGTTTTTCGTTATGTCAGTTATTAACTGTACTTTTGTCAATTTTCGCCTGTTTTATGCATTTAGATTCAAAGCAATAGTTGATCGATTGGCGATCGACGATTACGAGAGAGTTTGTAACACGATGTTTGATATACCAGAACAAAGTCAATGAATTTTAGCTAATTTACATAAATCGCGTTGCAATGTTACAAAATGTACGGCGGTAGACGATTATGAAAAAGTTTGTAGCACTTTGTTTGATATTTCAGAACAAAGTTAAATGAAATTGTAATTTACATAAATTGCGTAGAAATGTTACCTATAATCAAACTTACACTATGTATGTAAAATAAAACGAACGATTATTCAATGAACGATGTCAATTTTTTTGTCAAAATAAATTAAGATTTTTTTGGTAATCCATACGTCTTGATTGCTTATCGTTGAGACGGTTCGCAAAAAAATTGTCCAATATGATTTTCAAGACGATTATCGAAAGAAGTAAAATATTTAATGGAAACATTCTTTCAATTTTTCAATAAAGTTAATAACAACACGCAAGACGTACGCCTCCCGTAGAGAAGTGGCCATTCTACAATTCAACACCTGTATGACAATGCCATACCATTACTTAGCAATGTTTTCGTGTGCGCAACAGAAGTAATTAATAAAGCAACGTCGCTTTCTTTGATGCCTAAAACTAAGTCTAAAGTTCAATGTGTTTAAAACAGTAACCTGGAGTGATTTACTTTCGAATATTGTTTAAGGATGGTGGACAAAATGAGCCTGGTCATATTCCTCATGATAATAATCACAGGTAAGTCACAGGATCTTTGGTTCGTTGACATTTTCATATTTCTCCAACAGATTGATTTCCAACTTCTGTGTTGATTTGTGAGGACTGGAGCAGAATATACGTACACATAGATATATAGATACCATTATTTAACAACAAAGGCCTCTTTTTGTTTCAAGGGCTATATCTTGAGCACATGTCTTTCTTTATTGAATGATGTGACGAGACTTTACAACACAATTGTTTGTTGAATGATCAGAACATCAACACAAATAAATTTAGTTTCACAATGGATAAGAGCTCCAGTCTTACAAATTCGCCTATACTTCACCATACAACAATTATAATTATTATAGCAATCACGGTCATATGGTCTTTAAGTCTCATGTACGACTTGACATACATATGGAAGTTTAAAAAAATGATTAAAGTTGGGGGATTTTATTACATTCGTTTACATTGCTGTCACTGGCCTTATGGGTCAACGCAAATGCCGTAAACCTGATTGAAATCGCTTAAAAAGATACGAACTCTGTTAGAATTTCTTTACCTTACTTTCTATAACAAAAAAACTGCGCGCGAATGTGACATAGAAACAAAAAAGTGCTGAATAAACATGACAATGGTCCTTGACTTTGTGTCATTTGATAGATGCATGATCACACCAACTTACACGTAATGTTTTTTTTAAAACTATAGTCAAATGCTCTTATTTACGGGCGTGTAGATTTACTCTTTTTATCTCAGTATTAGATCTGTTCTTTCGACCTCTTTGTTTTATAATACAAAAGCTGTATAAACGTAAAAGCGTCGTAATCGGATGTTTAGTGTAAACCAATCCGTAATCTTATACCCAAATTCGATCAAATTTCAAGCAAAAACGGAAATTTATTTTGAAAAACAGGATTTCGTAACACTCTAATGAAACATACTCTAAATAAAAAGTTCGTGTTCAACTCAATATTAGAGAAAAAAAGAAACAAGACAATTTTTATTTTAATAGTACTATTTCGAATTTATCCCAAATTCATCATTTCTCAAATATAGCATAGTATCCACGTTTGTGCTTCATTTTTTCCTCATGTTTTACACCAACAATTCAAAGCAATTTAATGAAGCTTTTTTCCATAATGATAATTAAATATTTTACCTTCAAAGTGAAGAGACGTGCAATGGTAGATGGGTAACATTCTAGCATGGCGTTGTTAGTTTTAACAATATCACATTTAGATAGAAAGTGAAAAGTCTTTATCTCTTTATCTTGATTTAGGTGCACAGAACAATCTCGTCCTTACGTAAGTAGCTACAATGTCTGACAAAATTAATGATAAAGAATGAAACTATGCTAATGATGAAGTTTGCTTTTCGTTTACAACATCAAATCGTCGTAATTATCGTTGCTTTCACCACTCAACTCGTTTTACGTAGAGGAGGGGCAGGATAGCACATTTCCATCGATGTTAGTAAATATTTATTTTAAAAACCGCATCAATCTTTCAACAAACAAAAAAAACACCCACACACACAGAACATGCATATTTCGGAGAAAGTGCTTGCAAATTCTTCAACTATATTCTATTCCATTACAGGATATCTTTCTCACCAAATACTGGTATTTGTCAACATTACACGGGAAAATGCAGAACGCTTTTAAACTCAAGTGAGCCACGTTTCATCAACACAACTATCGGTTACAACGGAACGGAAAGTGTTGCAACAGATCTGCTTAAAGCAGTCGAGAAAATATATGAGAAAAAAATGAAATTGGATAAAAAAGAAACAAATGACGTTGTGTGTAAGCCGATCTTAGAAAAAGCAGTTTGTTTCTTTGTCTTCCCTTTGTGTTCATCACGACAACAAAAAATGGATATATGTCGAGAGGATTGTGATTATCTTTATGAATTATGCGGCAAGGATCTTGATCATGTAAGAATGTCATTAATATATAATATTTTATTTTGACAAAGTTTGTGTACGATCGCCTCCACTTCCGCCACAGCGCGCGTTGAATTTCAATTGTTGTGTATCTTTCAAGCTTGTAGGTGTTGGCCAGTTTTTGCTTTTCGGCAAGTTGTCTGGTATTGTTTTTCATTTCGGTGATTGCAAAGATTTAAGGAGCGAGAAAGACACTTCATGTTCGCACTTACCATTCTTAGGTACGTTGTATGTACTTGCAATGTTTTACCAAATATTGTTGAATTATATGAAAGGCTGTTTGATTATTGTTGGTTAAACATATTTATATAAAAGCTTCATGTCTGTAGATCGTCCAGATTAGTAGAGTCATGAGAAGAACTGTTCGTGTTGATGAAGACTGACGTTTCGATAGCCACAGCGGTAGTCATCTTTAACGTTTAGGCTAAGATTGTAGAAACGTCAGCCAATAGCTACAAACACCAACAGTCCTTCTCAGGACTCATCTAACCTGGACGATCTATATCAAAACATGTAACGATACTTCCCGGTTCAAATGATTTGCTTCACGTAAAAAAGTTCTCAAGTAACAGACAAGTACTGTTTACTTGACACCGACCAATATTTGTGCTAAAGAATGGTTTGGGAAACCGTTTTGAACAGCAATTCAGCAACATGCAAAAGGATCATGCAGCACAACATAGATCCCGACATAGCTGTTTTTCTTACTATGGCTGTTGTTGTTGTATGATTTATTTTCACTTACTTAGACGTACCGAAGACAACTAATAAAGATACTAACTCACCTGATATGAAAATGGTAATAGTTCTAGCTGTCCTTCTTCCTCTTACCGCGTTCGTCGTTCTTATTCTTTGTCTGTATCATCGTCGACTATCTAAAAGAGAGAAATTACACTCGTTTGATTATGAAAACGGAAGGAGAGACACTAGTAGAAGCAGAGAAAAAGCGTCAAACGTTGTGTCAATGAAGGAACGCATTCAAGAATGGAAAGTTGCCCCTTCAGAACTCATAGAGCTTATGGATATCTGCAAATCGAGAGGTGTTTTAGAGATACCTGTGGATAAAATAGGTAAAGATACGGTGCACCATGTTGAACATATAGATATAAATGGGATCAGTAGATGATAGTGTATAATAAACGTGCTGTTACCTTTGTTTACAGAGTACCTAAAGGACCTGGGCTCTGGTCAATTTGGGTTGGTATTTCAAGGAAGGGTGAATGAAAATGTGAATGTTGACAGTTGTGAAATCGTTGCCGTTAAAACATTACGAGAAGGATCGTCGCATGAAGCAATTAAAGAATTTTGTCAAGAGGTCAACATAATGTCAACATTTAGTCATCCAAATCTCGTGCAATTGGTAAGGTCAACACTTGTTCAAATACATCATTTTTCCTTTTTGTTTGTAGTTTATCTACGAACATGTGTGAAATCAATTTAGATCGGCGTTTCGCTGTCAGATGAGCCATATTGTATGATATTCGAGTTCGTCGAATACGGAGATCTGGCAAATTTTCTGAGAAAATGCAATGAATCATCAGAAGATGGAAGCTCAGCTTATCCCAAGTTATCCACAACGGACCAGTTGTCTATGGCAGTCCAGATAGCGTCAGGAATGAAGTATATCTCTTCCATAAGCTGTGTCCATAGGGATCTAGCCGCGCGGAATTGCCTCGTTGGCAGAGGACTGGTAGTGAAGATATCGGATTTTGGTCTCTCACGTGACATCTATGCATCGGAGTATTATAAGGTAAATTAGATTATCACATTGTTATTGGTGTGATAATGTTGATAGACTTTCTACATCATTTCGTAATTAATCTCGTATCTTTCTTCTTCCTAGATGGACAAGACAAGGATGCTCCCAGTTCGTTGGTTACCTCCGGAAGCGTTCGTTGACGGAAAGTTCACGACGTATTCCGACATTTATTCATACGGAATTGTGCTGTGGGAGATCTTTACTTTCGCCAAGTTACCGTACGAAGATCATGACAACAAAAGAGCGATGGACTTGATTTTGAAGGTAAAAATATTCATTTCAAATGCTTTTACAGAAAGTGTACGTTTTGTTCGACGCAATGCGGGCTCATGTGCCTCAGAAACATAAAGATATTAATAACAAGTTTTCATCTAATGTGTGTGCATGGAAACGACTGTGGATAGAAGAGAGGAAAGGTCGGATATTAAGTAAGGAACGGGACTAACAAAGGACCATGCATAAGGAATTTTCAATGCTACCAGAAACAAAAAGTGATGACAACATATCTCTATCAGACAATCAAGTAATACCATTTTGCAATTATAGTTCTCGTTGTTTCCAACACGAGTTGGAAAAGACTACACAAAATTTTGTTTAACAGAATCTTTAAATGTTCATCAATGAACGTCGACATTCATAACACGATAGTCACATCATTTTATTCAGGGAAATTTGCTCGAGAAACCGGAGCAATGTCCTCCTGCGATCTACGATATTATGTTGCAATGTTGGCATTACAATCCAGAGTTGAGGATTTTGTTTCCGGATATCATCAACGAACTGTGTTCATTGGATGACTTTGGTCAGCGGTTTCACTCGAACAACACCGAACAAATTCAAGAAAACTTCAAAGGTAAGTACGTCACCACAAATATTTTTATGAAGTTAACTTCTTATCTGCAATGTCAAACATTGAATTATTTTTAAAACTTCAAAAATTTACGTTTTAGCTCGTTCTTTCTCAAACAAGTCAAAATTGAATGCAGACTTCGAGAACAAAGTTTGTGATATAAATGACGAACAGCCAATCAACGAGGAGCGTTCACCATATGAACCAATCACAAAGAAAAAGGGAAACCCTTACACTATACTGAATAAGCCTGGAGCACCCACCGATAATGTATATGATGGTATTGTAACTTTATCTGATGTGGGATGTCAGAAACATCCTGGAACGGAACGGCAGGATCTCGACACCCCAACACTAAAGGATAACTATGATAATGAAGGATCAATACCGACCTGTCGGAACATTAACGGTTACGATACTCCGGAAACCTTCGAAAACCTTACAAAAAGAGAAGATGATGACAACGATGTGTGCAGTTGCATGAAACAAAAGCCAGAACACGAACGCCATTTCCAAGAAGCATACGATGTACCCACAACATCCCATGATTACCCTGATGGACCGGAGAAAACCTATGACATCCCTCCAACATCTCATGATGTACATGATGGGGAAGATACATACGATATTCCTCCTAAACACGATGATCATCAACAAGAAGCTAACGAAGACGCGTACAGTAATATTGGTGTATCATCGAAGCAATCGCCAATCAAAAAGAACGAGACAGAAGATGTTAATCGATCTGATGAAGGAAATGATGTTTCTTGGTCTACGGATGACGTTGATGATATTTATGAGAATTCTGCAATTTTTAAGCCAACGTTCGGAAGCAACTCGGTGCCAGAATCACCCTGTCTTAATCGGACTACGAATGACGACGATGACATATATGAGAATTCTGTGGAGTCCAAGTCAACGATTGAACATTACTCTGTCCCTAAATCATCCTTTCTTGAAGGAGAAATCAACACACACTCGCCTCAAACATCCCCAATTGCCGTATATGAAAACGTACATTTAGATGGTGAATAGTTTGTTTCATCATAAAGATATCTTATTACCAAGCTTGTTATTCTAAAGGAGAAAAGTCTCAGCGCAAGCTGAAGCAGTAAGAAGCTTGACGTCACTGGAAAATCCGTCAAGTTAACGTTTCACTAGATGATTATTTAGCAAATTTTAGTAAAGTTCAATATCAGATGCATATATAGATTAATCTGAATCTGTGATTAGGATGAATGATATGTTTCGCGTGATCAGTTAAACAAGCAAAGAATAAATTATATATATTTGCGAGTAACGAAATGTCGTGTATAAATCATTTTGTCATCAAAACGTTCACTAACATGCATCACGAGAGCATGGATCATTGGGTGCAATAATGAAACGCGGTTTTCTTAACTTGAACGTCTCGTTATTTTGACGTGAAATCAAATATATCTACGATAAGCAAGGCGTTCTATGTGCAAAATTAATTGATGAAAAATGTTCTAAGGTGTTTAAAGAAGAATAACATGATGTAATTAGGATTAAAAAAATCTCACAGCGCTTTTCGTGCATGTGATAATTGTCGAAATAATGATAAAACGATTTTTTACGCAATTTACAACATTGGCGTTGCATTCTTTCAAAACAATCACGAGATATGTTGAATTGTAATATACTGTCTGAAGGCGAGCGCTTTTACTTGTCCTTTTTCAAGAGGTCCTTCTCTCAAACCTCGTTTCCAGCCTGCCATGCCAACTCCAACTAATCAAAATAATAGTTGTCCTCACTCGTCCAAAAATATGTCAATGGAATACAGTGATAGCTTCCAGACAGTCATTATTGGATAACTGTTGTCCAAACACTAAAGACTGTTAAGCTTATTTAGAGAAGAAGGATAATATGTACAGATGACAACTAAGCATTGCGCTTATTAAAACAGCTTTATTGTGTACATGTTATCTTATTATAAAACAAGTGACGCAAATTTTTGGCAAAGATTATTTGACTTGACAGAAATAAGTTTGTCAGAGCCTTGCAAAACATTCCTCGCTTCAAACGACGTCCTTTTACCACACGGTATACGGTGAAATTCGCGATGTTCATCCAACCGGAAACGGTAATTAAATCACAAACGGAAATATACGCATAAATTAGCCAATCGCATTACGAGCTTCTTCTAAGATCAACCGCATCTGACGACGTTTATGTTGTGTTCATGTTGCCGGTAGACCAATGGTTAGCCGCTATTCGGAACACGTGATTTATTCCCAGAAGGTAAAAACAATGCTGGTTTGTCAATCATGTAAGCAAAGTAAAATTCTGTGACTAACTAGGGCCCAGACAGAAAATACGTTTATAAAGAGTACGTTTAAAATCGTGATTTTCGGACGGAGTTGTGTTAGTATTTTGTGTCGTCGCACTTTGACGGAATGACATCATTATTACCGTTTGCACCGCCGATAGTAAAACGACTGCTGGGATGGAAGAAAGGCGAAGAAAACGACGAAGATAAATGGGCAGAGAAAGCCGTAAAGAGTTTGGTTAAAAAGTTGAAGAAAACCGGAGGTTTGGAAGAGCTAGAGCGAGCAATCACGAACCCAGGCTTGCCAACGAAATGCGTGACGATCCCGCGTAGTTTAGATGGCCGCTTACAAGTCTCACATCGGAAAGGACTGCCACATGTTATATATTGTCGATTGTGGAGATGGCCGGACCTACAAAGTCACCACGAACTAAGACCGGTCGATACTTGTGAGTTCGCCTTCAGTCTAAAGAAAGACGAAGTCTGCGTGAATCCATTTCATTATCAACGGGTTGAAACACCAGGTAAATTGCGACATATTTGTAACATTCGTCTTCCACACTTTGTAGTTTCTGACGACTCGTAGATTCCATATCAAATATTTGTGTACGACAACAACTTGATATCATACTGAACTTGCGTTTGCCACTTACTGGCGACAAACAATTAAAGCGTTTCGAATGTACAATAACAACAATCTATAATGTAAATGCAGTTAACATGCGAATGTTTTGTTTGAAATAATTGCTACATCAACAGAGAAGAATGCAGTCGCCGTGTTTTACTTTGTAATGCTTGTTATGATGTTGTTTTATCATGTATGTGGTCGCTAGAATTTCCGATGTTCGCGAGACCTTCTTGCGGGAAATTTCACCGTATTTCATACAATGAGTGTGCGGGAAATCGCAACAATTCAAAGTATACATTATAAATTCTAATGTACAAATTGGAACATGTACGCGTTCGAGTTAGTTGATCAATGAGCCCTGAATCCCATCGAGCGTACGAAAGGCAACGCTGTTGGTGGTCAGAAAGGGGCAAGTACTGTACACAATCAGATGTGTTTTACTTGCTTTCTATAATATATTTATCACAGGATCTTAGGCGAAAGAAAAAAATTACCACAAATTCAGGACGAGTTTGAAACGCTTGTCAGCAGCAAACGTCCTACGCGACTATTGGGGTCTGGACGATCCCACTTTATTCTATTCAAAACAACATTACTGTGAATGTTATTGACCAGAAAATAAGCTGATATTTTCCTGAGTAAAATTATATTTCTAAGTAAATAGAAGCCTTGATGGTGTTAATATATATTTGATAGGTTTAAAAGTTCGATTTTGGAGTTAAGTTTAAGGAATATTTTGTAGAGCAACAAGGATTTTCCCACCCGCACTCTTCACAATATTGAATGATAAATAAATATGGATATTTTTATCTTTTACTAGCGAAAATATGATTGCATGAAGGCAAAAGGTGATCTTCTTATTGCACACGTAGATACAGGAGGTACTTTAGAGTTCAAAAATGTCAAGGATATCCTGAATTATTTTGTGTTCCAAATCTTTTAAAAAAATTATAAGATTTTGTAGCAGCATTTACAATAGCTTGGCAAGTTTTAGTTGAACTATTTGATATTTATTTTTCATCATCTGATTGCACTCCTCAAGCCATCAGTTCCATTTATTTTGCCCCACAGATAGACCTTGAACTCCATGAAAGAAGCATTTCCTATTTCCAACTATACATAATGTGATTTTATTCTCAATGTTAAGCAATAACTTTCCCATCATACATCCGTCCTTCCTATGAAATATGGATCATGTTTGATCCTTGAATAGTCATCCCTAGGGATGTTTAAGAAATGAAGGGAACAGTTGATGTTTGGGAATGAGATGGTACAAAACCAATATAATGAAACCACTATGTCTTAAGTTGGATCATTAAGTTGGCAATTTTTCTTGAAATTCGTGAACCGTTTCCATATTTTCCCAAGAAGTGAACCTTGTACACTCTCAACTATTTATTCAAACTTGGATAAAAACGAAATATTTTAAAGTCAACTTCCTTCTTTATGCACCTCCATGCGAGAAAATATTTTGTACACTTAGAAAATTGTAAAAAAAGTTGTACTTAATATTGAGACGTAGATATGGTAAGTCTGGCGCCCCTTGGTCTCAATTTTCTTTACGAAACCAATTATATCTAGTGCAATTCCGTTTATTTCGACTATTATTCGTAAAACAACCGTGAAGAATTCGAAATAAATTCTTAAATCCCTTAAGGGGCAGGAAATTGGCACATAATGTTTGGAAGATGACGACGCTTCATCGCCAGTCCCTTCCGATTTTTGTAGAGCAACTGATTTTCGTGAGGTGGAACCATCTCACTCGAAATCTTGACGCCTTCCACGAATAATGAATTCATATTTCTTGCAGCATTAGCACCAGTATTGGTACCAATTCATCCAATGGAACATCGACCAACGACTTTACCAAAGCTTGATGAGTACCTTAATCCTGTGAACGCAGAGTTTCCTACGTCAGAGCCACCAATGATTTCACCATACTCCCCAGGTAACATGTTTGACATACGATTGTTGCTGGTGTTGTTGAATTTTGAAAGGTACGAATAATGCACTGCGGGGTACATTTTTATTCTGTTTGGACAATGTGACTTGAAAGTGAAGTGTATATAACTTCAAATTGTCGTTGACACCGGAATCTGTAATTTTTTCGTGTTAAATTTCATTAATACGTCTTTTTATAAATAAATTGTTTGAACCCGGGACGATCGTTACATGTTTGTAGGTATAGGTCGTCCATCGTTAGCACAGTCTGAGAAAGACTGTTGGTATTGATGTTGACCTATTCATGATTAAGCCGAATGACATCGAAACATCATTCAACAAACAACAACAATCCTACCAAGACTGCATGAACCTCGACGGTTTATTTATACTAGATTATTTCATGAGAAATAAGGTCTGATGAAATATTTTATTTCTACAATATCCAATTGATTTTCATCGCAACGCTTATTCAAAGTATACATGTCAACTGTCGGTGGAGGGAACAAAAAAAGTTTCACATGAAGTTGAAATTTTCAATGACTTCATGTAAGACCATCGATCGGCCTTTTGCAAATATAACTGATGTAGAAAAATCCGTGTGTTGTTTGTGAAAAGTTCGACGATCAACCGTTTTATTTTGTTTAGATAATTCATTAATGACGTACATGTCAGATGATGGAATGTCTGAGAACTCAAGTGTTGTAGGAATGCCGCAAGGTATGTATGACGAAACGAGACGATTCCACGTGACTCCGTTGATTTTCTCTTGTTGTTGTTTTTTTTTGTATAACTGACAGTTGGCCCTTATTTTCTTTAGAATCCGGTCAACTCTCGCCTGAACCAGCAATGCCTGTAGGTAGGTCATTTAGAGTTTCATACCTCAGGTTATAAATTGCGTACTGCAGCTGTTGTGTAATTCAATTCGCTGGATATTTTGTATCATCATTCATGACGTATTTAATGTTACATAGTGGTTATTATCCATGACGTCAATCATGTTACATAACGCTTCCCATCTTCCATAACATACACCATCTTTCATAATATACAGCATCTTCCATAACATGCATCATCTTCCATAACGTGCATCATCTTACATAACGTGCATCATTTTTCATGACATATACCATCTTCCATAACATATACCATCTTCCATATAACATACATCATTTTTCATAACATGCATCATCTTCCATAACATGCACCATCTTCCATAACGTGCATCATCTTCCATAACATATACCATCTTCCATAACGTGCATCATCTTACATAACATATACCATCTTCCATAACGTGCATCATCTTCCATAACATATACTATCTTCCATAACGTGCATCATCTTCCATAACATATACCATCTTCCATAACGTGCATCATCTTACATAACATATACCATCTTCCATAACGTGCATCATCTTCCATAACATACCATCTTCATCATCTTCCATAACATATACATCTTCCATAACGTGCATCATCTTCCATAACATATACCATCTTCCATATAACATACATCATTTTTCATAACATGCATCATCTTCCATAACATATACCATCTTCCATATAACATACATCATTTTTCATAACATGCATCATCTTCCATAACGTGCACCATCTTCCATATAACGTGCATCATCTTTCATAACGTGCATCATTATTCATAACATATACCATCTTCCATAATATACATCATCTTTCATAACATATAGCATCTTCCATAACGTGCATCATCTTTCATAACGTGCATCATCTTCCATAACGTCCATCATCTTCCATATAACGTGCATCATCTTTCATAACGTGCATCATTATTCATAACATATACCATCTTCCATACATCATCTTTCATAACATATAGCATCATAACGTGCATCATCTTTCATAACGTGCATCATCTTCCATATAACGTGCATCATCTTTCATAACGTGCATCATTATTCTATACCATCTTCCATAATATACATCATCTTTCATAACATCATCTTCCATAACGTGCATCATCTTTCATAACGTGCATCATCTTACATAACGTCCATCATCTTCCATAACGTCCATCATCTTCCATAACGTCCATCATCTTCCATAACGTCCATCATCTTCCATAACGTCCATCATCTTTCATAACGTGCATCATCTTTCATAACGTCCATCATCTTTCATAACGTGCATCATCTTACATAACGTGCATCATCTTTCATAACGTCCATCATCTTCCATAACGTACATCATCTTCCATAACGTGCATCATCTTCCATAACGTCCATCATCTTTCATAACGTCCATCATCTTATAACGTGCATCATCTTACATAACGTATCATGCATCATCTTTCATAACGTCCATCATCTTCCATAACGTACATCATCTTCCATAACGTGCATCATCTTCCATAACGTGCATCATCTTCCATAACGTGCATCATCTTCCATAACATCATCTCATCATCTTCATAACGTCCATCATCTTTCATAACGTGCATCATCTTCCATAACGTCCATCATCTTTCATAACGTCCATCATCTTCCATAACGTCCATCATCTTCCATAACGTGCATCATCTTTCATAACGTGCATCATCTTTCATAACGTCCATCATCTTCCATAACGTGCATCATCTTACATAACGTGCATCATCTTTCATAACGTCCATCATCTTACATAACGTCCATCATCTTACATAACGTCCATCATCTTCATAACGTCATCATCTTTCATCGTTCCATAACGTCCATCATCTTACATAACGTCCATCATCCATCATCTTACATAACGTGCATCATCTTCATAACGTCCATCATCTTACATAACGTCCATCATCTTACATAACGTCCATCATCTTACATAACGTCCATCATCTTTCATAACGTCCATCATCTTACATAACGTCCATCATCTTACATAACGTCCATCATCTTACATAACGTCCATCATCTTACATAACGTCCATCATCTTACATAACGTCATCATCTTTCATCATTACATAACGTCCATCATCTTTCATAACGTCCATCATCTTACATAACGTCCATCATCTTACATAACGTGCATCATCTTACATAACGTCCATCATCTTACATAACGTCCATCATCATCATCTTCATAACGTCCATCATCATTTCATAACACCATCTTTCATAACGTCCATCATCTTACATAACATAATCTTTCACAACGTGCATCATCTTACATAACATAAACCATCTTTCATAACGTGCATCATCAACGTGGATAATTTATTCATGGTATATTGTGTATTTTAGAAACTCAACCAGTTCAGTACCAAGAACCGCAACATTGGTGTGCAATTTCTTATTACGAAATGAACTACAGGGTAGGAGAACCATTTAATGCTTCTGCATCCAGCGTCACTGTTGATGGATTTACAGATCCTTCAAGTGCGGATCGTTTTTGTCTGGGGATTTTATCAAATATCAATAGAAATCCAGCCGTCGAAACGACAAGGCGTCATATAGGCAAAGGTGTACGCCTGTATTACATCGGTGGAGAAGTGTTCGCCGAATGTCTCAGTGACAGTAGTATCTTTGTTCAAAGCCCAAATTGTAATCGTAGATATGGATGGCATCCGTCTACGGTTTGTAAAATTCCTCCAGGTTGTAATTTGAAGATATTTAACAATCAAGAGTTCGCACAGTTGCTTTCGCTATCTGTAAACCAAGGATTCGAGGCCGTCTACCGACTTACACAAATGTGTATGATACGAATGAGTTTTGTTAAGGGATGGGGAGCCGAGTATCGTAGACAGACTATTACAAGTACGCCCTGTTGGGTTGAGGTACATTTGAACGGTCCACTTCAATGGCTGGACAAGGTCCTTACACAAATGGGAAGTCCAAATGGTATTTGCTCGTCCATGTCTTAAGATGATGTCAGAGTAAACAATGGAAGACAATACGTCGTTGTTGCCGTTTCATTGCATGTTACATATGATGTCAAAGGCTTCGTCTTTTCCCTTGGTAGAATCGAAAGATCGTCATTGTTTTGACTGTATGGCACTTGCGTGACATAAAAGGATACATATGATTGTCTGTGATATGGAAGTCGATAGTTGTGGATACGAAAGACCGCTGTGAACATCAAGTTGATGGCATTAGCTATTCAATTTTAGCTAGTCGACGAAAGTGGTTCGTCTTTCGTTAGAAATTGTCTTGTTATGATGACGATATCAAACATTACCGTGTTTTAGCGACTTTGAAATTTAAAAGAAATCCATGACAAACAAAGTGTTGTATGACAAGTACTTATTCAAAGAATCCAACTTTATACTTTGAAGATAAAAGAAAAAGTGCCATCTGCTGTTTGTTAGTGCAGGATTAATAAAAAAAGCTATTGTAAAAAACAGAGATGCAAAAAGAGTCTCGTATTAGGAAGGATAACGTTGGATACACGAAAAAAAAAACACAAAGAGAAATCCTTAGGAAACATTTGCAATTTCCCTTATATATATAATCAGCAATGTCAACGTTATTTTTCTTAATGAGCTGCTATTCATGTTCTTGCCATGTACATGAGTTGTTTAAAACAAATTATTCAATATTTCATGGGGGCAAACTGAAATCATTTGTGAAATTTTTAATTTGTAGCTAAAACTAGTGCAAAAATCATTAATTTTCGGAATTGTCGCCCTTCATAGCTCTTGTAAAACTAAGTACCAGGAACAATGGCTGTGTCACAATTAACTGCCGCGGAGATTCGTTCATTCACTTCAATTTTGCTCTTATTTACGTTTAGCACTTGTCACCCTTCATAGCCGGTCAAATATAAAGCTCTTAAAACGTTCATCGAGATAACAGTCATATGGTTGTATGGTCATAAGGTCGATTGGTTGCAGCAGGAACAATGGCTGTGCGGTCACAATTAACTGCTGAAAGCGCGGAGATTTTCTCACTTCGTTGAGCCTGGATATGGAGATTGGCTTTTACTTCATTTTAGTTTGTCTCAATTTGCTCTTATTTACGTTTAGCACAATAAAAGATTGGAATTGTCATTTCTACATCAAGAAAAGATGATTTCTAAATCATCACAATGCACGGTCAAATATAAACGTCATATTTTTCAGTAAAGCTCACTTATATTTGTTAAAACGTTCATCGAGATATTTCGCTCTCATCACATAAAAACATTGGTCATATGGTTGTATGGTCATAAGGTCGATTGACGCACGAGATGAATAAGATTCGGAGCATTTTAAGTTTTAGTCGCGGGAAAAATGCTTATTTGTTCATATTATTTCAATTTACTTGATAACAAGGGTAAAGATATCTCCTGTTTTGGTATTTGGCCAAAAAACACACACACAGAGAATGTAGCTTGTAGGAGACACCTTTCAAATTTGAAAAGTACGTTAAAATCTAAGCAAAACTAAAGGTGTGTTATTGTCGGGTCGAACAAACGAGCGGCTTACACGTAGTTTCCGCAGGTAATTAATGAGCGCAATGCATGCTGGTGGTTTTCCTGCCCCATTTAACCACCAAGACTCATACACGTTGTTACAAAACATCCGTAAGTCAAAAATGGTAGAAAAACTTGTGAAGAAAACCGGGAAGGGTGTTGGTAAGACCGCGGGACGCCACGCCTATGCTATGGTGGCAGACATGATCTATGGTGTCCTGGCATGTTTGCATTCCATCTTAATGAGTGGAAACATACAAAATTGATAAAATATCTTGTCAACAAAGCAGTGCACTTGACATACTGGAGTGCAACACAAAATGTATGAATTGAGTTAAGGATAAGACATTAGAATGTGATCTAACAATATCGATGCCAGGCGGTACCAAGAATAGCAACACAAAGAAAAAAGTTTATTCTCAAATAAGTGTAATGTTAGAGTTGATCCAGTTTATGACAATGTGTGAGCATTGCGAGGAACAAATGGCGGCTTTCTGGCGCGAACTTTGTACAGCGCGTTTACGTTATTTAAGGTTTTGTATGTTTCGAATCAATCGATAAATTTTTTGCAGGCGGAATCAATCAGTTGATGATGTCATATTTATCTCGAAGCAAAGCCATACAACAACTTTATCCCAACACATAGTTACACAACTTACGTGTATTTTCCTTGGTTGTCCTTCCTCCTAAGTAGTTGTAGAGTTTCTTCAAGGATATTACCTCTTTGTTTTCCCGTTCTAAAATATAAGAAGAGTAAAGTATTTTAATTCATTTATTTCACCGACTAGCCTGTTTTAAAAACGATCGAAATTCCCATGATTAAAATCCAGATAAAATTTTTCAGTAAAATGATCAGGAATGTCGGACAAATGTGATAAGCGCTAACAACTTATGTTATCGATCGAGTTCAATGATAAACTTCATTTCGGTAAAATAATCATCTCGGAATCATTATGACGAGTTTTATTGCCTGCTTGATAAAAAGTTAGTATCAAAAGAGAAGTTTAATGCTGGATTGCGCATTGTAAATTGTCTTGAAGCGTTGCTGCAAAAATAATATAGCGGCTTGATCATTTCAAGGTGCATTCAAGAGGCATATTCAATCGGAACTATAACCTATGCTGCAACTCAATTGTTGGACAAGTTGCATTATGTAACAGCACCATTTAGCATACTTATATGACTAACTAATTCACTCATTTCCTACCATATATGATAGATACACTCAAATGCGATAAAAAGTGGCATTTGCAAACTAGCATACACGTTTTCCAGTCCTGATGTAAATAATATTTCAATGATCAAGATCGACTTTCGAGATCGTGGGCAGAATACCCAATTAGGTATTTTGCCTTAAAGTAAACTGATTTGAGCAGAAGAAGCGCTTGATTGAAAAGCCAATTTGACGCCGATTGCTTAATCAAAGTCCTCGTTTGTTAATGGGCGTGCCTACATGGCAGCAATTGTTCCCTCTCCTTTACTTCATGTAATCTTCAGTAACAATAGATAGAATGAAACTATGAATTGAATACAAATGCCATTCAAAGGGTGGCTGGGTTTTATTTCCCTTCGTCATAAAGATTTCTGCATTCAAATAGCTAAAACAGTTATTTGAAAAATCTACCCATCTTTCGTGAGGAATTTAAAGATTTTCAAACTTGAATCTGATATACGGTGACCTTAGTGAGATACACAAGGTCATGTGCTCACGACTCAAAGACACCTGATGTAATCACTCAAGTAGGAATTTAAACTTCGTACGAATCTAGTTGATGAAAAACATCAGACATTCGCTTCATTCCATATCGTACCAAATGATGTAATCAGAGATCTTTGCCCCGGCGTGTTGGGTACTCCATGATGTTAAATTAATTTTGGAAGGAAAAATATGTTTTCTGAAATGTTCTCATTGAAACAATGAGATTTTTGTGATGTCTAGGATTCGAAAAAGTCAACGATAAAGTCAAGAGTGGTTTACGAGATGGAGATTCGAGGCATATTGCTCGACGAAAACATGTTACACTTTTAGTGTGAACTGTAACACAGACAACACGTACAACATTACATCGCAGAAGTACCTGGTCTAATATTTTATTTAAGCTTGAAAAACCTGGAAAACACCCAACAAAATAATCTGTTTTTTTGTTGAGAATTTACAATACTCAAGCATTGCATAATATTAACTTAAGCAAGTGAGATTTAGATTAACTTGACTGGATATGCATTATTTCTAGAAAGAAATACGTCTTTTTTTTTCTCGCAGAGTAGAAGGAGAAATAACCTTTATAGTTGAAACTTTTTTCTTATGAAGAATGACAAAAAAAAAAAATAACGATCTAGATCTTGATAACTTCAGTCTAGATTGTAAAATCTTTATAGAAGATTCATGATCGTCACAATTACCGAATAAATTGAATAAATTGAATAAATTACTTAATAAATTCTCGAGGTGCTAGGAATCATAGACACTGATCAATCGTCAAATTCTCGGGTGAAATTTTTCACAGCAGAACATAAACGTTATTTTATACATTGTCCTTGAACTGTTTGCGTAAAAGACAGGTTTATAAGACAAATTTATCTATGTTTTGACGATAAAGAAGGGGAATTTGTCAAGACTGAGATTAATATTTAGATATAAGTTGTAAGAAGCTGTCTAGCCTCGTCGTATTTGCTAAACAGTAAATATCTTACAGACCAAAATATTTCATGAGTCAAAATGAATGTTTTAAAAACAATGTTTCACTTTACAGGTTTGTAAATGTAGATCGTCCAGGTTGGTATAGTCCTGAGAAGGACTGTTTTTGTTGTTGTTGACTGACGTTTCGACAACCTTAGCGGTTGTCATCTTCAGAGTCAAAAAGTTCACTTTGCTATCATTTATAAATCACACTTTAACATCTATAATTTGTGAAAGCGATGTTGAAGGGAGACGAAAACATATTTAATATAGAAAAATTATGACATCAAAAGATCAATCTTATTTTTCATAACTGAACTGTGAAAGTAACTAAATTCCCACAAATGCATCAGGGTGAAAGAATAAAACTCCTCCTAGTCTTTTTTTCGCAAATTTTGCACTTAAAAAACTCCACAAAATAATCCTCAGAGTATAAGTGACGTACGAAAGATAATGGAGCACTTAGGCATATTTGGTGTGGTGTGCTTTTGTTTACTATTGTCATGGTTTCAACGGTTTTAACATCATTTTTAACCCTATATTGCATTTGTCTGCATTTTTACGTATGTTGAATAAATTAACCAGTTTCCAAACAATGACACTTTAGTATAGATCTTGTATGTGTGTATCTGTGTGACTAGTATCTGTTTGAATCATTAGTATCTTGAAGCAACCTACCAAACACACTTTATATAGGTGCTACATCGTTCTTCAATCAACCCTACCAAACGAGAAAATGACACTTTAGTATATGTGTTTATATCTTGTATGTGTGTATCTGTGTGTAACTAGTATCTGTTTGAATCATTAGTATCTTGAAGCAACCCTACCAAACGAGGAAATGACACTTTAGTATATGTGTGTATATCTTGTATGTGTGTATCTGTGTGTAACTAGTATCTGTTTGAATCATTAGTATCTTGAAGCAACCCTACCAAACGAGGAAATGACACTTTAGTATATGTGTGTATATCTTGTATGTGTGTATCTGTGTGTAACTAGTATCTGTTTGAATCATTAGTATCTTGAAGCAACCCTACCAAACAAGGAAATGACACTTTAGTATATGTGTGTATATCTTGTATGTGTGTATCTGTGTGTAACTAGTATCTGTTTGAATCATTAGTATCTTGAACCAACCCTACCAAACGAGAAAATGACACTTTAGTATATATGTTTATATCTTGTATGTGTGTAGAGTGACAGTATAGGGAATATACAGTAGATCCACTTCACTATGCAACTGGCTGCTGTATATTTAATTAGATTACTGGCTGCGGTTTGCCATTTCATCATTCCTATTGGTCAGAAATTGCAATTGACTGGCTGCCACCATGGTTATCACATGCGCAATGAGATATGCGTGGCACAAGAAAATTCAATGGAGTGGCTCTACTGTATGTTCTCTATACTGTGTGTCTGTGTGTAACTAGTATCTGTTTCCATCATTAGTATTCTGAATCCAACCCCTATCAAACGAGAAAATCACACTTCTGTATCCATATGTGTGTTCGTGCATCATAATATTGATTGTTTTGTACACTTCCACTGCATTGCAAACTGACCAATCTTCAATTTGTTATAAATTATATGCTACGCGAGAGCTGAGTTTACAAGAGAGGTACGTTCAAAGATTTTTCTTGCAGAGGCTCATTCAGTTTCACATATATTAAGCTCTACAGTATGGAAGACATGTTCAGCTCTACAGTATGAAAGACATGTTCAGCTCTACAGTATGAAAGACATGTTCAGCTCCAAAGTATGAAAGACATGTCCAGCTCTACATCATGAAAGACATGTTCAGCTCCAAAGTATGAAAGACATGTTCAGCTCTACAGTATGGAAGACATGTTCAGCTCTACAGTATGGAAGACATGTTCAGCTCTACAGTATGGAAGACATGTTCAGCTCTACAGTATGAAAGACATGTTCAGCTCTACAGTATGGAAGACATGTTCAACTTTACAGCATGAAAGACATGTTCAGCTCTACAGTATGGAAGACATGTTCAGCTCTACAGTATGAAAGACATGTTCAGCTCTACAGTATGGAAGACATGTTCAGCTCTACAGTATGAAAGACATGTTCAGCTCTACAGTATGGAAGACATGTTCAACTCTACATTATGGAAGACATGTTCAGCTCTACAGTATGAAAGACATGTTCAGCTCTACAGTATGAAAGACATGTTCAACTCTACAGTATGGAAGACATGTTCAGCTCTACAGTATGGAAGACATGTTCAACTCTACATTATGGAAGACATGTTCAGCTCTACAGTATGAAAGACATGTTCAGCTCTACAGTATGAAAGACATGTTCAGCTCTACAGCATGAAAGACATGTTCAGCTCTACAGTATGGAAGACATGTTCAACTCTACAGTATGGAAGACATGTTCAACTCTACAGTATGGAAGACATGTTCAGCTCTACAGTATGAAAGACATGTTCAACTCTACAGTATGGAAGACATGTTCAGCTCTACAGCATGAAAGACATGTTCAGCTCTACAGCATGAAAGACATGTTCAACTCTACAGTATGGAAGAGTTGTAAGGCTTCAACAAAATGTAATGCCCTCAAACCTCAACAGCATGGAAGGTACGGGAAATTTCATAGAATTGCTGAGTAACTCTACATTATGAAAAATGTTGAACTAAACAGCATTAGATTAAACAAAAACGTCCACTAGCCTATATTAGAAAAAAGTTAAAAATTGATCTTGGATCCTGGATAGCAGATTACAGATTACGGATCACATGATTCAGATTCAGGGTTACATACTCTTGCTTGAGGATTCCAAACGGTATATGTAATTTAAAGATAGTAAAAGCCAATACGTTTTCTACGCTGATTTTACGAAATTCGCAATGTGAATTATTTTGATATAGAAGTGAAATATTGTCAGCATCGTGATGCGCTTACGAAAATTCATAATGTAAAATAACATTGTAACATTATTACACCCCATAACAAATCAATTATACAACCATATGACCGATTATTTTATGAGATGAGAGCGAAATATCTCGATGAACTTTTTAACAAATGTATGTGAATTTTACTAAAAAATATGACGTTTATATTTGAGAGTGCATTGCGATGATTTAAAAATCCTCTTTTCTTGATGCAGAAATGACAATTCCAATAAAATTATTTTCCTACAACTCAACGAAGCACATGAAAGAAATAATAAATACGACTAAATCAAGACCACGCTCAAGACCTTCGACTTTTACCTCTGACATAAACAAGACGTAATAACGACGACCTCTTGTGTTGCGCACATTGATTACAAGGTTACACAACCATTAGTTCGCAATAATGATGTAATTATTTCGCATGGTGATTAAGGCTTTTGGCAGTCAACAACATACTTGTCATGGTTATAAGTGAAATATTAGAAATCTATTAGCATTCCTCGAGGCATAAACATAAACTGAATTCACACAATGACATGGGCATCGAAAGAAGAAAGAACAGATCTTCTTAGATACGAAGATAAACATAATGACATCGAGTATGCTTGAAGTAAAAGGCTTCTGACCTTCATAGTAATAATCGATCCATACTAGTCGGCTGTTTTGAAACAGACTATCAAATAGATCAACAGTACGGTCATAATCATTAAGTCAAACGTGCGATGCATGTCTAAAATCGACGGGGAGTTCAAAGTTACCGCAGTCTGTAGCTGGTTAACAACAGCATAATGACGTTATGCACGTATTGTAGAAAGATTGGAGACATGTGTTGAACAACTTAATATTCAATACAATCACAAAGCCATCTTTCATTCAAATACAAGCAATATATTTAGTCACATGAAGAGTGCGTAAACAATAGGATTAAACGAAAATACAAGATGAAAGACCAACATTACAACAAACTCCAAAAAAAGCATGTTATTTTTCCCTTCGTTTTGTAACAAAGCACACAATCTATTCATCTCAAGTGTTGGGAATTTTTGTCAAAAAAACAAGGTAGATGTTGACGAAGCAAATATGAAAGGGGAATTTAAGCTCACTTGACCCTTTGATTGGAGCCCTTAGTTGTATGTAGTTATTGATGGAAAAAATAACAATGCCTAGGATAAGGAGGATGATGGTCGGTTTAGCCGTGCTAATTGTCAAGCTGAAATGACGAAATAGAAACACAATTGCTTCTATCCGGCCTTCACGCTTTCACATTTAATTTGCCAAACTGAATAAAAAATTGAACAGAACATGTGCGAGCAATGACATTATCAAGAAAACGATATAGAATTACTCTGCCAACAAAGACGTCGATCAGGCATCTTTCAACTGACGCGCATTCTCTGAAATATGTGCGTCACTTAATCATCTCAAAATAAGAGGTAAAGCAGAAGGGTTGAATGAAATACTGGCCACCCCGAAGAATAAACGGTTTCTTCGTTTTGTGCTGATAATAAAGCGTTAAACCTTCGGTCGAGTTGTAAAATGACACAAATAGGTTCATAAAAGGAAGCTTCCCGACAAAATATGCATTCACTCCTTTCACTTTATCAATTCAATAAAATCAGCATTATGAAAGTGAATATTTAACTAACACAGAAAGAAAAGAAAACTGACGATTTTTACCAAAGAAAGAGAGATAAGTAGGTTTTCATTCAAGAGTAGCTCTAGTCATCGTCATTGGTACAGCTGCCAATTTTTTAACTTTATGAATTTTCTACAAATTAAAATATAATCGATTGTTGGTCAACGTAGACAAAACAGGCTGACGCTACGAGTAATATACACAAGAGTGAAAAATTGCCAAGATGTCAACGAAATAGAATTTGTTTGCGGCTTAATTTAATCTAAATGTCGCGACTTGCATGCGCGACATTACAATCTCCATTCAATGCACATTGTAATCATCTAAGACAAAAATTAATCTCTTTTATACATGCGTCTAAACACGCCACTGCTGTAAACGTGACATCCTTCTATGAGGAAAAAAGACCAATAACAAAATAGGAACACTTCAAGCGAATTCCGTTTGAACAATAATAGACCGTCTCTGTGTGTTTTCTTAATGGAGGCCCACATACAAAACATACTCATTATCGTTTATAAAAATCCTTTGATCAATCCAACGCAATAACGAAATGTTTTCGTCTCGATGCTATTCAAATAGATGAAGCACCCCGCTGATCTGTCTAGACAGTCATGTGACGAAGAACAACCAATCATGGAAAGGCATATTAAATATATTCCAATCAGGCAACTATGATAACAGGGAAGCGAGTATTTTATTTAATTTCATACTAGAGTCTAGACAACCGAGCTGGCGAAGTACTGCGTGTGTATACACTCTGTAAGGTTTCGCTTTAACGATACTTTTCATAACCATTCTATCGTTGTTTGTGTTCATGTTCACATTACAGCGAGTATATTGGGTTGAGAAAATCTGGAGATCGCGTAAAGTCTGTAGAGGAGATCAAATAACTGCGAAAGCTTTTGGATTTTTTAAGAAATCCGTTCATAGTTTCCTTGCGAGCTTAGTTTTAAACTCGTTGCGCTTATTTGCACGAGTCATCCGCAAGAAAGCGTCAAACGTTTGCCTCGTTCTGGACGAGAAAAATTGCTGTAAAACTAGCATACTAAAGAAACAATATTTCGTCTCGCGGATCTGGCGTTGGCCTGACATAAAGGACGACACAGTGTTGAAACAAACTGAAGACAGCAGTAGCATTGAGGAGGCAACTGGCGGTATGGCCGACTGTTTGTGTGTGAATCCATTTCATTTCACTAAGATCAGAGAGCGAGGTGAGTTCAACAGCTCAATAATACACATGTACGCTTTGTTCATAAGCAACCAAACAAAAGCGTTAACCTTGTAACATGTTTCCTACTACAGAAATACCATACCAAGATTTCGGGACGAAGAGAAGAACATTCGAAGACTCCGGTAAGATATTACACACGCGATTAACCAGTGAACGATTTACCCTTTATGAGGGCCAAGGCGACGACACTCTCGCGACGGAAATAATAAAATGTTTACAAATTTGCATTTGTAAGAAGGCTTAGTTTGAAAAATTGAACCCCCGATATTTTAACCACGAGTGAAGTACGATATACTTAGCATTTCTAATGTTCATTCCCACAGGTCTATCGTGTGGAACGATCATGACTGATTGCGACGAAAAGCGTACACATTGTGAAGGTGAGCTTTTAAACGAGGTTTTGCTTATTGCTAGCTATCTCCAGTGATTACAAAAAAGCATTTCCGAAGTAGATTTTCCACCGGCAGCAACCGTTGACCGGATTTGTCTGAGCACCAAACTTTTTGTCATTTATAGTAAATACGCAAATAGTAGTATGAAATGCTAAAGAATCTTCGACATTTTAGCACAGCTTCGGTCTCTCCATGATGTTATTGTTGTTCCCGTGGACTATTCCTAGTTATGTATATATGATTTGGGTCAGGCCTAAGGGACGATGGCATAAGAACGCCATTACCTCAATGACATGAGACTTAAGGAAAAAACATCTGGGCGAAGGGAGAACGATGGTATATTGCTGCGAATATTGGCATGTCTGAGCGTGAAATATTGAAACAAAGTGAGAATAGCTTTTAATGTCTGACATTGGAGAACCTAAGCAATGAATGTAAAGTGACAACAAAGCATAATAGCACATGTTCAGTTTACAGTCGTCGATGTTTTACGGTCATCTTCTCCGGTTGAAGTTCTTTGAATTAAAACGGAAAAGTGAAATGTGCTTGTTTCTACGTAACAGCTCATTTCACAGCCAAAATAGTTTTTATTTTTATGAATTTTCCATTGACGAACGAGTTACGGGTGCAAACTTGCGGTCAAGTTCAACGGACGTCCTTAGGAATTTAAAAAAAAACCATTCACTCCAGTGAATGGGTTCAAATCCTTAATAGTTAGTTAAGACATTGTACGAAGTTCACGAAAACATTCTCCAAAGTGTTTATGTTGAAATCCGAAGCGAAACACAAACGACGTGTCTGCGTAAAGAAAGAAGGCCGATTATTTTGGGTAATTTCATGTCTGACACGGAGTACGTAATTTCCTTTGTGAAGAAAGTCGTTAGTCTCAGTCTGAAAGCTTTAAATGAGATTGTAGGTCGGATTTATGCCACAACATACACGCGCAACGAAATATAACAACATTCCGTGGGACGCGCAAACCATGTTATATCAAAGTTTGCGTTTATTCTCTAAGCTAAAATCTTTACGTTTCTTTACAGTTTCAGTGAGTAAACGTCGTGAAACGAAAAAAACTAAACCATGGTTGACTGTCGCGTATTGGGAAAAACACGAGAGAGTCGGACGCATGTATCACGGTTTCGAGAATTCCATAAACATTTACGAAAGAAAATCGAAAAACAACAGACTTGGGTTATGTCTAAGAGATGTCGATCGATCCAATGTAATTAACGAAAACACAAAAGCTGTACTTAAACATATTGGTGATGGTATACAAGTGAGCCTGGAGGATGGAGATATTTGGGTTTATAATAAATCAGAATCGCCAGTCTTTCTCAACGGTGAATTATTACAGACACTACGAAACACAGATAAGCCAAGGATTGAGAAATTGCCTGCAGGCTATTGCATTAAGGTTCACAACAACAAAAACTTTCCAACGCGAGATGATGAGACATTGAATGATCAAAAATACGAAGAACATTGTCTACGTGTAAGTTTTGTCAAAGGATTCGGTTGTGGTTATAAACGACAAACGATAATGAACTGTCCATGTTGGATCGAGTTGTTTTTCACTCTTCCAAAATCATAGAAGTCGATATCGTTGATTGTTAAATGATGGATGATGGATTTTTGGCGGAGCGCGCCATACGAAAATGTTGGGACACAATGAACACGTCAAATTATGAATCACAATGAATAATGGAAAGGAATATTTGAAAAAGCATGGATTTGCGTCCGAAGAATTCGTCAACAGACGGTCTTCATTACAATCAAGTATAAATAGAGTTTTGTGACCGCAGATATGTAATGTATGCAGCACAAGTATGTCGTCTTATATTACCACAAGATGCCTCGACATCTTTTTCACTTTGGGAGTAAGGACACGAGTTGTGGTCGAAACTCGCAATGGACTTAATTGCAAAGCTTAATGTCCGCGCTGTTTAAGATAAGATAGTATCTTTTGGTGGCGACTGTCGGCGATATCTGCAGTCCTCGCCTTTTCTTTACCCCAGTATATATGTTGTACAAAATTTACGGTTTAAAAACCAGAGAATGTTGAAATTCATAAATAAAGCATTGCGAACTAAATATAATTCTCGCCTTTTTATCCATGTATATCTCAAATTTGTAAGATCCGGACAGCAGAATACGCTAACACATGTTTTTTGGGTTATTTCGAACACAATCCCGCATTTAAGCAAATAACAAACCCTTGTCTCGGTGGGGGTACGCTATGCAAGCTCTAGGACCATGTTTTATTTGAATTTAATCGAAATTTGCCAAAGACACGAACATGCAAATGTATTTACCTCAAAGAAGGGAGAAGTGGTAGATGAACTGGAACTGCATGAACTAAATAGGACAAGAAAATAAATGGTTAAAAATAAAGCCACGATAAAAAGACCTCAAAGACTTTCACGGTCAATAAGTTGTTCTATTTTAGGATCAAATGCATAAGAGATCATAGTGCATATAATCTCTACGAGTTAGACAAAATTAACTTGAAAATCCATGCAAATCCGAGAAACAAGTTAATCGGGGGGTATAAGATAAAAACTCAAGATTCCACAGTAACATAAGAGCGTTTGCCGCGGGGTAATTTACAGACATTATCTGATATTGACATACATTTATAGTGCTTACGTTAAGGGCAACTGCTTAATCTACGTGTTAATGGCAGTGCTGCTAGAACATTCACGCAATACATATGAACGTCCCATACATGAGAATATTTATAGTCTTTCAACAGCAGTCATAAGACTTGAGTCAATTTTAAACGCGTGAAATCTTTCTTTCCGTAAAGCGTTCGGTTTTACGTCATGCGCCCATGGATCATAGAAATGCTTTGTTTCGATTCAAGTGTCGCATTTAAAACATGTCTCGGGGGTAGTAAAAGCGTTTTCAACGTCGGAAATAAGACATTGTAGGATGTACACAAAGAATGCACTAGCTGTTATGAAATTAATCTTAGATATAAGAAGGAAAGTTTTCAATAACTGCGTATGTAGTTGTATATATTGTTTGGGGCAAATTGAAACGAAAGCAAATCGAGCGCTATTTAGTCTATGGAATGCTAATCACGTTTCATTAGATTCGATGGGAGGAAATATGTCCAAGATGACAGTACTAACGAATTTAATTTAAAATTTGATTATTTTTCAACATTTCAGTTTTGCATTGTTGGCAAGTAGTAGAAGTATTTTTATGCTGATGATCATATAGAACAATGAATTGTCATGTTCTAGACAAAATATTATTAATATTTCTTGACAATGCATTACGGGTATTTGGACTGACGTTTTTAATATAACAAGTACACGACAATGTTGCATCGGAAAAGGGTGTTTTTTTTCATTCGATTACATCACCAAGATTTTTTCATAAGGGGAAAATAAGAGAATAACAAGATTAGGATGGTTGGAGTTGTCGGTTCGTACACAAATATAACAGTGCAATTATGATGGCCAGTCAATAAATTAAGACAAGGTGGAAAAAAATTAATTGAAATTTCAAGTCAAAACAAGCGAAGAAAGAGCAGACAATGTTTACACAAGCGCTTCCAGTCAAGGTTATTGAGAGCGCTTTAGCAACGTTTTTATATGCCATATAAATCGTCGTCACGCGGCTATTTTTATTAGCTGTTGCCTAGGTCCCCGGAAGAAAAAGCTAAAGGCTTTAGATAGTACATACAGGTGTGATGATATTTTCACAATTGAAATAGAATAATAGGCTTAGTTGGCTACACTTTTAAACAAAATTCCACTTCCCGCAGAAAATATTTCGAGTCTTCGGTGACGACAACAAGTCTTGGTAATTAACAGTGACTGCAGTAAATACATGCGATAAAATTGGATAAACTTTTTTTTTACCATCGGAAGTTCAATGTGTTCGAAAGAAAATAACAGCTTTTATTATAAATTCTTTGCAAGGTGCGCGCGTCTTGGTCATGGTAAATGAAAGAACAAAAATAAAAACGCCACTAACAGGTTTAAAATATGAACAAAAAACAATAGAGTGATACATTTGCTTTCGTACATAAGTGCTTTGTATAATGTTAAAAAAAATAATAAAACTAGACACCGCCACAACAATTGCGACATCTGGTGCTTTCTCTTTTGTACGTTTTCCATTAAGATAACTAATGTCTATGTTTACACACGCTGGTCAGCGAATGTGTATACATATCTGACTTTAATAAGTTAGACTATCAGAACAAATACTAACGTGAATGTACGATGTTAAACAATGGCAAAATGCAATTATTTACATGATACCAATCGCAAAGATAAAACAGAGTAGATCGTAAGCGGTCAGGAAGCAAAAACAGACATCTCCATATAAAAGTGCTATATCAACTACACATTGAAGTCTCCCCGCGACCACATGTGCATAAATTAAGGGGATTGAAATAATTTTCCAACACCACCATAAATAGTCCCTTGAACGAAAAAAAAAAACAGAGGAAATCTCAATGAACGCTACAGGCTTAATACCATTGCGGGAAATCTATCGAGACACCTCAACTCGGTGATGGAAAAAATTCGCGCACGACAGATCAACAACTAACTATATTGAAAGAACAACAAGGGCAATAAATGCCTTTTTAGTGACTCAGCTAAAATACGCATGTCGAAGGGATCCCCACCATGCAGTCAGGAATAAGCCAAATTTTATAAAAAACTATCCCATTTCTCGTTGAAATATCATCAACGAGATTATGGTATCAGACACAACGATGCATTTAATGACATCATTGATCATGACATAATGTAAAACCTATGGATCTTTTGTTTTAACATAAGCACTATTTTAAACATTTCAATAATTTTAAGCTTTTAATTGTACGGCTACAAAAGCGTGTTACGAAATGCCAGCCATAAGGTTTAAGACGAAATTAGTTTTTCCGAGGCTTGCCACGAAAGATTTCGCAACATGCTACGGACAAAATATGAAACAATCCCTGGAACAATGATTGATCATCGGGAGGAAAGCCAGCAAGACACCAGCGGGAATATGACAATGTGACTAAGATATGAACGATGACAATGTTTTTATAGCAATGTGATTTTGATATGACGAAAGTATATTTGTGTCTTACATAGATCTTCTACCCCACCCATGGAAGCAATTTTAATAACAATACGTCTGAAACTAAGTCAATAATTACGTCTGTGTGCAGAGAATATAGGGCGCAATTCCATTGTGGCAACAGGATCGTATCTTCAAGCAAGCACGAAATCTTACAGTTGTTTGAAATAAGCCAATTTACGAATATACGAATAGTCCATACAACACTTTATAAACATATAAAAAAACATGAAACATGTCCGATGCTTTTCACTTAAAGTAAACATCGTTGTCAAAGAGGAAGATAGACGAACAATATGAAAATGTCAGCAACTATATTTTTGCAAAAAACTCTTGGTGATTTAAAGTTCAACATAGAAACAATGACGATCCTTTTACATTTTGTGCTAAATAAAAATCACTCCCGCAGAGCCGTTCAACTTTTGCCTTCGTCAACAAGTCGATACAACTGTCGACATTTTTTCCACATTTTTCAGCGCTCGTTCGTCTATCAGCGACATTTCATAGCGAAATACGCGCGCGCTGCCCCACGTACAGAAAATCAACAACGAAATCATCAAAACTTAATTAAGGCCGAATGTTTCTATCCAAGTTGGGCAATGCAGTGAACGTATGTCAACAAGAGGTATGTAAACGTCTATCGCACTGCATGAATCAAGAGAAAAAAAAAGCAATACAAAATAGGGCAACCTGTGGCAGTCAAGACATAAAAACAATACCTGAAAATTGCTATTGAAATAATGAATCTACGATCCAATTTTTTGAATAAAAGTACTGCTATAAATTCACGAAATTCAAATAAAGAGATACGCGCGAAGCTAGTGTAGAAACCGAGAATTCAACACAATGACTTATAGTTATGTCTCTAAGGTATCTTTACTCTGACTAATTTAACGATGAATCGAATAAGAATGCTCATTCAAATACAATATACGGATCACATGTAAAAGAAATTTCCGTGTTTTTATAAATGCGATTGATTGTTATATATGAACCAAGGTAGGTCATTGTCTAGACACGATTTCAATGCAATAAAGCACGCGGCAGGTGGAAATACTTGCAGACTGACTATTTATAGTAATAGTTTTCAAACGCAAGGCAACACAATTTCTTTTCATGATAAAATTTACTTCGACATTATGAGGAACACGAACATTAATTCGTAGACAGAATGCATCGTCTTTCATATAACATTCTTCTATTTCGTTAAAACTTCTTTGATGCAACTTACGTCATATTTCTCAGTAATGACACATCATTTAGTGTGGGGAGAATATGTTATTTAATTCAGGTGAATAAATGTTTTCATAAATATGATCAGGTTTATTTTCAAAGCAAGATTAAGGATTCGTCTAAATATGCTAAAACTTATGCAATAATTGCTGCGATATACGGTTAAAATGAACAAGACAACAGGTTCAGGTTGATCGCAATTAATATAAAGTAGCGTTGTCGTTTAAGATGGCTCAACTGAAGCAAAGCAAATCCTTAAACTTGTTTTAGGCAATAATCCTTTCATTATAGAATCATTGGAGTACGAAAGAGCGACTTCAATTAGGAAGCTATATAAAGGTTCTAATTGCAAATTAGAATTTGTTCGAATGAAAAGTAAAAATTTCCTTCGAAGGCCACGTCACATAAAAATTATAACTGCTACGTGTTGGCCTCTATTGCTCTACATACATTGAGATGACAGTTATAGCTTAGATTTTATATGAAAGAGAAAGAACACAAGTCTGATTAATTGAAGCGAAGTCGAAATGGACAGAACTGATGAATCAAATACTTATACTTCTTTTCACAAGCATCTTCAGTATTTATGAACAGCACGAAAAGGAAGACGAACACAACTACGATAGAAAGTGAAATGCATTTTACATGCCTCAATGATTGTACATAGCTAAGAGGCTTCAAACATCTTATCATCTATGTTTTAGTTTCATAAACACACACACGAGTGCCATGAGTTACAGACATGCATATAAAAGTTTAATTTCTCATTATGGCAGTTCCACAAACGTACCCCCTACAAATGACAAGCTGTCAAGAAACACAAATTTCATTTTTCAATCGGTTGGAAGCAAATTATTCTAAGTTATCTTGTAAAATTCATCGCATCCATTGAATGTGTGATAACTCTGGCGCATTTATCGTGGCGTGTGTTTCACGGTAAATAGCATCAAAATATAATATTTATTAAAACCTCATTGGTTAAACGGTTGAAATGATAAACAATATGAAATGGCAATATGAAAAATCCATTAAAACAACTCGTTTCTCAAGATGTCTCGAAACATTTACCGTTTGCGTCGCAAACAATACTTCAAAACGCTAGAATTTTCAACAAAACGAACTTTCATGGTCAAACGTTCATAGAGTTTTCGTGAACAGTTTCATTGATGGAAGAAAAACATTTTAGGCCACAATACTCTATGAGTAACTATGAATAGATTTCTTTATTTGTGTAGTTCAAAAAATTTCGTCGTGGCAGATAATAAATGTCCACCTATTGAGGTAGATATCTCCCAAGAAGTGACTAAATTCTTATCAATATAACTGCATCCAACAGCGTGTAATAATATAAGTTACCATGTGATAAAAATCTGAAGACAAAATAACATTAACCACACGTAGTGATATATTTGCATTCAAATTATGTATGTTAAATTCCAGCTACGATTTATAATAAAAATTGGCACAATCGACAAATTGTGGGAGATTGTAGTGTCTACAAGTACCACGCTTTTGTATCCTACTGCGATCCCCTAAGTCGATAATCAATCCATTAAATCAACAAGAAACTGAATGCAGGTGAATTATGTACAGGGTCGAGCTTTTGGAGCTTCGTCAAAACTTACGGTCGTTGTACATGCACAGCAAATCTACTTTATATCGTATTCCTTAACTCACAAAGCACACGGTATGACGTAAATAGAACGCATGATCAACTGGCAAGCTTTTTACATATGGTAAACTGCGTCATTGCGACATATAGATAGATAAAATAAAGGTATGCCAAGGAACTCCGGGGTAATTAAATAATTATCTAATGCCCGTCAGCACTGTCGTGAAGTATTTGTCTCACAAAACAACTGAAGAAGTTAAAGTTTTTTAAAACGTATTTCTACGCGAGAGAAAAAGACTGTATAAATAAATTATGAGTTACTCTCTTAAAAAAGAATATCGCACGTTTCGAAGACAAAACATAAGTGTGAAAATAACCTGCACACAAGAACACCAGTAATGCAATTCCTTCAGCGACAAATTACTAAATTATTTACACAGCCTGCACGCATGCATGTCAAATTTCACTTTTTGTTTTAAAATACGTAAATGCTTCGGAAAAAAAATATAACGCGCGTTTTTCGAACATAAAGCAGGCATCATAATAATTAACTATATTATTTAAGTAAATATCAAAGCTTCCTTCATACTTTAAAATCGTTTGTGTGTCATTAAAATAACAACTGTTTATTAACCGCTTTACTCCTTGTATGTTTAGGGAATATCGTTGTTATACTACATGCTATATAACTATAAATTAAGAATAGAAAACCTTGATGCTGTATAAATTGCCCATCATATTCTCGTTTTATTGGTAATGATCAACCTTCTCCTCAAACTAGTGGATATTTGTAGATGAAATACAATTATAAATGTTAGAATGTCGTTATAAAACAAATATGTTCGATCAATAGCTACGTGTTTACTCCGAAAGCCTCAGTATTACGTCAAAGATTTCATCCCTGCAATTCGTAATAACAAAATGAAAAAATAATGCAATGATGAACAGGAAGATCTTAAAGTATAAAACGTCGAAGTTGAATAAATTTTACGACTTATTTCATTTGACTTACGCAATTTCTTACAAAAAGAAGATATTTTTATCTTTCGATGGAAAGTCATCAGACAGGAAAATAACACAGCAGTAATGATCAAAGAGAGACATAAAAAGTGTTTTCTCTAAAAACAATTCCGAGCACCTTAACCTTGCTCTTCCCCCTTAAATAACTACACAAAAAATGGTTGAACAAAACAAGGCTATATTTTGTTTAGAAGCAACAACTAAAGCGATGGAAATTTCAACAATTTCAAAAATGCATGACTTTAGCAATTCCGTCATGACAAAACGAAAGTCAATGAAGCTTGCTATCACATACACTAGGACACACGGCAATTTAGGAAGATGATTATAGACAAAGATAAAAATTCTTTGCGTGTATTATTGATCAGTATAAAGATATATACATACTAGACAATGGTTTATCCCACATGCTTTCATCACGTGGAGCTTAAGTGCTTCATCATACTTCAGGTTTTATTCTTGTGGCTAATAATATAAAAGAAAATAGCTAGAATAATGTCAGAAATAGTTCGCATTTTATCGTTTGGTAAGGTGTTTCAATAAAGGTCTGACAATAACGCCCTGAATCTGTGATGAGTGCTACTTTTGCTGATATTATTACGATAAAGTTTTCATACCCCACAGGTTGTGAAAGCTCTTTGAAAAACACCATTCAAAATGCTCTTTCTATTTCAACTTCCGGTCTTTTTCATACAACGAGCGTAAAGAATTCCTTACGAAGGACAAATTAGCTACTAACAAATCTTGGCGAGAAATTGAACGTATTTATTCTGCAGTGTAATGCTTATTTTTTTTTTGTATTGGAACAGATTTGAATAACAGGTTAAAAAAACGTAACACATTCATAAAAATAGCTACAAACTCAACATAATTACCAAAGGATAATCTGTGAATAAAAAAACGCACAACATTAGGCCAAAAATAATCAAACGTTTAAAGTAATGTTCAACTTTCGCTTTAGGAAGATTAAGAAAACGTTATTTACCAGACAGCATTGAATAATGTGTAAATTATTTGCCATCAGTTCAAATATTGAATCGAAACTCAGACACAAATATTTACTTTGTTAATACTTGCAAATTAAAGTATACAGACAGATACTGGGGGGTTTTATTTGAACAATAAATGATCTTTTGGCAAACTATAACTAATTTCACAGATATTTTTCATGGATTGTAATGGATCCCTGGTGAACTCTGATAAAAATAAACTTTATGATCTTCTACTAAAAACAAGATCATTAACACAAAACGTTTATTTTAATTATTCTCAGGTGAGGCAAAGACCAACAGACCTTGTGACAGGTAGGCAATCCGTCATTTGTAATAAGAGATTTGTTTTCAGAAGTCTGTCATATATTAATTTAAAATTAAGCTGTCATTGCAGAAATCATACAAAGAAGGTTGCTGAAAGCTATTGTTCCTAAGAATATGCTGACAACATTTAAATTTGTCTTTGCCAACATTATGATCATGAAATATTCACGTGATTTCAACGGTTGACACTCCATGTCAAATATCCAGACAGTGTGAACAATTGACCAATAATTATATCACAATTTTAAAAAAATATGTCTAGCCAATAAATCATCTACTCTCAAAGAGTCTTTATACGACATGTATCCTTTACTCAAATATAGTCATTACTAGCCGCACATTAAAGATTTGTTGCGACAGTTTTTCCTGTCTTGTAAAAGCCGGGATAATTACATCCTTTATTCAGACGCCATAAGACATAATGCAGAGATTAGTAATTTAGTCAGTAAAGAGCGGCAGCTACAGAACAATTTTCGTCGTTTTAACTTGAATAAACAACTGAAATAAGATTAAAGCGTTACGGACACTGCTCACATTCGGCAAATACCTATTTCATACTTTGCAAACGTTATTTTATTAACATTTCATTTAACTTACCCATTTATTAAACAAGCAGATAACTTTGTACATCAAAAAATTGTATAATAACTTCGGAAAGATGATTTTTGTTTGACATTTTGTATTTGAAGTTTACGAAGCCTCGTGTTCAAAGAAATTTTACTTTCCTAGATTGTAATGCGCATGCACAAATCATGCAACGGTTTTCACGGGTGAGACACTCGTGGGTCTGGGTACTAGATTCCAGTTGTTTTCGAAAGAGGGGGCAATCCAAGTCCAACCGGGGGTGGGGAAAAACAAAAAAATCAATAATATTCACAACCGTTTTCAAAAAGGAAATTCGACAACATAAACCAACGACAGAGCCGAAATTATGCAAGAATGGGTTTCATTTTTTTACATAATACAATTTAATGCTATTGTATAAAATTGCCAAAAGGACATAAATTCTCGTAATGGTTAAAACAGAATCTTTAAATTTAAGATGGGTATCGCTCCACGATCATACCATGTCCCTGAAAAGAAAAAGGATCAACGATGGATATAGATGGTGCACGATGAGCAACACTTGATAAATGGCCGAACGATTGATATAGATAATGTATAATGATGGATTTAAACATGAAGGGCGCAATGATTGCTGCAGATAATGCACGATGAGAGCAAGGATGGATAGATTTTTAAAAAAGAAAAAAAGAAAATTCATAAAGCAACGAAAGAAGTCAAAAATGTACAAATAAAGTTCTTAGTACATATAAAAATCTAGGAAAAGTCATTCAAATCGTCAAAAAAACAAGATTTTTTTCAATAAAGCACACAGTAAAACATCAGTCAAAAAATACTTTTCCTGAGTACACTCTTTAATCATTATGAAAAGATATTAAATATTTCCATGTAGTGACTCACCAGTCCACCTGCAGCACAAGCAGCAACTAAAGCATACTTTCCATCTTCATTAATGAGTCTGTTAGCAGCAGCAGTAACAAGACGTACACCAGTGGCGCCAAAAGGATGACCAATAGATAATGAACCACCCCAGGTGTTTAACTTCTCCATCGGTATGGCACCAACCTTAAACGTTAACATTAAGAATGTTTATATAAAGTAAATGGTTTGAGCCCGGGAGTATCGTTACATGTTTGTGGATGTAGATCGTCCATGTTTGTAGAGTCCCGAGAAGGACTGTTCGTGTTGATGAAGACTGACGTTTGGACATCCTTAGAGGTAGTCATCTTCAGAGTCAAGGTTACTGCAAGGTTGTCGAAACGTCAGTCAACATCAACAACAACAGTCCTTCTCAGAACACTACTAAACTGGACGATCAACATCCACAAACATGGATGTTTATATGAACCAATAATTTGATGCAAACGAGGCAACCCTGTTCATAAATAGTTTAGGTCTTCAATGCATGTACCTTTTCTTTTCTGCCAATGTAATTTTGTCCAAACCAATCTGAGTCCATTGCTTTAAGGTTGGACAAAACTTGACCCTAAAGAAGATGGGACCACTGATAAGATGATGGAAAATAATTGTAATTTAAAATCTGCTTCCATTCTGCTTCCATGAAAAAACTGCTTCCATTCTGTTAATGTGATTAAATGAGAAAAAACAAAAACAAATACAACGATGAAAGATTTTCCATTTATTAAAATAACCAACAGAATCTTTCAGCTCAATAAAGTCAATAAACATACTAACCCTAACCCTAACCCTAAGCCTAATCCTAACCCAACAGAATCTTTCAGCTCAATAAAGTCTATAAACATCCTAACCCTTATCCTAACCCAACAGAATCTTTCAGCTCAATAAAGTCTATAAACATACTAAAATATCGAGAACGAATATGAGATGTAGAATAAGACTATTAAAGTTATACGAAAGAAAGGGCCCATACATATATATAGGCCACAACTTGTTAAATAGTTTTGCAGTCTATAATTACTTCTTTACTTATTTTAGTTCATTCAAATTTACAGTTAACTACTATTTCTTTATACTAATTTCACAAATAAAACAGAAAAAACTTACAGCGAATGCCTCATGATATTCAAAGACATCAACATCCTTGATCTTAAGGGATGCTTTCTCTAAAACCTTGGGTGTAGCATAAGCTGGTCTAGAAGGATGAAAGACACCCCACGTACGTATCCAAAAATAACGTATGAATTCATAAAAAGAATGGTTGATGCTGAAGATGAGTACCACAAAGGATGTTGAAACGTCAGTCAACATCAAAATCAACAGTCCTTTTAAGGACTCTACCAACAAGGAGGATCTAGTTATAATTATTTATTATCAATAAGAAACAGCATGCAATATAACATACCCCAGTAAAAGCTGATCTTTGGGATCTTGTGATACATAAGCATACTCTCTATGATATAAGCAACACATAAACTTGTTAATGTTGTCATAGATTACTTCAAATCATCGTTTAATTAAAAGATACAATCTATATGTGACCAAAAATCTACCTTATCGTATGACAAGATACTTACCTGAGGTAAGCTTTAGGTTTCAGTCCCATTGCAAGAGCTTTCTCCTCGGTCATAATAAGACAGGCAGATGCACCGTCAGTCTGATGACATAAAAACACACCATGTCAAATGATGAGATAATGTTCGTTAATCTCATGAAAAACGTTTTCGTTGTGGTTAATATAAGGCAATACGTGTATAAACCAACCAGAAATGACGCATTTGCAGCAGTAACTGTTCCATAAGGACGAACGAAAGCTGGACGTAATTTCGACATTTTTTCCAAGGTTGATACGCGAACACCGTTGTCTTTATTCACTATCAATGGCTTTCCTGAATACAGCAGATAACTATTCAACAATTCAAACCTTTATTTTTTGAAGTAATCAAAACATCTTCAATAGATATTGGACAAACTTCATTATTACATTTGCTGAAAATATTAGCTTGGAAAGGATAGGTAGTTACAGTAAAAAATCTGTTTTTATTTAGTTATATTTGATAGACGGGTTTGAAAAAGCTTATTCCTACGTATACAATACCTGGCACTTTATATTCAAGTAAATCGGTAAGCTTGCCCTCCTGCAGAGAAAAGGATCGTCGTTGAAGTTTCACAAGAGTGATCTTACGGAGCTATCGTCAGCAACAATAATCCGTTAAAGTATAGCAGTCAGTTTAAAGTACCTTGGTAGCCTGGTCTGCCAAAGTATGAGATCGTAATGCAAACTCATCCTGAATGAAATAACTTAATGAATAAAGTGATTTGAACACAGCAATCTGTCATTTTAATTTCCCACCTGTTCTCGTCGTGAAATACCAAACGCTGCACAAAGCCTAACAAAGCATAGATTTAGTTTATCAACAACTGATCGTAATAAATTAAATGGTTTGAACCCGAGAGTATCGTTACATGTTTGTAAATGTCGAGAGTGAAGATGACTCTGAAGATGACTACCGCTAAGGTTGTCGAAACGTCAGTCAACAACAACAAAAACAGTCCTTCTCAGGACTATACCAACATGGACGATCGACATTTACAAACATGTAACGATACTCCCGGGTTCAAACCATTTACTTCAACAACAACTATTGGTCCAAATCGTAAACAACCATATTGTTAAGATCGAGATGAAAACAATGTATTTATAGTAGTTTCTGTTATCACAAGCAAAAGACAACAATTAATAAAATATAAGGGACAACAAAGTATACATACGAGTATATGTGATCATAAACAAAGGACAAAAACGTGTACATACCAGTATATGTGATCATAAACAAGGGATAACAACGTATACATACGAGTATATGTGATCATAAACAAGGGATAACAACGTATACATACGAGTATATGTGATCATAAACAAGGGATAACAACGTATACATACGAGTATATGTGATCATAAACAAGGGATAACAACGTATACATACGAGTATATGTGATCATAAACAAAGGACAAAAACTCATACATACCAGTATATGTATATGATCACAAACAAAGGATAACCATGTATAAACGAGTACACATCACTACAAATAAAGAACAACGTATAAAGTTTTACCTGTCGCCACTGTGTCCCATAGTTTCATTTGTAGAAAATTCTGCAACAGCGGGTAGCTAAAGCACAAATAAACAAACTGTCCTTCGCAACTTCACATATGAAAGAGAAAAGCAGATAACGTTTATTGTCTTACTTCCGGTGCAAAATGTTTTGGTCTGATTGAAGATAACAAACCCAATCGAGCTCCCAATGTCTTTGCTTTATTCAACGACAACAATATTTTACGAAGACCTCGATTTAGTCGGATAGGTACATCAGACATTGTCTCAACACCACCAGCAATGACGGCATCTGCGCCACCACTCGCCACCAAACCCAATGCTTTATTATAAGTAAGAAAGTGAAGATTTCACATAAAACATGTCGTGTTGAAAACTGTTTATTTCGTTCGAAGGTCTACCTGATGTGATGGATTGGTTGGATGAAATACAGGCCATTGTAACTGTATGAGCGGGAATTTTGTGTGAGAATCCTGCACCAAGAGCAGCCTGAAAAATTGAACGCACGGACAATTGAACGAATCTATGTAACTTCTTCCGAAAAACGATATATCTTTATTTTAGGAGTTACAAAACGAAATTTAGTTGCTTGACACAATGAAGACTAAGATGATTTCATGTTATACACAACACACACCTCTCTTGCAACATTATATTTTATGTTATACACAACACAAACCTCTCTTGCAACATTATATTTTATGTTATACACAACACAAACCTCTCTTGCAACATTATATTTTATGTTATACACAACACAAACCTCTCTTGCAACATTATATTTTATGTTATACACAACACAAACCTCTCTTGCAACATTATATTTTATGTTATACACAACACAAACCTCTCTTGCAACATTATATTTTATGTTATACACAACACAAACCTCTCTTGCAACATTATATTTTATGTTATACACAACACAAACCTCTCTTGCAACATTATATTTTATGTTATACACAACACAAACCTCTCTTGCAACATTACTTGTCTTCACTTCTTGAATGACCGTTCCAAAGACAATATAATCGACAACATCTGTAAAGAATAAAAATCATTTACAATTTCTTACATGTAGATTGCTTTCCATCATAACAAGTTTATACAAGATGGGAGATTTCAAGTATAAAGAACGAAGATTTTATCATTGGTCAATCACTGACCTTTCGGACATCCTGTTCTTTTCAAAAGTCCTTGTAAGGCACCTCGTGCCAAATCGTGAGCCATAATGTCTTTGTAACTGAAGAATATTTAAAAATTAGAAATGAATTTAAGACTAGATATCAACAGAAAGAGTATGAAGAAACGCTGATAAATGTCTTTAAGAAAGTCAAACTTAAAATTAATCATAAAAACTATTGATATGACGGAAAACATCACTAAATTTTTTCAAAAAATGACAAAAATCTTTCAATTTTCCATTATGCAACTTACTCAGATCCAGAAACCAAGAACGGAGTACGTACTCCGTCCACTAATACAATATTTTTCCCTTTAGCTTTCGCTCCTGACAAACAATTCATCAAAACATCGTTATCATCAAAATAAGATTATTGACGAAAATCATTCAATAATCATGTGTACCTTTACATCCAACAGCATCGTTTGCTCGAGATGATGAAAAATTTCTACTGAAAACTAAAAAATATACAAGTGTTTCAAGATTTTGATGTTGCAAGGAAGGGAATCGTTCAATTTGACATGATTGGTAGTCAACTACCTTTTTTAATTGATTTCAATTTGATTACCTTCATTTGTTAGAAAGTCCCTAAGTTGTTTTTTGACTATTTTTAGTCGTAATGAAATGACAAATTTGAAGAGCGATTATTTAAGGATGAATTTAACGTTAATTATAATGAAATAAAAAAAATCGCGTTAAAGGTACAACTATCAGGAAAACCCAAGGATTTTACAGTAACAACACTTGGTATCTTGTAATTTTATATAAATAGTGAAAATGCAAAAGTACTTTAATGTAGTGACATACAAACTTACTAAATATGTAGCTGTACAATATTCTTAGAATTTGAATTTTACGTTAAGTTTCTAATCATAAATAAAAATCCTTATTTCTATTCAATGTCTTTCTGGTCAGCAGTAATGGAGAATTGTCCAATATAATCCTTCCCTTATTGAAAATTGGTATAACTCATTGTGGAAGTAAAGTCACAACTAACACTGACTGCAGTTACTCTGGAATGAAAGTCACAACTAATATTGAGTGCAGTTACTCTGGAATGAAAGTCACAACTAACGCTGACTGTAGTTACTCAGGAATGAAAGTCACAACTAACACTGACTGTAGTTACCCCGGAATGAAAGTCACAACTAACACTGACTGTAGTTACTCTGGAATGAAAGTCACAACTAACACTGACTGTAGTTACTCTGGAATGAAAGTCACAACTAACACTGACTGTAGTTACTCTGGAATGAAAGTCACAACTAACACTGACTGTAGTTACTCTGGAATGAAAGTCACAACTAACCCTGATTGTAGTTACTCTGGAATGATATGTAGTGTTGTTACAATAGTCTAGTAAGAAAAAGAAAGTTTATCTATAAAACTGTTCACTTCATCTAATCTAATGATCACCAATTGGTTAGACAACCATACATAATACATTCATATTCACAAATACAGGTGCTTTGCTGGTATCATTAATTCCAAGAAATATAATATTCTATTCAAATAAAAACCATTCTAGCAATGAAGAAAAAACATGCTGTAAAAACAAATGCATTAACTTTCAACTCACAACATTTAAGTCATGACTGAGATATGTATTTTTGTTTTCTATTTCTTCATTACAGTGGGTTATAGTTTTAATGAAGAAAGCAAGCTTTTATGAATGTGATTGGTACATCATTAATGTTTCAATACTCGCATGGGAAAAATGAAAAAGAAAAGATGTCTAAAACAGGATTGTGTCAATATTGACAATAACCAAATACAACGTAAGAGTTTGAGAGATGTAAAGATACACTGAATATGTGTGGCCTTCATACAAGATTTAGCAGGACAAAAAATGAAGATGCTTATAAATACTTGAAACTTTGTGCTAACAAAAAGGAGCAGCCATTCACAATTATCAATGATATTAAATCAATCGGCACCCAAAATGTTGAACAAAACATTCACAAAATGAATTTAAAGGGTCAAAATTATCATTAATAATCGTTAATACAATTGTTCAAATTCAGCTCATACCACCATAGTGGATTTTATAGCAAGTATAGACATTTTGATAGCAATTTTAAACTCTTAGTTTATAACATTTGCTGTGCTCTCCATACAGCAATTACAAGATTGAACTTTGAACTCTTGATAGCAGAAATTTCATAATTTTTTCCATCAAAATTATTTTCATCAAAAATAGACTAGAAGACTTCCTATCAAATAAATGAAAACACCGACTTGTAAATAATAAGTGCACTCACCAACATTGGTTTCGTACGACGTAGTCTTATGTAAAAACCTTCGGAAAATTAATCTTTGAGATTTTACGACTTGCAGAAACGACGCCATATTGCCACGATTCGTTGATTATTTTACATACATCAAAAAGACATCTTGGCTTATGACGTCACTACTTACAAAATGTTGTCTGATGAATATGATTGATAGATTGATGTTTACATAGACGTAACTTCGAGCTAAATTACAAATTGGCTGAATTGCTTTCGGAAAAACTACTTAACAAAGAGCTATGCTAATAAATATTTAAAAATAATAACGAAAAGTAGAAATATACGGAGATTAGATTAAAGCTCTGTCAGCTCGTCTATATGGAAATAGGTGTTTATTAAAACTTGTTAAAGAATATGAACCCATAATTTCACGAAGAAATAAGTTTTGCAATTTATGATCTTTATTCGTAAATTGGTGTCACAGAAAACTCTTTAAAATGTGCATAAATATGCACTGACTCGATTATAATTTAAATGAGATTATTAAATGACGTCGTCGATGTGACAAAAACACTTTATGATGTATAAAAATATGTGGGTGACAAGGCAATTGTAATTTCGAAAGGAAGAAGTGTCGCTTTGGTATCATCTTTTTTTGAACAAACCATTAAATCAAGAGGAGTTGGCTTAAATATGCGTTATATTCACGAAATTGTGTATTTTCTAGTTGAGCAACGTCACCTTTCGGTAAAAATCGATCGCAATATATGTATGAATGGCTTGTTTTGATTTTGTTAGAAGACCTGGTTCTCGTACTGTCGTACATCCATTATAACATTGTTCATAGCTCTTTTTGCAATCATTTTGTTTCGTCGATTACAGAACCAACCACTATTGAATAATATTTTTAATTTAATGATCCATTTCGATTCTACAATACATTGACATAACTCAGAAAGTGCTTTTTCGAAAGAATTTAAGTCGACGGAACTAACCATCGAAAACTTCCTACGAATCAAATTAAATAATAAAAGATGACCAACAGCTAGGAAGAAAAGATACACAAAAGTAGTAGAAGATAATGGCAAGCCCACAAGAAAGAAAGACGATTACAATGAATCGCTTAAAAAAGAAATTGAACGAATCAAAACAATCATTGGCAGATGAGTTTGACTTTAAATGGTATATTGCCTTTTCCTTTAAAGATAAGGTAAAAAACATTTCTCAGGTATAAGTGTTTTAAAACCACCTATAACTTCGTTACAGTTATGTATTATGCTCTTACATTTAGAGGAAAAAAACAGCTTTGTTTGAAGCGAAACAAGTCGTCTCTGTTATGACAAATACCTTTGAAACTTACATTGTAAAAGGTGCCCAGGTGAGTAGATGATGGAAGTTAGTTATGTTGGTTTAGATATGTTTGGATTCTAATTAATTAATTGTTTTTATAGGACAACATGTATTCGTTCGATAGTTCTCAAGAATTGTTGGATAAAGATATGGTTCAGTTACATGCATCTCAATATTGCCCTCTGAGAAGTGTAAGTCAGCGATGGATATTACACTGCTCAAATATCAGATAAATTTGAATGTATATTTAAACAGGATATGCCAGGATGCGTACGAGATATAGACTTCATTTTGTGGCCAAGAAATGACTTAGCTGGCATGAAATGTTTCTTATTTTCTCGATGGAAAGGAGATGCCAAGTATCGTCATGTTGATGTAAGTGCTCACCTGGGAAATTTGGATAAAGGACTTTAGTTTATGTTTAGAAATTATTTTTTACCTGATGTAGGTAAAGTTTGAATGTGATGCTATTGATTATGAGAAACAAGTATTTCAGCTCCTTGGTAAAAAGCGTGTTAAAGATGCTGTTGTAAATAATCCACAAGAAAACATCTTTCTGTTCTTGGATCAACAAAACTGGAAGGTAGCTTTTTTCCATCTTATGTAATCCAAATATCCAATCCACCACTTCAGTAATAACATAACTTGTTCTTTGTGTTTGTTTAGTCCAGTGATAACAATCTTTCATTGTTCAAACTGTCCAACATCTGCATCTGTTTACCTCAGGTAATCAATCTTTATGGATATTAAAGTTTGAAACTATGAAAATAAATCATCGTTAAGAGTACTTGACATGTTTATTTTGCATTCACAGGATCATTTGACAAGATGGAGCGTACAAACAGAAAATCAAGTTTTACAAGAACATACACCAGAATAATGACTTGATGTTTTTATTTTCTACTTTCTTAATATTTACGTGAAGTTAATTAGTAATTGCTGCACTTCTGTGTTGCCGAGAAATTAATGAATTTAAAATTTGTTACTTTTATTGGAAATGTGACAAATATACAATGTATCATTTGGAGAAAATAAAATAAATGCTGGCTATTACCATATGCTACATACATCATCTGTTTATGAATGAATTGATCACTACTTCAGTCTTGCTTTAAATTCATGAATGGAGCTTAACATCCATGTATCTTTAAAAAAATGTAGCATAACTCCCTGCCATTTAAATGGGAAAAAAACGGGATATCTTCAAGAGTCGGAAGAATGACTGACATGGATTCTTTCAAAGGGTAGCCCCTCAGAAGGTTCCCAAAATTTAAATAGCCTTTGCCAACTCGTGATTGTTGAGAAGTTTTCATTCCAGATCTTACGTGGAGAATTTACGAACGCACCAAAATTCCTTCTTCAATTTCCCACCATTCGCAGGAACAAATCTATTCAGCAAATGAGGCCAGTTCCTCACGTGGGTGCAAGCCAGAGACATGCGCAATGAACTGCAAACGATTGCGAAGAACAGGTCGAAGATTAACGACGTAATGTTGAATATCCTGTTTAATAGCATCACCAACAAACATGTACTTAATATGGTAACTGGAGTGAGATTAAGAAACAATCAAACGAATAGCAACGACAACTACTTCATTTTCATATGAAAGTAGAGAAATATATAAAAGGGATTTAGAGGTACTACAAAGGATGCATGAAGTTGTATATTGTATCAATATGATACAAAGAAGTATAAAAGGGATTTGAAAGTACAAAAAGGAATTGAAGATATTAAAAAAGATACAAGAAATCGCATATTGTATCAATATGATACAAATGAGTACATTTCTTGTCGACGACATCCAGGATCACATAAAACTCCTTTGCGATCTAAAATGACAACGAGATAAGGAGAAATAAATGCCTGTTGCGATATAGAAAACATTTTCATTACTCTACCTCTAAAAGACATCTTGGTTTTTCGGAGTAAAAACGAAAGAGGAAGGACCAATTACACGACATAAGAAAAGAAACTGTGCTTCATTATGAACCAACGGTTTAAGCTTGTCTCTTAACATTCTTAAAAAATAATTACTAAAAATGATATCATGGTTTAGAGTTAACTTATTCCTTCCATTAAACACATTTAAAAGGTTTCTCCCGACTAAAAATTATTGTAAAGTGATCATGCATCACCAGGGAAAATGGTTTACAAAATACACACCAGGATGTTTCCCTGTTCATTTACCACACTACATCAGCATGTTCATGATTAAAGGACCTCGTAACCACGTCTAATTTTTGCGGACAGAGTCGTATGGAGTGGTAACTAAGGGGGAAATGAGCCAAAAATCTCTGTGTATTGTACAAAGCTACCTACCCGATTATGTAAGAAATATGACCTAAACTTGAATGATACCAAACTGCATTTGAGAATGCCACGACCAGGTCAGGTAAGGTAAGTGCACAGGCAGCCGAGCTGGACTGGAAACTATAAAAGGAGTATGAAAACGACGATGGATTTGACAAGTTTTCTGGTAAGCCGTTCATCATAGCTGGATTCACATCTTTTATGGAGAGATCAGTGTTGATAGCCTCGCAAATCACGTGAGGCACGACTTTGCTGTACGATTCCTAAAAGACATGAAATGTAAGTAGACATTACTGAATACCCAAAGGTGATGACGTGTTTTTAAACTGACAGGTAAAGAGGATATTATCAAAGCCAAAGCGTTTATCCACGTCTTTGTGTCGTTGAGAATTTCAAGGCTGCGACTTGTTTCACCACTAGAGATTTTTAAAAAGACAAAAAAAATGTATTAAAGACTCGCCAGTAGCTCTCTGATCACAGATAGTCAAGTTACTGGGGATTGTAGTACATTGTAGTACATTACATTGCATTGTAGTACATTGCTGTACATTGCAGTATATTACAGTACATTGTAGTACAGTACATTACAGAACATTGTAGTATATTACATTACAGAACATTGTAGTACATTGCAGGATATTACAGTACATTGTAGCACATTGTAGTACAATACTGGGCATTGTAGTACATTATTTCCCTCCTTCATTTAAGCTAGTTCAACAAGATGGTGTGAACGTACACACCATTTATAAATAACAGAGAAGAGTGATTGAGCAATGACAATGTCGTCAACAGGGAGACACATTAATTCGACACACGTGACATGAATCGCATGCGCAGCTGGACTGGCGAACTCGTGAAAACGAGCGTCGAACAACGGAAATGGCGAATTACCAGCAAGAGATGAGAATTGTTAAGGAAAAAAACAAAAGTTAATGTTCGAAAACAGAAGTAGAAACAAGAAATCATGACATGAAAGGATACTATCCACGAGTCTTCCCACAATTTCACAATAGTAATCCAAGTTTGGAGTCCAGTTTACATCGCCACGTAAATATTCCCAACAGGGAGAAGACAAACACCTTGCGAATAAAAAATGAAAAGTTTTTTAATCACTTTTACATCAAAAATTTTTTTATGAAAAACTCATTTCATTCACCATACCAATGAGGTGACCGAACACTTGCAAACGCTCCTGAAATTAGACGGAAAATCAACTTGTAAATACGAGATTTTTATGAAGATGATTTCGTTGAAAACAAGTAAGTATTTACCCAAGATAACGTTGACGAGTTTGTCGCGACTTCGAGGTCGTTCATTTAAAATATCATTGTAATAAAATAAAGTGTTGTACAAAAAAGTGACAGGACGATCTGTAAAAAAAAAACAAACAACGAAAGCGTTTAGTTCGACATAATCACTACTTCAATTGATGTGATAGCAACTACTTTCATCAATAAACGCAATCCTTACCGTGAAATTTAAACAGTGGAGCAAAGGAATGAAGAAGTCATCAATAAACGCAATCCTTACCGTGAAATTTAAACAGTGGAGCGAAGAAATGAAGAAGACTTTCAAGTCCTGTCATGACAGCAGGTAACTCTATGAAACGATGAACTATAACTTCGAGGACCTACACGAAAGAAAAATTTAAAGTACTTTGACATAAGGATGTGTTTTATTCACTAACAATGCATAAAATGACAGTATAAAATACGCAAATTCAACTTACTGGCAAAAAACGAAGGCAAACGTTGCCAAAATTTATTGGGAAATACGCCACATTGTGTGAACTAGCTTTCGTGGCCTCGCGAAGTCCTTCAAAGTAAAACTTTTCGTCCCATTGCTAAATAGAAACTCCCGTCATGAGAACTGGAGGAAGACGAGGAAGGACCTGGGAACGAGGTTTTTCATAATCCTATGTAATGATAACAATCAAACCTTGTGATAGCCTTGGTGTTTTTGATGCCATTCTGGATGTTTCCAATATTCTGGATGGACCTTAAAACATCAACTTCAACTTTTAATCTAGTATTAAAATCGCTCAGTCACAAATTAATTAAGAATTAATCTGAGCATGCGCAGTCAACTCCACCAACTCCCAAAGTTTGTGGTCATGGCAATGACCAACTGGATGTACTAGTACTAATTATGGAGTAAGTAGCTCGCTCAGTCACTAATTCTCGGATAAATCATCTGCGCATGCTCAGTCTTCATGAGCATGCGCAGTCGACTTGACCAGCTGCACAAGTTCATGGTCATGGCAACGCCCAACTGCATCTACTAGCACCGATTTTGAAGTAAATAGCATGCTTACTAACAATTTATTAGAGAAATACGTTTATACGTTTTTTACTTGTTACCTTTTACAATGTAACTTTCTCCTAACTCTCTCGTGATGAACGAGAGCCTCCCTATACAATATGACTCTCTCATCATGAACGAAAGCATCCATGGGCTTCATGTTATGCCTGCTACCTTTATTAATAATCGTTCTGAATAACTAGATCCAGATTAACAAATGCCGCAAAACTCCTAACCATTTTATTGCCACTATTCTACATAAGATTTGATTGTAGTTTGATCTTGTATTTTTGACACGTGTGTTTACCGTCCGAAAGGTGAATTGAATAGCCATAATAACATCGGTTGTAAGGAAATTTTCTTCATCTTACCTCTTGTACAAATGTCTGAACTCTGTCTCGAAATGAAGGATTCTTGAGCAACAAAAATGTCACAAGTAGATTACAAACTTGAGCTTCTTTTGATTCGTAATAACGCAACACCTAACAAATGACAATAGCAGGAATAAAATAATGGCTAACATCAACAATGGTTTGTTCACATATGTACTGCCAAACTCACCAAACATAAAACAAGACGATCTATGGTGAAGATATGATATTTCCATACCATATCATGAAGACATCCGGTGCGCTATAGAAGAATTTCAAACTGTAGCAAGTATATAAGTGTGAATTACAGCATACAGTCGCACATAAAGGCATGTATTCTAAGGTATATTCTTGTACTGGTACATACAGGCATGTACTCTAAGGTATATTCTTGTACTGGTACATACAGGCATGAAGGTTTATTCTTGAGTACATACAGGCATGTACTCAGGTATATTCTTGTACTGGTACCTACAGGCATGTACTCTTAGGTATATTCTTGTACTGGTGCATACAGGCATGTACTCTAAGGTATATTCTTGTACTGGTATATATTGGCATGTACTCTAAGCTTTATTCTTGTACTGGTACATACAGGCATGTACTCTTAGGTATATTCTTGTACTGGATATATAGGCATGTAAGGTATATGTACCATACCATGTATCTTAGGTATATTCTTGTACTGGTACATACAGGCATGTTTTAGGTATACTTGTACTGGTACATACAGGCATGTACTTAGGTATATTCTTGTACTGGTACATACAGGCATGTACTCTTAGGTATATTCTTGTACTGGTACATACAGGCATGTACTCTTAGGTATATTCTTGTACTGGTACATACAGGCATGTACTCTTAGGTATATTCTTGTACTGGTACATACAGGCATGTACTCTTAGGTATATTCTTGTACTGGTACATACAGGCATGTACTCTAAGGTATATTCTTGTACTGGTATATACAGGCATGTACTCTTAGGTATATTCTTGTACTGGTACATACAGGCATGTACTCTAAGGTATATTCTTGACTGGTACATACAGGCATGTACTCTTAGGTATATTCTTGTACTGGTACATACGGGCATGTACTCTTAGGTACGTTCTTGTACTCTTGTGTTTCTATCATTTATTTATAGATTTGAACACCATACCCAAACATCTTAAGATGTTAATACTCAGTTTAATAATGCAAAATTCAAACCTTCGTGATTTCCTCTGATGTAATAATGGAATAATCGTATATAAGAAAATCAGAAAATACGCGGATCTGTTTGGTTAACGCTCTGGCCCCTAACTTAACCAAAACTCTATGAAGAGAATGAAAAGAAAAGAAAAACAGTATTTTGTTCATTTATTAAAAGTAAAATAAAACTTACTGAAGACAAATTTGGTTAACACGACCACTTTCCAACAAACACTTCCAGATAATGCTAGATGATACACGGTAAGAACAGTATTCAAAACTTTGCATTCATTTTGAAAATGCGACGACAAAAAAATGGCTACAAGAACATGATTACGTAGAGAAGAAAAAAGACGCAAATGAATTTTAAATTGCTTACCAAACAAATATATTGGGTGAACCTGGTTCACCAAAATAATTCAATATTTCAGCCTGCGATTTCATGTCTGAAATGAAGTGAAAATATAAGTTCATAAAGGGAAGGATCTTGGATGATTTTAAAGGGGGGGAGGGTTAGGGTTTCCCAACCGGATGTACTCGGACGTCAACCATTACATAATCGACTAGTACAAAGTTACATCGAAGATGAAGCGTGTAAATCAAATAGTTTGCACACCATACATCACTTACTTTTAAATTTCATGTATTCTTCCTCGACTCTCTGTTTTAAAGCAGGTTTACTTTCTACTGGAATGATCCGTTGGGCGAAGAAGTTTTGAATGGGTAGCGGGAAATGTTCCAAAGTATGTTTGGACCAACTATGAAAATATAAAGATGTAGGTAAATGAGGAGCACAAGGGTAACAAAATGACAAGAAAGGATATGGATTAAAATATCGCCATACTTCATGGGTGTTTTTTCAACAATTGTTTTCAAGATATCGTCGTACCACTGAGAGGAATGTTGCTCTGTTCCTGAAATGATAAAAAAGCCTTTGACAATTAACATATTGAAAATGCATATAAGAACACGAGAGCACATTAAATTGACAATTAACATGTTGAAAATGCATATAAGAACATGAGAACACATTAAATTGACAATTAACTCATTGAAAATGCATATAAGAACATGAGAGCACATTAAATTGACAATTAACTTATTGAATATGCATATAAGAACATGAGAACACATTAAATTGACAATTAACTTATTGAAAATGCATATAAAACATGAGAACACATTAAATTGCCAATGAACATATTGAAAATGCATATAAGAACATGAGAGCACATTAAAATTACCTGATATATGTATCGCTCGTGCAATGTTCAAAATAAATATCCTGTTTAACTCCTCAGACTCAGCAGACACCAGCTAAATTATATATTTCAAAGAAATCAAAATTCGTGCACTGTACACGTAAGTTAGTAGATAGTTTGTAGATGTAGATCGTCCAGGTTAGTAAAGTCCTGAGAAGGACTGTTTTTGTTCTTGTTCACTGAGGTTTCGACAACCTTAGCTGTAGTCATCACGGGTTCAAACCATTTACTTTATTACGCTCATTTGGGCAGATAGTTTAAATTTTTCTAAGCTTACCATATTAGGTTTGTGTTTTGTAAAATACGACTCGACGACATGATTCTCGAGACCTTGAATTAAACGAAACGCTGTGCTTTCCAGGCTGAAAACATCGAAACATAAAAGATTAAAATTACTTTACTACTTTTATAACAAAATCGATGAGTGTGCCTACAAAGACAACAATATCGACATCTGAATGATGTAGTTTTGACCTTCACTGTAAGACATGAAAAACGAACACCTTTACTGAGGGGGAGGGGAGAGAACACAGCGGTTGATTGCAATTACCATAAATGGAGTTGATAATTTTGATTCGTCTGCGGTATTGCAGCAATTGAGTGTATAAGAGACATGAGATGAACACGATAGTTCTGGGGAATAAAAGGTAAACGATAACTAAACATTTCCAGAAGATTGTGCAAGATACCCCAAGCTTTGTGTTCAAAAACAACTGGAAGCACTTGACCTAGGGAAAAAACAAATTTCAGCTGCAAAGGAAGTCGGAAGCGAAGTTAACAACACACAAACATACAATTCATGCTTTCCATTAAACACACAAACAATAATAAATAATAAACAATATTATTTTTTGATTGAAACTCTATGGATCTGAAAAGACCAACGAAATGTCACTTTTGTTTAAACTTACTAAAAACATTTCTGATGCTGGGAATGTCATTTTCGGCCAACAAAGAGCTGTAAGTTTCCAACATTACATAGAATAACGTTGTGTTCGGATCTTTCTTTCCAATAATATTACTTATGTTGAACAGTAAACTGAAAAAAATGCATCAAAACAATATTTTTTCACAAAACTTGCGAGCAATCGGTAAAGTTCAACATATTTATAAATATCGTCAATAAAGACATTATTCAGGGAATGAAAGTAATGGACATTTGAAAAATAATTTACCGTCGCTTAGCAGGGTAAGAGATGACATCCAGTAGCTGTGTAGGAATTGAAGTTAAATGAGGGGGGGAATGGGCTTGATTTCCCATCTGTCCCTGATGTCGACCAAACCATAATTCTATTACAAAAGCTTGAGTGCTTATTGGATCTGAAGTCAAAAGAGAAATATAATTTACTTTGTAAGGTTTTAGTGAATCAAACAGATGGATAGATGTTCAGAATATCAGGTAAAAAACCAAATTAACTTTTTACCTTTTTCAGCAAGAGTTTTTAAATGCTCGCTAGCATTTAAAAGAAAGCAATATTATTGCTAGTGCGCGCGCTTGGTGCTTTATGCTGACTGGGCTTTAACATGTTGCTAAATAAAACAAAAAATACGACATTATTTCAACCCTTTATGTTACATTGTATTTAAATTTACAGTTTAAAAGGCAGACACGGTAATGATGAATAATAAAGATAATACTTATAGCTGAAGCTGAAACAGTCCATAATTTTACATTGAAGTTTTTTAGTTCGACAAGACATTCCGTAAATAAAACTTCAAGGGTGTTTTAATATGTACAAAAATGACAATCATACAAAGATTACAAACATCCTCTTGTTAAGAAGAATTCATATAACTGACCAAGTAGCAACGAAATTAACTTCACAAACTTTTGAAGTTCATGATTTTTGAGTGAAAGACCTTACTCTAAATGACTGCAAAGCTGACGAAGAGCTGCTGGTCTTGACATTCTTATGCTATGTCCCTGTGGTCTTGACATTTTTGTACTCTGTCCTTGTGCCTAAGAGAAAACACAATCTCTATGATATATAAAATGTTTGCAAGAGAGAAACGAATAGAGAGATAATACCTTATTGGATAAAACATGCCAAAGGCAGGGGACGGCCATTGTGTATATAAATGTCGGGTCACTGACTTCAGGGACGCTCAAAGGCTGGCGACAAAAATATAACGTTTGAATACGTTTAAAAAAAGGACAACGAGATGGATGATGACTAACCTTCGTGTCAGTGAAAAGAAACTCGATCAACTTTTTTAAAGGAATCAAGTCTTTTTGCTGAAAATAAATTCACAAGTCAAAACAGTCACGTTACCAACAAAATGAAGTTTTGATGTTTTAGGATTACCAAAAAAGATTTTAGTAAAACATAAAACAATGACACTCCGTATAAAGTAAATATTGTTCAATAAATATTGTTTACTTTATGCGGAATATAAATTGTTTTGTGTTTTGATGTATTATGGCTTTCAAAGCTCATTCACGCACATAGAAAAATTAGAAATCAAATTTAACAAAAAAACCCACCTCTAAATGCGAGTGTGCGTCACCCCATAGCTGTAGAATAAACCACATCAAATAATGACGTCCCTTGAAATATCTCAGTTCTTGCAGCTGAAATTTTAGAAGTCAAACATTTTGACTGTGAAGATAACTGCAACTAAGTTTGTCAAAACGTTAGTCAACATCAACAAGAACAGTCCTTCTCAGGACTATACTAAACTGGACGATCTACATCTACAAATATCTAGTCTCACAATTTAGTTATACACCTTAAGACAAACGACACAAGAACTTTCATCTATTCATTAGTAGGAACAAATCTTGAATAACATAAATGACGTCACAGACAACGTTTGAATGACCAATAATATCGCTAGAGTTAAAATGACGTCAACAATACTAAAAGTACAAATGTGACGTGTTTTCCTTATAAATACCTTATCGTACAACGACTTTATAATTGATGTGAAGTTGAGGAGATTAAGGCAGGCGTACGACATTGTGATGTTGCAAAGTCGTTTCCATAGCAACATAGCTGCTTCAACATTTACATCCTGTTCACATTTTTCCATGGCATTCACAATAAGATCATGAAATACATCATCCAGGATGCTACATCTTTCGCGTACCTGAAATGATTTTAAACTTCTGATAATCAAAGGCGAATGGTAATGAAAAGTTGGAAAGTTACGTTTAGAAAGAACATTCACGGTAAAGTTTAAAAACATGAACACCATGGCAAAATTTGTTCTGGGGTTGTACTTCCAAAATTTTAGAGAAATCTTGTTGTAAATATTACATCTCTTACATTTTTATTCAAACCAAGTAAAGTGCTGACGGTTTCTCTTGAATTGGGCTGATTTACAATGTTGCAAAGAAGTTTATATTGCCTTCCGGAGACATCCTTAAAATATTGAAATAAAAAATCATAGCATAATTACATGCTTTGCTCAAACAAGGAGCAAGCCAGACTACATAAGTAATGTCAGATTTAAGAGCAATACTCCACTTGCTTTGTCATAAGGTAGTTGTACTTTAAAATGAAATGTCAATTGTTTCTGGTCTAGTCTCCAAATGCATGAGTTCATTGAATGTAGAGAACTACAAGGTGAACCAATAATTGGGTAGAGATAACAGCGGCCTACGAACAAAGATAAAATTGTACATAAATTTACAATTTCAAAATTATTTTAATTAGGTCATTTACGTACAGGATACTGTGACCAGTTGTGCCAAAGGACGAAAACCATCAACAAAATCAGCTAAAACCTCTGATAATGCCTGTTGCAAATGTTCATTTCCATGAATTCATTTAAAAGCATAAGTTAAGGAGATTGAATAGTCCCTACCCAGTGTGGAGTTGTGTCATTTTCTGGAAATATCTTCAAAATCTGAAAAATGAACAATAACGTCAGTTCTCACAACAGGTTAAATGAATGCTTAACAGCAAGTCAAACAAAACTCAAACCTCATTAATGCAAAAATAAGCTGGAAGAAGACATGCATTACGATCCAAAACAAGACGAATCACCTGAAAGAAGCCAATTGAATTGAGTTTGAAAAATTAAGCTTTATTTATATAATTTATGCAAGTAAATATGCACCTTTAAAACTGCCTCAATTTGTGGAGAAACTGGAGCAGGCAATACATTGGGAATTTCTTTAGACTTCTCCAAAACCAACGTAAATATGTCACGACAACCCTTTTGAGGACAGCTTGATGGTGAAAATGGTTTCATGAACTAAAGAGGATCAATCCTTACGTACTGATACGTACCTTATAATCAATAGAATTCAAACTACTGTAAATAAGCTCGAAACTCAAACACCAGAACGTCTCATTTTGGAAGTTCAATTTCCCGTAGTTTAAAATAGCCTCACAGATCATTCTAAAGAAATACAATAAAAGTGAATGGTGTTTGTGAGATGTGTACATCTTACTTCAAATTTGTTGGTCTTACTTGGCTTTAACAATATCCTGCCTTATCATTCTTCTCAACAGATTGAACGAGGCTTTAACTTTTTCCGGATTTGATTGATCTTGAATTCTTTCCACCAGCTTCCCAGGATTTTAAATTTAGCGAAAGCGGCCTATTGAGATTGAACATTCAGCGCATTCGGCCATTAACAACAAATAAATTAATGGAAAGTTCGTTAAGTCGAGTACCACATCCTTTTTCTCTGTCTCCAGTAAGGAATTGATAGTTTTCCACAATTCTGTAAATGCCGAAAGGAACTTCTCATCTTTTTCGTTGTCATGCGTTTGGTCTCGTGCTATAAAGCTGAATAGTTTAATGAAATAAATGTTACTTCTTGATCAGACAAATGCCCATACGGACAAGCTATCTCTCAATAATGATTATTTCTTTCCTAAATGTAAGTTTGGAGATGTTTTATGCTTAACTTAGCAAAGAAATACATGGAAACACAATTGACTTCACCTGGAAAACACCAACTGAAACTCGTTGATTTTCTGTAAAAGAAATGAACACATGAGAACAGTTTGGTAAACATGAAAATCTATATTCATCAATACTCACAAAATACTCATTTACAAGCACATTGAACCGATTAATTTGAGCCTCCATCAACGTTTGTGGAATTTAAATGATTTAAAAGGCCTTCGTTTGAATTAGTGAGATAAAGCCGCCATTTTGTTTCATCAATAGTGATACTTTATTTAAGGAAAACAAAATGACAACAAGCAGAAACTTTCCTCGATAAACATAACAATAAATTTGCAAAGTTGCCAACAAAACATTTAATAAAAAACTTAATGTACTTCAATAGATCTTTGATTTAGTTGATCCGTTAATTAGCGGGATCGTTAATTTTCAATTATCGATTGAATATCTAAATCTGAAGTTTCATCTTCGTTAAGGTTTTAAACGTTTTCATTCTTTTCATCAGCATATCTTCCAGTAACATTTTCTTTCTCAAAGCAAGTGTTTACTTGAGTGACGTCAGAATTGACGTCAGCGTGGGCATCTCTTTTTTCTGGTGACACATTTTCTGACAACAAAGAGGATTTGCGGTGATTTACAGGAATTTTATCACTACAAACTTCTGCACATTCTTCATTTGGTTTTATGCTTTCAATCAATTCTTCATCTTTATTCTCTGGTATTTCACAGGTTTTGATTGCTCTTTCAAATACATCGTTTAAAATATCCTTCGCGGTCTTTATGTCATCAGATCCATTCAAATCCCGCTGAAATCAAAAAAATACATCGAGCACCCAAGCTATACCCTCAACATTAGAATATGCTGATGTTAAAAAATCAATAACGATGTACAATCCAAGTGGTCGATCTCAAAAAGACATTTGGTGATAAATAAAATTTGAAATTTTGCTCTCGAGCTGAAGTGCTTTTCAACTGAAACCTCCCTTACCTCAACGTACACAGCAGTAGATACATTAGTTATAATAATATTAATAAGAATAGTCAATATTGGTTTAAAGAATAACTTTAATATTAGCATATTAGCGGTTGATAACATGCGTACAATATACAATTTATTGTATGTCAAACAATAATATATATGTAGCATTGAATCAAAAAACAGAAACATGACTGTATTATATGTTAGAAGTATTTTATTGAAGTGTATGTAGCATTAACATGTGCAAATCTTTTCTTTAGAGTAACATGCATTGAAGAAGTATGTTAAATCTGCCTTTTTATATATAAATAGTGCCCAAGTGCCATAGTTTTGCAGAATAACGAAGCCAGCCAGCCCATTCATTTACTACTACCATTTAAATAGTTCAACGATTACACTAACATTGTTCTAATATTCTGAAGTTCCCACAGCAGAACTAAACTTATGGGCTGGCTACGAAACTCGTTATGTGTATTCATATTTTCACCTTAGCTTCGCCATTATCGTCGCTCTCTGGTTCTAGTTTGGAATCTGAAAAAAAAACGACTCCATAATTAATCACAGAATTTCAATGTTAGGATGTAGGTGATGGAACGAATGCCATAACGAATCTTAAGTCATGACATCAGATAATCACCAAGATTTCTTTAGGAAATGGCGCAGACCGATTGAGCTCACATACTTAATCACTCATCAGTGCATTACATTTCCTTCGACTAAAACAAATATAACAGTTAGCAGTTGTAGGAAATTTAAATATTTCTTACCGTGATACATATCCTTGTTGGTGTTTGAATCTATCGTCTGCAGGAAAGAAAAAAAGACGTTTATTTAATTGGGAATAAGCTGAGGTTGTAAAACATTTGTTCTGTTATGTGGAGCAAATTTTGATAAAAAGCAAAGTAATGGTTAGTGTAAACACAAGATCAACACGCACAATAACCCTCTCCGTCCCCCCCCCCTCTATACCTAAGGTAAACAACACTCACCTCAACTGTTGTATATAGATCTCTGCCTGTAACTTTTGCCAATTTCTCATCCACCAAAAGTTTATTAACAAAATTCGAGGCATCACTTTCCACATCATGAAGATAAATGAGATATTTCTCACGATGACGCGATCGAAATATTCCTTCCAATTTCTTTCCAGCACATACGTCGGACATTTTTTTGACTGCATCCGCTGACCATTCCTCATCGACAGGCTCAAGATCGACCAATGAGCAGTGTAAGGCTTGAGGAGGTAGACAGGTCACAAGCTGATGAGAAATCGATCTAAGCCGTGTCAGAGGAATGGTGACAATATTACCAAGGTCAATAAGTTTGACTACAATGTCACTGTCGTTCTCAGTCCTCTCAATAACGGCACGATGCCACTTTTCGTCTTCAGGCCATTGAGCGCAACATGGAGAGTTAGCAGGAAGAGGATTTTCTAATGTTTCACCAGTTTCATCAGAGTAAATGCCTTGAATTGTCTCCATCATGTGTGAATACTCCATTTCTGATCTCAAAAGTTGACAGAAGAAACTGGATGGCGTTTGAATAAACGATATCTTAACCTAGAAACAAAAGTGACAAAGTATGACATTTATTTATTGCAAACGTTTATAAGTTTAATTGATTTAAGCATTCAGATAAATACATATATGTACCGTGTAATCATATCATATCCTTACCTTGTGTATTTCTCCGTTTTGTATGTCTGGATGTGCGAATCGCGTTCCAGTATCGCTGCTATCATTGCGATCTGATCGACCAATAATTTCATTCGTCTCCTTTGATGAATTTCCTTCATGTGTTGTCATATAAAGACCAGTTTCCTCATTACTTCGGTTTGTTGTTGGTTCGTCACCTGTCGTACCATAGTTTGAAGTGGGAAGATCGTTGATCAACTTGTTCCTTACAATGGATAAATCATTTTCTTCTGGATATTCTTGTGATGTTTCAGTTGAAGCTGTTTTTTCGTTTCCCTTCTTAATAAATAAATGGAAGAATACGGAAATTTTTAAGCAAAATCAAACCACTTGCAACTTAAACAACACAGAAATGAACCAAATGTGCAAAAGTCATTAAACAATCACAAACATAAATCTTCCGAATTTTTATCAAATAAATACACAGAAAACTATCTCTATAAATTACCAAAACATCTTCACCATCAATGCGCGATGGCAGAACTTCATTATGACGTAATGTTTTATCATCAACCACAACATCATCATTCACAATGACACCAATGTCTTGAGAAGAATCTTTATCATCAACCACATCATCATTCACAATGACACCAAGGTCTTGAGAAGAACCTTTATCGTTTGCCTCATCTCGAGTTTTAATCTCGGATAGCAGCTGATCAATAGCATGACAAACAGCGCCAGCATCGTTCAACTCTTCCTCACTTCCTGGAGAACTTTTCTTGGACTCAATGTTGATGATTTCTGTTTTAGAATGTACTTCAGTTTCTAGCGGTGAAATCTTTTCAAGAATAATATGAGATGATTCAGAAGATACGATAGAATCATTGACCTTAGCAAGATCTTCAATGGCAGAATCCAAAGTTGGTGCCGTTTTTAGGGAAAGTTCATCGTGTATTTCAGTTTTTTTTGAACGTTCATCTGATGTTGGTTCAGTTAACTTATCTCTTGGTTCAACATCATCAACTTCTCCTGCATCAAGTTCTTCTGTTTCAATTGGAGGACGCTCATCTGTAATTGGTTCAGTCAACTCGTCATTCGATTCAACATCATCAACTTCTCCTGCATCAAGTTCTTCTGTTTCAATTGGAGGACGCTCATCTGTTACTGGTTCAGTTTTGTCTGGAAAGTTCATCAACTTCAGCTTTTTCTGTTCATCTGTTGTTGGCTCATCCGTAACTGGTTCAGTTAACTTGTCTCCTGATTCAACATCATCAACTTCTCCTGCATCAAGTTCTTCTGTTTCAATTGGAGGACGCTCATCTGTAACTGGTTCAGTTAACTTGTCTCCTGATTCAACATCATCAACTTCTGCTTTGTCAAGTTCTTCTGTTTCAATTGGAGGACGCTCATCTGTTATTGGTTCAGTCAACTCGTCATTCGATTCAACATCATCAACTTCTCCTGCATCAAGTTCTTCTGTTTCAATTGGAGGACGCTCATCCGTAGCTGGTTCAGTTAACTTGTCTCCCGATTCAACATCATCAACTTCTGCTTTATCATATTCTTCTGTTTCAATTGGAGAACGCTCATCCGTAACTTGTTCAGTTAACTTGTCTCCTGATTCAACATAATCAACTTCTCCTTCATCAAGTTCTTCTGTTACAATCGGAGGACGCTCATCTGTAACTGGTTCAGTTGTCGACTTGCCGTCTGATTCAGCAATATCAATTTCTCCTTTGTCAAGGTCTTCTGTTTCAATTGGAGGACGCTCATCTGTAACTGGTTCAGTAGACTTGTCTCCTGAATCAACATCATCAACTTGTGCTTTGTCAAGTTCTTCTGTTTCAATTGGAGGACGCTCATCTGCAACTTGTTCAGTAGACTTGTCTCCTGAATCAACATCATCTACTTCTGCTTTGTCAAGTTCTTCTGTTTCAATTGGAGGACGCTCATCTGTAACTGGTTCAGTAGACTTGTCTCCTGAATCAACATCATCAATTTCTGCTTTGTCAAGTTCTTCTGTTTCAATCGCAGTAAGCTCGTCAACGTTTTTAAGTTCATCTGTGCTTGTTAACAAATCACCTTGTACAGTATCCACTTGAGTCTTCCTTAAAATAAGATTCGCACAACGCAACTCGTCGAGCAATGAAACATTGGATTCGGCGTCTATTAAAGACATTTCCAATAAATTATCGCGCATTCCAAGAACTTTACCGATGTAACTTTTCTCAGAACACATGTCTTCCATCAAGGCGACCTTTTCCTCGGACCATTCATCAAGGGAATTGGAAAGTACACCGAACAGAGAAATGCAGATAGCTTGCTTTGGCAATTGAGCGAAATCAGTTTTTAAAAGCTTTATTCTTGTCAAGGGTAATGATTCGCTATTTCCATAATCTACAAAACGAACTGTGATGTTAGGAGTAGTTTCCAAAATCTCAGCACGATACCAAGAGTTATCTTCAGAGAACTGGGCACAAACAGCTGCACCAGCAACAGGTAGTTGGAGTGAAAACTCGTTTCCGTTTAATGAACTGTAAAATGCTCCAAGTTTTTCCATTAGATCAAGTAAGTCATCTTCAGAATCGGACAGCTGACACCAAATGTTTGCAGGCGACTCAGCTGACACAAAGAACAGATTAAGCTCATCTCCAATATTCACATGTATGTTTACGAAAGATACGTCTGCACGAGGATTGTTTGAAACTGATATGGGAGCAGGTGGCAAAGATTTTAAAGCAAATGATTTTTCAATAAGAAGTTCACTCAATGATTGTTCTTCTTCGTCAAGAGTTCCGTATATTGAACATGTAAAACCACCAAGTTTCTCTCTTCCTTTAACCACAGCAGAGAGCAATCTAAGAAATCATAAAATATTTTTTACTTACACAACATTAATGGTCAATCTTCCTCTCTTTTTAAGCTAAATTACAGGGGCCGGTTGCACGAAGCCAGGATAGCGTTATCCATTGGATAGGAAAAATTTTCAAACGACAAAGAAATTTCGTGATCTTCGAAACAATATTTTAATTCAGGGATTACTCAGTTCGAATGTTATATTTTTTGCTTCTTAAAAAGTTACAGAAAAGTTTAAAAAATATTGCTATACAATGGATAACGCTATCCAGGCTTCGTGTAACCGGCCCAAGATGATTATTGCACAAACCTTTCCGATGTGAATTCTTCAACGAATGTTACAGCATCGTCGCTCCATTCATCATCCTTTGCTTCAATATCTTCCAACACACAAAGAAAAGCTTGACAAGGTAAAAAGGAACTCGTCTTTAAGAACACGAATTCTTGATGTTGATAATACCTCTTCGTTACCATAATCCACGTAGCGAACACGCACACCTTAACATAAAATATTTTTTTGCTTTGTTATAAAGATATGAATGTTAACACGTTAGAAACTACTTTAAAAATTCCTACACAAAACCCTTTCATTGACAAACCTTCTGGTACAACTTCAACAATTTCAGCACGATACCAGCCATCATCTTCAAGAAATTGACCACAACAAGGCCCTCCGACGTCGTAATTGTGAGCAAGTAGTTCTTCGGGACCAAGGCTACCATATACTTCATCTAAGTGGTTCATAAGATCATTTAATTCCGCTTCATTGGTTGATAATTGACACCAAAGTTTCTTCGGCGATTCAATATGAGAACATGTAACATTCTTTTTATCGTCGATAATGAATTCATATACAACAAATTCATGGATTTCTTTGTTATTTTCAACGACTTTCGTTACTGACACATTTTCATGTTCCAAAACATGACTCAAAATATCCTCACCATCACAATACAGCTTCACCAACACACCATCGTCATTATTTGTGGAAATTTTACAAAGTAACTCATTTTCCGAAAACATTTCAAGAAGTTTACCAGCAGCATTTTCACACCATATCCCGTCAACTGTCGATAGATCGAAAGAGCAACAAAAACAAAACTCGGGCAAATTACAAAATCTTTCATTTATCGGAGCAAGTTCATCAAACAAAAGCCATTCTTTATTACCATGGTCAACATAAAAAACACTGACATTGTCCCCATCAACTTCTAATACCTAAACACAGAAAGACGAGATCACGAGTTAACAAACGATAAATCAAAGCTTTTGACTGTTTCCTAATGTCTACTGATAATACCGACGTATTTTATGATCGAGTTTACACTCCTAACGTTTACAAATACATTCACTTCACCTTGGCTCGGTACCAGGCCTCGTCTTCAGTAAAGCGAGCAAGGCAATAGTCTCCAACTTCGATTTCGTTCTTTGTCAATCGGATCTGAGGAGGATCGTTTGCTATATCGTCCATCAAAGTCTCCAAATCACTTAAACTACTACTTAATTGAAGTATCACATCTTTAGTAGCGGTTGCGCTGACAATGTATACAGGTAACTCGTCTGCAGGTTTTAAAATCGGTTTCGGAATACATTGTTTTCCATTGCTTGGGGTCTCATGAGATTCTTTACGAGGGTTCAACAATTCGTTAATTGGTTGCCCGTCATCTACCAAGGTTACCAGCCAAAAGTTGTCGCAGAATTCAACAAAAGTAGCCATTAGTGGTTTATCCATAACGGCCGTGACGAAAATCGAGTTCTGTTCCTGGGACCAAGGTCCGCCCGAAAGTCGGCAAGGTACAGCTTGACAAGGCAATGATGACATTTCAGCGGTTAGACGTCGTAGATCAGAAATATCAACCACATCCGGGTTTCCGTGGTCAACGAATCGAACCGTTGCCTTTTTATCGTCGACATCGACAGTAAGGATTTGAGCTCGGTACCAGACTCCATCTTCAGAAAACCGCGCACAGCAAAACATATTCTAAAGCATATATTTAGATGATGAACAACAATCCCATGTTGAGCCTTCAGTATCTAGTGGTTTTAAATTCGCTAAATCTCCATGATTTGATTGAAAAAGTCACGATAATCTTATAGAGACCATGAATTGCATGTATCACAAACTTAAAGCTAACGCTAAATAAACCAAGACGGGTCGACTAAAGAAATGGTGAAAAAATTTCTACCTCTTTCACATTGTCCAGTATGTAGTTATCACCATCAGGCCAATAATCATAGATTTCGGCAAATTCCGCAAGGCGTTCGAGCTCAGTCTCCGCTGTCGCAAGCTGAACAAAGAACTCGCGTGGACTGACCACGTGACTGGTGAAGACTTGGACAGTCGTTTTCTCAACCACAGGAAATGAGGATAAAGTTATTTGGGTTTCCTAATAAAATATTACGTGACAAAAATTGTTAACGTTCATAGTAAAACAAAACTTGTGGAAACATGTGAAAACCACACATAATCATTCCAACATAAGAAAACATGTGAAACCACACATAATCATTTTAACATGGGAAAATATGGGAAAATATGTGAAAACAACAAATAATCATTTCAACATAAGAAAACATGTGAAACCACACATAATCATTTTAACATGGGAAAATATGGGAAAATATGTGAAAACAACAAATAATCATTTCAACATAAGAAACCATGTGAAAACATGTGAAAACAACACATCATCATTTCAACATAAGAAAACATGTGAAACCACACATAATCATTTTAACATGAGAAAACATGTGAAAACAACACATAATCATTTCAACATGGGAAAACATGTGAAAACAACACATAATCATTTCAACATAAGAAAACATTAATGAAAAACCAATCAAGAACCAAAAATCAGGTGACTCAGATCGAGTCACCTGATTTTTCAGGTTCCTGAGACATTGCTTAAACCAGCAAAGTGCGAAATCTCTTCATTTAATTTCAAACACCACTGCGTTAAACATTCATAAGAAAACATGTGAAACATGTGAAAACAACACATAATCATTTCAACATAAGAAAACATGTGAAACAACACATCATCATTTCAACATGAGAAAACATGTGAAAACCACACATAATCATTTTAACATGAAAACATGTGAAAACAACACATAATCATTTCAACATGTGAAAACATGTGAAAACACACATAATCATTTCAACATGAGAAAACATGTGAAAACCACACATAATCATTTCAACATAAGAAACATGTGGAAACAACACATCATCATTTCACATGAAAACATGTGAAACACATAATCATTTTAACATGTGAAACATGTGAAAACCACACATAATCATTCCAACATAAGAAAACATGTGAAACAACACATAATCATTTTACATGTGAAAACATGTGAAAACAACACATAACCATTTCAACTGGTTAGAAACCTCATTAATAATACAATACCTGAGAGGATTTCAGATTTGAATCCTTTTCCCCATATCCATCAATGAACATATCGTTCAACAACCATCCCTCGTCATTCTTTGTGACATACACGTCACAAAGCGTCCCAGTTTCCAACTCGAGCTCATAAAAATCATCTTGCTCAACATCGACCTCACTTTGCTTTCTCGACATGAGATTCTTACGTGCAAGCCACGTGTATATACTTTCAGATTTGTCTTCAAGTATTACAGAAAGTGGTTCCTCGTCGCCCATCATTATTCTTGCTTTGAAGTCCTTCTCCACCACGTATCTCACGAAAGAGTAATGCGCGCGTGGAGTCCACGAGTAATGGTGTCCGTTATCATCAATAGAAGCCATACAACATATCAAACCTCTCATTGGTGGAAAACGTGACAATTCGTCATTCAAATAACGAACTCTTTTCCTATTTCAGATTTGGGGATGATTTCAGAATTACCGTAGTCGATGAACATAACTTCAATATCACCATCGTTTATATGTTTCGAGACAGAAGCTCGGTACCAGGTTTCATCCTCGGAATATAGAGCCGCAATGACGTCATCTACTTGCAAAGGTGTGGATACAAAGTCAGGAGCGGTTTCCTGCTGGTATGTATCGTACATCATGTCAGCTAATGTTTCTATATTGTTGTTGAACCGTGAGAGCTGACACACAAAGTTATCAAGAGACTCTGCACTCTCAACAAAAACATCCTCGACATCCTTCAACCCCAGTTTCGGTAGTGACGAAAGTTTGAGAAGGTTTCGTTGACCGCTAGCTTTTGTTGTTGAAGATTTTTTCACAAGTTCATCAAAGATTCTCACATTTTCTGTCCCACTTGTGTCAAATAAATCGACAATTAATGTCGTTTCGTCGCCATCTGAAAAAATAAAAAAACCACTCGATTGTAACAATGATAAATATATATATATATATAACTGTCGTCATTGTTGCCATGCTCACCTAGTGACTTAACTTCTGCTATCAAATGTTTCTCTAGTACCAGGCCCTCGAACATTTCGCACTCGGACTCACTCCACGTTTTTTCCTCGGCACCATACAAACGGCATCTCGCAGCTTGAACGGGTGTGCTGTAGAAGGCTGGGGCGAGAGTTTTTACGCTCGACAAATCAACAATTTCGCAATTTCCAAAATCGATGTAAAAAACGTTGATTTGGTTTGGCGAAGGGATGTCAAGAATTTGAGATCGATACCAACCATTGTCAACTACAAATAAATAAAAAAAATTTAATGATATTTGATCGAAAACTCCAGGTTTCAATCATTCACTATAAATACAGCAAGTGTACGTAGCTATAAAACACAAAAACTCACCAGGATATTTTGCCACACACGTCATTCCAATCACAGGATTCGTGATCATGTTATCTTCTGCAGTAAGATGAGAGTAAACGTCATCCAGTTCAGACATAATTTTCTCTAAAATATCTTTATTTTTCACCAGTTGAAGATAGAACAACATGGGACTTTCACAATGCGATGCACAAACATCCCACTGCGTACTTGGTTTCAAATTGTGAGCACTTGAAAAACCTACATAAATGAAGGAAAGAGAGTTCAGTGAAAACCTTGAAGCTTGGCTTCTCAATCAAGACAATGATGAAGTTCTTACTTTTGATAGTTTTATCGCCTGGTTCATTTTCGACATTTTCTTTGGATTTAAACAATCTTTCGCCATTCATGTCATGAACCTCAACTTCGTAAATATTGTTGTTCAGATTTAAAAGTTCAACCATCACCTCTAGACCTTCGTCAGCATCTTTTGCTTTCGTTATATCTGCAGTGGAACCGCTGACCAAGCTTGCTGTAAAGCCTTGCGCATTTAACTCGGCAAAACGAGGGAGCATGCGCTTTACCCTTGATTTGGGCAGTTTCTCAGTATTACCGTAATCAATATAAAGAACTTCGATAGATTGCTCGGAGACATTCGTAATAACGCCCGGTAAAATCCATCATCCACAGTGAACATAGCACAACAGAAGTCGCCGATCTTTGTTAAGCAGTTCTTCATCACCATCGCTCAGAGGGCGGTAGTATTCCTCAATATTATCCATTAGGTCATCCAACTGTTTTGAACTCTTTGCCAACTGACAGAAAAAATTTTGTGGTGTTGCGAAGGATATGATATAGACATGCTCTTTGTTGCCTTTTGTTAAAGAAGGTTCCTTTACTTGAACTGGGACTAAGTTGAATGAAAAAAATAAAGTGATATAATTTGTAATAGAAATAACATAAAGTTTCCATATTTCGTAAGCACAATGGTTATAAGACATTTCAAATAAACGACAATTTTTTTTAAAGCAAACATGTTTCGGCATACTTTATGCCATCTTCAGTGCGAAGTGAATAAATACAGGAAGTTTACATGATAATATGTTATAGTTATGAAGAATTATTTAAAATTAAATGAAGATATGATCTTCGCACTTTGCTGCACAATTGCGAAGATCATATCTTCATTTAATTTCAAACACCGCACTGCATATAACATTCTTTAATAATTATTTAGTTGAATGAGGTGATATAAAATGTTTGTGTTAGGTTTTATCACAAAAAAAAATTACAAAGAAAACGAAAAATATATGATAAGGTAGTGATAGCTATTTACAGGTCAAAGATAGTGTTAAGATGTTGTATTTGTTTGTTGATATAAAGGGCTTCTTTGGAGGGTTTAAAGAGTGAGCGGTGTCTAAGATAAGAAACAAGATTGTGTTTAATTGTTTTGCAGTGTGGTGACGAGTAAGTGTCTGAATATGTTTGAGTTTTTGTCCGTGGTTGTGCGTTCTTTAATCCGCGTGGAAAGATGGTGGTCTCAATGTAACTGGAATTACATCCAGCACAAGAAAATTCATAAACTACGTGGGATTTAAAAAATGGGAATAGGATCTTTGAAGTAAAGTGATTTTGATTTTAAAAAGATGAAAAGGCTACCGACAAGTTAGCCGTATTTGTTATCTGGTTCTTACGTCATTGTATGTGTGTACAGGAAATGTGTATTGTCATTGTTAATTAGTGTGAAGTGTAATGTTTTTAGTTGATCGTTTGTTTGTATTGTGAATAAGTCGTTTGTAAGGTGCCGGTAATTGCTGTTATCTGTTCAGGGTTTTTTCCAAGTTGGTATACCAACTTTCTAATGTAAGCCGTTGTCTATAGTCAGTACTGTAAGTAATGATTCGGTGATGTTCGGCATGTGATTAGTTTTGTCTTGTTTCTTAGTAGCTCGTTTGTGTTCAGTAAGTCAATTAGTAAAACTAATCACATTGCCGAACATCACCGAATCACAAAGCACAACATTGACTGGGACTCGGCAAATGCATTACTTACAGTAGTGACTATAGACAACGGCTTACTTTAGAAAGTTGGTATACCAACTTGGAACAAACCCCCCTGAACAGAACGCAGCAATTACCGGCACCTTACAAACGACTTATTCACAATACAAACAAACGATCAACTAAAAACATTACACTTCACACCAATTCACAATGACAATACACATTTCCTGTACACACAATACAATGACGTAAGAACCAGATAACAAATACGGCTAACTTGTCGGTAGCTTTTTCATCTTTTAAAATCAAAAATCACTTTAGCTTCAAAGATCCTATTCCCATTTTTTTAAAATCCCACGTGGTTTATGAATTTTCTTGTGCTGGATGCAATTCCAGTTACATTGGGGAGACCACCCGCTATCTTTCCACGCGGATTAAAGAACACACAACCACGGACAAAAACTCACACATATTCAGACACTTACTCTCGTCACCACACTGCAAAAACAATTATACACAATCCTGTTTCCGTATCTTCGACACCGATCAAGAAGCGTAAACCTAACCTCAACAAACACAAATACAACATCTTTACACTATCTTTGACCTGTAAATAGCTATTACTACCTTATCAGATATTTTTCATTTTCTTTGTAATTTTTTTTCTTTTTGTGATAAAACCTAACACAAACATTTTATATCACCTCGTTCAACTGTAAATAATTATTCATAACTAGTCGATATTTCCTCTTTATCACTACAACATATTATCATGTAACCTTCCTATATTTATTCACTTCGCACTGAAGATGGCATAAAGTATGCCGAAACATGTTTGCTTTAAAAAAATTTTTCGTTCATTTGAAATGTCTAATAACATAAAGCTAGTCAAAAATATTGTGCTTAAGATATTTAAGTACGATATGAAGCCTAAGAGTTCAATATAATTGGTCTCACATGTCATATTAGGCTTTCACAAGCATATTGAACTCCGAATTGATGATTCAATGAAAAGAAAGAAAATTAAAAATGACAATAAGAAAAAGTAACAAGTGAACAAAATACTATAAGTTCAGTTTACCACATGGTTTCTGCGAAAACAGCTTGGTTCCATCAGCCGAAAAAAGCTCGATATTGTAAACATTCTCCTTGATTTCTTTCACAATTTTAGCATCAAATTCCTTCTCCAATACGGAATCTTCAAAAGACGAAGCATCAATACCAGAAGGAACATCCATTCTTGCATGAAAACCTTGCGCTGGAAGAACTGTGAAATCGTCTAACAAAGACTTCACTCTAGACAAAGGTAATGTCTCCGTGTTTCCGTAGTCAAGGTAACATAGACGAACGTCATTTCCGGAATGATTTACAACTGTAGCACGATACCAACCGTCGTCTTCAGTAAACATTGCACAACAAGATTCACCTATCTACATACAAAAAAAATAACTGAGTTAAACATTTCGCTGCAACATTTTGTGTAAAAAATTGTTGATATTGTAGCAGTACTTGTGGCTCTGAATATTTTTCATCGCTTTCATTCAGTGGCCTGTAATGTTCTTCTATTTCATTCATCAAATCATCCAATTGAACGGAACTTCCTGTTGTTTGACAGAAGAAATCTTGTGAATTTGTGGCAGACGTTACATACACGGGAATTTTCTTCCCAACTTGAAGTTTTGTAATCTTTACTTTGCATGGTTTCTTTGAAGTTTTATCTAACGAAAGAAACATAGTTGAATAACACAATTGTTTTGAGCATATGTGTTACAGTATGACAATCTTCCATGAACATGTAAACATCTTTATACATCAATGGTAAACATGCAATCAAATTTTGCCTACCTTCTTTTGATTGATCTTCAAACAACAACTTTCCGTTTACATCGGCCAATTGAACGCAGTACCTTCCAATATCGTCTTGTTTAACAATCGTTGCTATCAGTTCTCTGTCGACAACACAGTTTTCAAAGTCTGGCGCGCTGCCACAATTTGAAGACAACATAGTTGCGTTGAAAGCCTGTTCTGGAAGGTGAACGAAGGAGCTGTCGAGACATTTAAGACGTGAAAATGGCAGTTCCTCAGAGTTTCCGTAATCAACATAACGTACAACAACAGCGTCGGATAAAACATCAGTGATAACAGCACGATAAAATCCATCATCAGCAGTGAACTGTGCGCAACAAGTGTCTCCAATTTTCGGATTAGTAAATCTTTCTTGGTCTTCGTTTAAATCGCGATAGTACGTTTCCATGTTGTTCATGATATCATCAAGTTGAGAAGCAGTGTTTGTAAATTGACAGTAGAAATCTCGCGGATCGTTCACGTAAGTGACATACACAGAAACATCGCTGCCAATGATGGCTTTAGCGGGTGCAATCTTAAGAACTTTCTTCGAAACAATTTCTGCTGGAATTCAAAGACGATTTCAAATATTTCGAAACAACAGCACACAAACTTATTCAAACACATGATTTTAAAAATTTCAATCACTAAACTAGAAAAAAATTGACTATCCCCAAAACCAGGTCAGATAAAATGGCGTTATAAGGTAGTTTGCAATTAAAAAAAAATTCCCTTTAGTTGTAGCCTGTGAGTTAAAACGTTTGTGATATAGCTGCAAAATGTGATACAACACAAGAAAGGCACTAAATTAATAATTTTAATGAAATACCGACCGTTATAACAATAAAAAAAAAACACTACACAAAACATATTTACCTTTCCCAGCCGCTTCTTTTCCATCATTTTCAATAAACAAGTTCATCATCTCGTTGATAACAACTGTTTCTCTCTCCGTGTTCAAAATCAACACCAAATATTTGCCATTATCTGTAAGATTCTCAATACGACAGACGAGTTCTTTACCGTCGACAAGGTCGTGAAACTGCTCGACATATTTGCTCTTATTCCTCTTCGACGATGAAATATTCACAAGGCCACATTCAATCGCTTGGACAGGTAATTGTAAAAACTCTTGACTCAGAACGGCTATGCTGTATAAAACAAGAACATTTAGAAATAAGCAATGAACTTCTACAAATAAATATTGGCATGTGAAATTTGGATATAATGGTTGTAACCTTTTTAAAGTTAACACTTCACAGTTCCCATAATCTACGTATTGAACTTTGAAGCGTTTATTAGTTAATTTCTGTAGAATCCTTCCACGATACCACATTTGATCTTCACTGAAACGCGCACAACAAGGAGAACCTGAATAAATAATGTCAAACAAACAGTTAAATAAGAAAGATGTTTTGATAAAATAAGACCAAAATTCATCGCTGCTTGCCTTCCTTCAATAAATCTAAGTCAGTACTTTTAGGTGGATTAACATCGTAATAATCTTGAAGATTAGTCATGAGATTTTCCATTTCCGTAGCAGAATCCGTAAGATGGCACCAAAATGTGTCGAGATTTTCAACATGAGTAACTTCAACATCTTTATAACCAGGAATTTCAATGGTCGGCATTTGATAACCTGTGATGTTTGTTCCCACAGTTACAACAAATTGTCCAATATTTGAGACAGCATAACCTTAAACAAAAAACAAAGACAAAGTATTAAAAATTATAGTTTTATAGAAAATAACACCAGATTCACGGTCAGATATTACAACATGAAATGAGATGGATGAAGGAATGATACTGGACAATAGATGGGAATTGATAGTTACATTTATGAAGAGAAAGCTTTTGAATACTTGTAGGGTGGTGATATATAGCTACGTAAGCTGGTGAGATAACAGGGAAACTCTTTAATGGGAAATTATAGCAATTACTCATGAAAAGTTTGTAAATGAAAGAAAATAGTTTTTGAGTAGGAGATTTTTGGAGAGTTTGTTGCTTTACCTGGAGTAAATTTTTGTATAATATAGGTGATGATGTGTGATGTTGTATGGTGGGTAGGCGATGGTGGTGTATAGGGGTAGATGATGGTATATTAGTGTAGATGGTGATTATGGGGGTAGGTGACAGTGTATGGTGGGTAGCTGATGATATATTGATGAAGTTGGTGAAGGGATATGAGGGTAGATGCTGGTATGTGGGAGGAGGTGATGGTGGTGTGTACCAGTAGATGATGGTATATTAGTGTGGATAGTGGTGATGTATGGGGATAGGTGACGCATGAGCAGGTTATGGTAAATGGTATAGTTGGAAGGTATAGGGAGGTGTATAAGGAGGATGTGGTGGTGTATGGGTAGGTGATGATATATTGGCGCATGGTGGTAGTATTGGTGTAGGTCAGGTATATTGGGGTAGGCATGTGGGATGCGTTGGTAATGCCAGAGGCACTTAAGAAAGATGATATTATTAAACAAAATAGATTTAGCAGAAACTTCACGTTATGTAAGCAATAGCAAGAGTGGCTTATGGAATTTTTCTCCCAATTGCTATAGTTCAAGTACACTGGTAAATTTAAAAGCTGAAGGGTAATGGAAATTTTATATCTTGCCTCAAAATGCTGGATGAAAGTTCATGGATCTGGATGGTAAAGTTTGGTGCTGGTGTAGGTAATGGTCACGGAGATCTGTTTTACTTTAAATAAAAATAAAAATATTTTCCATTCAATAAAGCCACTACCTTTCTGAATAAATTCTTTATTTATGCTATAACACTCTTCACCAATGGTCTGCATCAAAGCTACACCATAATGTTGACTGTCATTGTGGGATATGACTTCAATCATCATCTCTTTATCAACAACCACTTCTTGTAACTTTGTAATTGCCTCATCAGACCATGACACACCTCTAGGTTTTATACCGTACAATGAACAAGGAATTGCTTGCTGCGGTAAGGTGAGAAACTGAGCTTTTATTTCCTTGATTCTGGATGTAGATAGTCTTTCCATGTTGCCATAATCAACGTACAACACTTCAACTTCTCTTGATGAGAGATCCGTTTCGAGGATCAACGCCCTGTACCAACTGTCATCCTCGGAATATTTGGCACAACACATCTTTCCCACAAAGGGTAGATTAATCGTATCATCAATTTCTGATAGTTTTTCATAATATTTGCTTAATTCCTCCATCAGGTTATTTAGATCATCCATATTTTTTATCAATTGACAATAGAAATCCGAAGGAGATTCCGTATTTGTCACAACAACCAACTCTTTAGTGTGAGGCACAAGATTGATAACACCAAACGAGGACCTCCTTTGCTCATGTGGATTGAATTTCTTGTAGTTAGATAAATCTTTAACAGCAATTGCCATTTCTTTGCCTACCAAGAGTTGTGAAATGTTAACATTTTATCTTCTCCTGAAATATCAAACAAAAATATTTCAACAGCATTCTCTGTCACTTCAGTAAAACAACTAGCAAAATCTTTTTCTTCTATAAGATCTTTAAACATATGAACAACATCCTGTGGCCATTCATCACCACCATCTAAAGGTTGCACACCATAGAGCTTACACTCTAAAGCTTGCATTGGTAACTCAAGAAATCTTTCATCCAATTTCATTAAGCATGAGATACGTACACTTTCCGAGTTACCATAATCAACAAACTTAACGGTAACTTCACCAGACGAAGAAAGAGCTTCACTCGTGATAACAGCACGATACCAAGATTCATCTACAGAGTACTTGACACAGCATGGGTTACCTTGATGACAAGAGTCTAACTGATAAACACTCTCAGATGTTTCACTATAGGCGACTTCCAATTCTTCTTGTAATTTTGAGAGTGCCGTAGAATTTTTAAACAGGACGCAGTAAAATTTCCAAGGGCTTTCACAGTATGTAACATGAACATCTTCATAGCAGAATTTATTAAGGTCTAAGTACTTGTACTTACAAGTCGGTGTAGTTTGACGTTTCTCATTAAGTTCACCTGTATATTGAAGATAGCCTGCAGCAATTAAGGGTTCAACAACAAGCTTATTTAGATCTGTATTTTGAAAAATGTTAAGGACAACAACATTATTACTCTTTAATGCTATGGCTTGTGCAGCAAATGTTTGTTCTAAGACTAATTCTTCTAACTTTATCATCACTTCTGTCCCCCAATGGCCACAGACGGGTTTCACATTAGCAAGCTCACATTCAAACGCCTGTGGGGGTAAACTAAGAAAGCGTTCCGGGGAAGATGTTATATCTGAAGCGGCAACTATGTCAGTATTACCGTAATCAACAAAAAACACTTTAAAGCCAGTTTTTTGAACGCCTAAAATTTTACCACGATACCAAACACCGTCGATATATTTCGCTAAGCAGACATCTCCAACACTCAAAGATTGGGGGTTGGTATTACCGTCAATATTTTCTTCTGTATGGTTAGCAATATCATCCATGAGTTGTTCCAGTTTTGGACTATCTTCATTGCTAAGTTGAACGAAAATATTTCCCGTTTCTCTGTCCACGTGTGAGAGAAATATTTCAACAGTCTGGTCAAGTGGGAAGCGTTGCCACCACGCCATGACTATTTTCGCAGTGAAAATCTTACCAATATAGTCCGAAGTTACTTTTTGAGCTTCTTTAGTGCAACAAGGACTAAATCATCCTTGAAATGCAAGCGCGAATATGCTAAATTACCATGAAAAAGTGTGATGGTATTTTGTCTTGGGAGTTGCACGTACTTATCGTGTCACTTGATACCATACGCTAAAAGAAGAAAATGTGTAAAAAATATGGATATTTAATATTTTATATTTAAAATTATTTATATAAATATTTTTATAAAACGAGAGATATTTTGAACATATCCTTTTGTTGAAACTCTGTACCAGAACTACTAAATTGAAAATGGAAGTTCAATGGTCAGATGTTTATATATTTCTTTATTTCACTACAGGAATATACTGGTCAATAAAATTCATTTCTTATATCGTAGATATTATTTAAAATTTACACTACAAGACTTTTTTCCAGATTTTTTTTCCACAAAATTCATCTTCTTTATGGTGAATATCAAATCCAAAAAAAAACGACATAAAGTTTATATATTTCTTTATTTCAATACAGGAATATACTGGTCAATAAAATTCATTTCTTATATCATAGATATTATTTAAAATTTACACTACAAGACTTTTTTTCCAGATTTTTTTTCCACAAAATTCATCTTCTTTGTGTTGAATATCAAATCTAAAAAAAAAACGACATAAAATTTCTTACATCTTGAGAAGATAAAAATTTCTTCGTGCAAAGATGGAAAGTAATGACAATCTTTCCCAGCATTTAAGTTCTGAAAGATTTCATTCAAAATTCGAACTCGTTAAAAGACCTTCCCATTTTTTCTGTAGAAAAAAAAACTTTAATTACAGCATGAAAAGAAAATTTTTGACAAAAGAATCTTACCTTCGTGACAATTCCCGCAGCAATAGTCTTTCCACCATACCGTAGCATAAAACGACCAAGATTCCTACAATCTTTATACAACTCTACACAAACTGGTCGAGATAACTCCAGTTCAATATTTGCAGTTGAATTCTTCGTCAAACATCTGAAGTTGAAAAATTGTGACGGATTGAACATTTGTATAAAGATGTGTTTTGATGACTAATGATTGTTTATTGAAATTGATTATCTATCCTAAATTATTTTTTGTACTTCATACGTTTTACAATGAAGACAACATGACAAAATGACCATCTAAACATTTCTCATAGTTAAGAAGTGATTGACCAAATTAAAGACCTTGGTTTCTTCTGTATAATTTCACCAGTATTTTGTGAAGTACACTTATCAACCGTTTGATAATGGCAGGTTCGTTGATCGTTTGGAAGTGAAACACAACCTAAAAATAACGATGTTATAAGGTGCAAAAGATTAATGAGGTGATAGTGGGGGATAATGAAGGATATATGTACATACAGGAAATCCTCGTGTTAAGGGAACATCAATGTTAAAAACCATGATTCTCGCTCTAAGTTTCGTCACAGATTGTATGGGATTTGAAGGATCACAAAGGATACTGCCTACACTAAGATGTTAGAAGAAATAATTATAGATAAACATTAGAAAAATAAGATACAAGAAGATTTAAAATACGTTATGTTCACGATATCCACGCCATGTACAGTTAACGTCACGTGATCACCAGCTTGTGCCCATTCTCCCGGCTCTCCATGAACAGATATACTTTTAGCTTGACCTTGTACAGCAGCAGGCATCACCATAACTTTTGACCATTTTAACCTGACCACATTCAGCACGACCCATGATATTAACACCAGAGCCAGTACCTGAAGAAAGATACAATGCGCATTTCACACAGTCCAATTGAATTTCCTCAACGCAACTTCCGTGAACTTCTCAGTAAGTTTGAAAGCTTGAAATGTTCAAAATTTTACCTTTGAAAACATCTGAAACACATAAGCGAAAAGGTTTATCTAAGGGTCTTTCTGGGACGTTGAAGGAATCTGTAAAACACAGCAAGTAAACAATCTGTAAAACATTAGGATATAGCACTGAAACCAATGTTCTTTGAAGTAAAACAAAGAAATACAACATCGCTATGTATAGACAGTGAATACCTATTCCTTGAATGATACTTGGTCCTTTATACCAACTTATTAAAGACTTTTCTTGAGCAGGTTTGACTAAATTTTCACCAGTCAAACCACTACAGGGTACATAATTAACATCGCTTTCCTAAAAGACAACAACATCTAAACATCATCATCAACATGTGAATTTCATCGTCCAAAAGCACACCACGAGTACTTGAAACAATAGTGCTGGAGTCATGTTAGTCGACGATTGTAATAAACTTACTTTGAAGCCAACTTGTTTTAAAATTTCTTTAGTTTAGTGATAATTGTATTGTATCGTTCTTGGGACCATCCCACCTTCAAAACAAACGATAAAGAAATAACACAATCATACAATATTATCACCAAACGAAATACTCTTACAGTATGGAGCTTTGGACGACCTACCGTGTCTAGTTTATTAACAGCAACTAGTAACTGTGTAACACCAAGAGAGCGTATTAAAATAGCATGTTCTCTTGTCTGTCCACCCGCTTCAAAACCAGCTTCAAATTCTCCAGTTGATGAGGCAACAACAAGAACAGCAACGTCAGCCTAGAGTTGACGACGAAAACAGAAAAACTGAATAATTCACAGTGAAGCAAAGCAAGTTTAAAGGTTCACGCAACGGTTCTCTATACTCTACCTGCGCAGCACCAGAAATCATATTCGGAATGAAATCTTTATGTCCTGGTGCATCCATTAACGTGATTATTTTAGAGTCAGTTTCAATACGAGTTAACCCAACATCCATTGTTATACCACTGAAATATTTTGACAGCAAAACACGAGCATTTGTTATATTATTGACAGCCTGTGACTATTCAGGTGTAGTTACCGTTCTCTTTCTTCACCAGTCTCATCTAGTACCCATGCGTAGGCAAATGACGCCTTGCCTGCTTTCTTTGCATCTTGTTCATATCTTTGATGGAGTAAAAGAATGCTTAAAAAACATCATTAATATAATGACAGTTCAATTATCACTAATCATAACAATATCCACCCCTCTTTATCAACCAAACAATGATCATATATCATAACATCATTCCCTATCAATACTATGTATAAAGGATATTTGTGCATCGTTTTTTTAGACACGTCTCCTAATAAGTAGAGTACATGACCCATTAAAGTACTCTTTCCCGCATCTACGTGACCTGAAATGAATTCAAAAACATACATAAATAGTAAACTCAACCAATGTTCATATTAAAAAATCTAGAATACTATGTTCTTACCAATGACAACTAAATTAAGAAGTGTTTTTCCTTGTCGTACTTTTTTCTCTCTTTCAGCTACTTCTTTTTCTTTTTGACTATTTACTTTTGCAGACTTGGTTGATGAAGGGCTGACAGGTGACGGAATCCTCGCTTCCTCAACAGCCGATGTACATCTGCTGAAAACATGACGCATACAACAAAACTCGTCTAATTCAAGTATTTGACAATAAATAAGACACACGAAAAGATCAGAGATAGCTATATTAAGACAAATACCTCGCTTCGGTGGAATTTTTCGTCGATACAGTAGGAGATGGTGTGTTTACTTTTAAACTAGCATTCTCCATTCGATACTTCTCTTTTTTTGTTGGACTGTTTTGATGCCTAGAATCTGAACATACACAGTTGAAATCCCTTCTTTCAAATCCCTTACTATTTTTATCATAAAAAGATTTATGGAACCAGCTACATGGAATAATTCGAACATTCTAAAAATTTTTACATTCAATTTTAAGGTCGTTGTACAAAACATTAATAGAACATTATATTCAAAAAGAACAATTACCTAAAGTTAAAATTCCATTACCCTACATCAATTGCATTTAAAAATACGAAAGTCAGCAACATTGTGAAAACGTCGAAGTGTATGAAAATATTCTACATTCAACATTAATGATAACCTAAAGTTGTCCTGTGGTCGTTCGTTTTTTCTTTGACCATGCAAGCTTCTGTTTTTCCTTTACAATATCATCAGGTGAAGGAGTTTTGAAATCGAAGGGAATGATTTCCGATTCTTTAGTTTGAGTTATTGTATTTTCTACATTAGGTTGCCATTGATGACCTGGTTTCCTGTATTGGACAAATAACGTACAAGCAAACAAGCTTGGAGTTTGAAAAAAATCGAAGATAGCTTTGTTGGAGTCGAAATCCTCAAACTCATCTTCTTCAACATTTAAAGATCCTTCTTCATTTTCTTCCCTTTTTTCAAGATGGTTTTTGGAGGACATACGAATGGAACTCATAAAAGACTCTGGCGTCAAATTACTCTTTCTTTTGTTAAAACAAAGATCGATATTACCATCACCATTTTTACTTAGTAAATTTTCTGAAGACAATTTCGTTGCGTCTTTAAGATCACTCTTCGTTTCATTTAGCTTTAAAGATTTCAAGCCTTTTAAAGGAAGGCTAGCCATAAGTGAATGGTCGCTTTTACTGTTCATCAAACCAAGATCTTTCTTGTAGCTTTCTGTATCTTTTGGTAACAGGTTTCTTGCTTTAAGAAGTTGACTCAAACTCGAAGATCCGTCATGTGTTATATGAACTATAGGTGTTGAAGAACTATTTTTTTTGCCAGCTTCCATTAAAGACGTCAATGAAGGAGACGTTGATTTCTGAAAAGATGAATCCTTGTTTTTACTTAATAATTTACTAAGTGGTGTTATTGGCGCTACACTTGTATTTAACCTTCCAAAACCAGATTTAACCATTGATGGATGTTCATTAACCAGTTGTTGGAGTGGAGATGTTTGAAGCTTCACATCTTTGTCATCTGTCGTTCTTTTTCCCTTCATCAACAGACTCAATGGAGATAAACCATGTTTATTACAAGAATTTTCGGATAGATTTGTGATCTTTGAAACATTTGCTCCCTCTTTGTGTTGTTTGTTTGTGGCCATCAGCAAATTCAAAGGCGATGAGCTTTGTTTTGAGATATTTTGCGAACTGATTACGGTTGATGTACAAATTTCTGTTGAGTTCTTTTCCCTCTCCAAAACATCTTGAGGTTGCTTATTTTTTGCCAAATACAAGCTCAGTGGTGACTTTTTTGAATCTTTGATATTTGTAGAGCAAATAGGAATATCGGGGGTCAAAGTCAAAGGTAGCTTGCTTGAGTTATTAATTTTAGTAGATCTTACAGGAGATATTGATGCTAAGTTTTTTAAGGAGTTATCTGATTTTTCACATGATGTCATACTTTTTTTCATGTTAACCAAATTAATCAATGATGAAGATACTTCATGTAAGTCTTACCTTAAGATTGCCATGACACAGACGAGAAAAACAAACATAAAAGAGAAAAGAAGGCAGAAAGTTAGAGATACAAACAAGTTTTGAAGTATTTTTATAAAAAAAATGAAGAGTTTAGAAAATTAACTTTATGAGACTGAAAAACTTTTCAAACAAACACATCCTAGTATATCCTAGTGTATCCTGGTATATCCTAGTGTATCCTAGTATATCCTAGTGTATCCTAGTATATCCTAGTGTATCATTGTGTATCCTATAGTGTATCCTAGTGTATCCTAGTGTATCATTGTATACACTAGGGCATCCTACCTTTATCACTTCTTGAAACAGTGGGACTTCTCAAGACTTGATTTTCTTCAAAAAATTGAAAAATCATAAATGTTATATTGAACTGCTACATTCCATCATCTCTCTTTAACCACTCACCATTGTTCAATACATCATCTATCGCTCTTTCCAAATCAAAGTTGTGTTTTATAATTGCTGATTTTGCTTCATTTTCATCACAATGGTCTCCAAGAATTGAACGAAATTCATCCAAACATGACAGGAGTTTAACTAAAAAAAAGTACATGAAACCTGCTTTCTTTAACTGATAAAATTTTGAAACCACTAAACCAGATAATAAAGTAAATGGTTTGAAAGAAATTTTGACTCTAAAGATGACTACCGCTAAGGTTGTCGAAACGTCAGTCAACAACAACAAAACAGTCCTTCTCAGGACTTTACCAACCTGGATGACCATCATTTACAAACATGTAACCATGTAATCATGTCAACAAATACCACAAACATGTAAATAGGTAAAGTATGAAAACTATAACAAGGAAACCAAAGGATATGTAGATTATTAAAACTTTGATTAGGTTATAGGACAGGTTGGTTATAAAGGATAGGTTATAAAAACTATGATAAGGAAGCCTAATGATAAGTTATCAAAGATTTTTGGCATAATTCATCCATACTATGTCATATTGTAGAGATTTTACCTTCATCCTCTTTATTCAGTTTAGCTACTTCATAATCCCTCTGATCTTCTAGGTAATCTGGATTATCTCCATAATCCACATCATCATAATCCAATGATTCCTCCATAAATGATGAAAGATCAGCTTGCCTTGACTCCCCCCTGCGATACAGGAACTGTTGAGCTAATGAAAAGAAAACCAAACATATAAACAAATGAGATGTTTGAAGGTTTGGTTGATAAAACAAAAATTATTTGAAACTCACCAGTAGTTGGAGAGACACATAAATCATGTTCTTCGACTGAGTGACCGTAGACATCATCATACATCTCTAAAATGTGTAGTAAATATTTATCAAATGCTCTTACACTCTCAAGTCTGAAAAAGTTCTTCTATACAATTACAGCGACAAAAACACGAAATTAGGTGTATAAAGAGAAAAAGACATAAAGTTAACTATAGTATTAATTACATGTGCTATATGACTTTGGTTGTCATTAATTCCCTTCACAGTTCAAATTTTTCCATTATTTACAAGCAACGTTGAAAGGTCAAATGTTTTACAGCATGTTAACTTTATATTTTACCTTCTTCGTACGCATAATTTCTCACATTTCTATGTCTTGACATATTTTATACCATTACTATCTTCCTTTCATGATCATTGTGTTACGAAATAAAAGACAAAATGAAATATTTTCTTTCCAAAGCGCAAAAATATGTAAAAATTTCCAATCGACAGCCATTTTGTAATTCAACGTGTTTCCATCACGCAAAAGTTACGACCGTTCAGTTTAGAAGGACAAAAATATATCGTCACTTTAAAAACAACAGAAGCGAACTAAACATAAACCAAATTCATTTGTATACGTGCTATTTATTTTACGCATGCAAAATACATTAAAATAGTATCATTAAGTATAAAATTCCAAAAATGTTTACAACCATACGCGCAATGGTGAATCCTGAACTTTCGTTAATAAACGCGAAGGCACATTGTTGTATTGATTGATTACAATTACGTATGCATTAAATACATACATTAATTATCTAGAATTACATTACAAAATTTATGACGATTTATCGTACTATTACATTGATACATTCATAGTTATCACTACAACTAAAATGTTCATTGTATGTTTATTGTTTACGTATGAAAAATTATTACTAAAACAAAAGAATTAATCTTTTGACAAAAAAATTAAGGGAATTGATTGCAGTACATGTGGCACAAACTTGTTCAAACCTCATTACACCATCCCTACTCAAAAAAAAACCTCCGCTTTTTTCCTTGGTTAACTTGTTTGAACACAAATTATCGGAAAATTCATTGCTTACATTAAATGTCGAATTAAATGAAGTAACATTTACGAAAACAGTTTGTGTCACACACATACCACCTTTTAAAATATATCGTATTTTAAACTTTTACGTTCTGTTTAAAATACTTCGTCAAAAATTTTTTTGGCTATACATATGTCGATGGTAGAAAGACCTACACTCTACAATATTTGATATTTATTTCTTCTACCATCTAGAGAGACCATTCACACCACATGAGCAGCAAACACGAAACAAAATGAAAGTCTATTGACAAAAATGTCTGCCAACTAGAGTGTGTTTAAACTATGCAAATACCATTATAACAGATGAGAAAATATCGTGAATGCTGAATACATGTACTAAACAGGGTATTTAAAGACTAACATATGATAATATAATTCAATAGTAAAGGAGAAATTTCGAGGGTTTTCTACCACATTGCTTACAATCGCATCATTTTTTTCTATCTTATTTCTACACTTAATTTCTACGTGATTAAAGTATTTCGACTCATTAACGAAATCTAACAAATGATTATATATTTAAAGTGCTAAGTTAAAGTCAGTGAAATGTTGTTGCTTAATTTAGGCAGGTAATTTCTTCAAAATTCACTCGGTGAAACAATATGTACATAGACACAACCATCTTGTTAGCTGTCTTATACTGTTCACAGATCAAATGTAGACCACACTGAAGAACAAAAAATGTGTTTAGCAGTTGTTTTATTAACGATGGTCGGCGGTCCTGGGGAAATTTATAACAAATTAACAAAGAGAACGAAAAATATATTTATAAAAATGACATTTCGTCGTGATGACAAATCTGAAAATCGTTTTAAAGATCGCAAATACTATGGTGAATGGCAAAAGTAATGTTTCAAATATATTTATGGTATTTTGAAAGTAGAAATCAACAAAATCAATTTTTACTTTCTTTATCGTCCATCAAAAAATGATGTCCAGCTATCGAACTCCTCAACAGTAAAGAAATAAGAAAACTTACTCTTTCTTCTTTTCATCCTTGCCTTTATCGTCGCCTTTCTTCTCGTCTTTTTTCTCCACAGGTGCCAGTTTACTAATATCAATACTGGCGTATTCGGTTGGTGCAGGACGTTTTTGGGTAGGATCTCTTTTAGGAGCATCTTTGGGGTCAAGGGAGGAGTATAACTAAAGGAAAAACACTTAAAAAATGATGAAATTGAACAATGTATTTTGTAAATATAGAGGCTTTAAAGGGTCCAAAAAACCGACGAATGAAGATTACTTTAAGCCTTCACTGAAAGTTCAAGTAACTCGACCCAAGGAAAAGTTTTCCCTCACGATTCATTTTCAACATAGTAAACTCTGTTCGATTATATCCACTTGCAGGGACAAAAAAATTAACCAAGCATAAAATAACTAAGTTGTCAGCATAGTTGGAGGATTTGAAACTCCAAACTTTATAACTGTCTGTATCATCATTCAAAATTACATAAATCATTTAATCCTCGATAATCTGCATAATGTATTCAACATAGTCTTCAGTGAATAAAATACATGCACAAATCTTAATCCATATTTATGAAGAAGAAATGACAAAAATCCACAACAACAAACCGGATTCCCTTGTCTGTTTTCTCTATTGATAGATGCATATACAGGTGGTTTACTATCTGACGGCTTGGATTTACCAACAGGAAGATTCTTGTCTGTTCTATCATCCTTCACCGATTCATAATGACTCTCGTTGCTAACACCGGGTGCACCATCAAGTTCATAATTGTTATCTCCAACCACTGGTTTAACACTTATACCATCACTGGAACATCAACAACCATGATTATATGTATCATATAAATGATAAACTTAAAATAATAGCAAGTTTAGTAACTTAAAACCACAGTTTATAAAAAATTAGCCACGAATTTACGCAAATATATACGGCGTTATTATGCCATTTTGCATCGTTTTCAAGATGTCTCAGAGGGCACGCAAGGTATGGCGGTCTGAGATTGTAACCGTGCTGAAATTGTTTCGTACATGCGCATTGGCAAAATTTGCAACAGTTTTCGGTTAAAATAATCAAGCTGTGTTGAGATTGCGAGTTTTTTGTGACAGTTGAGCGTTCCTCTTTTAATCCTCTTTCACGTGAATATAACAAGAAATCAGCTGAGCTAAACTTTAATTATATTTGACTATTTTGGAGCGACCTACAAATTTTAAATTTAATCATCCTTCCTGACAGAGGTCTATACAGGCAAGTCGTACTTACTAAATTTTTAAAGCAATTGACAAATGAAACAATTCATACAAAGAAAACTATAATAAATAATACACTTACCGGTGTCTTTTTCCTATGATAAAAATAACACAAAAACAGATGCTCAATAATTTGAAAATAAACGACAATTTTAAAATGAAACATCACCTTGAAATCCCACACAATTTCACCAACCATGAAATGTTTTTTAATGGTTGAAAATAAACGACAATTTTAAAATGAAACATCACCTTGAAATCCCACACAATGTCACCAACCATGAAATGTTTTTTAATGGTTGAAAATAAACGACAATTTTAAAATGAAACATCACCTTGAAATCCCACACAATTTCACCAACCATGAAATGTTTTTAATGGTTGAAAATAAACGACAATTTTAAAATGAAACACCTTGAAATCCCACACAATGTCACCAACCATGAAATGTTTTTTAACGGTTAAATTTAATGGTAAACTTACTTTGCTTTGATTTACGATAGCAGAAAATGACAAGGAAAACTAGAATGGCGACAAGGAAAACCGCTCCAACAGCAATGCCAACAATCAGAGCAATATTTGGTCCATCATTATCCTCTTTGTCTAGAGTCGTAGGGCCAATAGAGTTATTGTTGCCATCATCTCTGCTTGTAGGAGTATTTTGGCCAACTTAAATAAAGAGTTGTGAACTTTGATAAATTTTATCGAACAGTCTTCTTGACGACCCCAAATTCAAACATTAATCATTAGTTTTTTTAAATAGGTCTAGCAAATAGTTTGAAATAGCCAGAATGAAACAATGCGATATGCAAAAAAAAAAATAAAATTCACAATACATACGAAGGTTAGTGTCAGGTCATACGTTAGAACTAATTGATAAATTAATAAAAAAGTTTAAAAAACAAATGGTGAGACACGCTCTCCATAAATGATTGTTCCACATTAAAGAATTAAAGAAAAAAACGTTACAAAAAAGTTACCGTTGTTAGTGGTAGTGGAACTAATTGATGACGTAAAGGTCACAGTAAACGTCATCGATGACGTAATTATTGACGGCGATAGACTGTGTGAGCTTGACATGGGAGCTAGCACAATGACAAAAATTGTTCACATGAGAATGATTCCAATATTGAAATTCCTTCAATATTGAAATGCGTGCCACCAAATCGTGAAAATTTGCTAGTTTGAAATTCCAGTCATTTAGCAATTCACGCCAAGTAATCTATTTAAAATTAATGAACTCTAGGCAATTTACTTTTCTAAACACTTTAATGATTATACTGGGGAATACAGATAAGTTAAACATATTTTTACTGATAGTCATTGAAGAATATATATACATAGAAAAAAATGTTATGGTTAATGCAGCATGCAGACATTGCCAGTCTTTGCTTTACCACACGAGCCAGTAAAAAGTTATGTAATCAGAGCAATCTTCGTTGTTTACTGAAATTTTATTGTTATAAGGGTAGTCAAGCGCATTCAAGACTATTGCTAATTATAATAAGATAAACATCGGTCTTTCACCTTTTGCTACCAAGAAAGTTCGTACATAATGCAAAATAAAAGTCCAACAAGTGATAAACTGAGGTTCTTAATTTTACCTTCGTTGACAGTGAGATTTTTAACCTCAGATAAATCAATGCCCAGTTCATTCTTTGCTTCACAACGATACAAACCAGCATCACTGAAGTTGACGGACTGAATGGTGTATGTTTTTTTATTGCTGACAACAGACGTGTTATCAGTACCAATGCGGGAAATGGTGTAGGTTGGTTCAGGATGCCCATCTGATTCACAGGATATTGTCACATTTTGATCTTTTCTGGCTGACATTGGACTGATGGTGATATTGGTTTGTCGTGGTCGATCTAAAAATAAAATTTAATATTCCACTGTCACGATATTTGCAAAAGTCGATAATGAAATATTGTATAGCTACACCAGCTGCCACAGTAACGTATTTGAAAAACTAAAACATCTATAGCAACAAAAGTATAAATATAGAAGTTGAAGACTTACATTGCACTACTATTTTAATAGATTTCTCATCTCTATAATCTTCACCATCATAACTTTGTACTTTACATGTGTAATTTCCATCATCATTCACTGCAACATTAGGGATTACTAATGTCTTACTTACAACTCCAACATAACCAATTATGTTGTTATCTTTATCAAACCATGTGACATTAGCAGGAGGGTTACCTCCTTCACCTTTACATACACATGACACACTATCACTTTCATTCACAACCACATGAGTTGAACAATTGTTAATAGTCACATTTGGTTTCACTGAAATTAAAAGCAGAAAACATTTATTACTTAAATTAGTCACAATCAAAAAATGAATATTGAGTGAATTAGTCAGTGTTAGGTGCATTTTTAAAAAATATTTCATCGGCAAAGTGTAATTTTTCTGATAACATAACAATTTTACTGATTACAATAATGCGAGAATTCGCAATGAATGCAAATGGCTTTGACTCAAAGATTTTTTATTGCGTTGCAATATTACTTAGATGGCCATATCAGGCTATCTGGAAGACAGAAACAGAGTTGGATAAAAAAATATTTGAGCCCACATGCATTTTTTAATTAATACATTTTCAATACACTTTCAACGAATAATTGTTCTATTTTTTTACCATTCCTGGTTTAAACTGCTTTCCTTTAGTTGCAATTATATGAAAAAAATCAATTAACTTCAATAGAACAATTTTACCACCTGTTATTGTCTTCTATCAGGGGGGGGGAACAACTTGTATTTATGGCAGTTGTTTTAATGATGAAAACTACAGCTTAGGACAATTAGTCATCGTCAAAATAAAGCCAATTTAAAAATGAGCTGCTTCTATCGACAAAGGACCCGATCATTAAGCCTATTAAATAGCGCCTTTTAGAGAAAAAGCATACTTATGACATTTCATGACTTAAGACATTTCATGTTTGTAAATGATGATCGTCCAGGTTAATAAAGTCCTGAGAAGGACTGTTTTTGTTGTTGTTGACTGACGTTTCGACAACCTTAGCGGTAGTCATCTTCAGAGTCAAGTTAAGACATTTCATGATTTAAGACATTGTGAACGGTCCTGAGTACCAGCACAGAGAGAACACAGTCCATAGATATCTAAAGCCAATTTCATGCCAACTATTTGACTTTGGATTGAGTAGATTGTTGGATGTTCAAACATGGACATGGTTCATCGTTAAATGGAAAACGGACGAAATTCGCATGGTTCTTTTTTTATATGGCACCAGAAATCCTCGGTCGATTAACAAATGCATGGCTTGAGACTGGTAAGTTTCCTTTACCATCTTCATTGTAAGAGTTGTCTCAAGATTCCCCAAAACCATCACTATGCTTCTGACCGTGTACTTGGTATGGTAAATAGAAGATTGCCATTTATTGAAGTCAACAAAGGTTCAGACAGTAGAAGTATCAACAGTGATGAAAGAACTTGATTGGCTGATTTCACTTACTGGGTCACACGAAGGTTTGCGTGCACAGTTGAATAAGGACAATCGGTAAAACGAATGAACACTGTAAAACGACGAGAGGAACATATAAAAATAATCGGTACAACAAAAACATTTCAACATAGGAATAATGGAGAACTTTATGATAGCAAAAAATGCTTTCGGTTTCGCGATTGGAATCCAAAAGACAAGACACCAAAAGAAATACTGGAGATATTATTGAAGTCAGCTGACTATTGAACAACATGCAAGATCATACCAAATTCTTTCTCATAACGTGGGCTTCCTATTGGATATTGTCGACTTACAGTCTGAAAATGATTACGCAGGCCAAAACTTGGGCTCAAGGAAAAAAAACGGTGTTCAATATTATTTGTGTATCTTTAAGGGACACCAAGGTGGTTTTGGCTGATGAGGTGGATGAAAGCTTCAAAAAATTGTACACAATAAATAGAAAATAGTACAAAAATAATTCTTCACCAGATATTATGACGATTGTTTCATACTTAAAAGGTAAAGTTCAATTGGTAACGCTTGGTAAGGCACAAGGTATTTTTAACACGTGAAAAGAAAAAGTCACGATGGGAAAAGGTTACTTTCGTTAGGTGTTTGATAAAATGCAAGCAGAGATTGCCATCGGATGAGTTCAAGGAAAGTGATCATAACTTCTTGAAAAGGATATTTCTTTCGAATAGATTTTCTAAGAAATTAATTACCTTTATCTACTAACAATAAAAAAAGAGAATGAAATTCTTTCGTGTGATGACGTCAGGGCGGCCATGTTGGTAGGCAACTTCAAAGAGTCTACGCTCAACACAACATAAAATCAATACAGATTCTTTTACCTATAGTAATTTTCTACCAACATGGCGAGCAGTGAAAACATTCCACAATCAAGAATTTGTTTTTCGCAAGCAATGTCATCTTTATAGTTTGGAAAAAAACATTTGGCCACACAACCCCAACCCCATTGGGCATTCTCCGTAGCAGCGTTTGCAACTGAATTTGAATTCAGGTCTTGAGTATTATCATCATCCAGGTTATCGATGTCGGGTGGCTCTTCCCGTGTCTTTCGTATGTACCTACGATGTCTTCTGTGTTCTGTTCCGTAGTCGCTTTTTACCATGTAGCTTCTGGGTGTTTGATGATTTCGTATCATCGTTTTGCGAGTCCATGGTCATACCGACTCTTGGCGAAATCTCACTCATTCACCTTCTTTTAGTTGTTGCGAAGCCTTGGCAGTGCAGTTATTGACGAGAAGTGTGAAATGTAGCTTGGTAGATAGGTTTGGGATACAGCTTACATTGTAAAGTAAGAATGGTTGATCAAAGCGGCTTGCGCAGGGCTCACACTGTCAATGGGGGGTGTTACGATAGTCTAACAGCGCGAGATATTCTTGTCGGTCTTGTCCATTCGCTTTGCATTTCTTGAGAATGTTTTTGAGTGTCTGAACTGTTTATCTCACGTAATCCACCTGAGTGTGGATAACTCGGACTTATGGTGTTATGTGTGAAAAGGTAGTCTAACGCAAGCTGTTTGCCTTCTTCCGATGAGTAATGAGGCTGACTATCGGATACTATCGTTTCCAGAATTCCATATCGACTAAATATGGACTTTGTCTTGTTGACAAAGGTTTTCTTTGGTGTTTCTTAATTGCCATTGGATTACGACGTCATCGTGATGATACTCAATTTCACTCAGAGGTTGGTTGCTATTCAGTTAAAAACAATGTTGGTAATTTTGTTGAATCTTAAAGTTTTAGAGTTAGAGCTGGTGATCAAACTTTGGAAAATCATTTGTTCGAATGTGGCAAGCATAAAAGAATATTGCCAAAACAAGCTAAAAAATCATCAATTGTATTGATCAGGTAATATCGACGAAGATAAAAAATAGATATTATTCTATCATTGAAGCTGAAGCTGCGATTCTTCTCAAAAAGAACAGTTGCCCCTTGTTCTGTCATTTGTTGATTCTTTAATGAATGCAATTTATACACTCACTGTTATAGTCATCATCGACTAAATTCATCTGTCTGTAACACTCTTTCTAACGTTGAAATTAATAACATGTTATCTGTTGTTTTTCAAGCTGCCAATTTTATCAACATATCACAGACACACAACATGCCCCTTGCTGAGCACGTTAAAAGTCAGATGTTCAGACCAAGAAGGCAAAACTGGTAAGTCTTTGTAAAACCAGATGGGTTGAGCGAGTTTACATTCTTAAAACGTTCGAACGTTTATCTCTTTAATCGACACTCTTCAGGACATGATAAACAATGAAAGCGACAAGGTAAAGCCTTGCTGCTGATGCTTCTTACTTACTTTTATTAGTCACTCAATTTCATTTTATTTTGCATTAGTTTTACCAGAAAGATTCTGGATGCTACTCTTCCAGTACGCAATTGTTACAGGGAAAAACTATTGATGTCATGGATGGTTTTCATTTGATAACCACTTTAAAGAATGATGTAGTCAACATGAGGAAGAGCATTGATTATTATCATTGATTTTTAACAACGGCGATTTAGCTCACTTTGTAACCCTACAAAAATTGACAGTTAAGGTATTCCAAAATGCGTGAAATTGCATTTCTCGTACCTTATGTTTCAAAATTTCCCAAGGGAGAATGTCAGACGTCCGCTGTTTTATGGCTGACGTTTGAAAAATTCTAGAACCGCCTCTGGTAGCCAATATACACTTCAACCCATGATTTCGTAATCAACCAATAACATGAGCCATACCACGCATGCACATGGTTTGAATTTCTTAGTCCCCTAACGTTGCAACCACTGGTCTAATTATTTTTCTACGTTTCTAACTGAATAGATGTATTGCTTTCATTAATTTTCAAATGAAAAATATAAATTTCTAAAACTGATAAGAATATAAAATAATAAAAAAAGGACGACTTACTTGCAACGAAAACTCTGACTTTAGATATAAAAGATGACGCACTGCCCCTTCTTGTTAATTGAAACTCATACGTTCCATCATAACTATGAGTGATATTTCTTAATCGCAGCGTTGAAGGTTTGTAGACGTCATAATTTGGAAGAATTGGATCATTAAAATTTACCAATGGCAAATCCAGAGAGACAGTGGCCAACAGTGTTGATTGTGAACCATTACTACCAGTAAAAGACCAATCTCTTCTGACCAAATCATTTAAATCGTCATCAAATCTCCAGGTTATATTGTGTGTTTCTCCAGGTAAAAATGTAAAACTTGTGTCAGGAGGAGGTGATAGAATTACTCCTATGATAAGAAATGAAAGATAAATGAATAAAAATAGGTACAAAGTGCGTACATATGGTTTTGAAATAATTTAAATGTTTTTTCAACGTACATAAAAATATACGAAAATTTATAAGAAACTTTACGAAAACATCTTTAGTGAAATCCCAAAGTTATTTCATTTCGTAATAACGAAAATAAGCAACATCCTCAAGAAATCTCTCCAATTTTAACGATGAATTCATTACTATTTTAAATGCAAACCATTTTTGAGATAATTACTATTTTTAACAATTGTCTTTCAAACGTTTACTGATAAATAAGATAGCATTGAAAATTATACAACTGTATTAAGCCTGTGTAGTTTTATTTTTACTCTTGTCTTCATAACATTTCGATAAGACTTAATTGCCCACGATTTGTTCTGATTGCGATTAATTTTAAACTTATGTTTAATCTTTGAACTCAGAAGGATTGCAAATAGGATGAGATAGCAAATATTTCATATTCGATAACAGAAATGCCAAATAAATAGACTTTAGTTATCATAAAAAGTGCCACAAGATTCTGCGTATTTTAGGGCCAATACGTTTTGTGCTGAACATCAACAATTGGCCTTACTGTCTAACAAAAATAAAACCTCCATTGTTTGCTGGTGACTCCATAACTTATCTAAAGGCCGCTTTAAATTCTAATTAGAAAACCTTTAGAAAACTTGGGGTTCCACTTGATCAAAATTTGTCTAGGAATTGTAACACTGATAATATTTGCAAAAAAAGTCACATTAGGGATTTATCTCGAAGGCTTATGTTAATACACTTATATCTGTACACAATGCAAAAGTTAGCCTTCACTTCAAAAATTGTTGCAAATTATGGGATATGACTAGTGTTTATAAAAAAAGTAAATGGAACTTTAAGAAATTGAATAAACTAACTGCCTCAGGAGGACACATTAGCTGAAATTTCAAGAATTTTTTACAGGTAGTTGAGGTGAGTAACAAAATAATTATCGAATTCAGTTTTGCATGATATCTACAATGATCGAAGCCTTGGTTTGCATTTATGCCTGCCTACGATTGATAAAAACAACCTCTCCCTGAAACAAACTTTGCCTAGATAATTCTAAATATCATGCACAACCTCACCAAATAATTACTTAATGTATGACAGCTATGTGCATGTTTTACATATAATTTGTTACTATCACAAAAGCTTTTCTGCTCCTAGAAAGTTCAAATAACCTCTAAAAGCAAAATATGCACAGTAATGCACCAGTGGGATTAGAAAAGTAATCAGGAAATTTAAATCTCATATTAGGGCAAAACTTATAATTTTCAACAGAGTGGCAATTTGGTGTTTCTTTGAAGTTTGCAAATTGAAAAACAACATGCTACAATGATTACAAGCCTGTCACTAACTATAGAAGCAATGATTAATAACATATATAATTAGGGAAACTCTTCGAAGCTTTCAAATTATGTAAATAGTTTACTGTAAAAAACTAGCGATGGAAAGGATAATGCAAATTGCAAAGGAGCTTTGGCCTATTTTGCCTTCTGAAAGTTTGTTCAACTCCAGCAAAACTTTGTCAGAAGTTGTTCATGATGCAAAATACTGTCAGACTTTGGTAAAAATATTAAATCAAAACATTTTTGTATCAACGAATGATAACTATCTGCTAAAATTGAAGAACTTGCATGAAAATGAAACATTTTATGCATGACACAACATGATGCTAGATTTCGTTCACACATGCCAATTTCTGATTGAAAGTCGGAGTGCAGAAATTTAACTTTACGTATAAATACTTTACACCTTAAAATGTTAAACAGTGACTTGCGAAATAAACCAGCTACAGCTAGTGATTCAAGTTAGAAACCGGAGTTCAGAATTGACAAAAAGAGGCCAGAGCCGGAGCTGAAAAACTGGGGTTTCCACAGCACTAAGAAGAGAGTAAAAACAACACACAGCACATATTTGAAGGTTATTAATAAACAAAACTTATAAGCCTAAGTATTATTTTTAAGAATTCTTACCATCACAAGGAAGAAAGAATGCCATACACCAAAGGTAAGTTGATATCATAAAGGGGACATTTATGCTCATTGTTAACAACATCGATATCTATGAAAGAAAAAGAGGCCAGTAAATATGGGAAGCGTTGCAATTTTACTTGTTAATATGCATGAAAATGTTTGCACAACAATTGAGAATAATAACATCACACAAATCCCAACATTGTTCCCAATTACCAATGTTGAAAGCAAAAACAAAAGAGGCAAAATACAGGCCAATTTAGTGAATTATGAAAACATCAATGGTGATAATTATGAGCCATACTAGAAAGTTTGTATTGCACACCCAAGATCATAAATTTTGAAAAATTTTAAGGCTTTACATGATCCTGAATTTGACTTGTGTTTTCAATTGTTTCTATAAATAGCTTCATTTCATCAGCAAATAAGCTTAAAAAACGTTATTTCTAGGTTCTCAGACAATATAAAAGTTTTTTGTTTTTATAAGAAAGTAAACATAGGCAGAGAAACATTGCATTTGTTTTAAGTCACGTGCCTCTAAATGAACCAATCACATTACCCATACAGAATACCAATATAGCAATAATAAATATCGGCTTATTACTTAAACTTTTATAACTTCATGGGCGTAGGATTATAGCTTTGTAGAGATTTCGTGTCGAAAACCTTACTCAATGCTATTATTCTCGGGGCTATGATGTTATCTACATGGCAAAACTCCTCACCAAAACTCTAGAAACGACAATAACGCATTAACGATATGTGATTATATGTCAACTACTTCCATTGGTTATTTATGTAATAGTAAAGAGCTTTGAATCTTATCATATTTTTTCATTTTTAAGTAAACAATAATATTAAACTATATTCTTATTAAAACTGTTGCCTCATGTTCAACGTTAAAGATCCTGAAGCAGCCAATTACATAGTTCCGTGAAAATTACACAACAAATTTAAAGCGTATAAAACGAAATTTCCATCAGTAATCTACAACTGAACACTTCACATCTAAAAATGAAATGATTTTTAACTTACCAAAACGTCTAGGCTTTTGCTTTAGCATTAAACGGTTGAAGTTATTCAACTTCCTGGTTTAAAAATTCTTCTATTCGTCTTCTTTGCGTCGTCACGTCACTCAGTTGTGAGTTAGCCTCAGTTAGGTGTGTTTGTGTACATTTATGTATATTTTGAGTCGGGGTGGGGTGGGATGTCGGCGGAAGTAGACCTGCAGACCTTGACAAAACAAGAATCAATTTTGATTGGTTAATAAAAGGATACATAAAACAATTAAATAAAATGTGAATAAAACATTTTGATGAAAATATATGAATGTTAATTAAGTTATGATATACAGAAATGAAAAATTCAGACAGGTAATGTACATATAGTTATTTGAATTTCCTTTGCAAAAACAATCAAAAGGTTTAATTTCATAACGTCCCACCAGCCTCACTGCTAACAACTCGATTTTTAACTTGTTAAAGCAGGAGAGAAGAAAACAAGAAAAACAAAAACCAGGAACGAAAAAAGGGAGACTCTTTACAACCAGAAACGAGGACAGTTGGAGTCCGGAAGTCACGTCAAATTTTGTTTCTGCTTTGAAAATTGCCGTTAGTTTTGTACAGTGAAAATGCCCGTTTCTTTTTTTAAATGCGATGAAAGTAACCTTTTATTGAAAAATTACGTTCTATGTGATATGACTGGAACCTTTGCCTTCGTTGTAGAAGTGAGTTTAAAAAAATATTATGGATGGTACGTACTTGAAGCTATAGGCCGCCATAAATAAATGATTAATAAGCGTTACTTTCTATAAATTTGCATCTCTTCCACAACTATAAAATAGACTACGTCAAATTCAAACCCAATATGTTTCCCGATTTGCTACTGAAGTTTTAATTGAAGTTGTAATTTGGGCTCAAAACTGTTAAATTTATGGGATTCCGGTCGTAACATTTCTCCATACCATCTCAAGAGATAGGTTGAGTTTAACCTAGGTGAATCTTGGGTAGGTTGTGTTTACACGCAAAAAATAAACATGGGTTAATTTTAACCAGGGTTAAACCCAGGATAGTTTATGTCGTGTGAACATGGCTTTAGTGGGTTGCATGTAACGGATAATTATCAATCGCTGAGGATAGATAATTATCATGGCCGCCAAATTGGTTGAATTCAACGAAGGATTTTTCTCGTTTACAATTAAAATTTCCATCAAGATGGCGAATATCTCTTTCTCCGTAAACTTTCAAAGTCCTTGGGAAATGGTTGCTTATTGGAACCACTAATAAAGACAAAAATCAAAAAAAGTTTCCAAATTTTATAACATTGCTAATTGTTTATTCATTTGTGAGGTGCACTTTGTAGTTGATGAGTTGCAATTAAAACATTATTTGGTGTTAAAAAGGAAAGCGGAAAATTTAACATGGAATACCAAGAACAAGAATTTGGGATGATATATTCTAGAAAGTATTGCCAAACGTACTGTTTGATAATTAATACTTAAACAGTTAAACTTAATACAACCATTACTAAAAAGATAATGTGAGATTTACCACAAACTTTATGCAGACCTAAACGTTTAAAACAATAATAGCTCGCACAGTCACCATTTCAATTAGGCTCGTGATGCACGAAGTAAAATTTATTCATTTCTTGTATCAACTGAATTTATCATTTTCTCTCAACGACTGATAACTGTCTTCGTTATTCATTTTTGATAAATTTAGTTCTTGATAAGTTTTATCAACTGTTTCATCTTTTGGCCTCAGCGATTGATAATTATCTTCTTTATTCATTTTTGATAAATCCAATTCTTGATAAGTTGAATCAACTGTGTTTACTCTACCTTTAGCATTGCTCGACAGCTGCTTTCGTTTCTTATTCACCCACCGTTGACGATATCGCAAAAAGAACAAGGATGTAATAACAATGCCGACAATAATTCCAGAAATCAAGGTTGCCAATATAATGTACCATTTCGTTTTTGTCTCTTTTATTTTCATTGTTTTACAGTTATCAATGTTTCTTGAAGTAGAAGTTAAGTTACCTAAAAGAAAAAGAAGCTTTTTAGAATGACTATAAAGCCAGTTGAGAAGGGGATGACTATGATGTAAAGAGTATAATATGTATAAACATAGCCTCAAAAGTTTAAATAGGACGAAAAATAGGGAGAATTTAAATGAGGAGGAATAAAAAGTTTAGCAATAAACTGCATGTGTCCAATCCACTATTAACTCGTGGGAGTACCTAGAAAATTATAACTTCTTTTATTAAAGATACCTTTGAGATTGTTGTTAATAGAAGTTGACGTTGAAGTAAAAATGGCCTTGATCGACTGATGGAACTGGATAACTCCAATACTACACAAAAAACACGAACCATTAGCTTGGTCTTACCTTATACTTAATTCGATTTCAGTTAAGAAATAAAAGATGTTTACTGTGTTTGCACAGGCTTATGAAAACCAAGGAGACCTTTGGGAGAACTCGAGAGCAGATCAGTGCAAGCCCGAGACCGAAGGTCGAGTCAAGTCTTCCAGAATCGTTAGAAAAATAATATTTGGAAAATATTTCATATCTCATACATGTCAGAAAACTGAAAGAGATGTTGTTAACGGTATAGTATTTATAGCAAAATAGTTTTTAGTGAAAATTATAATGAAATAACAGGTAAAATTTTTGAGAAATTTCGAAGGCTTCTCTTTCCCAGATGTGACCACAGTCACGTAATGTAAAATCTAAGCAAGGGCGTGACGTAAATCAAAAAGGGTTAGACAGTTGTTGAGTCTTTTGATCGAACATTAAGCAAAAAGCACATCTCGGACAAGCTTAGTGTAAACAATTTTATAATATTATTGAAAATGCATTCATTAAATATTTATCTACTTCATTTTATAACCATAGTAAACAGCTGGCCTACCCACATGTACGCTTTCTGTCCTATTTTTATTTCTATTTATATTTCACATTCATACATGTATAATCTTTATGTGGATAACTCTCTGCTCTTACTTTCTTAGCAAATTTTACCTTTGATGACAGTGAGATTTTGAAGATGAGATAAATCATTTCCCAGTTTATTTTTTGCTTCACAACGATATGAACCAGCGTGATTGAAGTTGATGGGATGAATGATGTATGTCTTATTATTACTGACAACAGCATCATTATGATAAATGGTGTAGGTTGGTTCAGGATAACCATCTGATACGCAGGTTATAATCACACTTTCACCAATTTTTGGATTTATTTTTGATAGGGTTATGGTCGTATTTCTTGGTTGATCTAAAATTTAAAATTCAAAATTCTACGTATTTGACAATTTGAAAACCTTATTGCAAAAGTACTAAATACATAAGTTCGCAACTTACAATTCACTTTTATTTCAATGGATTTTTCGTCAATGAAACGTGGATCATTAAAACTTTCAGCTTTACATCTGTAACTTCCACGATCATTTGGTGAGGCACCAGTGATTACTAAAGTCGCACTTTTAACTCCAAATTCAAGACCTGTTCCGTTATTTCTATCAAACCATGTAACTTTAGCAGGAGGGTTACCTCCTTCACCTCTACATACACATGACACATTATCACCTTTACTCACAACCAGAGGAGTTGAACAATTAATCACCACTGTAGGTTTTACTGTAAACAAAAGCAAAAAAATTTCACTAATTATGATAAAGATAATGGATGCTGAAACAATCTTCTCCTTAATATAATGAAAAAATAAAGTCTAAGGGATTTTTCTGAAATTGCAAGGCTTTAATAAACTTCCAACTAATAGCTGAAAATAGCAAATATTTCTGTCACAATTAATGCAACGCAATAAGAAGTCCTACGTTTTTATTGCCAATTTTGTGGTAAGAACTGCGCTGACGCATGTTATGTAAAATAAGCTTCTCTATCGAAAAACTATATCTACTTTAAAGTAGCAATCCAGAGATACAGCAAAGTTTCAAACATCTTCTGTCTTTTTAACTTGCGGTTTGAGTCAACATTAAACATGTTTTATACATGTCTGATTAAGTAATTCATGTTTTCTAAAATTAATCTCCTCTATCTCCTTTTATTTCGCGAAACACAAAAGAAGCACCCATTTCCCGTAAGCTTCACGACAAAAAATGCTCTCCAAATGGTGCGTTGCCAAAGGTCGGTAGATATGAACTTTTTGATGCTTTAACATGTAAGCAAGTAAACAATGAGAAATCAGAAGTTTGATAATATATCCGCTGTCCATACACACTTTTAGTAGGAATACATCACAACTCATTGATCGATACACATCCTGTAGAGGAAGATCTTGGTGGAGATGATAATGACATCCGCGTGGCCACAAAAGACCTGCCATTGCATTCTTGTATGTTTTTAGTCAATAGCATTTTGAAACGTCTGAAATCAAGTGGATTGAAAGAGCAAGAAATAAGAAGTCCAGCGTCTTTAATATCGAACACATTTACAAATCTTTAAGACTGGTAAGTGACCTTTACCATCTACACTATAAGAGTTGTCTCAAGATTCACAAAAACCATCACTATGCTTCTGACCGTGTACTTGGTATGGTAAATAGAAGATTGCCATTTATTGAAATCAACAAAGTTTCAGACAGTGGAAGTGTCTACAGTGATAAAATGAATGAACACTGTAAAACGACGAGCGGAGCATATATAAATAATCAGTAAAACAAAAACATTTCAACATAGGAATAGTGGAGAACTTCATGATAGCAAAAAATTGCTTTCGGTTCTCGATTGGAACCCAAAAGACAAGACACCAAAAGAAATACTGAAGACATTATTAAAGTCAGCTGATTATTGAACAACATCAAGCTCATACCAAATTGTTTCTCATAACGTGGGCTTCCTATTGGATATTGTCGACTTAGAGTCTGAAAATGACTACGCAGACCAAGACTTGGGCTCAAGAAAAAGAATGGCGTTCAACATTATTTGTGTATCTTTATGGGACACCAAGATGGTTTTGGCTGATGAGGTGGATGAAAGCTTCAAAAAATTGTACACAATAAATAGAAAATAGTACAAAAATAATTCTTCACCAGATATTATGACGATTGTTTCATACTTAAAAGGTAAAGTTCAATTGGTAACGCTTGGTAAGGCACAAGGTATTTTTAACACGTGAAAAGAAAAAGTCACGATGGGAAAAGGTTACTTTCGTTAGGTGTTTGATAAAATGCAAGCAGACATTGCCATCGGATGAGTTCAAGGAAAGTGATCATAACTTCTAGAAAAGGATATTTCTTTTGAAGAGATTTCCTAAGAAACTATTAAGAAAATTTCTTTTATCTACTAACGATGAAAAAAGAGAATGAAGCTCTTTCGTATGACGACGTCAAAGCGGCCATGTTGGTAGGCAACTTCAAAGGGCCTACGCTCAACACAACATAAAATCAATACAGATTCTTTTACTTATAGGAGATTTTCTACCAACATGGAGAGCAGTGAAAACATTCCATAACCAAGAATTTGTTTTCGCAAGCAATGTCATCTTTATAGTTTGAAGAAAACCATTCTGCCACACAATCCCAACCCCATTGAGCATTCTCTGTAGCATCATTTGCAGCTGAATCTGAATTTAGGTCTTGAGTATTATCATCATTCAAGTTGTCTAGGTGGGTGGTTCTTCCCGTGTCTTTCGTATGTATCTACGATTTCTTCTGTGTTGCGTTCCGTAGTCGCTTTTTACCATGTAGCTTCTGGGTGTTTGATGCTTTCGTATCATCGTTTCGCGAGTCCATGGTCATACCGAGTCTTGGCGAAATCTCACTCATTCACCTTCTTTCAGTTGTTGCGAAGCCTTGGCAGTGCAGTTATTGACGAACAGTGTGAAATGTAGCTTGGTAGATAGGTTTGGGATACAGCTTACATTGTAAAGTAGGAATGGTTGATCAAAGCGGCTTGCGCAGGGCTCACACTGTCAATGGGGGGTGTTACGATAGTCTAACAGCGCGAGATATTCTTGTCGGTCTTGTCCATTCGCTTTGCATTTCTTGAGAATGTTTTTGAGTGTCTGAACTGTTTATCTCACGTAATCCACCTGAGTGTGGATAACTCGGACTTATGGTGTTATGTGTGAAAAGGTAGTCTAACGCAAGCTGTTTGCATTCTTCCGATGAGTAATGAGGCTGACTATCGGATACTATCGTTTCCAGAATTCCATATCGACTAAATATGGACTTTGTCTTGTTGACAAAGTTTTTCTTTGGTGTTTCTTAATTGCCATTGGATTACAACGTCATCGTGATGATATTCAATTTCACTCAGAGGTTGGTTGCTATTCAGTTAAAAACAATGTTGGTAATTTTGTTGAATCTTAAAATTTTAGAGTTAGAGCTGGTGATCAAACTTTGGAAAATCATTTGTTCGAATGTGGCAAGCATAAAAGAATATTGCCAGGACAAGCAAAAAAATCATCAATTGTATTGATCAGGTAATTCGACGGAGATAAAAACGGATATTATTCTATCATTGCAGATGAAGCTAAGATTCGTCACAAAAAACAGTTGCCCTTTGTTCAACGATTTGTTGATTCTTTAATGAATGCAATTTATACACCCACTGTTATAGTCATCGAGTAAATTCATCTGTCTGTAACACTCTTTCTAACGTTGAAATTAATAACATGTTATCTGTTGTTTCTCAAGCTGCCAATTTTATCAACATATCACAGATACGCAACATGCCCCTTGCAGAGCACGTGAACAAGTTAGATGTTCAGACAAAGAAGGCAAAACTGGTAAGTCTTTGTAAAACCAGATGGGTTGAGCGAGTTGGCATTCTTAAAAAGTTCGAAAGTTTATGTAAGCGACGAGGTAAGGCCTTCCCTTGCTGCTGATGCTTCTTACTTACTTTCATTAGTCACTCAATTTCATTTTATTGTTGCGCTAGTTTTTACCAGAAAGATTCTGGATGCTACTCTTCCAGTACGCAATTGTTGCAGGGAAAAACTATTGATGTTATGGATGGTTTCTATTTGATAACCACTTTGAAGAATGATGTAGTCAACATGAGGAAGAGCATTGATTATTATCATTGATTTTTAACAACGGCGATTTCGCTCACTTTGTATCCCTGCAAAAATTGACAGTTAAGGTATTCCAAAATGCTTGAAATCGCATTTCTAGCACCTTATGTTTCAAAATTTCCCAAGGGAGGATTTCCGGCGTCTGCTGTTTTATGGCTGACGTTTGAAAAATTACAGAACCGCCTCTGGTAGCCAATATACACTTCAACCCATGATTTCGTAATCAACCAATAACATGAGCCATACGACGCATGCACATGGTTTGAATTTCTTAGTCCCCTAACGTTGCAATCACTGGTCTAATTATTTTCTACGTTTCTAACTAAATAGATGTATTTGATTTTTATAACTAAATAGATGTATTTGATTTTTATAACTAAATAGATGTATTTCATTATTTTTCTACGTTTCTAACTGAATACATGTATTGCTTTCATTAATTTTCAAATAAAAAATATAAATTTCTAAAACTGATAAAAATATAAAATAATAAAAAAAAGGACGACTTACTTGCAACGAAAACTCTGACTTTAGATATAAAAGATGACGCACTGCCCCTTCTTGTTAATTGAAACTCATACGTTCCATCATAACTATGAGTGATATTTCTTAATCGCACCGTTGAAGGTTTGTAGACGTCATAATTTGGAAGAATCGGATCATTAAAATTTACCAATGGCAAATCCAGAGAGACAGTGGCCAACAGTGTTGATTGTGAACCATTACTACCAGTAAAAGACCAATCTCTTCTGACCAAATCATTTAAATCGTCATCAAATCTCCAGGTTATATTGTGTGTTTCTCCAGGTAAAAATGTAAAACTTGTGCCAGGAGGAGGTGATAAAATTCTTCCTATGACAAGAAAATAAAGATAAAACTATAAAATATAATAAAACGTATTTCATTTTTTAACAATTGTTTTTCAAACGTTTACTGAAAAATCAGATAGCATTGAAAATTATACAACTGTATTAAGCCTGTGTAGTTTTGTTTTTACTCTTGTTTTCATAACATTTTGATAGGACTTAGTTGCCAACGATTTGTTCCGATTGAGATTAATTTTAAACTTATGTTTAATCTTTGAAAGCAGAAGGATCGCATATAGGATGAGATAGCAAATATTTCATATTCGATAACAGAAATGTCAAATAAAAAGACTTTAGTTATCATAAAAAGTGCCACATGATTTTGCGTATTTTAAGGCCATTACGTTTTGTGCTGAACATCAACAATTGGCCTTACTGTTTAACAAAAATAAAACCTCCATTGTTTGCTGGTGACTCCATAACTTATCTAAAGGTTGCTTTAAATTCTAATTAGAAAACCTTTAGAAAACTTGGGGTTCCACTTGATCAAAAATTGTCTAGGAAATGTAACACTGATAATATTTGCAAAAAAGTCACATAAGAGATTTCTCTCGAAGGCTTATGTTAATACACCTATATCCGTACACAGTTTTGCGTGATATCTACAATGATCGAAGCCTCGATTTGCATTTATGCCTGCCTACGATTGATAATAACAACCTCTCCCTAAGACAACCACTGGTCTAATTATTTTTCTACGTTTCTAACTAAATAGATGTATTTGATTTTTTATAACTAAATAGATGTATTTGATTTTTTATAACTAAATAGATGTATTTCATTATTTTTCTACGTTTCTAACTGAATACATGTATTGCTTTCATTAATTTTCAAATAAAAAATATAAATTTCTAAAACTGATAAAAATATAAAATAATAAAAAAAGGACGACTTACTTGCAACGAAAACTCTGACTTTAGATATAAAAGGAGATAACGCACTGCCCCTTCTTGTTAATTGAAACTCATACGTTCCATCATAACTATGAGTAATATTTCTTAATCGCAGCGTTGAAGGTTTGTAGACGTCATAATTTGGAAGAATTGGATCATTAAAATTTACCAATGGCAAATCCAGAGTGAGAGTGGCCAACAGTGTTGATTGTGAACCATTACTACCAGTAAAAGACCAATCTCTTCTGACCAAAGCATTTAAATCATCATCAAATGTCCATGTTATATTGTGTGTTTCTCCAGGTAGAAATGTAAAACTTGTGCCAGGGGGAGGTGATAGAATTACTCCTATGATAAGAAATAAAAGATGACACTATAAAATCTAATAAAACTTATATCATTTTGAGCCATTAAAGACCAATTTTTAAATAAAAACAGTACCAAATGACAGATAACAAAAACATATCAAACCTAAGTATATTTTTTATCTATCATAACAACGACTACAACTACCACATGCATAATACCCTGTGAGCTGTTCAAATGAAAATATGATGACAGAGGAACTCAGGTTTTTGAAGCTGTTCCACAAAAATTCACCACAATTATAAAGAGACCTATGTCATAAAGGATATGTACGACCTCAAGCAAAAAATCACCATAATTATAGAGAGACCTATGTCACAGAGGATATGTACGAGCTCAAGCAAAAATGCACCACAATTATAAAGAGACCTATGTCACAGAGGATATGTACGAGCTCAAGCAAAATGCACCACAATTATAGAGACCTATGTCACAGAGGATATGTACAACCTCAAGCAAAAATGCACCACAATTATAGAGAGACCTATGTCACAGAGGATATGTACGAGCTCAAGCAAAAATGCACCACAATTATAGAGAGACCTATGTCACAGAGGATATGTACAACCTCAAGCAAAAATGCACCACAATTATAGAGGAACTATGTCACAAAGGATATGTACAACCTCAAGCAAAAATGCACCACAATTATAGAGAGACCTATGTCACAGAGGATATGTACGACCTCAAGCAAAAATGGATCACAATTATAGAGAGACCTATGTCACAGAGGATATGTACAACCTCAAGAAAAAAGTACCACAATTATAGAGAGACCTATGTCACAGAGGATATGTACAACCTCAAGCAAAAAATCACCACAATTATAGAGAGACCTATGTCACAGAGGATGTGTACAACCTCAAGCAAAGAAGCACCACAATTATAGAGAGACCTATGTCACAGAGGATATGTACGACCTCAAGCAAAAATGCACAACAATTATAGAGACCTATGTCACAGAGGATATGTACAACCTCAAGCAAAAAGCACCACAATTATAGAGACCTATGTCACAGAGGATATGTACAGCCTCAAGCAAAAAAGCACCACAATTATAGAAAGACCTATGTCACAGAGGATATGTACGACCTCAAGCAAAAATTCACCACAATTATAGAGAGACCTATGTCACAGAGGATATGTAGGACCTCAAGCAAAAAGCACCACAATTATAGAGAGACCTATGTCACAGAGGATATGTATAACCTCAAGCAAAAATTCACCACAATTATAGAGAGACCTATGTCACAGAGGATATGTACGACCTCAAGCAAAAATTCAACACAATTATAGAGAGACCTATGTCACAGAGGATATGTACAACCTCAAGCAAAAATTCACCACAATTATAGAGACCTATGTCACAGAGGATATGCACGACCTCAAGCAAAAATTCACCACAATTATAGAGAGACCTATGTCACAGAGGATATGCACGACCTCAAGCAAAATTCACCACAATTATAGAGAGACCTATGTCACAGAGGATATGTACGACCTCAAGCAAAAATTCATCACAATTATAGAGAGACCTATGTCACAGAGGATATGCACGACCTCAAGCAAAAATTCACCACAATTATAGAGAGACCTATGTCACAGAGGATATGTACGACCTCAAGCAAAAATTCACCACAATTATAGAGAGACCTATGTCACAGAGGATATGCACGACCTCAAGCAAAAATTCAACACAATTATAGAGAGACCTATGTCACAGAGGATATGCACGACCTCAAGCAAAAATTCAACACAATTATAGAGACCTATGTCACAGAGGATATGTACAACCTCAAGCAAAAATTCACCACAATTATATAGAGACCTATGTCACAGAGGATATGCACGACCTCAAGCAAAAAATCACCACAATTATAGAGAGACCTATGTCACAGAGGATATGTAAGACCTCAAGCAAAAATTCATCACAATTATAGAGAGACCTATGTCACAGAGGATATGTATGACCTCAAGCAAAAATTCACCACAATTATAGAGAGACCTATGTCACAGAGGATATGTAAGACCTCAAGCAAAAATTCACCACAATTATAGAGAGACCTATGTCACAGAGGATATGTACGACCTCAAGCAAAAATTCACCACAATTATAGAGAGACCTATGTCACAGAGGATATGTACAACCTCAAGCAAAAATCACCACAATTATAGAGAGACCTATGTCACAGAGGATATGTACGACCTCAAGCAAAAATTCATCACAATTATAGAGAGACCTATGTCACAGAGGATATGTATGACCTCAAGCAAAAATTCACCACAATTATAGAGAGACCTATGTCACAGAGGATATGTAAGACCTCAAGCAAAAATTCACCACAATTATAGAGAGACCTATGTCACAGAGGATATGTACGACCTCAAGCAAAAATTCACCACAATTATAGAGAGACCTATGTCACAGAAGATATGTATGACCTCAAGCAAAAATTCACCACAATTGTAGAGACCTATGTCACAGAGGATATGTACGACCTCAAGCAAAAAAGCACCACAATTATAGAGAGACCTATGTCACAGAGGATATGTATGACCTCAAGCAAAAATTCACCACAATTATAGAGAGACCTATGTCACAGAGGATATGTAGAACCTCAAGCAAAAATTCACCACAATTATAGAGACCTATGTCACAGAGAATATGTAGAACCTCAAGCAAAAATTCACCACAATTATAGAGAGACCTATGTCACAGAGGATATGCACGACCTCAAGCAAAAATGGACCACCATAAAATTCAGATTCAAACTCGTTAACATTGTTTTGTTCCCATGCAAAACATGGTGAGCTGTTTTCCATACGGTTGCTCTAGAATAACCTTCGGCGCCGTGTGCCTAAAAGCATGCGAAGTAAGGATAGGAAAATAAGCCGCAACGCCTGTGTTGTGGAGTTCAAAGAGCTTTTCATGATATTTTTATGTTAAGACTTTCATACAATAGCTGGAAGTATTAATACATTAGGACAAAAAGGAGAAGTCAACGCGGTATCATGTAAGGCTTTACTTTGTGGAGTACAAGCAGTGCCACCTTATAAAATGACAGACAGAGACGAAAGAACAATAGCTTTGTAGACGTTGACCTTGTCAGTAAAGATATATACTCAGCTTAATAAGGAAGAATTGTCATTGCCTTGTGCAGTAAAGAAAATCTATCAACTCCCTTAGGGTCGTCATTTCAAGATCTTACACAATAAAATCCATTACTTATATTTTTCAAATGTGACATAGCTACGCCACAAATAACGTCAGCCGAGTTTAGCAATTGTCTTTTAGCATGCATACAAATATGATTGTGAATATGACATACAGACTAAACTTCAGGTAAAACATGAAATATATGATGATGTAATAGACTCTGCCCCACGCATCTCTGCAAGACCCTGTTTTTCAATAGGATATAAAGAGAATATCAAGCCAAATTAATTCTGGAAGAAGATTTAAATGAACAAGATGAATGTGACGTCTGTGTGTGACATTTGTGTACTTGTTCAATACAAAGAAAAAGTGGCATTCTGGATATTTTGCATGAAATCCGTTCATGAAAGTCAAGAATGAAAAGCATAGACCAGGAGATATCAGGGAGGTATGGTGGACATGGATAAAGACAGAGGAAAAAGGAAAGAAAGGTTTAACTGTTAAGCTCAACACTGAGGAGTCAGTAGCATAGGATGCTGTAACAAGTACCTCTACATGCATCAGTAAGAACCTTGTTGATAAAAACTTATAAAAGATGAACATTACTTTAACCAGATATCAAAAGGCAGTAATCAGTTTCAGCTATAATGATGTACTTGAGAAAAATTATGAAAACCCTGCAGTCCCAGGATTCACAAAAAAAACTTGTGAAACTGATAAACAGGTTTTTTAAATTGACAAACAAGTTTTTTTTCCTTTTAAAATTGAACTGAATGATTGCAAAATAGTTTTAGTACATCAAGGTCAGATGTGATCTTTCTAAGCAAAAAAAGCAATACTACAGAAGATACTAAAATTACTAGAAGTGATAAACTTTGAAAACTTAATGGAAAAATGATGTTAAACTAAATGATTGAGGTTGATTTCTAATTAACAGAAGATTTAGTGCATTGGTGTATGAATAAAGTCATGGGCATTTAAACATTCTTCACACATTGGTATGAACATCAATTCATAAATAATAATAGCTGGCATATAAATATTTAATAGTTTATAATTTAGATTCATAATTGCACTACAGCCCCATAGAGCAACATATTTTATAATGGCGAAACACATTTGGTATTGTTGTACAAGCATAAGTGCTATCATTATTTACTGCAAAAAATGTCAATTACCTTATTGTAAATGAGATATTCTTACTTCTTTGCTAAATAGCCATTATGTGCATGTATTTAAAAGATGAAAATACTGCAAGGTATTGCTTTTGGATTATTTTTAAATGCAGAACTGGCTACGATGAGTGTTATTGTGTACACATGAGGACTTAAAACCAGCAAGTATTTTAGTCAATTTAGCTTAAATTTCTAAGCAAATTCCACAGTTTTATTTGACAAAAATAAACATTTACTTCCTTAATGATCTAATAAAAATAATAACTACCTTGACATGTTGAAATCCACCAGAACAAAACAAATGAAAGGAAGCCAAACTTTGCCATCTTGTATTCTGTCTATAAAGGTTACGGTGAAGATGCAACTTAAGTAAAATCACAAAACTACTACAGAAATATATGATGTATTCCTTCAGATTTTATGAATATTTTTAATTTCCCATAACCATTAATATCGAAGGAAACATTAGAGCATAAACTTCTAAAACTTTCATTGGAAAGCATTGATTATGTTTTCAGTGTAAAATCATGGCCAATATAGTAAAACAAGATTTTTTCGTTTTGTACTTTGCGGAAGTACTAACGTACTTTCCACTATGATACAAAACGGGCAACTCTTAATGCACAGGAAATTCCGTGAAATGTCAATAAAATTATTTACAAATGGACTGAGTCAATTTTTGATAACATATTAAATGATTCAATTTACCTTACTGAACGGTGTGAGACTTAACACATTTCTTGAATAAGCCAGCTAATTTTACTCTTTTAAAATTATTTCCGGGTACATGGTGTGCAAATATTTATTTCTTTGTTCATCGTCAGAATTATATAAAATCCAGTTAGGCCAATGAAGATCATTTTCGTATTCTTACTATTTTGTGTAACATTTCATAATACATGTTATCTTTAGGATTAAAACCATAGATATATATAATAAATTATAAAACATAATGACCGAAGAAGGTCGTATAACCAGACCACTGAACCAGACCCGATTGCAAAGGATGCGGTGCTAATTCTTGGTGTGCAAGTACAACCGCCATGTTGCATGATTTTTACAAAGGATTTTCCTTATTTACAATGCATAATTTATCCAACATGGCGAGCATTTCATTTTTCTCTTACTCTCAGGGAACTGTTGCACACCCACTTTATAGTAAAAAAATATTTACAGCTGTTTCTTGGGTTGGGGATGCCCAGAAACCCATCTAGCTAAGACAAGACGGGCGAAACTAGACTAGAACAATAATTGTGAGGGAATATTCATGTACTAAGCTCTTCCCTGCTACTTTCTCTTGTTGGCGATTTTAATTTCAAAAGATATCATGGGCCTGTTGCACGAAGCCTGGATAGCAATTTTTTCATACTTTTATAAAACCTTTTAAAAAGCAAAAAAGATAAAATTCGAACTGAGCAATCACTGAAAAGTCTGAAATAAAATATTATTTCGAAGATTATGAAGTTTCTTTGTCGTAAGTAAAATATAAACACCTTTTTTACAAATTTGAAAATTTTTGCTATCCAATGGGTAGCGCTATCAAGGCTTTGTGTAACCGGCCCCAGCAGGGCAGTGCTGAATATATGAATATCTCCCCCACCTTCATTTTATAAAAGAAAAATGACAAATGGAATGTCTGCCTTTAGCCGATACTCAGTGGCGTAGCTAGGAAAAATAGTCACTCCCGCCAATCCATCTCGCGCCGGAGGCGCGACCCCACTAGGGGGGTCCGGGGGCATGCTCCCCGGAAAATTTTGAAATCCAGAGCCTTGGAAACAGCATTTCCTGCGATTTCGAGGGCGAATTATTTGTTGTACAATAATTTATAAAACCCATTTTGTTAGCTGCATTCTTAATGTGGCAATCGTTGAAACTGCAACTAGTTAAAAGGTACTAAAGGTGGCTCAGAGAAACGTTACGCAGGAGACAATTGTCCCCTAAAACATAATTTACTCATCACTGCCCTGCATAAACAGAAGAAATTTGTATTAGCACAAAAATAATATAGTATACGACACTTCTAAAGTGCATAGAGAGATTTTTCTTAGCATTCTACTTGTTAGTTTAAACTTGTTTAGATTGGGGCAAGTAGACAGGGATGGCTTTATTCTTTAAAGTTATGCTTAATTTTCTCAATGAAGTACCATGTATTATACGAACAAATATCAAAACATACTATACTCATCATTTATAAAGAAAGGCCAGCCTCCTGGGTTTTCTACAAATTTTCAACCACCTCGTTATGCAACACCTCTGATTCCTCTTTCTTTTCAATGATATCTTTGTGAATAGATATTCTACACAAAGAGCTAAGCCGACCTTGACCCATTCTATTTCTTAAATAGCTTTTACCCTTTTAAGCAAGAAAACGACCTCTCTACTGAAGCACTTGCCACTGCCAACACACCATTCAATTTTAACAAATTTACCACTTGACCTAAACTCGACTGGAGATTAAATTTGAAGATGTATTTAAGAACCTCATTACTGCACTCTTTGTGAAAGTCCTTGTCGTTGTAAATGAAGGAAAGTTGACTCTCCAAAGTTTGGATGTCAAAAGAGGACTATACTTATCTTTGAGAAGATTGATCTTCTCCTGTGGAACTATGCCCTTCCATGTAGTAAATAGTTTAGGATTTACAAGGTCTAAAACTCGAACTGATTAATATCTTGAAATCGTTCACTTAACATGCCTTTAATGGAATCAATAATCTCAAAATAAAGCTGTTTGTAATTGTATCTACTATCTGCTCTGGTTGCTGGTGGGCCTACTTTTTCTAGTGCAGTTTGGTAAAACTCGGTGAAAGCTTGATCTGTGCGAAGTGACACAATAAACTGCTTGAAATTGTCAATCTTGCTTATGCCATAGTTAAAATGGGTTTCCCTATTTTGAAGAATGGAATACAAAATTGTGGACTGTTCTAAAATCCTGTAAAAAACACACACTAGAAAACAAAAGAGAAAGCTATCAAGATAATGCAGTAAGCCACTTATTTTACTTAATGACTCATCATCCCACCCAGCTGGTTGTTCAAGTACCCCCTCAAAAATATCTAAAAGTTTTCATAGTTTTGTGCAATACATTGATTAATCTAGAGCGATAATACCATCTTGTTTCACCAGGGGCAGGAAACTCAAGGTTGTTAGATGTGAGAAAAGCTTTTCTTTTTGGGGCATTGCTTGTAAATGTGCTGAATGTAGCTATATTAATAAAAAAGATTTTAACAGGAGAAATTGATGAGGCTGACTGGCATAGGACCAGGTTCAATCTATGAGCTGCACAATGAACAAAATGAGCAAAAGGATACTCTTGTCGACCAATGCTTGAACACCATTGATATGGCCAGACATGACAGAAGCACCATCATATGTTTGTAAAACCAGTTTTCTTTTATATTAGAATACTCACCAAGTTTATCTTTGACAACTTGTGATATTGCTGTGGCATTTCTGTTCATACTTACATCCACAAATCCTAATTGCCTCTCCATAATTTCACTTGCTTTGTCAAACCGAGCAATAACACTTAGCTGCTCTTTGGTGGAGACATCAGATGCTTCATCAACCTGAATACTCATAAATGTGCAATCATTTATTTCCTTTCTGATTTCATCTTCAATAATTGAATCAAGACAGCTGATAAGACCATTTTGAATTTCTGGGGAGACTCCAGTAAATCTTCTGTCACCAACTATATCAGATTCTGCTAGTCTACTGTGCAGTCGACGCTCAAATACAGAATCAAACTTAGCAAAACATTCGAGCAACTCTCTATAATTACCTTTGTTCAAGCTACCTTCGGACTCATTGTGACCTCTAAATGGCAACTCTTGCTTTGACAAATACAGCACGGCCTCAGTAACAGTTTTAAAATTTCTCGATTTTGTCTTACCTCCTCATTGTGACGCTGAATCTCATTTCTTCTAGCGAGGGACATAAGACAATCAATTCGTTCACTAGCTCCATACGTTTTCCATGTCTTAAATGCAGTCAAATGCGATTTAGATTTTCATGCTTCTTAGCATCAGACATAATACTCCGCATATCGTTGTAGCCATTCTTAGTCCACGATGGCGATGTTTTGGGAAAACATTAGACATGGCCAACAAAACACTTTCTGCAAGGTTGTACTGCCACACAGCCAGTCCTTCGCCTCATACCAATCTCTCTGAAATGCTCTTCCCTTATTTTGGATAGTTAAATCAGGAGTAGGCCGTTCATGAACGATAACATTCTGTTCGACCGACGATCGAGCAGAGAACGGTTTAGCTAATAAGCTATTTACTAAATCAACATCAGTTGAGCAAATCGCAGTCGCACTTGAAGCCATTGTGTCATACACAAATACAAAATAGCAATTTGAGAGTAAACACAATGGAAAATTAATACCGACAATGACACGTAATTTGATAATCACTAATCGCTGTACTCGTATTAAAAGGTCGAATAATTACAACCTCCGCCAATTTAAAATAGCGGAGTTCGACTATAAAACAGCAGATTTGAGCATGCGTCAAGTCCCTTAGCCAACCAGAATTCAAAACTTCTTATATAGAATTATATTGTATGTTCCGCCCTCTGAAGATGGGCGGAATACGTGGAGAATCGCGCGAGTATGCAATGTGCGAAAAGGCGGTTGCTAGGTTACATAACAAATCTTGAGATTTTGCTGTATTACGATTACGAACCACCTAATAAAAGCGTAAATATGAACGAATAAAACATAATATTACAAATTGTTCGTGAAATAATGTATATCTTATGTCCAAATAGAATATTTATTATTTTTGGGAAATTTCTACTTGGGAGGGGGCGCCGCGACAAACTAGGACACTAGGAATGGCACTGAAAGGCAAAGATCGTTTTTGTCATTCTTTGCGAATGCTCTATAATAACTGCTGACTAAAATATCAAGAAAAACATCTTTAGGCCTTTGAATGTAAATGTATTATAAAGTTAAAGTTATTGCTCTTGTTGTTTTAGCATTCAAATCGAGAATGAAATATCGTTAACGTTAACTCCATGCTTTGAGGCTGAGCATTGCGATTGCGTTGGGATTCTCCAGTACATTTGTTTATATTTCAAGTATTAAGACGGTAAATTTTCTAAAGGTCCCCGCATTTTTGAGGCTCTCTTTGTGTTGTCGAACAACCCACTAGCCCTGTATTAACAATGAGACCATATAAACTGTAAACAATTTTGTTACGATTGGCGCTCCATAGTAGATCACTAAAGGTGTTCTTAACTATCCAACTATGGTCTTCTCTGAGGTCTCAAGGCATTCCCTAATCAAAGACAAATTTTGAAATTTACGATTTAGGTTCATCGAAAATAAGATTTCGTGCTTTTTCAGGGCCTTTTCGTGATCCTGTTCTAAACAATTTGGTATAAACAGGAAACAAGTCAGGAAGGCAGGTGTACAGTAAGATAGATAGAAAATACTTATTCAAAAACAGTATTACCATACACTGTAATCAAAAAAATGAGTCAGAATGACCAGTGTATTTTCTCATCCAAAAATGGCTTCCTTCTGGAAGTCATAAAGTATTGGCAGCTCCAAAGGGAGGAAAAGATGCAAAATTCAAATCTTATTAGAAAATGTAAATGTTCGTAAAAGCACTGTTGCGACTTTACAACATGGAAAATGTTTATAAACACATGTTTAGAATAAAAAATTACTGTTCTCATAATTTGTTCTTTCGTCGGCTATCACGTACTCCGATTCATCATTTTTTTGCAAAGATTCATAGTTATTATCTTCTATATTCATTTTCGATATGTCCAGTTCTTGATAAGTTTTATCAATTGTGTCGTCCTTTGGTCTCAATGATTGATAATTATCTTCTTTATTCATTTTTGATAAATCCAATCCTTGATAAGTTGTATCAACAGAATTTATCCTAACTTCAGATGGAGATTGAAATTGCTCACGTTTTTTACAAAACAAATGTCGGCGATATTGAAAAACAATAGAAACCAAAATTCCAACGATAATTCCAGATGTTAAAGTTATTAAAATAATGTACCATTCTGTTTTGTACTGTTTTATTCTCTCTTTTTGGTCATCACAAAGAACGTTGTCTAGAGAAGAAGCATAGAACTTAAAAACATGGAAAGAAATCAAAAGAGTTTATCTGCATACAATACTAAAATACATATGATAACAAGATTGGAGCATTTTGATTGAGCATTGGATAGATTGAATTGAACATTTCCATTAAGTCTAAGGCAAAGGTCGAGATGTTAATTGCATTGTGTGGCTAGAGCTAAAGTTTGCTATAAAAGAGCGATTTGCTTAAATTTTCTTTTAAGGATTTTTAGCATCTCAGGTAGCGCATGCAAATTGAACAGAAAGAGCTAATAGTATTTTAAACATAAACATGATTTTAAAGCATTCTAAATAAGTTACCTTTCGTGTTGCAATCAGTAGATGAATATTTTGAAAGGAAAAATGATGTTGGAGATTCATATGTTAACACATTTATTGAAAATCAACTCAAATTATAATGTCAAAGAGATGAAAATGCTGACAGAATGCTGAATGACAGAAATATCTATCGAAAAAAATGATAATAATTGACCAAAAAGAACAAATCAAATGAAAGAGTGAAACTCATCTATCTCAAAAATTGATGAAGTAAGATTTTATTATCATTTGTGTTCAAATGGTAACTGCCCCGAATTTTTCGCGTTTGTTCACGTTTCAAACGTCACGTTTGTCAGGCGAAACGTCGGGTTTCAAATTAGGAACGTAATGTATGCTTAGGAAAGTTTAACGTTTGAGGAACAAATTGAACAGGTTTTGGTCATGTGATTAACATGTTTATACGATTTTACAATGATAAAATGCTGTAGCAACTGAAAATTACATCTGTATACCTTAGGCGATTTGCAAAGTTTGATAATTGATCATATAATATATGAAAGAGCTGATTCAAACTTAGAAATCCGCGATTTGAACAAACGTAACGCTTACAAGATGAAACTCGACGTTTCGTCTGACAAACGTGACGTTTGAAACGTAAACAAACGCGAAAAATTCGTGACAGTTACCAGTTGATAATTTTACCTTTGATGATAATAAGATTGTTAACATCAGAAAAATCATTTCCCAGCTTATTTGTTGCTTCACAACGATATGAACCAGCATTACTGAAGTTGAGAGAATTAATGATGTATGTCTTTTTATTACTGATAACTGCACCATTATGATAAATAGTGTAGGTTGGTTCAGGATAACCATCTGATTCACAGGTTATTGTCACATTTTGACCTTTTTTTACTGACATTGGACTGATGGTGATATTGGTTTGTTGTGGTGGATCTGTAAAGAATAAAATTAAATTCAATATTCTACACAAACGTTTATAATGAGATCTGAAATGCTGTCTTACAAACTTACAAGTAGCTTTCACTGTTACTTCAAGAGATTTTTCATCTCTAAAACGTGGATCATTATAACTTTGTGCTTTACATCTGTAATTTCCGCCATCATTCAATGTAACATTAGTGATTACTAATGTCTTACTTACAACTCCAACATCACCAATTATGTTGTTATCTTTATCAAACCATGTGACATTAGCAGGAGGGTTACCTCCTTCACCTATACATACACATGATACATTATCACCTTCATTCACAACCAGAGGAGTTGAACAATTAATTATCACGTTTGGTTTAGCTGAAAACAAAAACAGAAAATTTTCAGTCAATATTAAAAAAAAAGAAAATGAATATAAGGTGAAAAGTAATTGATAAATAAAATCAAGTTATTTGGAATTCAGGAACAATCATTAGGAATTTAGGAAAGCAACATTTTACATAACTTTGACAAGTTTTATTGACTATAGGTGAATTGCAGCCGATCCGAGTGAAGTACAAAGATATTCTCTATTTTGGTCGAAATTTGAATCGTAAACACGAAATTTCCTTTCTCAAATTCAACCAACATGTTATGTATAAGAACACATTTTCATGACAAAACAAACCAATAGCTCATAGTTGTCTTATTTTTATGGCATTGTGGAAAATGTGGAGTGCGGAGTACTGAGAGTTTGTTTACAATTGAGAAATTTTTTAACTCTGCATTTTCCACCATGCTGGGGAGATGGATAGAAAATGTAGAGTTTCTTTATAAGCGTTTGTTTAGGCTTAGTTAAAAATCATGTTAACTATGGAAAACGATGCTGATAGTTTACGCTTAACAATCCAATAATAATTAAAACAGAGACTTTATCGTGGTGACAAATTTGAATATCGCTTTAAAGAAAGCAAATGCAATGGTGAATGCACTGAAACCAAATAAAAACCACGAAACCCTAAATAAAACGGAGAAGAAAAAAACTAACAAAAGAAAACAAAGAAAAAATCAAGAAAAAATCAAGAGTTCGGAAAAGAACTGTTTTAGAATTAGAGCATTAACCTGAAAATTCCGAAAATAACTGTTTTAGAAATTTAAGACACAGTAAAACAAATTGATTAAGTCCTCTAACCGTTCGACAAAGGAGTGCATATCAGGCAATGGTGCGTTGTCAAAGGTCGGTAGGTATGAACTTATTAATGCTTTAACTTGTAAGCAAGTAAACAATGGGAAATCATAAGTTGGACTATACATTTGCTGTTCAAACACATTTTTGGTAGGAGTGCATCACAAATTATTGATCGATATACATCTTGTAAAAGAACTTGGTGAAGATTCTTGTAGCCACAAATGACCTGTCATTACATACATGTATGCTGTTTGTCAAGTGGATGTTGAAACGTCTGAAATCAAGTGGATTAAAAGAGCAAGAAATGCAAAGTCTAGAGTGGTTAATATCGAACGCAGTTAAAAATGCTGCATGAGATTGGTAAGTGACCTTTGCCATCTTCATTGTAAGACTAGTCGCAAAATTCATAGAAACCATCGCTATGCTTCTGACCGTGTACTTGGTGTGGCAAAAAGAAGATTGCCATTCATTGAAATTAACGAAAGTTCAGACAGTGGAAGTATAAAAAAGTGATAAAAGAACTTCATTGGCTGATTTCACTTGCGAAAGTTTGTGGCAAAGTCAAATAAGGACATTCGTTGAAAAAAATAAACAGAGTAAAACGAGGAGCAGAACATATATAAGTAAACAGGTATAACAAAAACATTTCAATATAGAAATAGTGGAGACAAGACACCAAAACAAATACTGAAGACATTATTGAAGCCAGCTGACTATTGAACAACATGCAAGATCATACCAAATAGTGTTTTTCATAACATGTGCTGCCATTTGAATTATGATGACTTGGAGTCTGAAAAGAGTTGAAAAGCCACGACATGGGCTCAAGGAAAAAGAACGATATTCAACATTACTTGTATTTCTTTTAAAGACGACAAGGTGATTTTGGCTGATGAGTTGGATGAAAGCTTCGAAAAATTGTAAGCAATGAAGAAAACACACTACAAAAATAGTTTTTCGCCAGTTGTCAAGAAGATTTTCTCAAATTTAAAAGGTAAAGTTAAATTGGCTACTCTTAGTAAGGCACATGATTGTGTATCTTCAACATGTGAAGAGAAAGAGTCAATAATTCTTTCAAATGGATTTCCAAAGAAATTATTAATTTAAGCAAATTGTTTTTATCTACAAACGAAACAGAGAGGTCTCTTTTTGGACGTGCCAAGTACTCTGTATTCATTAGGCTCCAACAGAAGAACAACGCTTCAATAAATATTGAGAACAAAACTAAGAGCATGGTGCTTTTTAATGTGACGTCAAAGAGGTCACTGAACAGCATGAAGAATTCAACAACACCTTCAAGAATATTTTATCGTTGACGAGAGTATCACGAGACTATCCAGAGTCTGGTTTTGTAAGTGTTGATCTTGTCTTTGCATTTTAGCCATTTCTTCTTTTGTGGAGACAAAAACTTTAGTAACTTTCTTAATTGTGGACAGCAGGCTTGAATCAATATTCAACTCTCTCTTTTGTCCAAAGAAAACAGTTAAGGAATCAGCAAATTTTATCTTTTGTTTTTTCATGAACGTGTAGTTACACCTATTGTTGATACAGGTCATGAGGAAAAGCGTTGATCATTGAAGAGGATATAAAACTTGCTGAAGAAGTCAACGTCAATTTTTATTATTGAAAACTTTTCCTTCTGCTTACAGCGGTAAGCATTCAGTTGGGACTGAGTTGACTGAGTGAGGCATACTTCCATTGACGGTGTGCTAACTGTCGGAGCTACGTGACTTTCTTTGTGGGATTTATCGTGGAGATTTCCAAATCTATTTACTAGAGGTAGAGGATTAGTTATTGGTTTTTGTTGATTGGTCTTGGGTTTATTCTTACAACTGACATCTATCCAAGCATTTTGATTGTTATTAAGGAGAGACAAGATCCGATTGTTGTCTTCTCTTAGCATGCCAATAGAAAATTTCAAATGGTCAATCTCGGCTGCCATTTTCGTGTTGTCGACTAGAAGGACGGCTTTTTTGTTATCATCGTTTTTCGATTTTTCTTCTAAAATACGTAGACGAGTGAGGATTTGGTCGAGTTTACTTGCATTATCGTCGATGTCTAACTTTTCTGAAACAATTTTGTCTATGCTGGGTAACGTTAAAACAAATGTCTCGACATTAACAACGCGCGCGCGAAATTTTGGTTCTTTATCATTAGGTTCGATGCACTTTTCAATTTCTTTCGTCTTGTTTCCGTTATCTTTGGCAGATCTTTCTGGTGGAATATCTTTTTCTTTGGTTACATCTGTTTTGGGCAATTTCAGAATCAGGCTTTTAACATCAGCATCTGTAAGCGTGGATAGACTGTTCTTTGTTCGGCGAGACACAATAGTGATATTACCAGTTGATCATTTGATATCAAATTTTATACCACAAAAGTCGAAAGTAGTATCAAAACGTCGAAAGTGGTATCAATAACAAATTTTTTGTCCTATACTTAAATGTAGTAAAATCTGTGATACAAGCACTTTAACATAGATTATTCAAATCAAACGACGCCTTAAAATTTTCTTTTTAAATTAAAACAACATAAAACAAGTTTTAGCATTTGTCTTCGCTCAACAGCTCAGGTATTCAGCTATAGGATTCCAGACTGCGGTCATATATCGTATAATTACGCCCGATGCTACAGCTACTCAGATTACATGAAAGGCTTGAATAACCCTGCTGCTAAGTTAAAAATAATAAATACAACTTACTTGCAAAAGACACATTACAGGTAAGTCAATAGGATTAGGAGTTAGGTAAATTTATAAACACCAATGTAACTTTGAGTAACATTCTTTAACATTAGAGTTGCAGGTTTAAAAACTTCAAAATTAAACCAAATGACTTAAGGACTGATGTATCATATTTTGGGTCTCCATTATTGCTGCTTATTGTTACAATTGCATGAGTTGCAGAAGCATTGTCAAAATGTCCTAAAGGTCCAACACCGAAAAAGAAGTTTGCAACGACACAATAACAGTTATAAACGTTTCTTCGGCAATATTTTCAGACCAAGTTTCCCTCATTAAATACTCAGAACAATACATACAATACAAGAAAGATTGAAATAATTTAAACTTACCAGCAATATAAACATTTACTTTTGATGAAGTACAAGGAGTAGTTATAATTCTAAATGTAAATTCACCATTGTAACTTTCATTAATATTCTTCAGCCACAAAGTTCCAGGTTTAAAAACTTCAAATGTTGAAGGTGATGTATAATATTGGGGTAGGTCACTATTAGAAAATATATATGCAATTTGTTGAGGGGAAGATGAACCACGAGGTGTAAAACTCCAAAGCCACGCATTAATGTTTCCAGTAACATTTAATGTCCAAGTTATATTGTGAGAAGATCCAGGTAAAAATACAAATCTTTGACCATCAGGTGGAGATGTTATTGGTCCTGAAATTGAAATTTAGCTAATATCTATGACTGATAAAAAGATAGTTTAAGGAAAAAATACATCTTCTACTAACATAACAAAAGTAACTGATGTTTTTAAATCAGGTTCTATAAAAAAATTGTGAATAAAAAATAAACTAATTAAATATTACTACAACAACTAAAAATACATCAAAAATCATTTAAGTAAAAAAAAAGAAATGGATATTTGAAGTTAAATACCTTTGGCAAGACCAAGAAATGTGATCAATGTAACAGTCGAAAATACTAAATTTGTCTTTACCATTTTCACTAAAAAATTAAATGATGAATTTTAATGCTTATGATCTTTGAAAATAAAATCATGAGTTAACATGGCTAGTACTGTGAAAATTCTGATTCTTCAGCTCCAGCTCGTCAATTCTGAACTGGTAAAAATAGCCGGCGCTGCTGCCCATCTCTGGTGCAGAGAACTAAACATGGTGCATCAAAATAAATAGTAATTTTTGCTCGTAAATGGGTAATATTTTGCGTAGCAATATGCTCCATTAATTCAACCACAGAAATATCTTTATCATTGCAATATATTTTTTGTGTTTTAATTTGCTTTATAAAATAAAAACAGTAAAACATGTGCGCTGATTGGTCAAAGGCTGAGTTTGCATTAGCCTGGGTAAACTGATCTTAGCTCAACCTCAATCAATCAGAGATTTTGTGAACCATTCATTAATGCACTTTGTGGAAAATTAAAACGCAAACCTTGAAAATCTTATGCAAAGCAAACCTCAGAGATCTTTGTAAGAATACTCAAGTAGGTGCAAAACCTGCTTTGCACTGATCAACTCTCAAGTTCTCCAAAAGGTCTCCTCAGTTTGCATAAGCCTGGGAAAACACGGTAAACATCTTTCTTTCTTGACTTGATTGGGAAAGCATAAGACAAACATAAATATTGTTTCCTAAAGATTATGAATCATTGACTACATTTAAACCTCACATTACAATTATCGTAAGTGAGAAGTGGCAAATCTTTAGTTCTGCCATGCAAATTATTTATGAGTTCACTAGCTGTAAAAACAATAGATTTCAAAAAAATGAACAATGACAATGATCTGAAATTTACATAGCACAACCAAATTTGCGGGCTAACTTTCCTAATGTTCTTAACAGAATAAACTTGAAATTTAAATCATTTAACTATTCTATTAAAGACGATACACAAACTACAAAAGAAACATTGGTTATATATGAGGATTGACATTGTTTTAGCAAAATGAGCTTTAGGAAAAGACAGTTAGCTGTGTAGGAAAGTAATTTTGTGTAATTTTTAAGTAACAGTTAACAGAAATTCTTCTCTTTTCAACTAAAATGCTTTAGTTTCGAATGAATTTTTACCTTTTACTAACTGTTTGTAGCTATGGCAACTCAAAGTTAGTTTAGTTTTCAACTCGGTCCACAGAAAAGCCCACAAGCATAAATTTACTACAGGATAAGAATTAATGTAGTTGTAAACTGTTTACGCATACTTCTACTATGTTTTAATGTTTAGTCAGTTGAATTTTCATACTATTGTCAATAAAGGCTGTGTTGTGTATACTGTGCTGATGACTGCCATACAATATAATCTAAGCATTCCATCCACATAAATAAGCCCAAGAAAGAGGGAATACAAAATTATATAAGTTCAAGGCTTATGGGCAAATGTTTACAGTATGATTCATGATAAAATATAGTGATTGTTAGGCCCATGGAGGTAGGGTAACCCTACCAGAAGGGTTACATTAGCAAGCAAGTTACCCAACGTGAAATTGCTTTATATGTAGCATTTACATGTGTGCTAGGGTAACCCTGAGGGTTAAGGTTTCCATATCAAATTGATAAGGTTACCACAACAGTTGTGTTATGTTTTTATTTCATAAACCATAAAAATGTTTGCAATAAGGTAATCCCTTTCAGTAGGGCTATGTTCACATCATATCTACTCAAAATATTTGCATATCATGGAAAATAAATTGCTTCCAAAGCATAAAATTATACACAAAATGTGCTACATGACTCTACAGAGACAAACAATAAAACTAGAGCCCATCCACCATCTACAAGGAAGTTTTCGAGATGGCAAAGAAGATTTTTATTCTATGAATGTTAAGTCTTCATTGAAAAAAAACCACTCAATGTGAATATAATATAATGAAAATGAATTTGAAACAATTTTCAGAGGTCTTAGACTGAGTTATGGATATTTATAAATATGTTTCAAGGAAGCCAAAATGTTTCCTCTGCAATCAAGTCTACAACATGCTGATGTTGCTGTCATTAATAGTAATACACAGATCTGTCAATGGTAGAGTCACCCTACACAAAAATATAGCCTTGCAAGTATGATTACCCTATTCCCATGTAAACATGCCTTTATTATTCCAAAGCCATCATCAGAGAATAAATGTAATATATTTATCTAAACACGGTTTTTTAATATTCACATGAAAAACATGTGACTTGGACGAGATTTGAACTCGCACCTTCGGGATACTAGTCCGCCGCTCTACAGGTAGAGCTCAACAAGTACAAGTACGTTATTCCACTAAAAATACAGCAAAACGTAACATACCCATGTAATTTGGTTTTCTTCTGTGAGAATTTCAGAAAGACCCAATTTCCTGCTTCGCAACGTTTAACGTTTAGCGTTATATAAGTCTTTCGTATGAGCTCTGAACGTGAGTTCAATGTACTAGAACGCTATTAAATTTTGTGATTATTTTATTCACTAGCAAAGAAGTTATTTACAACAGTCGTGAGTATTCTATGTGTTAGAATTTATTTACAGGCTTTTTATATATTTGGTTAAAGAAGGTGCAGTTATTACACAGCGGATAATGTACTTGAAATTTGAGTAGTTTTACGTGATTATAAAGTTAAGTGCGTAAGTTTAAGTAGCGCGTTTGAGTAAGTATAGGATTGGCTATTTCCTCTATTGCTAATTCATGAATCTAGATGAGTAATGTACGCACGTTATGTACGTCACTACAGTTTAACGTACGTGATGTCGTTGTTGATTATGCAGTTTTGATGGGCGTATTTCATATTTCTGTGCATATATTCACTCAATATATTCACTATGGTAATTCACTGGCGTATTTTTATTGAAATGATAGAACTGGAATGCTGAGTGGTGATCATTGAACCAAAATACATTGAATAAAATAGATGTATTTAATCAGTGTGCCTCACCGTGACCAGACTTTCTGAAAGTAAATTACCAAGCCAAGGTCCAAAACTTACTAAAATCAATAAAAAATTACCGAATTCGGAGAAGCAGTTGTTAAGCAAATTTAAAGGTTATGGCAAAAAATCGAACGACAAATGCTAAATACACAGAAATCAACTAAAATCATGAAGTTAAAAGAGATGAAAATGCAACAGAAGTATCTACAACGACTTATATTTACTGTTAAACTATCTGTAAATAAGTCAAATTAAAAACAACATTGTTCAGTCTGTATCGGCCTAACTATTGATCAATACATTCAAGATCATTATCTATTAAATAGAAAGTATACATAGTCAAGCAACTTTGGTGAAAACAAGAGCATCAGTAAAACTTCCATAATTTTCGATGGAAAACATTGTATTTTTAGTGTAAATTCACGGCAAAAATCCTCTGTTGTTGCCAGTAAAACAAGATTTTTTGTTTTGTACTTTGCGGAAGTACTAAAGAACTTTCTATTATGATACGTCTCAGAAAACGTCTTAATTCCACAGGAAATTCCGTGAAATGTCAATGAAATTATTTACAAATAATCTTGTCGAACAATATTTGATAACATTTTAAATGATTCACTTTACCTTAAACAATACTGAAGTAAGTAAGCTGGTGAAAAATCTTCACGTATTTCTTAAAGAAACCAGCTAATTTTCCTATTTTCAAAATTATTTCCGGTTCTCATGTTGTGCAAATATTTATATAAGTAATGAAAAGAATGTAAACGCCCCTAAAACGCTGTCATATGTAACAGAGCGATCATATTTTATCAAAACCTCTCTCATGACACGCCACGCAAATTACCCAGAGTTGTTTTAAAAACAGAATACCAGCCACACAATCTTTATTCTGTAATTTTATCCTTACATATGACTTAATGGTGCTTTTAGATGAATGTATAAATTGTGAAAGCATGCTTCGACACGCTGTGCCAATATCCATTTCGTAGTTGATCACAATGCTCTTGAAGACGATGTGCATCCACAAGTGGATTTTGTAAGAAAATCATTGTGAAGAATAACTTCTGTATAAATCGCTTTTGCTGAAATATTCTTAGTAATTTTCATAATTTTAATGCACAACTAAAAATTTCTTATACTTTGTCTACAAAGAATTCCAGATGGGGGGGAGACTTTGGAATCACCAGGGGCCCTGGGAAAGCTTGATCCACCCCCCTGCTTACCCTATCTTTCTTACAAATGATCTTATCCTGCAGTTTTTAGCTGAAAATACCAAACGTGGCTAGATTGAGAATGTTCTTGACGAGTCCCAGGGGGCATGCATCACTGAGAAATTTTTGATTTCGTAAAACAGTGAATCAAATGACAAATAACCAAGTTGTCCTTTAACTTTTACCACTTCAACCCAAGCAACTTCAATTCAGATGGTTGGACTGCAAACTTTTGTTTAGCAAAGGACTGTACATGGATGACGTCAGACGACTTTGCTCTTTTTAATCGGGTATATTAGAAGTTAAAATTGTTTAAAAAAAAGAGCAAATACCATGGTGAATCGTTAAAATAATAACGTAATAGTTCTTAAAAGAACTGTTTAAAACCAGAACACCAACCCAACAATTCTAAAGAATTGTTTTTAAAGCTGAAAGACACTATGCATTTCGGCAGACTACTCATCAGAGAAAAAACGCAAAAATAAAAAATTTACAGGCAATGTACACATTTACTTTCGTTGTGTGTCAGCAGTATTAGCTACGATAGCAAATGTGTAAACACCACTGTTTGATTGACATTCTTTAACATCAGAGTTTCAGGTTCAAAAACTTGAAATGTTAAAGGTGATGAATCATATCGCGGTTCACCATTACCAGTTATCGTTACACGTCGTTGAGCAGCAGTAGCACCACGAGGGATAAAGGACCAAACACGTGCAATTATGGATGAGGTCACATTAAATCTCCAAGTTATATTGTGAGAAAATCCAGGTAAAAATACAAGTCTTTGACCATCCAGGTGGAGATATTATTGAACCTAAAATTATCAATTGGATATTGCTACATCAAAATTAAATCATTTGTGGAAAAAACATAGATGCACAGAATTGAAGTTTTTGTTATCGGTCACAAATACCTTCCAAATACATATGGGTGACTGTTCCATTGAAAATTTCTAGTTGGTCCACAAATAGAACAACATTGAGTTACAACAGCCAGTGAACCTTTCTTTTTGATTTCCAGCTGAGGATTTGGACTTTTGCAATTGAAGCAAAATATGCTGAACAGTGATATGAGCATGCCATAAAAGACAATGAATTTGGGTTCGTCACATGGCAGGGTACCAGGTTCCATGCTAAACAGAATTAAGCACATATTCATACAAGTTGAGCTTCGTTTTCTACGACATTTATGCTGTAACTCACCTAACAGTGTTTTTCGACTGGGAATCTTCAGCTTCGTCTTGTGATGAAAACGGTTCGTCTTCATATTGCCAATCCATATCGGTAATGTCAGAATTACCAATAATATCCTGGACATCGCCGATATTAAAAAATTCATTTGGCTCATTACTGGATTGAGAACCCTCACTTTCAGTATGGGAATCATCACTTTCCTAAAACGTAGAATAGCTAACAGTGCGTAAATTTCCAATGGTCGATGACAAACGTTGTATAAAATGTATTTACACCAACGGGTCAAGTTCTGACTATTTCGTAAAGAGCCTGTTATTTCAAAAAAAAAAAATAAATAAATTTTATACAAAGCACCTTATTCTCAATACATTTATTTACCACCTATTTCAAGAAGTAAATACGTACCATGATTAAACTGTCGCTCAGCCTTTTTTTTGATTTTTTTAACCAACTGAGTTTCTTTTGTAGTTTTGTAACTTTTTTGGCAAGTATGTCGCATCTACTGCACATTTCAACTTGCTCTTGTTTTGGCAGCGGTTCTGGTGAATCCTCTCTAACTGGTTCACTATCAACGCTTTCTGTCGTGTTACACTCGTCAGAATTCCCTTCATCATCAGTATGTTTAACAGCGGGTTCAACATCTTTTACACTTCGTGTTACTTCACGCAACACCTGTTGAAGATAATAAGACACATTTGCATGCATTTCCAGGTTGTGCATACAAACTTGTGTAATTTAACTTGTATAATTTTGTACTTACAACTCTGCGGTCGCGATTGCTCTTATCACCTTGGATTGAAATGCCTTTTACAGAGTCTATGGTTGGAACAGCATCAGAGCACAATTGTCGTCTCATGTTTAGCGATTTTGCAACTGTTGCGTTCACGGTGAATGCAGAATCTGCGAAATGCATTGAACATAGCACAGAGTACTGCTGAGGAACGAATTTTGGCCTATGTCTCCTAACAAATTTTGTCCATTTACTCAGCCTCTCCTTGTCATTCATGGGGAAACGATGTACTGAGACACCCTCTGTGTGTTGTTGTTTGTACAACTTTTTCCGTTGGGCCAACCAGCAACACAATATTGTCCTCCTCGACGATTTTTTGCAGAATTTTGCCTACTCGCCATATTTTAACTTGCGGTGTATCGTTACGTTTGACTAACTTAATAAAAAACTATTCTCCTTATATTATGTGCGTTGTGATAATATTGCATGGGTTTTAAAACCACAGACTACGTCAAGGATGCGACACCCATATGATAAGAATGATAAGTCTAATCCAGAAGTTTATAAAAGTAGTATACATTGGATGATGGGAAATAAGCGCGTTACAGTTAGTTTCTGATAACATTGCGTGTGTGTTAAAACCGCAAACTTCGTCAAGGATGCGGCACCCAGTTTTTTGAGAAATATAAGTTAATTCAAGAAGTTTATAAAACTCTAATCGATTGTAAATGTTGCTTACCTATGCGTGTTGCTCATTTGTCACTAAATATACGCAATTTTGCGAAGAGAAGTTATAAAATATGTAAAATTCCAGGTGGAAATATGCTTGTTCGTATATAATTTTATATACTGAGAGCTTTAAAATTGAACTTCCGTCCTTTAAATGACGTCACGCACTCAAAGTCAAATTCGCATCAAAACAAGCAAATATGCCATGTTTGAACGCAAAGTTCGATGCGTTCCCATCGACTAAATTCAGTGGGCGATGGCTCAAAATGATCAGTAAAATACAGAGAAAACGTTTGTATCAAAAAACGAAATATGAAAATTTCACTTCAGTAGCACTTCAACTTTTACCACTTCAACCCAAGCAACTTCAATTCAGATGGTTGGACTGCAAACTTTTGTTTAGCAAAGGACTGTACATGGATGACGTCAGACGACTTTGCTCTTTTTAATCGGGTATATTAGAAGTTAAAATTGTTTAAAAAAGAGCAAATACCATGGTGAATCGTTAAAATAATAACGTAATAGTTCTTAAAAGAACTGTTTAAAACCAGAACGCTAAACCAACAATTCTAAAAGAACTGTTTTTAAAGCTGAAAGACACTATGCATTTCGGCAGACTACTCATCAGAGAAAAAACGCCAAAATGAAAACTTACAGGCAATATAAACATTTACTTTCTTTGTGTGTCAGCAGTATTCGCTACGATAGTAAATGTGTAAACACTACTGTTTGATCAACATTCTTTAACATCAGAGTTTCAGGTTCAAAAACGTGAAATGTTAAAGGTGATGAATCATATCGCGGTTCACCATTACCAGTTAACGTTACAAGTCGTTGAGCAGCAGTAGCACCGCGAGGGATAAAGGACCAAACACGTGCAATTATGGATGAGGTAACATCAAATCTCCAAGTTATATTGTGAGAAGATCCAGGTAAAAATACAAATCTTTGACCATCCAGGTGGAGATATTACTGAACCTAAATTTATCAATTGGATATTGCTACATCAAAATTAAATCACTTGTGGAAAAAACATAGATGCACAGAATTGAAGTTTTTGTTATTGGTCACAAATACCAAACATTTCTGCAATTGATGGAACGGCTGTGAATATTGTCCACTGATGAGCATAATTGAGATGTTTGCTTGCTGAAAACTACCATTGAAGTTTATGGAATTGAAGCATTGTTTACACGAAGCAAGGACAGCACTATCCATTGTGCAATGACTCACACGTTAAAATTTTGTTCACTAAATTGTTTTAAATTGCAGTATGCTGTCTTCCTAGAAATTTTTTAATTAAAAAATTTCTATTACCGCCCAAGCTTGCTGAAACAAAGCCACTCAATGTTAGCTTGTCTTTGGGGGTAGGTCAAATCTCACATCTACAGTAGACACGAAAATAAAGAAGCAAAATAATAATGATCACGAAATTGTTTTATTCGTAAACATCCCTTACACTTATGCATATGAAATGATTCAATCGTAAAGAAGTAATTTAAAGAGTTTTCCATCACACTCCTTGACATTGCTTGATTTTTCTATCTAATTTCTACACTTCATTTCTATGTAAATAAAAGTTTAAATGGTTTAACCATGATAATTAAAATAATAAAAGTAAAACTACGATTAAAACAATATTCTATTCAAAATGCTGCGTTAAAGTCAGTGTGTAATGTTGTTGCCTTATAAAGGCAAGTAAAATACACATTCACAAACTGTAGCATAGATGCCAAGATTCAAGTTTGTTCATGGCAAAAGATTATGTACACAGACACAATCATAAAGTATTCATTTTAATAGTGTTTAGAGATCAAATCTAGATTATCTAATGAAGAACAAAGTTAATCTTTATAAATGTAGTAAGTCTTTACGTACTCTTGTTTTACTATAACGACGATCGCCAGTTCTAAAAGAAATTTATAATAAGATTAAACTACCATAATAAGAGAAAGAAAAGCATGTTTTCGGCATTTTTTAAAAAAATATTCAACAAATGAATCTATTTTTACTTTTACTTTTTTCTTCAACCATCAATTAATGACGTCGAGCTTCACAGAAGGAATAGTAAGTTTTATCTTTTGGAAAAGATCCACAAAGGATCTTTTCCAAAAGATAAAACTTACTATTCCTTCTTCTCATCTCCTTCTTTGTCACCGCCTTTCTTGTCGTCTTTTTTCTCGACAGGTGCCAGTTTACTCATATCAATACTGGCGTATTCAGTTGGTGCAGGACGATTTTTGTCTGGCTTTCTTTTAGGTTCATCTTTAAAGTCAAGGTAGTTGTATAACTAAATAAAAACATACGTATATATTGTCATTGTATATGTATATATTTTATCAGCTTGAAGATTTGTAATCCAGACATAATTCTTGTTCAAAATTGAAAGTTTCGCCGGATTGTAGGCAGGAAGCATCGAGTCGAAAGCTCAATAAAATTATATATAAAAATCCGGAGAAACTTTCAATGTTAAACGATATATTTTCTCATATATACATAAGATGATAAAATATATATAGGTTTTTTATACATCGTAAATGACCTAATAAACACAGGACGTTAAATAAATGCAATAGCAGCCTAGAAAGGGAAAAGGGGAGGGTTCTTCAATTGACACAAGGAGTTAAATAGAAAGACGTTTACATCATTCTCTATCACCATATTGTGAGCAAATAAAAACAAAGTCAAGACTAAATATACGGTTTCTTAGCGCAATGATAACCCACTGTTAACAATAGCAATGTGTGGAGTGCGACTATTTGAGTCAAAGCGTTTATTAGAGAGAATCGTCTAATATAAAATCAAGTTTCAATGAAGCAATTCGTATGCATTGTTTTCAATTGCGTTTACAGGTCTTTGGGGATCATGTATTGCTGAATTGTATAAATTCCAAATGTCGCGGGTGTTTTCAAATATGAGCAGTTTTTTTTAAACACCCTGCATAATCTCCACGATGCATTCAAAATCATCACCATAATCCAACAAAAACAAAATAAATGCACAAATCCTATTTATAAATAATAAATGACAAAGATCCACAACAAACCGGATTTCCTTCTCTATTATCTCTATCGATCGAGGCATATACAGGTGGTGGTGCTTTACTTGTTGATGGTTTATTTTCATCACTTGTTGATGGATTATTTACTGTTTCATATTGATTACCAACAGATTCATAAGCATTTTCTCTAAGTTCTCCAGCCTCTTCATAATGATTGGGTTGTGCATTATTAGCTCCTGTTAATGGTTCAACACCATTTTCACCACTGCAACATTAACAACCATGATTAAATTTTGTACATGATATGGACGAAACGAAGAAAATATAGATACAACATTAATACAACAGTTCGTACTGTACGGAAAACAACAGCTTCTCTAACTTGCTCCAACCATGAAAATATTTTATTCAAAAGAGGAGAAACACGAAACACATTAACATCCCATATTACACAAAGAAAATTAAAATGAATAATTCACTTACTGGTATCCTTTTTCTACAATAAACATAACACAAAAGTAGATACTTAATAATTAGTAATACGACAGCAGAAAATGACAACAACTATAATGGCGACAAGGAAAACCGCTCCAACAGCAATGCCAACAATCAGAGCAATATTTGGTCCATCATCATCATCATCTTTAACTGTAGAATTATTGTTGCCATCATCTCTGCTTGTAGAAGTATTTTGGCCAACTTAAATAAAGAGTTGTGAACTTTGATAAATTTTATCAAACAGTCTTCTTGACGACCCCAAATTCAAACATTAATCAATAGCTTTTTAAATAGGTCTAGCAAATAGTTTGAAATAGCCAGAATGAAACAATGCGATATGCAAAAAAAAATAAAATTCACAATACACACTAAAGTTAGTGTCAGGTCATACGTAAATTGATAAATTAATAAAAAAAGTTTAAAAAACAAATGGTGAGACACGCTCTCCATAAATGATATTCCACATTAAAGAATTAAAGAAAAAAACGTTTAAAAAAGTTACCGTTATTAGTGGGAGTGGAACTAATTGATGACGTAAAGGTAAACGTCATCGATGACGTAATTATCGACAGCGATAGACTGAATGAGCTTGATATAGGAGCTAGCACAATTACAAAATTGTTCAAATGAGAATGATTCCAATATTGAAATTCCTTCAATATTGAAATGCGTGCCAAAAATCGTGAAAATTTGCTAGTTTAAAATTCCAGTCATTTAAGCAATTCACGCCAAGTAATCTATGTAAATTAATGTACTCTAGGCAATTTACGTTTATAAACACTTTAATGATTATACTGGGAATACAGATAAGTTAAACATATTTTACTGATAGTCATTGAAGAATATATATTCATAGGAAAAATGTTATGGTTAATGCAGCATGCAGACATTGCCAGTCTTTGCTTTACCATACGAGCCAGTAAAAAGTTATGTAATCAGAGCAATCTTCGTTGTTTACTGAAATTTTATTGTTATAAGGGTATTCAAGTGCATTCAAGAAGTCTAATGCTAATTACAAAAAGATAAACATCGGTCTTTCACCTTTTGCTACCAAGAAAGTTCGTACATAATGCAAAATAAAAGTCCAACAAGTGATAAACTGAGGTTCTTAATTTTACCTTCGTTAGCAACAGTAAGACGTTGAGGAACAGACAAATGATTTCCTAGTATATTCCTTGCTTCACAATAATATAAACCAGCGTGATTGAAGTCGACAGATTGAATGGTGTATGTCTTATTATTACTGACAACTGCACCTTTATGATGAATAAAGAAGGTTGGCGGAGGAAAACCATCTGATACGCAGGTTTTATTCACACTTTCACCAATTTGTGGATTTTCGTTTGATAGGGTTATGGTCGTATTTCTTGGTTTATCTAAAATTTAAAAGTCAAAATTCAACGTATTTCACAATTTGAAAACCTTATTGCAAAAGTACTAAATATATAAGTTCGCAACTTACAATTCACTTTTATTTCAATGGATTTTTCCTCAATGAAACGTGTATCATTAAAACTTTCAGCTTTACATGTGTAATTTCCACGATCATTTGGTGAGGCACCAGTGATTACTAAAGTCGCAATTTCAACTCCAAATCCAAGAACTGTTGTGTTATCTTCATCAAACCATGTGACATTAGCAGGAGGGTTACCTCCTTTACCTTTACATACACATGACACACCATCACTTTCATTCACAACCAGAGGAGATGAACAGTGAATCGACACTGTCGGTTTAACTGAAATTAAAGACAGAATCATAATAATAGTCATGATAGAAACAATAAGGTATTTATTTGTAAGCGTCAGTGAGACAGGGGTAAAACCGGAAGAGGAATGTCGCATCTGTAAAGAATAAAATTTATTGTTGTATGTGCTATGTATGTCAAATTTGATTTGAAAATAGTACTGTAAACTAATTTCTTACAGAATGAAGAAATATACCTACTTTCTTTGCTTAAAAAGACATCGTAGTCGCGACTACGAATTTTTACAAAACATCGTACTCAGATTGATGACGGCTACGTGTTTTGTTGTCGCAACAATGTTTTCGCGCCAAAATGACGTAAATGGTACTCGTAGTCGTACTCGTAGTCTTTGCTAAAGCTCCTATTATCGCAAAATTTCATTTGACTGCTCTCCTTATCTGAGTTGCTAATACACAATTAATTCATACTTTTATAATCCACCAATAACATGGGCCACATGACAGCCCAAACAACCGCTAAATTTTAAAACACTAGAAGCAGGGGCTGAAGGCATATGGAATTATGGAAAAAACACCGGCACACGCTATGTCGTTAACCATTTACGGTTGCACATCGTTTGAATATTTTTTAGTTCCTACAAACGATATACGCTGCACCCCCTGGTCTATTTTTATCTACAATTCTAACCCAAATACTGTGGTGTTGCAGGGGTAGACTGACCTGTTCATGACTTACCAGGAAAACTCAGAAAGGGGTACTTGTTTGTAGCAAGTAGCCATTTGTAGGGGGAGAGGCTGAAGTGCATGTGCTGCTATATCGAGTATAAGTTATTGACAGCTACTTGGCTATACCAAGTTAAGGCGAGAACTCAAATGAACTACATAACTAATAAAACGAAAAATAAGATTTTGAGGATTTTGTTCTTTGAGAACTGCATGATGTTCCCAGCACTAGGCTAGTCCATATCACTTGCTTGCACCATTGAACAAAATGTTTTACGTAAAATACTATGCTAGAAGTAACAAAAAGCTTTTAGGCTAACAAATTGTAAGAAATTTTAAAAACGTAGACTACTCAAAAGCTGAATGTCAATAGAAATTGGGAAGTTTACTAATACACGTTGATGCTTTTGCATTTTGTCATTGTAGCAATACTATCTTTACCCTGTTGTACTTTAATAGGCTTGCCAGTGTTTTATTTACTATTTTCCGGAAAAGGGCCAACGCAAAGAGCATATGAATGCGTGGAGCACCGGGAAACTTCCGGTGTCTTAATAGGCCAGTCTGCCTCTGTGATTTTGTAAATTTTTGGATTGCAAGCTACCTCACAGTCGCCATGCTGGATAATTTTAACAAAGGACTTTTCTTATTTACAATGTAAATTTCATCCAACATGGCGAGCATTCCACTCTTCTCTTACTCCCAGGGGGATGGTTGTAACCCACCAATAAATACGTTCGGCAAACTGCTTATATATAGCTACATTACTTTATAAACCATGCACAAGTAATGCCCTTTATGATAAAGGGGAGGAAACTCTGAACTTTTAAAGAACAGAAAATTAGTCATCCTGCTTTCTTTGTTTACTATAAAAATGGCCGTTGAGTTTGCAATTCAATTTTACAAAAGTGCTTACAAATAAAGAAACTAGATGTACACCGCACTTGACCAACTGTTTAGATGAAACAGCTCCATTAATTTGACATATCTGAGTGCGGTTTGTCAAGTAAGATGTCAAAAAAGATAAAGCATTTACGTTTATGCCATACAGTTTAAATTTATTTAGTAAAATTTCACGATCAACAGTGTCGAAAGCCTTTTTTAAGTCAATGAACACAACAAGGTTGAATAATTCTTGTCAATATTTATATACCAGCTATTGGTACAATCTAGTAAGGCTGTAGCTGTTGAATGATGCTTTCGGAAGCCAAATTGGGAGTCACGTAGTAAGTGAAATTTCGTGAAATTTTTTATAGGAGAGACTACATAACATTTGATAGTTTACTTTTGGTTACAGGTTGAAAATTTGAAAATTCCGATTTGGGATTTTTTATAAACTCTTGAAAGTTACAATTTAATGAGTCAAGTTTTCAGTCAATTCAGACCCAATTTTTGAAAATATATATTGAAACCCTCAGCAATATCCTCGGAGTTTGTCAGATTGATGCCATCTATACTTAACTAATTGACATTGCCCCGTCTGTTTTGACTGCCCAATAGATGGTTGATTGTTTTCCAAGTCTCTTTTGGTTTGTTCTTTAGACCAGCAATTGTCCTTGCATAATAATTTTGTTTAGCTTTTCTCACTTCTATGTTGTTAACTTTATCCCTTAGTTGCTTAAACATATTCCAATCAGTTTCATTCTTGTTTATGATGGCTTTTCTCTTGAATGCGTTTCTGTCAATAATAAGTTGTTTAATGTACCTTGTAACCCAAGGTACATTTTTGGATTTGATTTTCTTATGTTGTATAGGAGCATGTTTATTAAGTACTTCATTAAATAGCGTTTTCCATAAATTCCACATGTCGTTGGGATTATCAGCAAAATAAAATATGTGCTCCAAATGCTGATAAGTTAAATCTTCAATAAATTTTTCACTATTGAAATTTTTCATGTTTCTAATTTCAAATGTATTCTCATTTTGTTTTTTTGAGCAGTTAATTTTCCTAAGCGCAAATATCAAGTTATGGTCAGAAATTCCACTATGTATGACGCCAGAATGGGAAATATCGTGTCTGGGCTATTAGTTATTACATGATCAATACGAGTGGAGGTTGACAGTGTTACTCGCGTGGCCTCATTAATGAGTTGAGAGAGTTGATACAATTCATATAGAGATATAATTTTCTTTGTTGGTGTATCAGGTTCATGTTTAAGCATGTCGCAGTTAAGATCACCAAGAATATATAATTCTTTATTTTGATCGTCAAATTGTTTGATTAATTTTTCAAAATGCAAAAAGAAATCATTAGGAGAGTAAGGTGGCGATAAATAGCACTACCAAAAAATTGGTCTCCCATTTTGTTCAAGTGGAGATTGGAGCCATTTAAGTGATTTTTGCCAATATCTTCGTTATTTATAAAAGAAACATTATGTTTAGAGCATAATTTGTAGATGAGAGAATTATAAAAAGCCATTTTATTTAAGGAAACCTTCCATCAAATCTTTTTACAACACTTGAAATTCCCACTTTACCTGCTAACTTCTTCGAACTTACAATCAAGGTTTCTAAACCTGTGGCAACTTCATCAGCACTACTATTGACAAAATCATTAGTACCAGCATGAATAATAATAGTACCATATTTATTTTGGGGATCTCCAGGACTTTTGCTGGATGTCCTTTACTTTTGCACCACTGAAGTGGCAGGTAGATTTCCATCTCGCTGCCCAGGAGATCTTTTGGATCTATATGTTTCAACATTGAGTCACCAATGATAAGAGTTGATGCAGTTGAATAATTATGGGTTTTGGTCAGTTATATCTTGGTCGTCATTAGGAGTGTCAATTTTGATTTTATGAACTTTTCTTCTGCTTATTGCGGTAGGCATTCCGTTGAGATTGAATTTTTTGTCAGTTTGCTCGTTGTCTTCATCAGGATTGCCAATTCATAATTTTAAAACTTTTCTTTCTACTTACAGCGGTAAGCATTCAATTGGGACTGAGTTGACTTAGTGAGGCATACTTCCATTGACTGTGTGCTAACTGTGTCGGACGTGACTTTCTTTGTGGGATTTATCGTGGAGATTTCCAAATCTATTTACTAAAGGAAGAGGATTAATTGTTGGTTTTTGTTGATTGGTCTTGTGTTGATTCTTACGATTGACATCTATCCAAGCATTTTGATTGTTATCAAGGAGAGACAAGATTCGATTGTAGTCTTCTCTTAGCATGCTAATAAAAAATTTCAAATGGTCAATCTCGGCTGCCATTTTCGCGTTGTCGACTAGAAGGACGGCTTTTTCGATATCATCGTTTTTCGATTTTTCTTCTAAAATACGTAGACGAGTGAGGATTTGGTCGAGTTTACTTGCATTATCGTCTATGTCTAACTTTTCTGAAACAATTTTGTCTGTGCTGGGTAACGTTAAAACAAATGTCTCGACATTAACAACGCGCGCGCGAAATTTTGGTTCTTTATCATTAGGTTCGGTGCACGTTCATTTTCTTTCGTCTTGTTTCCGTTATCTTTGGCAGATCTTTCTGGTGGAATATCTTTTCTTTGGTTTCATCTGTTTTGGGCAATTTCAGAATCAAGCTTTTAACATCAGCATCTGTAAGCGTGGATAGACTGTTCTTTGTTCGGCGAGACATAATAGTGATATTACCAGTTGATCAATTGATATCAAATTTTATACCACAAAAGTCGAAAGTGGTATCGAAAGTCGTATCAATAACTAATTTTTGTCCTATACTGAAATGTAGTAAAATCTGTGATACAAACACTTTAACATATAATATTCAAATCAAAAGATACCCTATAATTTCCTTTTTAAATTAAAACAAAACAAAAAAAGTCTTCGCATTTGTCTTCGCTCAACGGCTCAAGTATTTAGCTATAGGATTCCAGACCGCGGTCATATATCGTATAATTACGCCCAATGCTACAGCTACTTAGATTACATGAAAGGCTTGGATAACCCCGCTGCTAAGTTTAAAATAAATACAACTTACTTGCAATACACACGTTTACAAATGAGTCAATAGGATCGGGAGTTAGGTAAATTTATAAACACCAATGTAACTTTGAGTAACATTCTTTAACATCAGAGTTGCAGGTTTAAAAACTTCAACATTTAAACCAAATGACTTAAGGACTGATGTTGAATATTTTAGGTCTCCATTATTGCCACTTATTGTTACAATTGTATGAGCTGCAGAAGCATTGTCAAATGTCCTAAAGGTCCAACTCCGAAAAAGAAAGTTTGGAACGACACAATAACAGTTATAAACGTTTCTTCGGCAAAATTTTTTAGGCCAAGTTTCCCCCATTAAATACTCAGAACAATGCATACAATACAAGAAAGATTGAAATAATTAAAACTTACCAGCAATATAAACATTTACTTTTGATGGAGTAGTACGATTAGTTGTAATTCTAAATGTAAATTCACCATTGTAACTTTGATTTACATTCTTCAGCCACAAAGTTCCAGGTTTAAAAACTTCAAATGTCAAAGGTGATGCTGAATATTCGGGTATGTCACTATCATATATGCAATTTGTTGAGGGAGATGAACCACGAGGTGTTAAACTCCACTGCCATAAACGAATGTTTCCAGTAACATTTAATGTCCAAGTTATATTGTGAGAAGATCCAGGTAAAAATACAAATCTTTGACCATCAGGTGGAGATGTTATTGTTCCTGAAATTAAAATTTAGCTGATATCTATGACTGATAAAAGATAGTTTAGGTAAAAAATACATCTTCTACTAACATAACAAAAGTAATTGATTTTCTTAATTCAGGTTCTATTCAAAAATTGTGAATAAAAAATAAACTAATTAAATATTACTACTACAACAACTAAAAATACATCAAAAATCATTTAAGTAAAAAAGAAATGGATATTTGAAGTTAAATACCTTTGGCAAGACCAAGAAATGTGATCAATGTAACAGTCGAAAATACTAAATTTGTCTTTACCATTTTCACTAAAAAATTAAACCATGAATTTTAATGCTTATAATCTTTGAAAATAAAATCATGAGTTAACATGGTTAGTGCTGTGAAAATTCTGGTTTTCAGCTCGGCTTGTCAATTCTGAACTGGTAAAATAGCCGACGCTGCAGCCCATCTCCAGTGCACAGAACTAAACATGGTGCATCAAAATAAATAGTAATTTCTACTCGTAAATAGGCAATATTTTGCGTAGCAATATGTTCCATTAATTCTACCACAGAAATATCTTTATCATTGCAATAAATTTTTTGTGTTTTAATTTGCTTTATAAAATAAAAACAGTAAAACATGTGCGCTGATTGGTCAAAGGCTGAGTTTGCATTAGCCTGTGTAAATTGATCGTAGCTCAACCTCAATCAATCAAAGAGATTTTGCAAACCATTCATTAATGCACTTTGTGGAAAATTAAAACAAACCTTGAAAATCTTATGCAAACCTCGGAGATCTTTGTGAGAACGCTCAAGCAGGTGCAAAACTTGCTTTGCACTGATCAACTCTCAAGTTCTCCAAAAGGTCTCCTCAGTTTGTGGAAACATGGTAAACATTTTTCTTTCTTGACTTGATTGGGAAAGCATAAGATGAACATAAATACTAATTCCTAAAGATTGTGAATCATTGGATACATTTACATCTCACATTACAATTATCATATGTGACCAGTGACATATCTTTAGTTCTGCTATGCAAATTATTCATGAGTTCACTAGCTGTAAAACAATAGATTTCAAAAAATGAACAATGACAATGATCTGAAATTTACATAGCACAACCAAATTTGCAGGCTAACTTTCCTAATGTTCTTAACAGAATAAACTTGAAATTTAAATCATTTAACTATTCTATTAAAGACGATACACAAACTACAAAAGAAACATTGGTTATATATAAGGATTGACATTGCTTTAGCAAAATGAACTTTAGGAAAAGACAGTTAGCTGTACAGGAAAGTAATTTTGTGTAATTCTTAAATAATAGTGAACAGAAATTCTTCTCTTTTCAACCAAAATGCTTTAGTTTTGAATGAAATTTTACCTTTTACTAACTGTTTGTAACTACTGCAACTGGAAGTTAATTTAGTTTTCAACTCGGTCCACAGAAAAGCCCACAAGCATAAATTTATTAGAGGATAAGAATTAATGTAGTTGTAAACTGTTTACGCAAACTTTTACTATGTTTTAATGTTTTGTCAGTTGAATTTTCATACTATTGTCAATAAAGACTGTGTTGTGTATACTGTGCTGATAACTACCATGCAATATAATCTAAGCATTCACTCCACATAAACAAGACCCACCTATATAAGCCCAAGAAAGAAGGCATACAAAATTATATAAGTTCAAGGCTTATGGGCAAATGTTTACAGTATGATTCATGATAAAATATAGTGATTGTTAGGCCCATGCAGTGTGCGAATTAGCGGTGTGCAATGTGCAATTTGCACATCGTTTTAGCTAAAATGCAAACAATTGCACATCACTTTTTCAAACGACATGCTAAAAACTTTTATTCAAACGATACACGAAAAACACTGTCGTGAATCATATGAATTTGTTCACGTTTAAAAATATTAATTTAGCAATTAGCACTATATAATAATTAATGTAATATCGATTTGATTATGCCTCTAAACAAACACTTTCGTCAAAAAAAATTGCACATCGTTTTTTCTGAACTAATTCGCACACTGGGCCCATGGAGGTAGGGTAACCCTACCAGAAGGGTTACATTAGCAAGCAAGTTACCCTAAGTCAAATTGCTTTATATGTAGCATTTACATGTGTGCTAGGGTAACCCTGACGGTTAGGGTTTCCATATCAAATTGATAAGGTTACCAAAACAGTAGGTTATGTTTTTATTTCATAAACCATAAAAATGTTTGAGATAAGGTAATCCCTTTCAGTAGGGCTATGTTTACATCATATCTAATCAAAATATTTGCATATCAGGGAAAATAAATTGCTTCCAAACCATAAAATTATACACAAAATGTGCTACATGACTCTACAGAGACAAACAATAAAACTAGAGCCCATCCACCATCTACAAGGAAGTTTTCGAGATGGCAAAGAAGGTTTTTATTCTATGAATGTTAAGTCGTCATTGAAAAAAAAACACTCAATGTGAATATAATATAATGAATATAATATAATGAAAATGAATTTGAAACGATTTTCAGAGGTCGTACACTGAATTATGGATCTTTATAAATAGGCCTCAAGGAAGCCAAAATGTTTCATCTGCAATCATGTCTACAACATGCTGATGTTGCTGTCATTAATAGTAATACACAGGACCTGTCAATGGTAGAGTCACCCTATACAAAAAGATAGCCTTGCAAGTATGGTTACACTATTCCCATGTAAACAGGCCCTTATTAGTTTCGTAACTAAACAATACAACAGGAAGTACAGAAATATTTTCATGAATCAAAGAAGAAATGAAACCCAACATACTCATTTAGTATTTAATGTAGTGTTTCGTCTTGGTCTTTAAAATTATGAAATTCAAAATGCATCAAAATTCTTAAAAGTTTTGTTTAAAGCGACGTTAAGGTAAAGAGATCTTCATCAAAGCATATCAATACAAAAACTGTTGTATTTTAACGTATACACTTGTGTACCATATTATTGAAGGTTTTCTCGAATTCAGACTAAAGCCTGGGCCACACTATCGTCTATATTGACGAAAACGAAAACGAAACGAAAATTCGTGCACGAAATGCATGCCAGACACGACGAAAAATTACAAGCATGTTTGCAAAGCCAAAACGTTTTTGGCCAATAAGCAAGCGGCATTTTTGACGGATTAGAAAAAATGGCGATCTCTAAAAGAAAAAGATTATTTCTTCTTAAGAAAAAGTTACTGCCTTTAAAGTTGAAAACAAGCAACAGCAAACGTCGATACTGGATTCATCCAATTAATAAACGACGTGATCGTCTTGGACTATTTAACAACTTGATTAAACAATTACGAGAGCCGAACAATGAAAATAGACACAAGGTTAAATAGTTGGAATGTTATTAAACAAAAAGAATGATAGCACAGCGCTTTTACCAACAACTACAAACAGTAATTACCTTATCTAACAACATTTGAGAAATTAACCTTCCACTCCTCTTCCTTGTAAACCAGACAAGTCTACTCAAAAGCAGAGAGCATTATACGCTACAAGTCCCGGGCTTGTGACCAGTATAGCAGAGTTAAAATGTGAAAGGTTTATCATGGATTAATCAACTGAATATTCCTGCTCATTTTTTGTTTGGAAGCATGTTGAACAGTTCATATAGACTAAGCTCGAATGCCATATTAAATATCAGTAACATAATCCGGTGTTAATGTTAGACAATACATCATTGCCCTTCAGTGAAAGCATCCCGCTTTCCACTGGAAAAGAATCTAATATCGATGTTAAACATAGATTCTTACAAGCATCCCGCTTGCCGATATGTATAAGTATAATCACTGATGCTTGTAAGAATCTATGTTTAACATCGATATTAGATTCTTTCCAGTGGAAAGCGGATGCTTTCACTGGCAATGATGTATTGTCTAACATTAACACCGGATTATGTTACTGATATTTAATATGGAATTCGAGCTTTGTCCATATGAACTGTTCAACATGCTTCCAAACAAAAATGAGCAGGAATATTCGTTGATTAATCCATGATAAACCTTTCACCCTCTGCTATACCGGTCACAAGCCCGGGTATAAGGCTCTCTGCTTTAAGTAACTTGTCTGTTTACGAAAGGAGTGAAGGTTAATTTCTCAAATGTTGTTAGATAAGGTCGTTATTGTTTGTAGTTGTTGGTTATAGCGCTGTGCTATCATTCTTTTTAATGAAAATAGACATAAAATACTTGCGAATGACGACGACAAATTTTGACTACATTTTGGATTTAATTAGACCTCACATCACTAAAGTTGGCACACATCTTAGAAAGTCTATTAGACCTGATTTATCAAAACCTCTTGCCACTCCGCCATGTTTGAGTACAAAGTCTGATATTATTAGCCAATAGTATGCGTTTTCGTTAACGAAAAAGGTCAAAAGTTTAATTCTTCTAATATGCACGAAAACGAAATTTTCGTCGAGTTTTCGTTCAAGATTTTCGTTGCGGCAGTTTTCGTTCTGATTTTCGTCGATATGGACGATAGTGTAGCCTTGGCTTAAAACTTATTTTCCTTCACAAACACAATTTTAGTATTGGCTAATTTTAGTTTGAACTAAGAATTCTCGATAAGAGGATTCGTTTCAATAGCGCCTGTCGAATGCCATGAATATTTACGCCAAAACTTTACAGCAAAACAATATTTTCATTCAAGACAACAAATACAAGTAGGTTATTCCACTAAAAATACAGCAAAACGTAACATACCCATGTAATTTGATTTTCTTCCGTGAGAATTTCAGAGACTCAATTTCCTGCTTCGCAACGTATGACGTACGTGAAGTTATGGCACGCCAAACAAAAGTGTATCGAGAATTCCAACCACTAGTCGAGAATCATAAGTGACATATGAGAAGGCAAGCACGTGTTGAGAAAATCAACCATACGTCGAGATTTCTGACTGGCAAACTGGACAGCGGTTGCGAAACGTATATTATAAATACTTCGTGCCATCCATATAACAGAACATGGTCTTCAGGAAACAATGGCTGAAGAAAAACTACCTTGAAATTGGCACAACCTTGGGCACCACAACCAACACAACATTCATCACAACAGTCATCACCACATTCAACTAAAATTTATCATTCAAAATGATAAATCGAAAAATCGTCTTTAAAACAGGTTTTCCATCAAATACAACAGTAAAAAACAATTCTTAATTGTTTATTACTATTTTACTGCCCTTAACCATCACAAAGAAAGTATAAAAGTCAAAAAATTGAACAAAACACTAAACTTTAGGTTACAGTGTACTTTTCATTTCCCTTAATTAGCGTATGATTTAAAAACTACACGGTAGAATTTTTTTAAACTTGGCCAGAATATAGATAATTATATTGTCTAAAATATATCAAAAATATGGAGAGTGCACAAAAAAATAAGTTGTAGAAAATCATCGGCAAAGTCGGATTACAAGATTACGCGTAATATAATCTAATATAATTAACTTCCTATATCCAGGTAACTTTGCAAACAAAGGCCTATAAATAAAAAACTACACGGTAGAATTTTTTTAAACTCGGTCATATTGTAGATATTTTTATTGCCTAAAATATATCCAAAATATCGTAAAACAAGATTTTTTCGTTTTGTACTTTGCGGAAGTACTAACGTACTTTCCACTATGATACTAAACGGGCAACTTCTTAATGCACAGAAAACTCAGTGAAATGTCAATGAAATTATTTACAAATGGACTAATCAGTCAATTTTTGATAACATATTAAATGAACGGTGTGAGACTTAACACATTTCTTGAATAAATCGGTTAATTTTACTCTTTTAAAATTATTTCCGGGTCCATGGTGTGCAAATATTTATTTCATTGTTCATCGTCAAAATTGTATAAAGGCCAGTTAGGCCAATGAAGTTCATTTTCGTATTCTCACTATTTTGTGCAACATTGCATAGTACATGTTATCTTTATGATTAAAACCATAGATATTATAAATAAATTATAAAACATAATGACGGAAGAAGGTTGTATAACCAGACTACTGAACCAGACCCGAATACAAAGGATGGGATGCCAATTCTTGGTTTGCAAGTGCAACCGCCATGTTGCATGATTTTAACAAAGGATTGTCCTTATTTACAATGCATAATTCATCCAACATGGCGAGCATTTCATTTTTGTCTTACTCCCAGGGAATTGTAGCACACCCACCTTATAGTAAAAAAATATTTACAGCTGTTTCTTGGGTTGGGGATGCCCAGAAACCCATCTAGCTAAGACAAGACGGGACGAAACTAGACTAGAACACTAATTGAGGGGGGTGAATATTCATGTACTAAGCTCTTTCCTGCTACTTTCTTTTGTTGGCGATTTTAATTTCAAAAGATATCATGGGCCTGTTGCACGAAGCCTGGATAGCAATTTTTTCAAACTTTTATAAAACCTTTTAAAAAGCAAAAAATATAAAATTCGAACTGAGCACTCACTGAAAACTCTGAAATAAATATTGTTTCGAAGATTATAAAATTTCTTTGTCGTAAGTAAAATATAAACACCTTTTTTACAAATTTGAAAATTTTTGCTATCCAATGGATAGCGCTATCCAAGCTTTGTGCAACTGGCCCCAGCAGGGTAAGGCTGAATATATGAATATTCTCCTACCCTCACTTTATAAAAGAAAAATAAAAAAATGGAATACTTGCCTTTAGCCGATACTACAAGGTCAATATTAACACTAAGCTTCAAAGGATTGGACACAGCACTGGGGGAAGGCTTAGCCCCCAACAAAATCTAACCAAAAGTTTTTGCCATTCTTTGCGAATGCTCTATTACTTAATAACTGCTGACTAAAATATAAAAAAAAAACACATCTTTAGGCCTTTGAATGTAAATGTATTATAAAGTTAAAGTTATTGCTCTTGTTGTTTTAGCATTCAAATCGAGAATGAAATATCAAAACGTTAACAGTTTTATTGTTACTCCGAAATGATGGAGGTTTTTGTACGTCTGGAGCATTGCGATATTAAACACTTGGGATTCTCCAGTACATTTGTTTATATTTCAAGTATTAAGACGGCTCTCCTTATGTTGTCGAACACCCCACTAACCCTGTATTCAAAATGAGACCATATAAACTGTAAATAATTTTTGTTACGATTGGCGCTCCATAGTAGATCACTAAAGGTGTTTTTAACTATCCAACTATGGTCTTCTCTTAACTAGATGGGTCTCAAGGCATTCCCTAATCAAAGACAAATTTTGAAATTTACGATTTAGGTTCATCAGAAAAATGATTTCGTGCTTTTTCAGGGCCTTTTCATGATCCTGTTCTAAACAATTTGGTATACACGGGAAATAAGTCAGGAAGGCAGGTGTATAGTAAGATAGATAGAAAATACTTATTCAAAAACAGTATTACCATACACTGTCATCAAAAACAACTAATGAATCAGTCAGAATGACCAGTGTATTTTCTCATCCAAAAATGGCTTCCTTCTGGAAATCATAAAGTTTCCATAATTTCGTAAAAGCACTATTGGCAATACACATTTAATATAAACGACAACTTTTTTTTTTGTGAAAATAGACATGTTTCGACATCTCATGATGCCATCTTCAGTATGAATGAAATAATAGGTGATACAGGGTTTATATAAAAGTAATATGATACATAAATTGAACAATAAAAAGGAAATAAGATAATATAATGAGGAGCGTCCGAGCGTATTATAAACTAAATATTGTATTGAATTTAAAAACTTGAACATTGAGGTCAGCGTTAGTTTTGTTAATGTGGAGTGCTTCTTTGATTAAAAACAGTTGCGTGAGGTCGGTCCTGTTTATACTGAACGTGGGGTTGTGAGTGAATATTAAGTCGATTGCTAGGTTGATGGTTTCAGTAAGTGATATGTTAGTAAATAGGCTTTCAACGTCGTAGGAGATAAAGAATTTGTGACAAGAAGTTGATGAGTTCAAAGATGAGAAGTCGTCGAGGAAAGTGAAAGAATCTTTAGTGGAGTGGTCATCTGGTATGAGTGGTGTTAGTAGAGAACTAAGATACTTAGCTAAATTATAATTGTATGCGTTGATTGATGAAACTATCGGTCGTAGTGGAGGCGATTGTTCTGATTCTCGTTTCTTGTGAAGTTTCGGTAAGCCATAGAAATGTGAGGGTTGAGAACCTCTGGGGAAGATATTATTATAAACTTCGTTGCTAATGGAGTCTTTCTTTAGAAGCTTCCTTAACAGTCGTTGTAGTTTGGCTTCACGTGGTAGTGTGACGTCTTCTTTGAGTGGGGTAAACTTTGCTGCATTGTTAATGATTTTAAGGCAGGAGTTACGGTACATTTGATGATCCATGATTATTACGCCGTTGCCTTTGTCCGGTTTGAGAATGATAATGTTTGGATTGTTGCGAATGTTTTTAAGGATGTGATGTTTTTTGAAATCAGCTGGTGTCGGGTGATAAGATGAGATGTACGAGTGAGCGATGTGTGCCAGCTCTGTTTTGAGATTCGTGTAGTCTTCTTGATTGCAATACTTTATGAATTTTCAAAAAATCATAAAGTATTGGCAGCTTCAAAGGGAGGAAAAGTTGCAAAATTCAAATCTTATCAGAAAATGTAAATGTTCGTAAAAGCGCCATTGTGACTTTACAACATGGAAAATGTTTATAAACAAATGTTTAGAATAAATTTATGATTTTCTTGAAAACAAATTAATGTTCTCATAATTTCTTCTTTCGTCGGCTATCTCGTACTCCGATTCATTATTTTTTTACAAAGATTCATAATTATTATCTTCTATATTCCTTTTCGATATGTCCAGTTCTTCATAAGTTGTATCAACTGTGTCATCATTTGGTCTCAATGATTGATAATTATCTTCTTTATTCATTTTTGATAAATCCAATTCTTGATAAGTTGTATCAACAGAATTTTTTCTAACTTCAGATGGAGATTGAAATTGTTGACGTTTTTTACTTAACCAATGTTGACGATAACGCAAAAAAAATAAAATAGAGACGAAAATTCCAACGATAATTCCAGATGTTAAAGTTATTAATATAATGTACCATTCTGTTTTGCACTGTTTTATTCTCTCTTTTTGGTCATCACAAAGAAAGTTGTCTAGAGAAGAAGCATAGAACTTAAAAACATGGAAAAAATCAAAAGAATTTATTTGTACACAATACTAAAATACATATGATAACAAGATTGGAGCATTTTGATTGAGCAATGGATAGATTGAATTAAACATTTCCATTAAGTCTAAGGCAAAGGTCGAGATGTTAATTGTATTGTGAGGCTAGAGCTAAAGTTTGCTATAAAAGAGCGATTTGCTTAAATTTTCTTTTAAGGATTTTTATCATCTCAGGTAGCGCATGCAAATAGAACAGAAAGAGCTAATAGTATTTTAAACATAAATATGATTTTATAGCCTAGTAAATAAATTATCTTTTGTGTTGCAATCAGTAGATGAATATTTTGAAAGGAAAAATGATGTTGGAGATACATATGTTAACGAATTTACTGGTTGGAATTCTAGCCCAAACTTAAATGAAATATGCTAAAATAGCTACACAGAAATCAACTCAAATTATTGGTTTGTTGTGGTGGATCTGTAAAGAATAAAATTAAATTCAATATTCTACACAAACGTTTATAATGAGATCTGAAATGCTGTCTTACAAACTTACAAGTAGCTTTCACTGTTACTTCAATAGATTTTTCATCTGTAAAACGTGAATCATTATAACTTTGTGCTTTACATCTGTAATTTCCACCATCATTCAATGTAACATTAGTGATTACTAATGTCTTACTTACAACTCCAATATCACC